GCGCCGCCGCGTGGTCAATGAAAGCCGGCACCGATCTGGAATGCAACGCCTTTCCCGGCTCCGAAGCCCTACAGCTAGCGTGGAACCAGTCCCTCGTTTCGGAGGAGGAGGTCGATCGCTCGCTGACGAGGATGTACACGGCGCTCATCTCCGTCGGCCAGTTCGACTCTGCCCGCGAGCAGCCGTTGCGATCGCTGCTCTGGCGGGACGTCGACACAAATGAGGCGCGGGAGCTCGCGTACAGGGCGGTCGTCGAGGGCTCGGTGCTCCTCAAGAATGACGGGATCCTGCCCCTGTCCGCGGATTCGGGCAGGAAGTTTGCGCTCGTTGGGCCTTGGGCTAAAGCTACGACGCAGATGCAGGGTAATTACTATGGTCCGGCGCCGTACTTGATCTCCCCGTACCAGGCTGCTGAAGATCTCGGACTCGACTTCACGTATGCCCTTGGCTCCAAGATCAGTGCCTCGGATGACTCACTTTCCGATGCACTCAACTCAGCCAAGGAGGCCGACGTGGTCATCTTCGCGGGCGGCGTCGACAATACCCTAGAAGCTGAAACACTCGACCGCAAGACGCTGGCCTGGCCTGAACCTCAGCTTGAGCTTCTACGCGCTCTCGCCGAGGTCGGTAAGCCGGTCATCGTACTGCAATTTGGCGGCGGGCAGGTAGACGACACAGAGCCCCTGGCTAGCGAGTCCATCAGCGCGATCCTATGGGGCGGGTACCCAGGCCAGTCCGGAGGCAAGGCCATCTTCGACTTACTCTTTGGGCGCGAGGCGCCGTCTGGGAGGTTATCCGTCACGCAGTACCCGGCGATCTACAACGAAGCGGTCCCGTCGACGGATATGAATCTCCGACCGGTACCGGGTAACTCGGGCCTCGGGCGGACGTATATGTGGTATCTCGGCGAGACGCCCGTGCCGTACGGCTTCGGCTTGCACTATACGACCTTTGACGTCAAGCTCAGAGCGCTTCAGGAGCCTGCTATTACCTCAACTGAAGAGCTTACACCTCTAGAAGACAGCGAGGACGCGTCTAGCGTCCCATCATGGCAAAAGACCCTGGAGAGGTCAATGCTGACTGTTGCCGTGACGGTCTCCAACACGGGGAAAGTTGCTTCGGACTACGTGGCACTGCTGTTCCTCAGATCGGATGCCGGTCCCGAACCTAGGCCGCTCAAGACTCTGGCGGGGTACACCCGCTTTAGAAGTATCCAACCCGGCCAGGCGGCGGTGAAAGAGGTCGTCGTCACTGTGGAACGTCTGGTACGGGTCGATGAACTGGGGAACAGAGTGCTGCATCCTGGGTCGTATGAAGTGTTTGTGGATCTGGATAAGAAAGCGGTGCACGAGTTTCACGTGGGTGGTCCAGCTGTGGTGGTTGAGAAGTTTCCACAGCCAAGGCCTTAGAGGTGCTCGATTACGTCTGGTGATGAGGAGGCACCAGAAGACGTACATTGAAAGGCAGGCTGGAAGGCTCTGAGGTTAAAGTAGGAATAAATCCCTTTGTCGCCATGATCGACCTGACAATCTTTGATTCTACTCGCGTATTGTTCTTCGCCGTCAGAAACCTCGAAGAAAAGCGGAAGGCTCATCCCTCGGCTGCTTACAGCAACTGTGAGAATACCGAGATCCAATTATATGAATAATCGAGACCTAGTCGATGAAAATGGATGGAACATCTGTTCTTATTCCTCAAAGAGTCTATTGCGTTGTTGATTAGGTGGTAAGATGACACACCACTCTGCCCCGAAGCAGGCCAACCAATGGTCAAAAGACGTCTCAACCTTCAACATCGTGGAAATCATCCTGCGCCTTTCAAGAACACTCTCATCGGTGTCTAGATGCCTCCTCGCGGCAACGGACCCGGACTCGAGGCGGGAACTCGTCCCCAAATACTGTCGAGTTTGACCTCATCATATGCTTCGCGATGCCCAACTCTCAGTTTCCATCCAAGCGACGTCCAATGTAAGAATGAACATCAGGCACGCAAACATTCGACACATTCGTCGCCAGATTCTGACACTCGGCATCCGTATACAACTCAACTATTCCCACCACGTCAGCAAAACCACTCATTCACCACTCCATCTTTGCCTCCCCCAGAAACACACAACAAATACTCACAGCTAAAAACAGGCGTAAGCCCACTCGCCGAAAACTTCTTATACGTAGAATTATCAATCCCAACCGGAATCCGGTTACACTGTCCCACGTCATCGGGCGAAATCGCCATGGCCTGGCCCCGCAGCGTTCCCGTCTCCATCTGCAGCGGGTCCCCCGTGCAATCAGAGGCGGCGTCGTAGAACATTTTGATGGTGCCCATGATTGGTGTCGCGGTCGCGGTGGCGGCGAGGGCTGCGAGGGCGGCGGTAAGGGTTGTGAGCTGCATTTTTTTTTTTGGTGATGTTGGTACGTGGATGCTTGTTGTTAGACTTGGGTAGGAGTTGCAAAGAGGTCGGCAGGGCGTTGAAGGTGAGGGCGTTCTCAAATATTTAAGTCAATTCATGCGGTAAGGTCACTTCCACCGACATACTGGGGTTGTTATTGTTGTTGTGGAACTCTTTTCCTAAATTAATATACGATTTCTACGGGGATCGGGGAAACTTAGCGGTCTTGGTCCCCTCTAAGCCTCCATTGATCTACAGAAAAAGGTTCGCTGGAAGCTCGTATTTTTAGTGTTTATTTTCGGTCATGCAAAAGGGAGAAAGGCTCCACCGGCCGGCCCTCCCGTTCATCCAGTCAATGGGCAATCCGCTTCCCAACAAGGATGGCACTGTTTGACAGTGACGATTCTCGCAGAGAATAGGTTTTCGGTAGTGACCGAGACCGATTTTTGCGGTTCTGGAAGAAGAGATTCTCTAGACAAGAGGGTGAAATACTCGGATCTGTCCTGCCAACTGTCCCAGGATCATGAGAGAAGTTGATCGATCGATTGTCTTCTTCAGTACGAAGTAAGGCAGACCTCTATCTTGCCAGACTGCTTCACCGTAAAACACGATGTGCTTTCTTGAGAGGAAGCGTCAAGGACTGAGGTAACAGGACAATCTCCCTCCCCTCCAGCCTCAATCACACAACTCCATCGACGTCCAAATAAATTCGCCATTGAACTCACGCTTATCAATACATGTATACTGTCGTGTCGTTCCAACTGACTAATCCATCACTCCATTCGCAAAGGATTCATCCTCTGCCTGCACAACAACTGAAGGCTTCAGACATGATTGGTCAATGGCTCCAGGCACCACCAGGCACCAGCTGCGCCTTGATGGCCCAGAATGCCTTGTGACTAAGCGGGATGAGGTAAGCCGAGTGACCTCCTGCTTGAGATGGTCCAAGCGTCTTGACTCTGGATTGCCATACAAGAAGAGGTCCAACTTCGCCCAAGAGTTGGCGATGAATATCTTTCGCGGAACATTGTTTTGCTTGCTATTAGTATCAAGAGTGAAGAAGGACTGGATTATATCTGAAAAGTCTGCTGTCTTAGATAGCGACATCTTCGTCTCTCGAGTCACAAGGCAGTCTTGAAGCTGGTTCAACGCCACCAAAGCAGCTTTCGAAAACACCAATGCCGTCAACGACAGTCACACAGAATGCTCGTGCAGCCAACAACCGACACCAAGCACACAACAACGAACACCGACGCCCCGAGAGACCTACACAAATCCTCGACATCAATGTCTGGGGAAGCGGTGAAAATAGCGAATTAGGCCTCGGCCCCCGCATCACCGGCGCCCCAAAACCTCGCGCGCAAAAGCTTCTCCAGGGCTATGACATTGTCCAGATCTCCGCCGGGGGCATGCATTGCGCTGCATTAACCAACGACGGCGAGGTGCTGACGTGGGGTGTCAACGACGACGGGGCGCTGGGTCGAGTAAAGCCCCCAGATGCACCAGAGGAGGGTCCGCAAGACTTGCTGGATCCGTTCGAGAGTACACCTGGGCTGGTGCGTTTCGAATATGACCTCGACATCGTCCAGGTCGCGACGACCAATAGCGCATGCTTCGCTCTCACTTCCGAAGGCATTGTGTACGGCTGGGGTAGTTTTGCTGTAAGCCCATCATCTTCTCTTCCCTCCCTACGTATCCCCGCTAACGACTCTCAGGGAGGAGACGGCAACTTTGGCTTCCTATACAACAAGCCGCCTCAAACCACTGAGCGTCACCCTGTGCCTATTCCCGGCCTGAATGATATCGTGGAACTAGCCGGCGGCGCCAACCACGTCCTCGCTCTCACCCACGACGGCGACGTCTTTGCCTGGGGCTCCGGCGAACAAAACGAACTAGGAAGACGCCTCCTCGCCCGCCGTCGCTTTGAGAGCCTCATCCCCCAGCGCGTAGGTCTGCCCAGACACCAGATGGCCAAGATCTTTGCGGGGTCACATCATAGCTTCGCCATTGACGTCCGCGGAAAAGTCTGGGCCTTTGGGCTGAATAACTTTGGCCAGTGCGGTGTCCCGACACGGGAGGACACTGGCTTTACGACCATCATATCGCCGACAATCGTCAAGAGCCTCGAGGGGTACTCGATCCACCACATCGCCTGCGGTCTTCACCATTCCATTGCTTGTACCGACGAAGGGAAAGTCTTGGTTTGGGGCCGGTGCGATGACGGTCAAATGGGCATCGATCTGAACGCCGTACCCCACGAGAACATCATCTTCGTCGCGAGAGGGAGGCCAAGAGTACTGAACGTACCGACCGTCGTTCCTGGTATGTTTCTCTCAGCTTTGAGCCTAAGCCCCAAAACTTACCAGCCCCTCTTAGCACCAATTGCCGACTGCGTGGCGGCTGGAATCGACAACTGCTTCACAGTTTCCCGACATGGCGACGTGTTTGCCTGGGGCTTCTCAGCCAGTTATAACACCGGACTTGCGACCACGGACACTGTAAAGGAACCGACCGAGATGCGTCGCAGTGGTGCTCTTACGTTCGTCGATGCGGGCGGCCAGTTCGGTATCTCAGCAGGGCCGCGCTTGCGTTGAGCTTCAAAAAGTCCATTTCCTCTTCTTGTGCCCCTTCACACAATAAGGAAATTGAGGTTCGAAGCCCTGAGCTTCTGAACCCAGGTGCGTTCCGTCTGCGTGTCTGGGTCCACAGACTCCTCGAGGTTCCAAATCGTCTGCAAAGTATCCATGGCGGTCATGATGAAGCCCCAAGGGGTCGCAATCATGAGTCTCTTCAGCCGATCGAGAATCCATTTTCGTCTTTCCGGATCAGTGGTCCCAGCACCAGCAATGAACGTCGGCAAACACGTCGCCTTGAAATTGGGGTCTTCGTCGTGGATACATGAGAGGTGGTAGAACATCTGGCTGTCTAGCTCATCGCGGTCGACGGGTACCAGGATCGAAGCGGACGGGAGGGCGTGTAGGATGTACAAGCACGCAGCAAGCCTGTGGGCGGAACCGGCATGGATTCGGCTTTCGACCGGAATGTGTTTAAAGTAGGAAATGGTACGCGGCTCATACGCCCAGTCGTGGGTATCGAAGGACAGGGCCTGCTCGAGCAGATGCGCCGCGGCTTGGGCTATGGATGCCGCAGACTCGAGGTCATCCGTGGGCTGGTTCGACAGCTGTGATGCCGCCAAGAGGATCTGCAAAACATCAGGTGGACAGCAGAGATAGCTGTTGGCAGCAGCTCTTCCGAGAACGGCAGAGGCCTGAGAGGCTTGGTAGTACGACTTGGCAGTAGGCGTCTCCTGGTTGAAGGCGGAAGCCAAGATATAGTAGCTTAGGGTGAATAGTGTTAGCTTAGAGGATTTCCATTACCCATTATCAGACACATCAACTCACATGAAGCAATCTGACATGACATAATCCCGTAGGGCGACATCTGCGGTGGAGGCGGGGTTCAACAAGGTCATGATTCGGCCCGCGCCTTCGAGATGGGGCTTCCAACCGCCGTGTCCGCTCTCAATCAACTCCACGTTGACGAAGAAGAGTACGGAAGCTAGTACCACGTCCCCGCCGACGCCGCCAATGTCCTGTAGGGCTGAGGAGAGCAGGCGCAAGGCCTTGTGCTTGGCAACCAGGGCATCGGTTAAGGCTTGCCGGGCGTTTAGATCGGACTCTGGATCTGAAGACAGGGCGCGGGACAGATTAGACATGTGGGCTGCGGAGGCGGCGACGATGATGTGCTGCAGCAAGGGGTGTGCTTTTGTCAACGGGATCAGGGAGCGGAAGGGATTCCTGTCTGGGAGGTCCCAGGAGACGAGATCCCTACAGACGCGGGTGGTGACTGCGGAAGCGACCGAGTTAGCCGTTCTAGCGTCTTCCCGAGAGATTGGATCAGGAGGTGTGAATATTACAGTAGGAGAGGTAGTGGCGGTAGTGATGCTCCACGCCCTGAAAGAGAGGATCGACGAGGGTCCAGGGTGCCGACTGGGTTTCGGTGCCGGCGGGCCGGACGGCAGAGACGACGAGCGCGGTGGAGTCATTTTCGGCAGATTCGGCAGAGGCCGGAGGGTCCTGGGGCTGGAGGCCCGAAGCGGGAGAAGCGGGGGAAGAAGAGGTTGAGGCTGAGGGCTTGCGCTCGAGGGTGGAAGTCCGCGACATCGGGATCATGCTGGTGGTGGTATCGGCCGAGAAGGTGATGGAGGTCTTGCCGGCGAGCTTGCCGCGGCTGGCGACGCCCTCTGTCCAGCGGAAGAGCTTCCCGTAGCCAAGACATTCCTGCCCGCCGACTGTACACTTGTGGCAGTGGGGATAGGAGCGGTCACAGCGGAGGCGGCGGCGGCGACAGTTGTGACATGGCTTCGTCGGTGCGTTGAGCATCTCGATGCGGGACATTGCAGCTGGTTGCAGGTAACCGCAGGTGCGGCTCTCAAGGTGCGCGTCAGCGCGAGTGCGAGAGTGGGCGGCCGGCGATGCGGGCGTGTGCGCGGTATCCAGACTCTAGACTCTGGAGTGAGGTAATCTCGAGTCTCGGCGGGCGGTGGTGGGTAAGGTTCCCGGCGTCTCCCCAAGGGTCCAAAGGCGCAAGCTCGAGTCCAGAAACGGAAGTAAGCTGTCTTTGTGGTAACGATAACGTAAAACGGACAGGGTCAGACAAAGCTTGATTTACTCAATGGGCGTTGCGCGGTTGTCGAGGCGGCTCGTGAGAGGATTTTGATGGTGGTTTCTATGGGAAGCGGTGGTTGTGACCGGGTAGTGGTTCGGTTGACGCAGATACTGCCTCAAAGGAGAAAAGAAGCGTCAAGACATGCATGACAAGCAGATCCAAGATTGGTAATCGGAGGGGTCCTGTTGTAGACGCGGGGATGGATGGTAGGCCGCAGAATGACAGATGAGCGTCAGAGAGGGCTTGTTTGCGCCAGTTTGGAGGGGGAGGCAAGATCAGATTGGGCGAAGATTAGGAGGGTTGGCAGATAAGGTGGGTGACGTTGAGTGACAGTTTCATGCGGAGGATGGAGATTCCGAGACTCCAGTAATCCGGCCCTGTAGATAGTAGAAAATGCGATTGGAAATGTTATGGCGGTGACGCTGTCGCTGGTGCTGGAAGTTGAGGTGACGGGAATCGTGAAGCTTCGATTCGGTGGCCGAAGTCACCGGCACACAGATGCCGTCCGATAAGAACCGATAAGATGGGACACTAGGCTGAATCAGGAAGCCAAGCCACAAGTCGTGCATCTTCCGTCTCCACATTTTCTTCTCGAAGACGAGGGGCACGGACGGGAAATTCGACGCTTGGTTTGTCGAATGGTTTTAGCTTTTGCTGAGTCACCAGTTCTTGACAGATACGCTAGACCCAATATGGTCTGCTGCGTCTGAAGAACCCCACAAATTGTCGTTCCATGTCGCAACAAAGAACCAACCAGAAGAAAGGATGTGTCAAACGCACCTCACTTTGGAGAGAACTTCGCATCTTCGCCATGTCCAGCACTCCAGCCCCTTCACACCTTGAATTATTGTGTCATCATCCCAAGGGCGTCATGTCGGTCGTCACCAAGCAGCAGAATTGCAGGTCGCATACCAAACAGAGGCAAACTAAGCGATCGAGGACCCTGAGCCAAGCCCCGGCAGGCAAATACCCTCTCGATCCATATTCCGTCTCAACTGCGTAAGTTTCGTCTCTCGAGCTGACTCAACCAGTATTAGTTAGCCATAGCTTAGCAATTCTAGCACTTTTCGCCTAGAGCAAAGTACGCAACAAAGAACATCGTACCCAAAAACTCTCTGTTCCAAAACCCGAAACGGTGGCAATTCTTTGCCGAAAAGGGCAGCCAAGGCGCACGCCATGCTCCAACGACTTGTCTTTTGTCAGCTTTCCGAGCCATGAGCCATGTGAGGCTTCCACGCTTCTCCCCCCCCCGCGGGCTAGAACCTTGAGAGAGAGCCAAGCTGGACATCTGGGACGACGGTGCCCCCTCTAGGCCCGTGGGTTCGTTTGTTCTTCCCGGCACTGGTTGTTGGTCGTTGATCCTAGGCCAGATGCAAATCCTGACGCTCCTTTTGCTCCATGTTTCCAGTTCTCCACACCAGAGGCCACCCCCGATTAGAAATTCTCTGCGTCAAAGGACTTTTCTTTGATGGATCGATGGTCTGTTCCTGGCCGGTATTTAGATCTTGGAGGGACCCATCGCGATGCATCCCATGCGTGTCTGGTTTTCCTACTGTCAAGCGTTGTGTTTATATGACTTGGATGATCTTCACGATACACCCCCAATAGACTCTTTGTAACTGTACACTACTTTATACCCGGCAGGTACATAGCGCACAAGACCAATGACACAGCACGACGACATCGACCGGGAAGCCGGCTCCGGCGGCCAACCCACCGAGTTCGACGTCGAGTTTCTCGGCCGACAACGGCCGGCCGTCTTCAAGTCACAATGGGCCGAGCTGGGCTTTTGCTTTTCCCTTTTGGGATCCATGTTGATGGCCGTAAGTCTTCCTTCACATACTGAGATACTAAGTATCTTCAGACACTTTGAGGCGTGGGGCCTAATTCATACACCAGGAATACTTTGTCAGTGGCTTCCACATCATCCTCCCGCCGCTCGCAGAAGAGCTCGATATCCCCGCCGCCTCCCAAACATGGCCCTCGAGCGTCTTCTCCCTCGTCACCGGCGCATTCCTCCTCCCGCTCGGCAGGCTGGGCGACATGTACGGCGGCTACCTGACCTTTAACGCCGGCCTCGCCTGGTTCTTCATCTGGTGCCTCGTCGCCGGCTTCAGCAACAATTACATGGTGCTCATCGTCTGCCGAGCCCTCCAAGGCCTTGGCTCCGCCGCCTACCTCCCGGCCGGCATCATGCTCCTCGGCAAGATCTACCGTCCAGGGCCCCGCAAAAACCTCGTCTTCGCCCTGTACGGCGCCTTTGCGCCCATCGGCTTCTTCTTTGGTATCCTCATCGGCGGCGTGTCGGGCCAGTTCCTCAACTGGCGGTGGTACTTTTGGCTCGGTAGCATCGTCCTGGGTGTCATCGCCGCCGTGTCTTTCATCACGATCCCGCGCGATTACCATGACAAGCGCCAGGAGATCCGCATGGACTGGTGGGGCGCCGCGACCATCGTCCCCGGCCTGTTGCTCGTGGTCTACGCCATTACCGACAGCTCCCACGCGCCGCAAGGCTGGACGAGCCCCCAGATCCTCGTGACTCTCATCCTAGGCGTCGCCTTCCTCGTGGTGGCGTGGTATGTCGAGAGCCGCGTATCCGCGAACCCGCTGCTGCCAGGCGACCTCTTCGCCCCCAAATCCATGAAGACGCTCGTGGCCGCCCTCTTCTTCGCCTACGGCACTTTCGGCCTCTTCCTCTTCTACTCGAGCTTCTACATCGAGACAGTGCTGCACATGTCGCCGCTCCTGACGGCCGTGTGGTACGTGCCCCTCATCGTCGGCGGCGTCATGATCGGCACCGTCGGCGGCTTCACGCTGCACCTGCTCCCCGGAAGGGTTCTCCTCGCCATCTCGGGCACAGGCAACCTCCTGAGCGTGCTGCTCTTCGCCATCATGCCGGATAACCCAAACTACTGGGCCTACGTCTTCCCCGCCATGATCTGCGGCACCATCGGCATCGACATCACCTACACCGTCAGCAACGTCTTTATCACGACGAACCTGCCCAGCCACCGCCAGGGTCTCGCCGGCGCGCTCATCAACAGCCTCCTGTTCCTCGGCATCAGCTTCTTCCTCGGCATCGGCGACGTCGTGGTCGGCGAGACCAACGGCCTGGGACTCAAGAAGAGCTACCAGGCGGCCTTTTGGCTTGCCACCGGCGTCGCCGCCGTCGCGCTGGTGCTCTACGCTCTCGTTCGCATCGGTTCCGCAAAGAGCGACCTCACGATGGAAGAGCGTGAGCAGCTCGCGGCGGCGGAACAGGCTCGCGCGCGGTCGTTGGACAACGTGTCGACGATGCACGAGGATGCAAGTGACCAAGACGCTTCGGCGACGGCGACCGACACCGATGCGGAAAAATGCAAGCCGTCTGCGCCGGAGGAACAGGTCCCGGGGAGGTGAATGGACCGGCCGACCACCAGGTTTACCGTTTACGACTGTCACGTTTGATGAATATACCTTCCGACCTTGGTTGTTGACCGCCTCGAGAAATACGTAAGGGCGCACGCATAACGTCGTATGGACTAGACAAATTAATTGATTCGAAAGATGTGGAGAGCGCGAAAACCAATATGTTTGCCATGCGGCAACGAGATTGGGTAATACGCCGCGCTCCCCCTCTCAACTTCTCAAAATGGGAGGGGTGAGGATCATCCATCACGGGGACACAACCTGTCGGGCGCAGAAATTCCACCATGGATCTTTAGCAGAAATTGAACGAAAACGAACCAGGCGAGACATATTGACGTTTACGCACTCGAGAGTCATGGAAGGTAGAGAGACTTTCTGCCTCGCACCCCGAGAAACCGCGGTTCTGAGGATATCGGCAGCCCCCCCCCCCCCCCCCCCCCAAAAAAAAAAGAGAGGCGAACTCCACACTACAATCCTGGATTCCGCGGAACCTCCTCAAGGCTCGAGGGCTCATGGGCGGAGGTTGTATTGAATTGCGCCCAGCCAGATATCCTCAACCAAGGAATCTCACTCAGGCTCGTACCGCCCGCCAAGCCTTCTGTGCCCAGAAGAACCTTTCGCCCACGCGGCGCGCGGGAGCGGGAAAGAAGCACGTCTTTCTTGGCTTCGCCACTGTTCCTTGAAGGCCGAGATTTGAACAACGCAGGGGGAAAATAGCAGAGCCAAGAAGATCAACGCTCTGCAGCACTGAAGGCTCTCCCATCAAAAAAAAAGTCTTGGGAGCCAAGGGTTGGAAACTGCCAACTCTCCGAGATACCCGTCTTGGCAACGCTTCTTGGCATTGATCGATTTACAGTGAAAAGGCTGAGTGGTGGAACGACGACATGACATCTCCGGAGTACACGATGTGCAGAAGACTGCCATTGCGGTGTGGGAATTGTATTTGTTGGAGACCTTGGAAATCCCACCCAAAGAAAGGCAAATGCGCTGATCGGTGTGGGTTTTGGCTGACAAGTTACAAGAGGGAGGGGGGGGCGGGAGCACGAGGTTAATTAGGCTCGTTTTGGGTTTCCCGTCAATGGTAGCACAGCAATAATCAAACTTGGGTTGTCTACCTCATAATCCACTCCTTTATCACTTCACAAGTTCACCTACGTCAGAGTGACAGAGAGTACGGTACGGATACGCATACTGTAAAAGGTATATTGTCACACTGGTGCAGGGCTCAGACCAGGCGACCAGGGCGACGCATGGAAACGCAAATGATTGTTGGAGACGTGAATAAAGTGGCAGAGAGGGGCGGGGGTTCCCATCTAGTCGCCAATAAGCAACAATCTACGCAAGTTCCACTAGCAAGGTACGATATTCTAACTGGTGGCCCTGTTCTTGTCCGTAGTGGTGCACATCCATGACCTGCCCTACTTTATGGATGTTCTGGCGACCTTGTTCCTTATTCGTGGACTCTGAGTCCGGTCATGAAGTATGCAGTAGAGAGAAACCTCCCACCGGCTTGGAGCAGTGAACAACCACACAGCCGAGACAACAACTCCAGGTCACCTGTCACTGCTCAGTGTAACCAAAAAAAAACTTTCACCCCGATTCCCCAAACATCATCGGCCTGATCCATCGTCCGAAGTACGCCGTGTTCAGCGGTCAGGATCGGCCGGTGGGGTTTAACTTGGGTCCGTGTGTTGTGCGCCCATCCGAGGATGAGGGACTGCTATGAAGACCCTCCCGGCGTAAGGGGTTCGTTCATCTTTTCGAGATGGACACCCCTACCAGGGTGCCCAGGAGTAGAACTGGAGCAGCAAATCTATTTCAGGGCAGAATCCGGGTACGCGCCGACGACTTCGATTCCATTCCAAAATTGGCAGCTCCAGCGCCAACATAACATCAAGGTTTGAGGCGCTAGAATTTAAGGTAGGCGCCGGGAGAAGACGACATTGGCAGAATAAACATCGGAGAACGGAACGAACGGCTTCAAAGACGAGAGATCAGACTCCAAAGACGGCAAATGTCAAAATAAGCATCGGAGAACGGAACGAACGGCTTCAGTAGACTGCTAAATAGACGCAATAGGATGGACCACATGAGCTCTAGCATACAACCCCATACACTGATAACGGTAGTTGGTATCCGTGGATGCTCTCAAGTTCTAAACCAGCCTCGCGAAAGCCAAGAAAAAGAGGTGACATTTCCTCTGCCGCTTTCCAAAGTCCCAAGACTCCGAGAGAGCCCAGGCCGCGCAACTCTTGCCTCCCTTTGAACCTCGTCCTCGAAATCAAAAAGGCTTGGTACTCAATTAAAGTATTGTGCAATATGCGACTTGCCTACCCAATCTCCGGGCCGACGTTGAAACACAGGACGGTTGGCCATATTAACAAATCGTGGCGAAGGACAATAGGAAATAGGGGTGTGTGACGTTCCCCCCCCCCCCCCCCCCGTCCCCCGTCCAATGGTGCGGAACACGCCAAGCAAATCGAGGCCCCAGCTGTAGCCTGCGCGTCCCAAGAAGGCCAGTGCCCAGACCCGGGAAGAGGGAGCAAAAACGTGGTTGCTTGGTGTTTCTCTGGCTTTTGCTGAACTCAATTGCTATTGATTCATAGCTGTGAGTTATCAAAGCAGTTCGAGGCACCTACTAAGAGGAATAGTGAACCGAAATAATGATATTGAACTCCGGGAACCGAGTCCGGATTGCTGGTCTTCGGCTCCGGCACATATTTCATACCATCAAGCTTTCCACAGTCTGACGTCTTGTATGGAGGTTAGGCCCGGCAGTCCAGTACCTGACAGGTCTCCGCGCTTTCTTTCTCCAGCAAGACCAGTTGACCTGGCAGCACCCAAGAAGGGGGGAAAAAGGGGGGAAATGCAAAGAGAAAAATCTCCTGTAATCCCGTGAAGAGCTCCACCGTATTCTCCACGATCTGGTTATCCAGGGAGAAAAGACCTGCAGGCTCCGAGTCTCCGACTCTCAGTACGGAGTAGCCCGCTGTGAGCAGTGACCACTGTTGACAAGTCACAAATCTGCTGGCCTGCTGGCACTGCTGTGCAAGCGTGGCAGGCAGAAAAAGGAAGCGGGGAAAATAGGTATCCCAACTGGGCATTCGTAGGCCTTGCTTTGCTTGACGCTTGCGTAGTGTAAATGCGGGTTGCTGCTTGCTGCGGACAATAAGCGCCACGCTCCGGCGGCAGGGTTTGCTGACAATCTGGCAGTTGAATGACGGGAGTGACAGCCTGCATATCCCACGCATCCCTCGCCGCAGAGACTGCAGTCTGCGCAGAGAGAAAGAGGCGTTCTGACTGGTGCGACAACCTGAACCTGAAGCTCATAGATGGCCCGGGCATAGAGACGCAGGGACAAACTCCATCTGCAAGTTGGCTGTACAGATATTGCCGGCGTAAAGCCTTTCGAGGATGTCAGGGAGTTGGCTAGTTACGAAGCGCTACTAGCATGACTCTGTCAGCTGTCTTGACTCTTGAGAGCTTCCGCGTAAGGATATCCGCACTCAGTTACAACACTGAAGAGTCGAGCTCGCCACGAGTTAACGCTAGGTGACGGAGAAATACCTTATCTGAGACAGATCCTTGCCCCCACAACTCTACCTGATTTTTAAATTTAATATACGCCGGGACCATAGACCCCACTCGAGCCATTCCCGTTCGGTATCCCTGACATCTTCATCCCCCGGTCGCCTGACCCCCGAGCCGCCGACCCAACGGCAACGACAACGACCCAGAACTTCCTCTCTCCAGTCTCCATAGACCATGAGTCCATCAACTCCATCCTCCGGCCTCCGGTTGACGGGTCTGCCTCCGAACGTGGGAACGACAGGACGAAAAAGGGAACCAACGTAAACGACCACACGCCCCTCCCCTGGCCCTTCGACAACCGACCACACGACTTCCTCATTCCAGCTAGCGCCCTCGTCTTACGGTCTTCTTCTGTCCATTCCCGGAACCACCAACTCGATTAAACAACTGGACCCTGCGGTAAGTGGGAGTTGGATCAAGTTGTTCAACTCCCTTGGTGAATATTCTGGGAAAACCCTAGGAGAAGAAAGGGTAACTACGTCCGCAAACCTGCAGAATATGGGGGGGGGGGGGGGGGGGTCATCCTGAAATTCTGCTCACCTGCTCCGTACTCACTTTTTTTCTGGACTCGTTTTTTCTGCCTCTATCCCCCCTTTCGGACCCAAACTTGCTCAACCCGCACTATTGAGCGACTGCCGTGATTGAAGGGACTCATTTACGGAAGCCTCGAATGCGTTTTCTTCTTCTGCTTTTGTCCGAAAATATCGACTTGATGCCCTGGACCCGGGTAACCGACGTCGTCCCAGGGGAACCAGTATTGAGGCTCTTCCGATGGTTGACAACTCCACCCACGGTACTGGGCCTGATCCGATGCCCAGTGCCCCCCCCCCCCCCCGTTCTCTTCACCCCTTTTGCCGCAATCTGATCCGTGAGTAGGAAGAGCCGAAGAGGGTATCCCTACGGATAGGTACCATGGTCAGTAGGGAAGAAAAGGAATCATCATCGAAATCCTTTTAGTGTATTCTCCTCAAGTCTCAATGATACTTACGATCCATCCCATATTCTCGGACTCCCTCCATGTTCCATTCCTCTCCACACACCCCTGTAACACGTAGTCCGCCTTCGTCTCTTTTTTTTCATCCCATCAATCATCCCCTGGCTTCATTCCGAAGCCCACATCCCTCTATATACCCTGGCTCGTTTCCAAACGTCAACTCGCTCTTACCGGCTTAGTCCGTCCGTGTCTTGGCGGAATATCGACTAAACACCTCCTGGCCTGCGTTTCCCCTAAACAAACGAACCACCGTCTCTCAGCTCGTACCACACCACCACCACCACCACCACATGGTCCACATGGTCCCAATGGTCAACCTTTTCCGTCCCGTCTATTCGTGTGATTTCAAGTTCAAGATCGCGGGCCCCGGGTACCGCTTCACTGGCACCGTGACATTGAGTCGCCCGTACTTCATGCTCGAGGGCAACCGGCATGTCCCTTTCTGGGTCTTCTGCTTTGTCCCAGTGCTTCCTTTTCAGGTTCATGTTCAGTATACTACAAGCTCTTGTCAGGTTTTGTCCTTCCCGCCCTGTGTATCCGTAGTGTATTTCCTACCGCCAACCTTCTCCATCATCCCTGCGCGTGACGCGATGAGCAGCATGATCAATGAATGTACTCTATCCCGTAGCATCTGTATACCCAAAGCCCACACCCCTCACACCCTCCCCCCTTTCTCTTGACTGTTTCTTCACCCAAAGGTGCACCTATCACGACCTCTCTCCGCCAAGGACCTCCCAACATTTGGCCCAGCCTGTCCAGGCCCAGGCAAGGCACCACGTAAGTGCCAAGCCCCAAAGCGTCGAGAGCCTCCTCCTTCCTTCTACCTTACTGCTCGGCCTGGGTCCCGCTCGTAGCCTCCAATACCACCATGATCCTCGCCAAGACCAGGGATGTGCCAAGATGCGCACGCGTACGCAAGCAATCACCCATCCCCCCCCCCCCCGACCCCCTCCGGGAGTCTCCCAGAACTAAACCAGAGAAGGGAAGAGATGAACAGTACCTACTGCAGGACAAGGGCTTGCTCGAGTTTCTCCAGAAAAGAGAACCCAAAGGAAAGGGTCTTGGCCCTTGGCAACAGAAGCTTAGCCAAGAGATGTCTTGGCTCTGAATACTTAAGAACCATCCTCCTCCGACCTCATACTCACATACCTTTTTGATCTTCATCCCGCTTCACTTCCAACTTATTCGGTCCTTCAGCTCTTCACGCTCTTTGCATTCGTTCTCTCAGTAAAACCTCACTGCCAATACCTTCGTTCGACGTAGATCGTCAACTCCATTCTCTTTTACCACTACCAAAACCAAACCACAACTAGCTCCCAGCTTATTCACACAAAGAAGTCAAGATGAAGTTCTCTCTCGCCTCCTCCATCGCCGTCCTGGCCGCCCTGGCCAACGCCACCCCGACCCCCACCGTCGTCGACGGTTCCGCCGTCGACCCCCGTGCCGTCGAGAAGCGCGCCACCATCACTGACGCCTGCGACGTCGGCTACGGCGCCGGCACCACCGGTGGCTCCGGCGGTACCACCACCACCGTCTCCACCCTGGCCCAGTTCACCGCCGCCGCCACCTCCTCCGACAAGAACGTCATCGTCGTTAAGGGCGCCATCACCGGCGCCACCAAGGTCAAGGTCGGCTCCAACAAGTCCATCATCGGCGCCAAGGGCTCCTCCCTCACCGGTGTCGGTTTGTACATCAACAAGGCCGAGAACGTCATCATCCGCAACATGAAGATCAGCAAGGTCCTCGCGGACAACGGCGACGCCATCGGCATCCAGGCCTCCTCCAAGGTCTGGGTCGACCACTGCGAGCTTTCCTCCGACCGTGACAACGGCAAGGACTACTACGATGGTCTCCTCGACATCACCCACGCCTCCATGGCCGTGACCGTCTCCAACACCTACCTCCACGACCACTACAAGGGCTCCCTCGTCGGCCACTCCGACTCCAACTCCGCCGAGGACACTGGCAAGCTCTACGTCACCTACGCCAACAACTACTGGAAGAACATTGGCTCCCGTGTCCCCTCCGTCCGCTTCGGAAACGTCCACATCTTCAACAACTACGAGGAGAGCATCGACACCTCCGGTGTCAACACCCGCATGGGCGCCCAGGTCCTCGTCGAGTCCTCCGTCTTCTCCTCCGTCAAGAGGGCCATCACCTTCCTCGACTCCAAGACCACCGGTTACGCTACCGTCTCCGACGTTGCCCTCGGTGGCTCCACCAACGACGCCCCTGCTGGCACCTTCTCCAAGCCCGACTACTCCTACACCAAGCTCGGCTCTGCCAAGGTCAAGGCCTCCGTCGTCGCCTCCGCCGGCCAGACCCTTTCTCTCTAAGTTATTAGTTGTCGGTAATGGTGGTGTGAGAATTGCTGCAATCAGCGCTGCCGGCCGTGGGATGTTTGCGTCCCCGGTTGGAAAGTACTAGGAAGAAGTACGGAATTCATGTAAATACTTTCTCTCTCAAGGCATCAGGCAAGGCTCTTGGCCACCTGGTTCTGTAGATATAAGTTGCCGGTTTCAACAAACTCTCAATGTCCATTCTATGCAACGTGAAAGCGACTGCCATGAAATGTAGTAGCAAAAGTCAACGTTCAGCGAGGAATGACAAGGGGCAAGGTAATGAACATGACACTACAGCCTTACAAGAAAATGAGACGGGATTTGGCAGCGTGATACAACTCAACGATTCGAGGGAATTACAACGCTCCTGTAATCTATGTGCAGCGGAGCAGGAGAATGGTTCTGATAGGTTCTAGGTAACTCTGTTACTACGTAGACAATACTCGTGTGTTACTCAGTGGAAAGAATTGCCCCAAACATCCCATCACATGGGCTTGCAGCCAGGCGGAAGCTTCGGTTCCTAATTGCCCTTTCTGGTCACGCCGACCTCGTTCCAGGCATCTCTGACGATCTTGCCTGCCTCATCTCCATAAAGCTCCTCCGCGATCTCGGTTGTGACATCGGCAAACTGGATAAACGTGCACTTGGGAGGGACGCGACCCGAGTTCATGGTCTTCCACCAGATGGGACCAGCCTTCTCGTACGAGAAACCGCCAAAGGCCTTCGCCGCAAGATAGAAGGCCTTGTTCGGAATGCCCGAGTAGATGTGGACACCACCGTTGTCCTCGAAAGTCGGGACGTAGTCCTTGAAATGGGCTGGCTGAGGATCCTTTCCGAATCGCGGGTCGTCGTAGGCAGTGCCGGGCTCTTTCATGCTCCGGAGAGCAACGCCCTTGACACCGGGCATGATGCAGCCTTCGCCAATGAGCCAGTCGGCATTCTCTATAATGGTTGTCAGTAATGTCAACACCGTGATGGGCGTCTGAAACTGACCGGCATCCTCCTTTTCGACGATCTGCTTCACGATGATGCCGAATACGTCAGAAACATGCTCGTTGAGTGCTCCGCTCATTCCCTGGTAATCAAGAGGACTGGTGTGCTCCGTCACCGCGTGGGTGAGTTCGTGCCCGATGACGTCGATGGTTCCGGTGAAGTTACTCAGGAACTCTCCGCCGTCTCCGAACACCATCTGCATACGCTCGGGGTCCCAGACTGTCGTTTGCTGTTAGTGTGCTCCTAACAGTGTGGCCGTTGATAATGAACAGGGGAATCGGGGGGGGGGGGGGGGGGGATAGCCTAAAGTAAGTGGAACAAAATAGCACTTACATGCGTTCTCGTACTTCTGACCGAAGTGGACGGAACTGATGACATGCATGTTCTTGTTGTCGATGGAAGTCCAGTTAAACTTCTCCTTGTACATCTTCAGTACCTCGCCAACGTTGTCAAACGCATCATTGACTGCCTTGTCGTCGACGGCTTTCTGGCCCTCTACACGAACCACGTCGCCAGGCAACTTGGTCTCGTCCTCGATGTTCTTGGCGTTATAGATGGCTCGATAGAACTTGTCGTCCTTGGGGGCTTTCTTGCCGGCAGTGGCAGCGAGGGTGATCTGGTCCTGGAGACCCTCAGATTCGCCTTGCTGGACCTGCTGAACCTTTTGTTGAACACCTCTTATGTGGTCAAGATCCCTCTTGGCGCAGGCTCTGGTGTCATCGTCGACATCTGTTGAGTCGGCGATGTGCTGGAGCAAGATATCGGGAACGATGGAAGGGCGGGAACGGGAGGAGAGCTGGTGGCGCTGGGCACGAGGGCCACCGAGGATGGCGAGGCGCTCGGCACGGCGGGTGGTGAACAGCTCGCGGAGGTTCAAAGCCTGTCTCGCGGCATGACGCTCATGCTCACTATTGCACTCGGCGTTGGCGATGGCCTTGAGTAGGTGGGGAGGAACAACATAGCACACGTGGCCGGCCATGATGAATGACTAGGTAGTATTAAAGTTGTGTGTGGGAAGACGGGGATAGGCAGTGAATGTTTTGGTAGGAAGACTCTGGTAGAGAGGCTGTGAAATTGAAGATGAGAGGATGTAAAGAGAAGTGTGGGATGTTGGAGGTTGAGAGAGGATAGAGAAGAAAAACAGAAGTCAGACAGTATGGGGAACGTCGGGGAGGATGGCTTCTTATGGGTAGTAGTTCGGTGAGGAGTTAAGGGGGAAGGTGAGGAAAGTTGGCCTGGTGTCTGCCTGCTTTCTGTTGCCTGCCGTGTGTCACTTGGAGACTTGCTGAAGACGTGGTCTGAGAAGCGAGGCAAGTGCTGGTTTCCAGGTTTGGGGATTGTATCCAGTTGATGAGCGCCAGTTGGTGTTGTTGCTCAGCCTTGGAGAGGCAGCCATGCAATGCAACCTTCCTGGGACCTGCTGTCTTATCGCTGGCAGCTTTGGCTGGCCCTATCAGGGCAGAGAAAGCCAAGACATGGCGATGCAGCTGTCGTCCAAACACCAATGTGATTGCATGACGGGGGCTAGAGCTGTCCCAATTGGGCCGGCATTCGTACGTTGGTACCCCTCTTCTCATCGGACAACCTAACCCACTTCTCCATCACGAATCCATCATGGGCTTTCCTGCGTAAGCCATGGAGCACCTACAGGTAAGCTAGAGGTGGTGTATGTCTTGGAAGGGACCTATGAACAGTGTAGGTATCCAAGTGGTCACTGGAAACTTGATAGTCACACTTTCAGGTCTTAGAAGTATGAAAGGTAGACACGTCAAGAGGCAGTAAAAAGCCAGAGTTGAAAGTGACAAACGATGCGAAAGCGACCAGATGACGACCACCTAAAGTGCCGATAAGATAAGAGCTCCAGATACCTAGGCGCGGGACTGGGGCGCAGCGGGTGCCACCCACATGCCGTGACCAGGTGTTCATGTCCAGGGGACGTGTAACTTGGTAAACGAGGCAGAAATGTGGCACAAGTGACAAGAGTCGACGGGAGGTGAGACGGCAGATCAAGAAAAGCTTTCTTGGAGGCTGGAAGCTCCTCGGAGCGTTTGCCTGTGGCGTCTGGAGTCCATCCGTTTGTTGACTTACATGCCGTTGCACGAATGCGCCCTGTCTCACTTGGGTCCACTATCTTGGTGCATGTATCACTCGACGTCATTCTCCCCGTCTCACAAAACCTTGGAAATGGAGGGTAAAACTTCGTCACTTGACGTTGGGGGCGAGACTCAGAGCCAGACAAATCGTTCAACTGACGATTATTTCCAGTTAAGAAACAAATTACCGAACCAGTCACGTCACGCCAGTCAGAGCGTAGTTCAGCTGCGCAAGGGAAAGCTGAAAAGGTGCAGAACTTCAGGCGGGTGTTAGTGCAGATAAGGTACCTTAAGGTACCTTACCTTACTGAGGACCCACTCATACTGCGGGGACTGCCGGCGTCAACCCGGGCCGCAAATCGCAAGTGCCGGCTGAGTGCCGGCCAGTCCCGCTTCCCCACTAGAGCCTTTGGCGCCGACTTTACTTTGCATTTGAGCAATAAGTGCATGAAGGAAATGCTGTGCTATCTTGCTTACTCGCACTCTCATCCTGATGTGCCCTTGATGTAAGTAAGCAAGGCTCGGGCGAACGAATGCCACCACCATGCTGTGCTGAAGTGTAAGCGGGCATCGTGTTACCCCGTGAGAGGCAGACGACTTTTGTCTTCCACCTTTCTGATTAGAATGAGCCGCATTGCAAGACTCCTGTTCGGTGTGGGTGGGAGTAACAACCCTCATGTACAATGAATCTGATCTTCAAGGCAGGTAGGTGCCTTGTAGCTAGGTGAGGAAGGCAGCTTGGGAGGGGGACAGATTAGGCAAGAAGCGCACCTGCCTCATTATCGCCATTCTTGGGGACGTAGGTACCAAGAGTAAGTAGCGACAGAGCTTCAAATGCTCAAGGAAGGAGAGATGCTGAATGCCGCTCGAGGCTTACATAGGTAGTTTATCTCGAGATCAAGGGGTTGCCCTTCAATTCTTCCCTTTCTTTCCATCTCCTGACGTCCATGCAATTCTTCAACCTCGATTTCAAATTTACCCTCATCCCAGATCTAAGCGTGCTGCGCTGTAGTAGCAAGCGGTCAAGCGTTCAGGATGCCTCCTCTTCTCACCCCCAATCCAACACCCTCCAAGGGCCCTAATTCTCAAACTCAGTCCTCGACGCCAGCTTCTCGACCCTCGAAAAGCACACAAGCCTCAAGGAACTCCAAGAAAACAGCAGACCTTTCCCCAGAGCACCATGCAATCATGCTCCGTCACGCACTCTCATCCCCAACAATCCGAGCCCTGACCTCCCTTCCCCGCGGCCCACCTCCCGAAGAGATCCTGCGCTGTGCTGCCTCCGCAACAGAATTCCTCTCCTTCACCTTCAACCCCCTGGAAAAGGTCGCCTTCTCCCATATCAATAACGACCCCTCCACCCGCTGGCCCCTGAAAGAAAACCTCGCCAAGCCCTGGCACAAAGTCTACCTCGTCGCTCAGTGCGAGGCCTCTGGCGGCGACTACGGCGACCGGCTCTCCCTCCAGGCCCGTCAGAAGCTCTTGTCTGACAAAGCTCGGATCGTCAAGATCCTGGGCCAGATCCTCCGCGCCTGCGCCGACATCATGGGTTGTCGCAAAGACGCCATTGGCCTCAGGCGTTCCCTCGAGACCTGGCGTGCCGTCGTCTCCAAAAGCTAGGAGGGGATGACGACGGAGCTGCTGCAGGTACCCGAAATTGGGCCCAAAAAGGTGGCTTCTCTCGTTGAGCACGGCGTCAGAACCGTACGCCGACTTGCTGAAATGGACTTCTTTCACATCGAGAGGGTGCTGTCCCGGAACCCGCCCTTTGGTCAGAAGATTGTGCGCAGTTTGGCGCACTTCCCGCGCCTCGTACTCGCTGTAGATATACCTAAACGCGACGAGGGGCCGGAGAACAGTATCATCGTCCGCGCCATCCTGGGTTGTTCGAATCGCGAGGCTCCTATCTGGAAGGAGAGAGCGCCTTGGGTCACTTTGGCCGCTGAGACCTCGGATGGTAGACTGGTCTTTTTCTGGAAGGGAAAAGTCAAGAGCCTGATGCCGAGCAAAGACCTTGTGTTCACTATCGAAGCAGCAGCAAAAGGCGAGAAAGTGTTCGTGTGGGCTAGTTGCGAGGAAATTGCCGGAACTTATGTAACGGGCGAGGTGACCGTCTAGACTTGTGTGGCTGGAAGTATTTGATCTGTGACTTTTTCTTGGAAGGGAGCCTGTTATGGCGTCAATGTTTGTGAAGAGCTCCGGGGACCGTAGAATGCTAGGCAATGAACACTTGAACCTCTGCAATTATCTCGCTTCGTCGTCAACTATAAAGGTTACATCATCAAGGCTTGCCACTGACAATTTCGGTTGTAACGATGCAAAGCTCTTATTCTCCGAGCGGCTAGCGCTGTACTAGTCATCCGCAGCATGCAACTGCTAGCCTCTGCAATATGAACACTCGCTCTCTCGACTCCCTAACAGGGGCCTCAGATATACAATGCACCGTTGCCTGGACCTTGCGGTCTGGCCGGGTATCGCTGTTGATGATACTGTGTGGTGTGTGGGTGGTTTCTCACATGCAAGCCGGACTCTATTCCAGGACTCGATGTCCAAATATTCCGGAGCATGCCACCCAAGAGAAAACAAAAAGGTGCACAAAAAACGAAACCCCCCTCCAATCCTTTTTATTACCCGGCCTTTTGTTGCTCGTCATGGTACTCCCCATCCGATCCCCCCAACTCGACTCCGGTCAACTAGTATACGTTAAAACATTTCGAAATGACGTCATTGAGGCGACGATGTCGTGCAAATTAGTCGTCGCGGTTCTTGCCCCTAGCTGATGGCGCTCGGTGGTGATGCAGCATAGGCGACGATGGCCTAGACGTCGAAAGTCCCATACTGCGGACCGCATCGAGCGGGTCAAGGTTAAGCTTGGTTTCGTCGGTGACGGCTGGCGTGTAGGCCGGGTCAACCATTGCCTTCTCGTAGCTGGCAATCGTAATCGGTGGCGGGCGGCCCTTGCGATCGGGAATGCTGTAGATATATGTCGCTACAAGAACCAGCGCAGTGCCGGCAATGAACTGAGAGTGTCAGAGGCCAAAGAGTTGTGGAAGACTGCGGAAATTTACTTACGGTGAAGTTGACTTCAAAGTTGAAGAACCAAACGCTGAACAGAAAGCTGATAACGATGCTGATACTCGCGGCAAAGTTCTTTGCAATATTGTCCGCATAGTTAATGCACAGCGACGCAAGCACGCCACCGACAGCCTGGAATACGATTGCGGTCCATACGACCCAGTTGTAGCCTTCAAAGAAACCGTGCTTGGCAATGTCCTCCGCGTCGATCAAGATGACACCGGCCATAGCAGGGAACAGCGAGTAAAACGAGAGCTGAATGTTGCGCGTCCACACAGAGGCATGAGTTCCCGATTCCTTGAGCATCTTCTCAAAGTAAACTCCGGCAAGACCCGAGGCGACGGCCGCGACGAGCACAGCGGTCAGTCCAATCGAATAGTTCATGAGCGGCGACGGGTCTTGGTCCTCTTGGATACCCTGGTACGAGGCCGACCGCTTCACGATTTCTCCGCCGACGCCCGCGAGACCGTCCGCGGCGCGCTTGGTAAGCTCACGGGCCACCTCGGCCGCGCCCTCGGCAGCTTGACCAAGCTCGTGCACGGAGCGAGGAAAGAAATGGTCTGTGGTGTCGTGTAGGAGGATGCTGGCCGAAGTCGACTCGGCATGGCTCGCGGACCCAGGCTGGGGGAGAGAGACAATCGATACACCCAACGTCAAGATGATCAAAGAGATCCAGCGCTTCATGCCGAGGGCGCGGCGAAGCATCGTAACGGAAAAGACGGCGGTCGTGAGAATCTGCGACAAGCATATGGTTAGCATTCATCTCCCGGAAGACAAATAATGAGTCCGTAGCTGCGCACCTTGAGCTGGTACAGCACTTGGAAGTGAACTGCATCCAAGTTTCCAACAGCGACGTATTGCAACGTATTTTGCAGCGTGTATAGTGTCGCTGGAATCGCGAGCTTCCACCCATCGCCCGAGAACACGGAGTTGAAGATCTGCTCAAAGATAACGGTAGCCGGCGTGGACGGTGCTAATGTGCGCGAAACCTCTGCAATGGAGCAGGTCAAGCAAATGGATAGCTTGATCACTTCATTGAGGAAGACTGCGGTGGATGTGAAGTATCGGTGGTCGCCCACGGGAGGCATGATGCGAGAGTAGTGCATGATCTACCAAGGCTGGGTCAGCGCCGGTCTCTAGAGATCGCGACGACAAGAAGACTTACCAGAATCAATGCCGAATTTTGAAAAGTGAGCTATAAAGCGAGCCCATTGTTAGTATTCGCCTACACAGAGAAGAGCCTTTGCGCAAGGCAAGGCTTAATGCGAACAGTCGTTAAGAGCGTACCGTAATGAGGGAAAGTTGCTTCATGCCCATGCCGAAAAGTGTCGGGCCCCCCGCCGGCGGCGCGGCAGCGTCGAGGAGAGCCATTGTGGCTGATGCGAAAGGGATTGAGGTCGTCAAAACGTGGAAAATAGCAATTGGCGGTGGTTAGACTGATAGACAGATGTTAAATTCGTGCGGTGTGTGCTGTTCTTCCCGAAGTTTTGGGGGTCCTGTTTCGTCGGGTATTTTTGAACCGCCGATAATTCGTCGCGTTTAAAGGGGGGGAACAAAGTGGGTGGTGTGGGAGCTAGGCTGAAGCTCTCCCTTTATTTTTTGACCCTATTTTTTTCCCTTCCCGTCTCGTTGTAGGTAGGTAGGATGTTGCGTCAAAACAGCGAATCGGGGGTAGAGATGGTGGTGATCTGGAGGGGTCTGGAACAATGTCAGAGCGGCGGCGGGCAGGTAATACGGTGGGTTGTATGGATCGCGTGGCAGCAGGTAGTGGCGATTGGCAATGTGAAGCTGCTGGGTGGTGGAAAGATGCGAATAGCAGGAAAGGAAGGGAAGGGGACGTTTGGAAAAAAGAAGAAGAGAAGGGTTGCATTGAAGCCGTGGAAGAGGGTTCGAAAGTGTGTCGCGTTTCTTAATGCCCCAGGATGGGACGTTTCTAGCCCCCGTCCAAGCAAGAACAAGTGCACCTCAGTCCTCAGGTGCAAGGAGCAAATCTCTAGGTGCGTCGCTGCTACTGTGTGTTTCTGTTTCCTCTGCTTGGGATGCGCTGTCCGTGACGCAGGTACGCAGGTCCCTTCCTTCCCTGACTGGGTGAGGCGGCCCCTGACGTAAGGGAAGAGCAAGGGCAGGCAGGAGCAAGGGGGTAGTTTCCTTCCGAAGCAGACAGCAAGGCAAGAAAGAGCACCTCAAGTCGCAGGTGCAAGTGCAGTGCAGGCAGGACGGGAAGGGGAGGGAGGGGAAGGGGAAGGGGGAAGGAAAGAATGACAAGGGTACGTACCCCTTGGTCTGGTCTCTAGGTCGTCTCTCGTTTTTGGTCTCTCCTTCCAGATTTCTGCAGGTGTGTGAAGGGAAGGTGCAAAATACCAAATGCCAAGGCAATTGCAAGATGCAGGAAAGAGGAAGAAGAAGAGATGCAAGTGCGCCTGAGATGAAGTCTGTTCTCAAATGGCCGTGAATGCTCTGGGCCTTTCACTCGTTCTCAATTGGTGATTTGTGAAAAGTCCGGTGTCCGATGTCTGCTGCAAAACCATGTGCTCTTGCTCAGTCAGTCAGAGCCTGTCCGTGAGTGAATCTGGCAACCTCTACACAGTAGAGTGAGTACCTACTAGATAGTAGAGAGTAGAGACCACCTCACAACAGCAAGTACCTAACCCGGAACAAGGGACGAATACTCGGATCTCCGTATCGCGACAGCGCCAAATCCAAGTATCGGTGACTTGTTTGAAACCACGTCTCGATGTCTGGTCGCCCCCCCTTCCTCGGTTAGCATGAGCAAAAAACTTGGGCAGAGCTTCAGCTTCCACGGCCTCCCATTCGTCCATCGTCTCTCGCCTCGCCTCACCTTTCACAACTCTCAAACTCTTCCCGATGACAGTTGCGGGATTGCCTGCAAATGCCGCCCTCCTAACCATGCGATACGCCGCGATACACCTCAGAGACGCCTAAGAATCAGAAACACGTACCTCAAGCTGGTCGCCGCGAAGGCATCCACCCTGTTCTGCTGGGCAAGTCGATGCGAGAGGAAACACTCGAACCACCAGACCCCAAAGCTTCCCACGTCTTTCTGCTGCTGCTATCCCAGTTTGTTTGCCCGGATCCTCGTTTTTGCGATTTCTGATGCACCTAGAGATGCAGAGCCGCCCAATATCGGTCGGAGTCCCTTGGTTTTTCACTTCGATGCGAATCCGCTCAACCGCCCAAGCGTGCCGCCGTGCCGTCCAAGCCCGCCCGTCTACCTCTCGGAGCGTCTGCCACGACGCCCTTTCCCGCTTGTGCCTACTAGTAGGTGCCACAGATGCCCAGCCTGCGGGATGGACGATTGCTGGAGTCTTTTGCCCGGCTTGCAGATCAACGACGCATCGGCCACGCTCGCAGTGGAGGGACCTGAGCTGAGGCCCAACTCGCACGCAATCCAGACGGGTCCTGCGCACACAAATCAGCACCACAAGAGGCACTGTAGGCCGACGATCAGCGATGCGATGACAGGGATCACCTCTGTTTTCGGCCCCCTTTTTCTCTTGTTCCTGTCTTTGCAACCTGGCTGCCGTCACTGATGATCCGGGGAAGCTGCTGGGAAAGCTGTCTCGGTTCCTGGTCGATGCATACACCGAGAAACAGTCAAATTGTTTCCTTCTCTTCGAATGCAATCCTCGATGTAAGCCTCTATATCTTGCACCATCTTCACTGACCACTTTCAGCCCTTCACGAGATCAAAAGCTCACCGTTCAAGCAACTAGCCCCGGCCCAGGGCGGGGAAAGCTCCCCATAGTTTCTGCGCCTCCATGCATAGTGAACTGTCCCAGCTGGATCTGGGTCCATCCAGCATGGCGTCACCTGGCACTTGGCCGGATCACCACTTTGATTTTTTTGGGCAGAGACAACCTAATAATTTAATAAGCTTGGAAGCGCCATCGAGACATTCTCCCCTAAAAGCGAGACACGCTACTCCAACCGCGTTTACAGCTTTCGCCCTCCCGCCCTCAACACAACGCCAATCACCATTTAGACAACTCCCTGTCCCGTGCGACTCCGCCGCCACGTCTGGCAATGCCTGGCCTCATGACCCGCCCGAGGTTGACCGCCAACGTCACCTTGTGTGAAGTTGAAGGGGGTGAAGCAGCCAGAAAGGTTGGGTAGGGCGCATCACGCGGGGTCCATTCCATGGTTTTCAGACGGTGCATCCTTCACGTCAAAAGAAATCGCGTCTGACAGCTGCCAATGAGTCGGGACGGTCCAACGTTGAGGCTTCCCACGGATGGTCGCCACGGAGGCTGGAATGCCTTAGTGCGATCCCAATTTCAACGCCTGCCCCGGATTCTTGCACCGCAATTGGCTTGTTCCAGACGTCCATCGTCCCTGTTCCAGGTGAGGTGATGGTCGAAGTTTGTCTACCATGACTCCTCCGATGTTCGGTCCGGCGAAGGGATGGCACACCGCTTCGACATCTTCAATGACTGATGTCGGACGGCTCATCGTCAAATGAGGCTTATCGCGTCGCTGTGCTGACGATGCTTCTCACCCAGTGCTTCTGAACGTGAATTCGCATTCGAAGAAGGTAACGAACATCCTTTTGCATCTCGCCACCTGGGAATCCGCATTCTCTCTCAAGCCACGTCGCAGTACTGTGCTTCGCCTGAAGCTGAACGACGGGAAATATTGATCCCTTCATCCGTTTATCATCACTGATACCTTACATGCTTGGTCACGTCGAGAAGATTATGCTGATGCTTTTGAGCGGTACCATGAACACATTCACAGCCAAATGGTATACTGTAATTCATCGTTTGTACCGTATCCTACAGTCATATCCTGTCAACCTCGCGAGAAGATGCCTGCATGCCGATTCTTGAATGCTTAACGCTCATGGAGTCGATAGGATCAGTCCCGTTTTGTTGTATCTATCGACTTTTTAACTTTGCCCTAGCCTTGCTACACTCGTCGCCCAACTTCTTCATATGGGCTTAGTTCAGTGACCGAGACTCCGTGGCAGCCCATCGATGAATTATAAGTGTGTCAAGCGACACAGAGGTGATGTTCCTCACGCACATTCTCGCCAGCCTCGTGCTAGACGGAGTTGGTACATCAATGGGATTCGAGTTCTTGCTTCTCGCCCGCTCCAATCCCATCGCATGAATGGTTGGCCCAAGATGGAAGTCGTTTTTATCGGCGACGATAGACAAAGCTAAGCAAGTTCCTCTGGCGTAGCCGTGACTAGTGTCGTTGACAACAACACTTACACATACTCTACCTTGTCAACTGGCTGCTTCTGGGCTAGAAGTTCTTCACGATCACACATGCAGCGACATGGGGTACCGGCGAGAATGACCCCCTGTGTCTTGGTCCTGCATGAGTTAGCCGAGGTATGGATACTCTGTAATCTCTTCAAGAGATCCAACACAGATTCGACCGCCCACCGGCGAGACTATTACGGTTTCGTTGCGTATGATAGGCAACATCACACGAAGGAACATGTCACCATCCATGGCTTCATGTTTCTGCTTACGTAGGATGGCTCGCAGCCGGATCTTCCACCAGTCTCAATCAACTGCGAGACAAAATGGACGCCCAGCCGTCGAGCAATGCCTCAATGCCTCATCTGTGGCTGCTTACTTTCAGTCGAGGCCGGATTTGATAGGACCATGCGACTTCTGCAGGCGTCCCTTGCAGTGAAGAATGGGGTTCATCATCATTGCACATGCGGGTAAGATTTGAAGTTGCAACATGCAGATTATGATTCTGCAGTCAGCGCGAGGTATCTGCATGCTACTCACGGTTTAGCTACCAATCGAACAGAAAGTCGCAATTGCCCCGTTGAATTAACTCATGCTTTCGTTTCCTGCCAACGACATCCCCAGCCTAAGCTGAAAATTGATTCCAAATCAGCGAAACGACATTTGAGCGAAGCCATGCGAAGTTCTAGACTTTTCGCGGCGGCTGCCTTCGTAGCTAGCCACGCCGTCCAGATCTTCGCGGCTGACATCAGTCCGACAGAGCCTGCCAACTTCAATGTTGTTGATGCGCTTCAGGAGCTAGGCATTGTCATTTCCGAGGTTCCAAACCTATCCGGCTTTGACAAGAGGTCAGAGATAGGCTGTTCTGCTGCGGTGAGCCGCCTACCCTTCGCAATACCGCTCACAGGATGACTGACGTTTGGTTCTCTACTGTAGTGTGGCACCTTGAAGTTTGTCTATGGCGATGATGCTGTCGAAACGAGGAATGGATCTGCGTACACTGAGTTCGTCAGCTCATACTGGTCTGGGAATCAAGCCCAGGTTAGCCCTTATTGTGTCTTCAAGCCGTCGAGGCCGGAACAAGTATCTGTCGTGGTGCTAATGTCCCGTCTCACGCAGTGCCCATTTGCTGCCAAAAGCGGTGGTCACGCTGCAATGGCGGGCGCGTCCAACGTTCAGGACGGTATCACCATCTCTTTCCAGAACATGAAGAGCATCTCGCTGTCTGCCGATAAGAAGATTGCCTCGATCCAACCAGGTAACATCTGGGGTGATGTCTACCGGGAGCTCACAAAGTCTGGTCTGAATGTCATTGGCGGTCAGATATACGACATCGATGTTGGAGGACTTACTACTGGAGGCAAGTTTTCGATCGAAAGGTTGTCAAGCGTAGAACGGCGCAGCTAATGGAATGGCAGGCGGTATTTCGTAGTTCTCCAACCTTTACGGCTGGGCCTGTGATAACGTCGAAAGCTACGATGTAAGTTCCCTGTAGATAAAATCTTAGCCCAAGCTGACATTGACAGGTCGTCACCGCCACCGGCGCCATAATCCGAGCACCAGCCACCCAGTTCCCGGACCTGTACTGGGCCCTACGCGGCGGCGGCAACAACTTTGGCCTCGTCGTGAGCTTCAACCTCCGGACCATCTCGCTCCCAGGCGGCAAGATGTGGGGTGGTTCCCGGACCTACCTCGAAGATTCGTTCCCTGCGCTCTCTGGGGCTTACGCCAACTTCATTGCCAACGCGGAAAAGGACCCCAAGGCCGGCTTGTGGCACGTATACGCCTACTACAACGGCACCAAGCTTTCGCTCCCGACACTCTATTACGCTGAGCCGGACGGCGGAGAGGCCGACATCTTTTCCGAATGGAACGCTATTCCTGCCATCTCGGATACGACGCAGAACCGAATCATCGCTGACTGGGCTGCGAAAGGAGCCGAGGATTCACCGCCGGGCCCGCGGGAGATTTATGGCGTCATTAGCAGCAAAGCCGATAAGGGAGTCGTTGATGCCGCGCAGGAGATCTACTTTGAAGAGGTCCTTGCCGTGACGGATCTGCCCGGCGTTATTCCCTCTCTGGTGTTCCAGGGCATCACCGTTCCGATGCTGAAGCACATGCAGCAGAACGGGGGCAATGCGCTTGGTCTCGGTGTCGAAGACGGCCCGTTCTATATTATTCAATTAGCCGTAATGTGGAGTAACGAAGAGGACGACGATGCGATTTACTCCTTCACGTCAACGGTTCTGAAAAGGATCAACGAAGAAGCCAAGGCGCGGGGGGGTGGCGAACGATTACATCTACATGAACTACGCTGCGCAGTTCCAGGATGTTATCAGTGGTTACGGCGCGGATAATAAGGCTAAACTCAAGAGCATTGCGAAAAAGTATGATCCCAAGGAGGTTTTCCAGAAGCTACAGCCTGGGTATTTTAAGCTGGACCGGGCCCCGGTCCCGAGTTCCAAGTACTTCAACTGGTAGAATACATGTAGACAGGAGCCGAATGTCTGATTTCCTTCTTGCTAGACACAATCCTGAGATTCATTACACAAGTATACATCTTTACTTATCGTCCCTGGCGGGCTAGTGTCTGTCGTCGAAGTGAATAATTACACGTCTTTCGCTAATCCAAGGTAAATGTGGTCTATCGCTGTTCTACTATAACCACCACTGTTCAAAACCGCTTCCAAAACATCAAAGTCGAGCAGTCTAGCATTCTCAACGAGACTCTTGGAACGTCTGAATAGTCATATCCGAAACCGACCGTTTCCGCAGTATCTTAAGCATCCACGGCGGCGCCCTGTCTATCAGACTCCCACCCCGAATCCTCCGTTCGAGAAGCCACTGCACCGTCATCGTAGCCATGGCGCAGTTCCACACAAACGACACAATCATGCCCAGAGAGAAGAGCAACGACGAAGAGATTGTGTTTGTGCCGCAAATCGTCATGATGCCAAAGTCGTCGATGCCGTCTGGGAGGGCGAAGCCGGAGATGAGCAGGATGGCCTGGCAGACGAGGAAGTCGAGGGCGTTGAAGAACTTGAGGCGGCGGTACATGTAGAAGGTTAGATCCGGGCGGGAGCTGAGCCTCTTTTGGTAGAGGTAGAGGGGCACTGATATTGCGGCTAGGCCGATAGTGATGTAACCAATGATCTTAAAAAGAGTTGGCATGTAGGGTCAGCTACTGACTTGATTGAGCCTTTGAAGAGAGATCACTTACTCCGTGCTCTGTCCTTGCGTGGTCTGAGGTTCCCATGGCGACTATTCCGGTTATCAATCCCGCGATCGATAGTGGAGCGAAGAGGAGGACCGTGAAGATTGTCTGCCATCGTTGCAACTTTCTTTTTGTAGACTCTTGAAGTGCGCGATCGATCATGATGCATAGGTTGGGCGCTGAAGCTAGAACTAAGATGACGGGATAACAGAAGAAGAACGCTGCAATCATGCACACAACTAAAAGCTGTTAAACACATGATAGGCTTCAAGGAGAAGGAGGTAACTCACGATGCACGTAGGTCAACAACACGAACTCATCCTCATCGACACCATTGACTTTGTACGTGTCATCTGAGAAGTCAATAGAAAAGGCATTCCCTTTGCTGGTAACGTTGAGTGATATACAAGTCGGTATTGTGACGTTGAGTAGGGGGTTAGCCGAGATGTTCCTCTGAAGTAGCTCGTGTAGTCCTGCTACACCCTTGATAATCCAGCAGTGGTCGGTCGTCGATAGGTCTTTGAAGTGCTCTTGAAGGAAATCGGTTATGTAAAGCTCATCCCAGGGACTGAAGGGACAGTTTCGTCGTATGGGAAGTATCGTGTCATTGATCCGCCGATGGTGCAAGTGTACGCTTCGGGCGAGACCAGGATCCTCGAGGATGCCATCTGAAGATGGCCTAGCATCTGCAAGTCCGATGCCAAAAAGAAGTAGACCTAGCAACATTTTACCCGAATGCATGATCTGACGATGGTTCGATAACAGAAGAAAAGCAAACGAGGCTTTCCTTCATGAAGTCTCCGGGGTAGTGGTAAATATGATAACCTCTTGACGGAGTCGTCGGCAGGCCCCCTCAGCGAAAGTCTTCCCGTCGTTACCAGAATGACGAAAACTTAAGGCTGCATTTCAGGGGGCTCTGCACGGGAAAATTTGCCTCGTGAGGCTTGACCAGTGATTTAAGGTTTCGTGTCATTGTCCGACAGAGTCGGAATCATCGTACAATCGGATCCGGTGGAGACTCGGGGGCCCGCGGAGGTGCTGGCATTGCAGGGCCACCCTTGCTAGCGCGTCCCATCACCGTGTAGTCTATCCGTACGGCAGTGAAAACGACTATCAAAGTATTTTGAGTAATGACTTAGAACTAACTACCGTACGCTCATGGATATTTATTCTCCGATAATGGAGACTGTGAAGACGTGTCTTTGCTGCGCCACTACTGTGCTAGAAACACAAAAGCTTCGAGAATGTGGAAGCCGTCTTCAAATTCCCGAAGATCAGAAGTCGAAGCAATCCGTGACGCCGTCAATCCCGAGCTCGCTCAAAAACGAGCCGCTTACATGAGAAGATGTGGGGAATAAGGCGCGGTTGTTCATGCTGTTATCGGTTCTTGGAGATTGACTTTCCTCCTCGCCCTCATCTCTCGCCGACCTTGACCTGTCCACACCATGCGAGAGTGTCAAGCCAAATGGAAGAGCGGTTTTCGGCGACGGCTGACCCGGAAACTTTGGTATATCCTGCATCAACTCAGGAAATTGGGCAAAAAAATCTGGTGCCATTGTCCAAGATCTCAAGTCGTGGATCTTTTCTTTGAATAAAGGCGAGAGACCATAAGTTCCCAGTTGCATGTTCCTGGTGTAGCAGTCACGGAAGTCGTATGGCCATACTATTCGTAAATGTTCTTTGAGCATGTGCCAGAACAGATTGCTACAGTACCGGTGTGGCGCAACCGCGAAACGGTACCTCAATGCTGGCCTATAAAGTTCTCCAAGTAAGCATCTAATCCTTTACTGAGACCTGAGTCAACTCACCAGGCGAAGTAATCAGCTGACGGGTCATGAGAAATTTCTTGCAACGGCCTTTCTGGGGTTAGCCAATTCTTACGTTCAGGAACTCAGATGCATTGCACTTACGATTTGAGATACCACATCGGTACGACTGCAGACTTCACCAGCGTCGGATCTGCATATGCCCTCATAAGAAGATGGATGATGAACAGAACAGCAAGGCGTTCTGCCTGACCACATGCCGAGAAGCACAGTTCATCGAGCTGGCGAACCTTCCTCCACAAAGGCGTCATCCTGCCCGAGTGGGCTATGCTATCCCAGCCGTGAAGCACAGCGTGGACAGGAACATCCTCGACAGTCTCTCCTTCCAGTCGTATTGAAGCGTCCGGGAGGGCAAAGGGCTCTTGAAGAATTTCGTTGCCCGCTTTCCAGTTGTTGCAACTGACTTGTGAGCCATCCGAGAGTCGTCGAAGTCGGTTGGTTGATGAGCAATGGCATTTAGACGAATTTCGTCGGGATTCTGTGGTGAGTTGCTGCTTCTTCCTTGGTGCGGGTGTATCGAGCATAACGACCGTCATCTGTGGCTCATTCGTGTCTTCCAATGGCACAGGTGCTGTGAAGTCTGGCTGAAACATTGAGTCGCCTAGAAGTTGGCTGATGTCAAGAGAAGATTCGTCCATGAAGCTATCCATGTCATCCCCCATCTCCTTCTCAAGAACCTCGTCGGTTGAGCCATCGACGACAGGCGCTGATGAGTATGCCAGAGAAGTTGAGGATCCTGGGCTCGGGTGCTTCGGCGAAACCTCTTTAGTTGATGGCGGCTTTGGTGGAGAGGGTATGTCGCAGACCATTCCCGTTGAACCCCATGATTCGGCCTCCTTTACTTGATCGTTGAACAGAGAAGACGTAGTTTTGAGACATCTCATAAACTTATTCCTCTGTTCAGTCACTTTTGATAACTCCGCCATGAGCGATGCCGTAGTAGCAGTATCATCTTGATGGCTCAATTTCTCCACCAAGCTCTCGAGCTGAGCTATTCGATTCTTCGTCTTTTCGCGAGCAACTCTTTGAGCTTTGCGATCATACTCTCGCTTCTTGAGTCTCTGAGACGTTGCTGCAGTCTGTGAAGTCCGCCCCGGCGATCGAGCAGCTGTGTCCTGTGTGCATGAAGGCGTCGGCGTGCTAGTCATTTCAAAGTAGCTTTGAATGTTGTAGATGACTACCATGCAGTATATGCGACAAATCGAAGTTCACTTGTTACTCAGCAGATGAAGAAGTCGCATAAAATGGTGGGTTTGAGGTGACGTGGGTGGGGTTTGTCCGACAACTTGTGACGAGAATGCGGGGGAACAAAGACATTGGAGGCAAGTGACCTCGGATCCTCGGTAACACGCGGTACGAGATGGTTTCCTTTTTTAAACTTATTAAATAACCAGCCACTCATTTCACTAGGACGATTGAGTAGTCGCGAACTCTCTCACACACTTGGTCTTTGGTGGTATTTGTACTCTGGGGGATCGTCTGCGGGGCCCCGGACTAACGGATGATCTGCATAGTTTAATAGTGTTGGTATCCCTATCACAGGGAAGTTGGTTCGAACCGTAGGGTCCTTCCTGGGTGTGACGAAGTATCAATATCTCTGTATTGATTGATTCTGCGTAAGGAGTAGAAGGGAGATTCCAACCGGAGGTTGGATGGACCGTCGAGGTGTAATTATACCCTCTCGAGGTGGCCCCTGCTCTACCCTTACTCACGGCCGAATTGCGCTTCCAATCCGACAAATAGTCTAAGTAGCTAGGCCTTGCTCTGTCCCCTTCTTCTGAGATAAAAGTAGTATGTTCCTGACTGAAGTTCCTTATTGTCCATAGCACCGACCACCGTGTTTTCGTCGACATAGCGGAACGCGTCAATGATGGGGAACTTGTCATACACCATTGCTGCGGTTACAACACCCCTGAACTTCACCTCTCGGACCTGGCATGCCACTTAGTTATGTCTTCAATAACAAGGACTAGCCCGAAATGGGTGCACTCACTCGCGCATGGCCATAGTCAGAAAACCATGTTCGTTTGCCGTCTTCCTCGTACCGCATGATTGGATCTACATCATCGACGGACCGGAAGTCTTTGCCTGCCCATTTGAAGTTGCGAAGTTGCAAGTGGGTCGGATGTCCCTTATCGAAACTGCCTCCTTCCCACTGGCCAACCAGGAGCTCTGGGGCGACAGCCTTCAGCTGATCGTAGACGCTTGCGATAGTGGCCTCCTCTACGTGGCCTTCGATCTTAGCGAGTTCCGCAAATTGTTGTTCGGGTCTGTATAATTGGTGAGAATTTGTCAATATTTACTCAAGGTTGGGATCTTAGCGCGAACGTTGAAGCCATCGTAAAGGCCGTCTTTCAAAGGGGATGCAGTATCAGAATCTTGAGAGAATGTTGTCTGTCACAGTGCTTCAAAGTCCACATGTTGCGTCTTCTGTCGCAAAAACGACGCCGTTAATTACGGGCAGCAATTAACGCCATATATACCCTACGACATCTTCATATTCCTATTTATGCAAACATTCGACTTGAACACGCTCATCGGACTTGGTGGCGTCATCTAGGAGTATGACATCTACGTGGTAGTGAGCCGAGGATGCGAGTCAAAAGCTCGTCCCCACCCTTGACTCGAGTCTGCAGGTACACTTGTGGCGACATTGCAGAGTGCTACACAAACACTTGTTAAACAGAACAGTCCACTCACGTAACCCCATCAATTAAATTTCAAGTCTCGGTTGTTTGATTCCATAAGGAGGAAGATGGCATTTGTCACACACTGGGAGAGGCCTAGATTTATGGGGTTGACTGCATGATGTTTCAACTTTCAAGGATGAGGCGAGAGACAAGTAGGGTAATGATAATATCACTACATATGATGTAGATATGGCCTGTGAAAGTGTATTAGGAGTGCGTGAGAACAAAGTACAGTTGAGCTGATGGAAGGCTAAATTGATCTCCCCAGACAACAAATTTGGGTTGAATGACTCAAGCTAGCTGCTTAAAAGAACGATTGGAAGCGCTTCTTGGGATCGTAACGACGTCGTAGTTCCACCAATTTCTCAAAATGGTCCCGGTATACCTATACATTTGTCAGCAGAGCAACCAAAGACTTAAACTTCCTGTACTTAAATAGATCATGTACTCACCCCTTTCACGTCGTGATAGGATGGCTCAAGGCCAGCAGGATTGACTTCTGCTTGAGTTTCTGCGCCCAAAACCTGACCAGGCGCATCGTTGGATATTTGACGAATGATTTTCTCTTGTTCATCTGATCCATTTCCCGGACAGCTGATGATGAATAGCAGCAAGTGGTTCAAGGTGTTGGATCGAGGCCAGGCAACCTCTGCTGTACCACCGATTGGGGGGCGCTGAAGTTGACATATTAGTACAAGTGCAGTGACTGGGCGAAGCGAGAACGTACGAGCAACAGAAACTCGAAGATGACTGTAGACATATCGTGGACAGACTGGTCTAGCTTCGCTATATTGTCATAAAACTCAATAGCTCGCGTGATCGTGCTGCGATCCAAGTCGGCGACTGCCATGGGCGCGTACAGCGTCTTCATTGTGCCTCGCATCACATTTGCATTTCCTGAGATGAAAGTCGCATTAGCGTGGAATACTCTGAGCTGTATGGTGGTGTCTTACTCTGCATGTCGATGATGCCTTTCATGTTGGTTACTCTTGTTCGGTCAATTGCCCCGGGTTTCTCAAGGACCCAACGGAAGGTAGCTCGGCCATGCTTCTCACCCAAAGCGTCATAAAGATGAAAGATGACCGAGTCCCCCACATCAGGCTCAGGGTTCTCCAGAACCGTGTGGAGAAGTTGCTTGGGCATTAAGTACATGAAGTAGTTGACTTTCGGATGAGGCATAGAGTGATTGAACTCCACCAGCTCATCAATCATCTGCGCCAGGAGAGACCGCGGCAAGAGCACGATTCCCGACCAGATATCAGTTGGGTACGGATGTGCACGGAGAAGAACCTTGGTAACGACTGGGTCCCTGTCAGCCAAGAAGAACAACAACAGTAACAGTGTGCTTACTGCCGAAGCCACCGCCACCTCCCCGGAGGGACCAGAGAAGATCTGGCTCCTGAGATGCCATGATGACCGTGCCATCGTACTTGACTACCTCTGCGTCTAGGAAGTTGATGGGATCGCTGATGCCGCCATATTCGGTGGACATCCAGGAAAGACCGCCATTCAAGATGGATCCTGTGACTCCGATGCTTGGGGTACGGGCCGCCGGCACTGGACCCTGTTAGCTTGGAGAGTATGGTACCCTACACAGAATTGCATCACCTGAATACTCGGGTTCAACTTGTTCCATGAACCCCACTACTTCTTCCCAAGTCGCACTCGCACCAACTGTAGCAATCTTTCTTGTTGAGTCATATTCCAGGCTCTTGAAGTTCAGCATGCTAATGATCACGTCTTTGGCGGAAGGTGACTTGAATCCATGACCTCGGATAGCAAAGTCCAAGCTCGAGGAGTACAAGAACCGCACAATGGAAGAGAGCTCTTCGATGGTGCTTGGAACGAGGACCATCGACGGGTTAAGCTGCTTTTGAATAGCAAACGGTTCCGAGTGAAGCTTATATGATGGATCATCCGGTGTGATGACCGACTCCTGGCTCAAGGTCTGAGTCAGGGGCTGTAGAATAGCGAGCGTCGATGGCTGAGTCTCAGGAGACATTGCGATGTTGGCATTGGATGAGGAGGATGCTTGATAATCATCAAGTTGAAAGTAGGGAGATTTTTCTCTGTTGATACCATGAACCTAGAAATCATCCATACAAGTCTGATGTCATTCCAAAACTGGATAATAGCAAAGCTTTGTCCTCTCGGGCTTCGGTTTTAAGCGGAAAGAACCCAGAGGTAAAGACATGGCAGAACAGGAACTTTAGTGAGATGACATTTGCACAATCATTTGATGAGCGTCCAATATTCTTGTTCTCTCAAGGGGTGTAAATCTTAGACGACGTAATTATTCGTTGAGATGACGGGAACCCGATGGGGGTGTCCGTAGAGAGCCACGCTGGGCCTCGGATTTTGGAACAAAGGTTGCCGCTGCGGGGAATACGGAAACGCCACCTTCTCCTCTTTTATCTCTTACGTTCAAGGTGATGATTGTGCCAAACTTGGTGTGCTTAAGTCGACTTGTGATGGCTCGGCGCAATCGCATGCTGAAGTCCGTGACGGCCCGATTCGGCTACTAAGCGGAGAGAACGTCATCAGACGAACTATGAGTAGATGCAAATGCATGTTTTTTGCAACATGATCAGCACTGAAACTAATTAGTCCCAAAAAGAATTTTGGAGCTTTTGATTGTCAATCGCTACTATGAGTCTCTGAGTGGCTCTCTCGCGACTTCGTCGTCCGTCGAAAGAGCGAACTTGCGAAGGATGTTGTTGGATTTGTAAGTTCACGAAGCTTCAACTGCTCAGTTTGTAAGCGTTCTTTGCCTGATACAGCCAAAGAAGCTATAATCATGCTGCCATTATTACTTGGAGACATGGTCTTTTCTTGCTACAGTCTCCAAGAAGTATCTGACAGATTTCTCAGCACCGAAAATCCAACCGATCAAACGTAAACTTGCCAAGATGAGCACCGCAACGCCCCAAACTACTACGAAGATGTCTCTTCTTCCTCAGGACCTGCGAGGCAAGAATGCCCTGGTAACGTAAGAATCACTGCCCCCTTGGGTATGTGGTCACTGCATCAGGGACTGGTCAGGAGTTTGTTAATGCTCGTGGCAGGGGTGCTTCTCGCGGTATTGGCCGCGCCATAGCTATCCACCTTGCCAGTCGCGGAGCAAACGTTCTCGGTACCTGCGCATCGTCTGGATCACTGAACCTACTGGAATCTCTTGAAAAGACAGTCCAACAGGGCTACCACTCGAGCGAGCTCGATGCCCCAAAGGTGGCCGGATTAGTTGCAAACCTTCTTTCGCCAGACCTGGCTGAGACGATTGCCAACAAAGTCCAGGATGAGTTCGGGTGGCAAGCTCAACATCATTGTCAACAACGCAACCCACTTTGAAGCGCGGCCCGTCCGTGAGCTTGATGCTGAATTCATCCAGAGGGTCTTGGTGGGCAATCTGCAGTCTTTGGCCCTGATGATGGACGTTCTTCTCAGACGAGACTACATCCAGCAGGAATCTCGCATTGTCAATATCTCAAGCGATTGGGCTCGTACCGCAGCAGCATCCTAGTACGTTACAGCCCAAAAAAAGGATAGCGAGCTGAGATTCTAGTGTCGATGCTAACTTTACAAGTGCCAAGTTGTACGCATCCACCAAATCAGCAATGGAATCCATGACCAGATCTTGGGCAGATATTCTGAGCCAGGACACAAAGACGTTGGGAACTACAGTGAACTCCCTCTCAGTGGGTGGCACTGCGACGGATGCGTTCACTGGAAGTGCACCGCCGGAAATGCGCGAAGCCGCATTGAAAGTTCTGAGCGAGGGAAAACCAGTTCACAACGGAGTCGGACTTCCAGAGGATGTTGCCAAAGTCGTTGGTTTGGTCGTAAGCGAAGCAGCCCGCTGGATCAATGGAAGTGTCATCGCAGCCAACGGCGGCTCAGTCAAAATTTTGTAAAGACTGAAAGTCATCAAGCTGCTCATAGACTACCTAGAGCAGTAGTATTACAAAGAAGCTATGCTTTGCAGGTAAAGATAGACTGGTGGCGGAATCGAACCGACACTCTGCTTCTAAAAGGAATTGAGACGAAGCATCTTACGAATGCTGTCTCTAGCAGAAATTTGTAATAGTCTTATGAGCCGAATGTCAGAGAGAGGGGCACCATGATGTTTCGCCACCTCCTTCCATCCATTCCAGACATCCTTCCGCAGCTTAAACTCCCATGATGCGCCATACGAGACCTCGACTGTGTCAACCGATACTTCGTAACGAAACAGGATCGCCGCATTCTTCCAAGTCTGCCACAGCTCCATGAACTTGAGATTTGAAAGGTACATTGCCGCCTTTGCCGCGTGTCCATACAGGTCTTGAATAGGATCCCCATTATGCGTTGGACAGCGGATGGAAGACGTGAGGGCCACCGCTACGAGAGACTTTTACCGGTCGGGATGTTCCATCATCGACGGCATGGAGTTGGATAACTTCATCGAAGAAGTGTGCGGCGTTCAGCACAGACCGCGAGCTGAAGGAAACTAGACGAGAGCATGCCAGTGCGGCAGCCCGAGCAACATGGCGAATAGGACCCGGCTCGTCGATCGACCCATGGAACTTGTCATGCCGAGTCTCCCATAACTTGACTCTCTTCACTGTAGGCGGAAGACTTTCAAGTAGAGCCACTTTTGTACTGCATCGCCGGGACTTCTCTATCTCGTCAATACCCAGCCAAGGTGTGTAGTCAACGGCCTCCAAATTATTCAAGCTCATCAGAAGAAACCGAATGGCGTCTCCTGTAAGACTTCGATAGCGTATGTCCCTAACACTGAACTTTTTGACGATCGGAACCCTCGAGATCACAGGGAATTCAGTTTCAGTAAGGCTCGTCAAGCTTGATGCGGAGTTTCCGTTCTGAAAGTCGAGAAGATTTCCTATAGTACGCTTTCTTGCCCCCAAGAGGGCAGCGGGTCCGAGGCTAAGGTAGCGCTCGTTGGGGCAAGGACCATTATCCCATGGCCAGAATTGGTGAGTTGTGTCGTTGGGCGACATGGCACTGAAGCGGAGATGAATGCCAGAGTGTTCTTCGTCGCCATAACTTAGTTGCCATCCCGAAAGCGTTCTCAAGAGAGACTTCATGTGGATGTCAAAAATTTCATTGTTGTAAGATCTCTCTGCGGTGTCCTCTTCCACGTAGTATTTGGCGTAAGCATATTCCTCTAATTCTAAATCGAGCCAGATTTCACTGACGTACATCTGACGACGGCCGCTGGCAACTTCTTCGAGTGTGTCGATGTCTTCAAGAGACGAGAGCTCCAGTTCCTCGAAGTTTCACTTCTCGAAGAAAATTTGCCATTCCGCAGAAACGGAGGCTAGGAGGCTTTTCTGATTCGACATGTCGTCAGACAGGAACTCAAGGACGGTCTCTAGAACCATTGATCGAATTTCTGGCGGAAGGATATTCCAAACATATCAGGGCTCACTCTGCTGGTGCTCCCTGGGGCTATCGAGGTCTTGTGATTGCCTGACTTTAGGTACAGGCTCTTGAGGCGGCCTATCTAGCACTGCATCCTGGGCGTTTCTGTTCATTTTAACGGGTCGATGGATTCGCCAAAGAATTATTCTAGAGAGACTGAAACGGACATTAGCTTTGATCATAACTATGATGCTGCTCAAGGTGTAAATTAACTTACAAGATATCTGTAGCCTGGTCCATAACTGAGCTAGATACCTTCCGCGGACTGGACCAGCAAATATCGCATGAGGATGTTGGTGTGGTGTTTCAATATTGTTGCGGCTGATGGTTTGACTAGTGTACAAGATGTCGGTGGCGCGTTTGTCGATCGCACGGCAGTTCGGAGTGACGATGGTAGTTGATGATGTAGAAGCAGTGGAGAGGGATGGAAACCCAAGGCAACAATCAAGGAGAATGCCGGGAAGAAGGCGCCTTGAAGCTGTCCGATGGAGGCAGGCGCAGTCCAGCCGCGATGATGGGATGGCCATGGGGGCGGGAAGGAAGGATGTGGAAGACGTCCAAGCCGTACCTTCTGGCTACTACCGTTTTGAACTCGACAGGCAACATCCCCTGCCGTCGTCGTTTATCAGATCCCTCATGTCTTAGGTCTGAATAAGTAATGACTACTTATTTACATTTCCTGAGCTTCTCATCTAAGCATATGTGTAGGAGAAAAAATAGATAAGCTAGGGGCGGAAAGTTGCAGCATCTCGGATGCTCGCTAGACGGGGATGCATCACAGGATCGTACAGACGAATTTGGGAAAGCCAACTCGTCGAGGTGCATCTAGGTAGGGATCTCATTATCGCGTGGTTCGCGAGAAACACAGGTGACATGAGAGGTGTATCTCACACAACTGACTTGGGGAATGGGAATGTGGAACCAAAGGACAACGATGCTTGCTTTTTAATTGATGATTAATGTGCCGTCTCGATGGCCATCCTACCAAAAGTCCGTTCCCTTGGTGAACCTCCCCTTTGTCTCCTCGATAGACTCAATCAACTGTAGCGGCAGTCGCCGCATATCTTCCCCTTGACCCTCCAAAATTGAGTCACTAGACTTGAGAAACTGAATTCGGAATGTGGCCCAAAGCTCCTACACGCCTGCTTTATCCCGTTGGTGTCCATAGTCATCATTCTGCAACAGTCGAAATCTAAGATCCATATGGCATGGGATCCGAATGTATCTGAGTGGAAGTCTGCAGGGCCCAAGTTTGACTTGAACGGCTCTTCGCCGAGAAAGGTTTGTGGTCTCCTTGGGGCTGCAAGAACAAATTCGACATCGTTCGCGTCAACTTTGGCGGACCAGTGCAGAAATGCTAGTGCCTCTGCCATGGCCACAGCGTATCCGTGAAGTTCCATTTTGGGAGTCTCCATCTGGTTGACGTGAAGCGGGAAGTTCCTCAAACTGAAGAATCTCATTCTAGGCCTGTCTTGGTTTTTATCTGTACTTCGAAGCTTCCTGCGTCCTAGGCACGGTCGGACAAGGCAATGACTATTTGTCGAGCTATCGGCAATTTCATCTGGATCCATGTCTGGGTGAAACTTTTGGGCCAACAGCTTGCGAACATCTCGAGATAGTGGAGGGATCTTCTCGCTGATGAGTGGGTTGCAGCCCGTATATCCGGTGGGAAACCTGGGGAGCATCTGATCCCAGGCAGTCGCATTGTGGTTAAGAAAGCCTTCGCAATGAGGTACGTTGAGGCGGAGTCTACTGGTGTTGTCCATGTCCAGGCTTTGGATGATGTGGCGATGCATCGTGTACTCATTTGTGATAGACCGACCTGGGCCGCCATCCTCCCGCTTTATGGCGAGAGTTGAGGTCGGCGCAGACCACACAGAGCCACAAAAGCCGTTGCCAATGGCTTCTAATGGTAGCGTCGAGTGCGCGGTGGTGAGTTTGAACGTTTTAGGTGTTTGTTCGTTCATGTTTCTGTCAAGATTGGTTGTAATGGTTGTGTGTATTGTGTTGTTTGTGTGTTGTATTCTTTAGGAGAGGGAAGAGGAACAAACGGGGGGAAGTTGTCGTCTTTATAACCCATTGGACTTAGATTCAGCTGAAGCCTCCCCGGGTGCCTACCTTCGGCTCAGAGCCGCGGACATGGACTACCCAACGGCACCGTGTGGTTTGAAGGCGAAGGATGAACTTAAGTCGCATGGCTCGGGGCTGGCTAAGTAGGCATCAAGGTGAGGGAGTTGCCTACAACCTCTTTGGCAGGTGATGGGACCGACCACAGTGTATGGCAGGATTGATGGACGAAACTTCCTCAAGCAAGGCTCAAGAGAAGAAGTCCTAGATGGGGAAAAGAGCCAAGAGGCAAGGGAAGTCAATTGCGGATATATCAGTGTGCGCTCTCTAATTTGGCTTCGAGATCGCACCAATATCGCGTGCCCATCATATGCCGCACCGTTCCTTATTGGTATCATGGGGAATATCTAGAAGTATCGTACAGTATGAATACAAACAGCTTCCGTCCCGGGGAAAGCGACTCAAACCTGAATGGGAGCAGGGCTGAGGCCAACGAAATTGCTCTGCCGCGCCTTGTCCTGCCGCACCGCCCTCCGTTCGAATCTATCCTGGCCGCCCTTCTTGCGCTTTGCCACCCTTCTCTGTTTCTTCTTATATGGTGTGTCAATCATCCACTTGTACCCCTTTTCCCGGTAGTACTCGTTGTCTTCCTCCAGCGCCTTCTTTTCCGCCTCGCGGATCTCTAGAAACGCCCTCGCCCTCGCGGACTGATCCGCCGCATCCTCACTCAACCTCCTACTTGCATCATCATACGTCGCGGCCACGCTATTGGTGTAACTCTCTTCAAAGGCCCAGGAATCAAGGTTTTTGATCCTGACGTCTGGCTTCCCAACCCAGTCGGGGAGGTCTGAAAGGGGCTGCTCGATTTTCTGGCGCAACCTGATCAGCCTCTCCACCACCCTCTTTTGAGACTTGATCTCGCTATGAAGGTGCCCATCCCACTGGTCCTCCTCCTTCGCAAATTGCTGTTCATCGCGCATCGAGGCGAGCAGATGATTCATGTTCTTGATCTTGTACTTGTTCTTCTTCTGGACATAGTCGCACACGGAGCGGTGCTGTGGCTTGCCCTGGCGTAGGAACACGACACCGTGTGCAGTCACGGCGATGTTGGGCACGTGCCGTATGCCAGAGAGGTCCTCGCGAGGCACGGGGTGACGCTCAGAGATGTAGACGGGAGGTTCGTCAAGAGGAGATATGCGCTTGACGAGGGGCGGCCATTTGGGCTTTGGACGCTCGGTTTTCGGCGGCGGCCGTGGCGGTTGGCCTGCTTCTGATCTCGCATCACGAAGGCTCTTTTCGCGAAGGTAGGTGAGGATTTCGGAGTGTTCTTTTGACGATGGGGTCTGGGCGCTTTTGAAGAGGTTCAAAAACTTGAGGTAATGCACGGTCAGTACGAGGGGGCGCTGCGAGCAGAGTCCGGAACATTCGCACCTTGTACCCCTTGGATAGCGCAGCAAGAACAAGGCGATAGCTCGCCTCGGTCTGGTTTCGCTTGAACCCTTTCTTCACGAGCCGCGGCAGTGGGTTTTCGACACCCTGGCGAAGTACATCGTTGGGGAGTGGCACGGCGCGAGCCTCTCGGACGAGAGCACGATACAAGGCAATTGCGGCGATGCGATGGCGGGAATTTTGAGCTGGTATGAACTGGGACGGCATCCTTGCGAAAAGGGAGGCGTCGTTGCCCCGAGATTCGGTCACATTGTTGGTGTTGATGAAGCATAAGCTCTGCGATCGTCACATTCTGGAGTGGAGGCGCATTGTCAGATTGGCGCCTTATCTAATCGGCTGTAATCAGTTCTTATCGGAATCTAATCCAACCCTTGGGTAACCACTCCGTACACGAAGCCCCTCCCATTTGATCTTCTTTCCAACACCATCCATCGCACGATCATGAAAGCCGCCGACGTATACAAAAAGTTGTGCAGCCGAGACCCGGCCGCATATATCTATTCGGCTGAGATCATCAATGTGCCAGTCTAGACGAGGCGGGTGGCTGGCCCCTCGCGAACCACCCGAAATGGCTGCAATGACACGATCTCGCTGGGGTTTGACAGAATTCAGATCGGACACGCGGGGGTTGCCACACAAGGACTCGCAGTCATAATGATGAACCTGCCACACGCTCTCCAGAACCCTGAAAACCCCTTGGGGCCCTTGGGGCCCTTGGGGGTCACTCCCGGGGCTGCAGACAAAGAAGGGGTCTCACAAGGATACGGGGAACGGACCGAATGGACCGAGTCTGGCCCCAGGGGATGCCTACCAACGAACCTCCTCCTCCTCCTCCTCCTCTTCAATCTCCCTGTTCTCGCTATGCGCTGCTTCAGGCTCATAAGAACGACCGGTTTTTGCACAGCGCAGTGCTTGTCTGTTGTCGGATACATGGCGTCCAATTCGACATTCTTCCCAACGTTGGCTTACTTCCCCGTGGCCCCGAAACCGTTCAATTTGGAATAAGACAGAGAATCAACCACGCACAATTTTCTCAATGAACGAGCTGTTATTTCGAGTCTCTGCGTAAGAGGAAGATGCTGAGACGATCTCACATCGACCATGAGCTGAGCAGAGACGATGAGGCTGCTGCCAATGCAAGATGGCCCAATCAATCCCGAATGCTGCATCCGCCACTGCGTGCACACCACGCGTCGGCGCTCTACACCCACGTTTTGTGGGTTTTCGCCAGTAATGCATGCTCCCATGGCACACACATGACGATCTTGAGAAACTTCACGCGCCAAGTTTAGTTCCATACAACCAAACAAAGCCACCCGAGGGTCCTTTCGTCAGTGGTTCTCCGAGAAAAGGAGACAACCTTGATGTTGAAAGTGGTGGTTGCTTTTTGCTTTTTCGTCCTCTTCCTTCTTGACGCCTCCAGGGATACAAAAACCTCCGGTCGGTATTATGGCGTGAGTTGATGGCGATCGTTGCCGCTCATGGACTGGGCATGCCCCCAGAGTGAGGCTGGCAGGCGGAATACACTACATATTCACAGATTCACAGGCGACCACGGTTGCAATGGATCTCGACCTGGTCTTTTGCCGTTGGTCCCCGGCCCAATCGAATGGCTTGTCAGCTGGGTACGGGTTTTAATCACTTGCAGTTTCACACGCTAGACCAGCGTGCCGGGTCCTCGAACTGACATAATTCTGGACGAGAACTCCAAGTTTGGCCACCATCCACATGCTACCGTACTCTCGTCACTACCCGGTCGAGGCCGCGATGTTTCCTTGCAGATGTGGTTTTGGACATCCTTCACTTGCATACATGCAGCACCTCCGCCCAGCTGCGAACCGCAGATCTCACACTCTAGTTCCCTCCTACGGGGTCCGCGAAGAAAACAAGGCTCACCAGAAGGCCTCTCGATTCCTTCTCGCCCCGGTCCCGCGATCCAATCATGCCAGCTTTTGGCCGTCTTATTCCCTGCTTCACGGGATTCTTCATTGTCCTCTCTCCGACAGGCCCTGGCGTTGTAATGGCAATCCAACACACTCAACTTGCCTCACCCACAAGGCTGGCCTGGCCACAGCTGATCATCCTGTCCCACGGTGTCACCCGTATCCTTGGATTGGGGAACGAGTCGGCGTTCTACCCTCAAGGCGGGAGACTTTACCCACACCATGACCATGGCAGGCTATGTACTGCAACGCCTCTTCACTTCTTGCTTTTTTTTTTGTCTCCTCGGTGGGTTTCGTCAATGTTCACAAGAAATGGCGCCGAACTGTCTTTCTTAAATCAAGTACGATCCGCCTCAGACACACCCAGACTGCCAATGTGTCATGGACATGTCTGGGTTGTCTGGTCAAAGGTCGAACTGTATTGGAGAGGGCTACCCTTCTAATCTTTACCGGTCGTACCTCTATCAAAGCACGATCCACTTGATGCTGTTCTATTAGCCGCAATCTAGTCAACCACGTTTTCGTAAACCCGGAGCCCCATTTGAACGGCTCTTAGTGGCTCCTTTACACATATACTTTTTGATTCTCGTTCTGCTATCTTCTTTTGGGCCCGTCTCCGTCCGGGATTTACAGGTGTTGTTGTTAAGCTCTGCTCTGCATGGCTGACGGTGCCTGACCGCAGGACCCCGAAGCCCGGCGCGATGGTGAGGCTATCTGACCCTAACAATAGTCTAAGCTTAGTTGGCGTGCCACACTCACAAACTCGTGTATGCCGAGATTAAAGGCGTTAGTCGGCATCTTTAGAGTTTACGGCCCCATCTCACCACCGGCGCACCCACTTCCTACTCGGCGGATATGAGTAATCATTTCCGTCCCAGCGGCCTCGATACGCCGTCCGATACGGCAGACGACCTCGACGAACCTCCTCCCTTCCGACAGACCCATCACGCAAGCGAGTCTCGCGAGCATGGTAGAGTTAGACACGGGTTTTCGACTTTCTCTCGACCCCTTCCCCAACGCCCTTTGACAAGTCGCCGGATACAACTTGATGGTCAGCAAGAGAAAGACTGGTCCGCTGGTTCCAGTGCCTACAACTATCCCGGCCCGTCAACAGCAGTATCCCTTGAAGAAGGCGGAACTTCAGCCGGCGCCGAATCGACTGTCCCTTACTCAGCATCCCACCCGCCTCTCTTCTCCCACCCTTCATATACACATGTGCGTCCACATCTGACGCAAACTAATCAACAACTGAATGCGGAGGAACATTGCCGTAATTTACAAGACCAGGAGAACTTTACAGTCTTTTACGAATCCCAACAACACTATCGCATACCCCATAATCACCGGCCCCAGCAAGACTTTCAACATCAACACCAAATACTTCCACACCCTTCGCCCGCGGACTCTTTACAGTCAGCCTCTCTCGCCTCTTCCTCTCCCGACACGTCGTCTTTGCTTTGCCATCCACACGACCCCCGGCTTCTCCAGGCCCAGCTCCAAGCACCCACCGAAAGTGGCTTTGTAGGATTTGCTTACGCAGACTCCGAATTGGCCCCCAACCCTGGCGAACTAGCCCCGATTCAGTTTTCGGGCCTAGAATCCGCACATCTCGCTCCAGAGCATCCAGTGGGTTTCTCTTTGTCCGGACCTGCGGGACCCGCCCATCCATTCTATCGCAACGACAGCGACGACTTCTTACAACATCGCCATACTGGGGTCCTTCAATACCCCGGCGGCTACCCGGCACCATTCATGCAGAACCCTGGGCTGTCCATTCTCAACGCCGAATTTTTCGACGATGGTATGTCGGGCTTTCGCGCACCAAGAAGTCTGCCTCCTGGGAAATCTGGCCCCGACACCAGTGATGAACCGAAACGATCCTCCAAGAAACGGTCAAAAGCCCAGTCCGCGGAGGTAGCAGAACCCGACGACGGGGAAAAGAAACGGTCACGGGGAAGACCACGGCTAGACACTAATGATGAGACTGCAACGGACGTAAGTTGGCGACTGACTGTTGACTTTAATCCCCCTTTTATAGCTTGACTTAGAAACCACTTTACCTTGATTTTTTCCCTTTCTGTCGAATATCCTGCCATTGTCAAGCCATTCTAACTAGAACAGCGTCGTCGAACTCAAATTCGGCTCGCACAGAGAGCCTACCGCAACCGCAAGGAAACGGCGATCCAATCGCTCGAGAAGAAGGTCGACGAGTTGAGACGCACCAATGAAGAAATGAGCAAAGAATTCATGAAGCTCTACGACTTCGCCGTTAGCAAAGGCATGCATGAGAGCACGCCCGAATTTGGACGACAACTCCAAGCCACGACAGAAAAGTTTGTTTCCTTGGCACGAAAGACAAGCGAGGAGCCGGAAAGGGAAGGCGATGTGTTTCCGAGTCAGGAAAATGACGAAGTCGAGGAAGTTGGCGGTCCTGCTAGTGGACAAGAAACGGGAAAGGAAAAGTCGCCATCTGCCGAGATCGCTAAGCCGATTGAACAAGTCATATACGATGTACTCTCAAGCGAACGGCCGCAGCAGCAGCACCAGCTACAGTCGACACCTCGGACGCATGCAATGACTGCGGTGCATACAACGTCTTGGGCGCCCGATAGTCAGTCGCACATGCCGCACTCGACACTATCTCAGGCCCCCATGGGCTACGAAATTGTGACGGAGCCGACGCTGGACAATGCTAGTTTTCCATTCGGTATGTCCTATGAACATAGTCTGGACCAACCAGGCACTTTCGATCTACTCGCCAACCAGCCTTTTTCTGAATCCCTATTCAATATTATCTCCTCGCCAACTTCTTATGCCCACCAGGAGCGGACGTTTGGGCGACGTCTGCAACGGTCGACGCTGGAGAAGGCTTACACGTTGCTTCGCATGCCTAACCCGCCGAGCAGCCTCATCAACAGTGCTTTCGGTTTCAGTTTACTTTTCGAGCCCAAAGAGAGGATCGTTGAGCGGATAGCTAACCGTCTCAGTGTCAACCAACGGGAAACAATGTTTAACTGGAAATTTCCATTTTTACACCTAGGGGGCGGGGGCACGTGGTTCGACGAGATGAATGATTTGGACGAGATGGCGTACCCGAGCGGCCACAAACAGAGGAACCCTGTGGGCAATCAGGGAACGGCCGAGCCGAATCGGCAAAAGGCCGACTCACTCTACGGGTTGGGACCGTGGGATGCGCCGACGGAAGAGATGCGGGACCTGAGAGTGGAGCGGACCGCCGCGAGACTTCGCATGAACGTTCCGGGCCTCCAAGGCGACTTTTACGATGCGGATGAGGTTGAATGGGTTCTGCGGAGACGCGGAGTCGATATCCCCGCCGCCGCGGATTTTGTCACAGCTGAGATCGATCCGGCAGACTTTTCGGACGAGACGGCAATGGCTGGACGCGCTTTAGGCAGCGGATTGGATGGCGGCAGCAGCAGCAGCAGCACAAACAATGCCTCTGATATCCTGAGCAGTTATGGGACAAGCCCTGGTGACGCTGCTGCGAGGCAATGGCTTGGGCAGACCTTGAAGCCGACGAGGCCGGCTGATGTTCATTTGGGCGAAACGCGATCTGTTGCGCAGTCCGGCGACGCAGCGTCTATTCAGATGCCTCTGGATCCGAGTCTTGCGGGTGATATGTTTGGGCTTGAGAGCACTTCTACCAACCAGAATACGAACCCCCCAGGTTCAAAACGGAGAGCGGTGACGATTAATGTAGGGGTGCTTGTTCAAGGTATGTACCTGTTTTCGAGCAGGGACCCTTTCACAATTTGCGATAGACGATGCTAACGAAGACATCAGAAATCGGATTGAAGTCGGTTTGCCTGGGACGATCACCTGGGATCCGGCCGAGAGATTTAAATGTTGCATTTTGGGCATCATTGACTACGTAAAAAGGCGGTCTTGATATTACTTGACATTGGGAAGGGCGTACCATGGGTGGGTATCATTAGACCGTGCCGATACCAGAGCGGCCAAGGCCCAAGGCCTCGAATGGCTCATGGTTGACATTTTTTTCTTTCGTTATTCACCTGTCATGTCCTAGAGGGTATCTCTATGGAGGGCAAAGGCATGTTTTTCATTTAGCAGCTGGCGTTTTGTACGAATGGGGTTTACACCCTTGAATGTTCACAGTGGTAGTAGCCATCACGGAGGCTGTATCTAAGGCTTCGAGCTCATGGATTTGAATCGAAGTTGATAATATTGCCCCTAACCGTTTTCTCGGCGGCTTAGAATTGTTGCTTCCCCAGACTGTCTCCTCGTACGGAAGAGAAGGAAGTATGTACACGTGAAAGACGTTTAAAAGTCTCTGAAAGAACAGAAGATATTCATGTACAGCATGTAAAGACCATCGAGCCTCACTTGGAAAAAGTTGCTTTGATCACCTGGATCCTGTTGTTGTTCGTGAAAGACATGACCAGCGTCTTGCCCGTCTTGTCCAGATACGGATGAGCCACGCCGGCGTAGACGAGACCGCCTTCGATGGCCGTTGCCTGGAAGATTTTGATGTCCGGCGTCCAGGGGCCCTCTGGGCGCGCAGCAGTGCGCAAGAAGACGGAGCCGCCGCCGATGCCTATATCAAACCAGAATTAGTCAACTATGGAGGCGAAGAACAACTTATAAAATGTGACGGGGCTGCAACATACCGAGGTGAACAAAGATATAACACTTGAAAAACTCATTCCACACAATCTGACCCTGCCCCGTACCCCACACAGTCGCCGTCTCGGAGCTAAACGTCGTGTGGACCTCCGACTTCCACCCCTGCTGACGGCCCCAGTAGTACTCGTACTTGCTCACGTCAAACGTCTCGTTGTGCTTGACGCGCGCGAGGTAGACGTAGCTGCTCTGGCCCCAGTCGGTGATGGTGGTCGGCGGGCCGCCCCAGGCGTAAACGTACTCGGAGCACGGGTCGCGGAAGGCGGCGATGTCGCCGTACCGGGGCGTGGTTTTGGCGTCCCACCAGTAGCCGCGGGCGCCGAAGCGTTTGGTTACGGTGGGGGTTCCGAAGAGGACGTCTACTTTGGCGACACCTGCGCCGACTAGGCCGTCTGCGTTTTGGTTCTGTGGGTTTGGTGTTAGTCTTGCTCGTAGTACTCACTCGAAAGTTTAATACTAAGTAGGCAGGATATTGAAGGGGCGAGAACTCACAACCAGGTAAAAGACGGCACCAGTTTTAGTAGCAGCATTAGTCTCAACCAAACTCGTCCCGCCAAACCCAGTATCAACCTTTTCTCCCCACGAGGAGTTGAAGGGAATAAACTGCTTCTGGCGCTGATTCTCCCCCAAATTGAGATCATGCACGACCAGCGGGTTCCCCGTCACCGCAGACACAGCATCGCGCACCATACCATGGAACCCGGGCGTGTCCTTTTCGGGATCTGTGACGTTGGCATCGCACCAGAGCACGTCGCCCCAGACGGCGTACCATTTCCCCGCGATGGCGCCGGTGAAGCCCAGGTCGCGGTGGGAGCAGCTGTTGTCGGCGTGTTGGAAGCCTAGGTAGTCTACTTTTGGGTTCACGATGGGGTTCGTGCCGACGGGGGTTGTGCTGTCCATTCTTGCGGTGAGGAGGGGGTTTGCGAGAGCAAGGGTGTTGGTGCCGATGGCTAGGAGGGCCGTGGCGAGGGGGAGGAGGCGGGGGGTTGGGGGATGCATTTTGAGGGAAGTGGGCGTGAGTGTCGATCTTTGGGGTGGCAGTTGACCTCGGCGCGGGAGGAGGTGGATGGATGGGGGATGGGGGATGGGCGATGGGCGATGCTTGTGATTGTTGGTTTGATGGTGCTCGGTGTGGCTCGGTGAGGGGGGTTGAGAAGGGAGTGTGAGTGCCGGAATCGATCTGGCTGGTGGGAAAGAACTGTGGGGTACAATTGGGATTTAAAGAAAGATTTTTTTATGAAAATGGTGCGAAAGAATGAAGGGATGGCGATGCTAGATCGCCTGGAGGTTGAGGTGAAGATGTGATGATAACGGACGGCAAAGAGTAGTAATAAATACAGACGGGGAAGGTAGGTCCGGTGTCGCGATGGTAGTTTGGCAGGCCACTGCCGAATCAGAGTGGACAGCCATATCGACAAGCGCTTCAACCCCTGGTTCGACGATGGGATGAACGATGGATGGATGGATGGGTGGACGGAAAATGAACCCATCATGGTGTTGCAGGCCGGAGGGAACTACGGGCGGTCGGACTGCAGATGCTCAACGCCGGAGGTGCGCCACGGCGCCGTGCGGTGGGGCCGGAACTGGCCGGTAGATTGTAGAGGAGGGCAAAAGGAAGCACGGGATGGTTTATATTGACGGTGGATCAGTGGCCGAAACATTCTGGATGACGGGCGGCCGGGTGTGGCGTTGTAATTGTGAGATTGAGGGTGCCTTTGGGGCTAATTTTGCTGCCTTGGAGGGAATCGTGGCTTTCGTGCGATGCAAGGATGGGAATGGAGCTTGAGTGATTGCTGTAGTCCTAGATATCAAGGCATAATGAGAGACTGACTGATTGACGATGCGCTGACGGGGGTGACTAATTGCAGACTGGAATTCAGCTGTTTGCCTCTCACATGAGAGCAATCATTCTCACAATGCTGCTCATGCTCACTGAGAAGGTGAGTGAGTGAGGGGGCAGATTCACGCCGCAGATTCCAGCGATCATGGTGCAGTCGCATTTCACATGGCGCTCGCTCCCCTAGCGCTCTTGAAAAGCAAATAAAGCAGTGACTGGTTCAAGATGTCCCAGGCAAAGTGAAGTGATTGAAATCTGTGGTCTCTCATGTGTAGACATGCTGAGCCCCTCTTCCTACAATGGGCAAATCAAGAGGTCGATGATGACGAGACTCCACGAGCAGATTCAAATCTTTTCAATCTCATTTCAATCAACATGAGAGCTCTAACTCAGATCCCATCAGAGTTAATGGAGAGAGCCCACGTGGACCAACTCATTGACATTCTCATGTGCAGGGAAGCTTCAGGGAAGATGAGATGAGCTCCCAGGCACATGCTCGCCCTCAAGCCCGCCATTGGCCAACCCCTCCTTAGGCCTGCCAAGTTGGGAAGCTGTCTCCTCCAGGCAATGTGCGGGGCAGCGCGGGCAACGGCTTCCGGTGGTGGGGCATCTCTCATCCCCGGCGCGTCCGTTTCTCCTCTGTCCTCTCCATCTGCGATTCAACCTTGTTAGTCTCGGCCTTCTTCCTGTCACTGCGTGGCTGCGATATGACCTTTTCAGAGTTGTTCGTTCACTCTGGTCCACGTGCCCTGACTTGACCCGGTTGGCTGGCATCACCGGATGAACCCTCCGCTTCATAACCGACTCGTCCATCGCTCGGGAGACTTGAACGGAGCTCTCGGTTGTCCTTGGCGATCTTGAATGTTACCCTTCAATGTATATAAGCATGAGCTCTCCTAGTACCCCGTTTAGAACTTTTCTTTGTGTCCTGTGCGCTGTTGCTGTTGTTCTCATCATCTCATCCCTCTTCGCTATGTCGCCCATGTCCAGCCTGGCCCTCAAGGCCGCTCTCCGTACGTTGCACCCTGATATGTGCTATGCTCACAGAGAGATTCTAACCGTGACTAGTGCTCCCTCTCGTGAGCGCCGCTTCATGCAGCAATGAGACGTACACCCACAACGGCCTCAGCTGGTCCCACGGCATCCGGATGAACCAGGCCCAGGTCGTTGGCACGCACAACTCGTACCATCGCGAGGCGCCGCTGGAAGAGCACCCGACCCAGGCCACGATGCTCCCTAACGTTCAAAACTACTACTACTCCCATCCGTCCCTCGATATCCAGCTCAACTACCAGTCCATTCGCAACCTGGAGCTCGACATCTTTGCCGACCCTGAGGGCGGCCACTACGCCACGCCCCTCATCCGCAAGCTCGCGAACCTCTCCACAACCCCGGATCCCGACCTGCTTGCTCCCGGCATCAAAGTCCTGCACGTCGCCGACGCAGACTACCACCCTACCTGCAAGACATTCATCGGGTGCTTGAACATTGTCAAGAAGTGGAGCCAGGCGCACCCGGACCACGTCCCAATCCCCTTCATGATCGAGTTCAAGACCTCCGAAGCCGCCTACGCAGCAATCGGCGGCGCGTCTCAGATCCCCTGGAACGACACGGCATTGCTTAAGGGTCTCGACGATGAGATCCGCAGCGTCTTTGCGCCCGAGGACCTTGTTACCCCAGACGACATCCGCAGAGGCAACTTGACGTTGGAGCACTCCGTCTTGCGATATGGATGGCCCGACTTGGAGAGTGCCCGTGGCCGCGTGCTCTTCCTGATGGACAACGGCCCCGTGAACCCCATCCGTGACTCGTACACCGAGGGCCGACCTAACCTTGAAGGTCGCGTTCTCTTCACCAACTCTGCGCCGGGAAACTCTGACTGCGCGTTCCAAAAGGTTGGTGTTCATCAACCCTTCTGAATCGGGGGCGTTCTCAATGTGTAAGAAGTGAATCTCACTGACAAACTTGTAATCAGCTCAATGACCCCACCGGCACCGAACAAGCCAACATTCAGGCGCAGGTTAAGGCGGGCTATTGGGTCCGCACACGCGCCGACATCCCGCTCGATACGCTGCTGTCCAACGACACAACCGGGATGCGTGAGGATGCGTTCTCGAGTGGTGCGCAGATCGTGTCGACCGACTTCCAGGCCTACGGTATGAGCAGCCGCTGGAATGTCGACTACGCCGTTCGTTTTGAGGGCGGTGCGGCGGTGCGATGCAACCCCATCAACGGGCCCGCTGACTGCGCGAGCGAGGCGTTGGAGCCAGTTGAATATGTCCGCAACTAGAAGACCAATGCTTCGATGTAAGTGAGATGAGGTCTTCTCGAGCAGTGTAATGATAATAGCATAATGAACAAATTTGATGGACTGATGTGCATTAATGCAATTGATTGACTGTGTACTTCAGGGACTCACCGATTGAAGAAGGCTACCTACCCCCGGCTCTTGAGTTCTTTTCTCACACAACGGTGCCAATTGCCGTGGGAAAAAAACTCGTGAATCTGCCGGTCCTCAACGAGATTGAATTGTCCAATAATACCGACCTTTGATGTCCATTCCTCGACCAAAGTCCCAAAGATCGTGGCGAAGCGCGCGGTAAGGGCTGACATGAGCGGCCGCCCCCAGCCTCTTTGTGGGGGATGAATTCAGTGCTAGGTGCCAACGGGCAAGCTTCATGGGCTGAGCCACAGGCATTCAACCAAAACTTCTTCACAACCCGCAACAACAACTTATCTAGCCCAGGAAATGGACAAACTTGCAAGGGACCTGCCATTCAATCGACCATTGACTCAGCCGGCAGGAGTCCTCAATCTCGTGAGGGACACGGCGAATGACGCAGGATCGGCCGCCCTTTCGTCAGACCGTTCCAACTTCCCGAGGTGACGAACCTCCAACACCGCGGCGCACTTTCTGGCGGCGTGAGTCAAACGCCTCCCCAATTGGCCTCATCTTCCCCGTCTTTCTTCTCAATGCCTCCGATGCCTTCAATCCCTTGATCTTGTTATATAAAGCGAGGAAACTACCCTCAACATGTTCCTAGCCATTTGATTCTTCATGCTCAAGTTGCACCTCGTCTCCCATTCTTGGAGTCTTCACAAACAAGACACCATAGAACGGGACAGTCTTCGGACAACAAACAGCACCGCCCAGCATGGCTACCAACGAGCATTATGATCTCTTGATCTTGACAGACGCCACGGCGTCCATGACCAGCTACCTACAAGCTCTCAAAAAATCTCTACCCGACATCATTCGGCTATCAGCTCTAACCGACTGCTTCGATCGGATTGGAGTCATGGCCTACCGCGACTACTCTGCCTCCATGTTGACAGAATGGTCAGGATGGTACTCGGCAAACTCCACGGCCGACGACACAATCACACAGGGCCAGCTACTCCAAAAGGCCAGCCATATCAAGGCGGACTCTGGTCCTTACAACCTTGATTGGCCCGAGGCTGCAAAGACCGGACTCGCTCGAGCTTACAGCATCATGCGTCCCGAGGCCACCACCATCATCATCCTCTACGCTGATGCTCCTCCCCACATTCCTGGAACGACAACCAAGCACAGAATTACCGAGATTGAGAATCTTTCTAAGCCTGATGCCTACTACGGCTGTGGGAAGTACTTCACCGATTGGATCGCCGGCGCCAAGATCCTTCGCGACGGCGAGAAAAAGGCCAAGGTCTTTTCCGTTATCCAGGGCGGCATCGGCGACACCGTAGCCCCCTTCACTTTTCTCTCACACATCACGGGGGGAGTGAGCTTCAAGCTCGATAACCGGCACCCCGAGGTCCCCACATCGGTCGCTATCTCAGAGTTGACCACCGGCATCCTGATGGCATGGATGGGTGTAGGGAAGCAAGGCGGCGCTGCATCCGGCCAGCGTACCTACGCCAAAGCTTGTCAGTATCGAACGGCCCTCAACATCGAGGATATCAAAAGCGAAGAGGACGAGGCTGTCGAGTTGTACTTTTCCATCACTAGACGCATGGACAACACTGTCGAGCATAACATCGAGTCGACATTGACTAAGCTTGATGGACTGCGGACGGTCGTCGAAACTCGGAAATCGCCTGTCTTGGACTTCTCAAAGAGATACAAAGCCGACGAGTCCTACCGCAACTTCGTGGTTGACCAACTCGAATCTTTGATCACGGCTGATGTTGCCACCATTGCCATCAACCCTGTGTTCGGTAGCCTATGGCGAGCCGTCTGCAACGATCGCGAAAACCCGGCTCGCGGCGGACTTATCCAGGCGTTCGGGTCCTCTGTCGACCGCATCCCCGAACCTGAAAAGAAGGCTCGGATGAAGGGCTGGCTCGAAGAGTCCTACGACTACGCAGCTGAAATCCTGGAAGCTATCGAGAAGGTGCCTGAGCACCAGAGATACCCCTGCGTGTTTTTCGATCCCACTGAGCAGTTCCAGAGCTCCACAGACGACAACGACGAAGACGCAAACGCGGATAAGCGTGCCATTACAGAATTTACACGAGAGGAACTCCTAGAGATTGGTCGCTCCTGCGACAACCGTATACTTCGGAGGCTCGGTAGGGTCCTTACACGGCTGACTTACGTGGCCCGCGAAGAGGACCTGCCAGCTCACATTAGAGCCGATTCCAACGTCGCTCGAATTCCTATGGCTCTCTCGTCTGCTGAGCATCAGCGAAAGTTTTGGAAGGTTCTCTTACATCTTATACTTCCCGGGACCATGCTGGCCGCTCGTCCAGCCGCCCTGCTCGCAGCCCTTGCCCTGCGCTTGGGCATATGGCCCCTCACAAGCACCGCAGACACGGAGCTCCTCACTTTCACCACGAAGTGGAACAACCTGGACGTCCCCGAGACCTGGAATGCCAGCTGCCTCTCGCTGCTTCTAGATGCTAACAATGACTTTGAGAGACGGGTCGCTGAAGGCGTAACACAGCGTCCATCTAAAGAATCCTGCATTCTCCTTCATGGTGACCAACGTCTCTTTGAGACTCTGGTTGACTACAAGCTCCTCGAGTTGAACCTGAACACAATCCTTCAGGCCAAAGTTGGATGGCACCCCGACAAGTCTAAGGTGTCTCTTGGGCCCCTTGTCATTTGCAAGAAATGCGAATTCCCCCGTTCGGTCACTATCATGGGGCCGGACAGCATCTGTGGCCTCTGCCCTAAGAGCGACAAGTGTAACTGTAAGACCTGTCAGACTGCCCCGGATCAAGAGGTCCGTCTCCGCAACAACGTGACTCACGACGATACCGAGGAGACGGAAGCAACATGGGTGGAGTGTTTCACGCCAACATGCCGTGCTCAGTACGTCGTCTATAACCCTCAGGCTTTGAACGTGAGAGCCAAATGCTTCTACTGCCGACACCATGGATCCGACGCTGCAAAGGAAAAGATCCCTCGCGAAGCTCCTTGCGTCGAATGTTCCCAGTGTCGAAATCGGGTCATCTGGCCAGAGACATACCGTCCTTCCGACCTTGATCTTTCAGGCTTCAAGTGCCCCGCTTGTACAGCCAACAGAGTTACCGTCATCGATTACGAAACTTCGGCCAAGACGTTGAGCGGCGAGAACGGCGTCTCGTGGCTCCTGCGCAACGACAACTCGGCAATCAAGGACCCCTTCAACGGCCGATCTCTGTTCTACACCATTTCTCAAGTAGAAGAATCGAACCGGGAGTCGCTAGCAAAGAACGTTGAGATTGTTCCAACAGTCCAGAAGCAAGCACAGCTCACGATCCGTGGCAAGGCTGTCCACAACCAGGATGATATTCTCGAATCCCTTCGCAAGTGGGTGAAATCTCGACGTACTGAGGCTGGAGTTTGCAGTCTGTGCTTCTCCAACATCCGGAAAACTGATCTTCGGAGGGCATGTGGTCGCTCTGGTTGCCATCAGCAGATCTGCAACGGCTGTATGAAGGATTGGTACGGACTCAATGCCCGTGGAAGGCTACTCAACCTCGCAGCTCTCTACTGCCCCTTCTGTCGCCGACAGCCAACCGTCAAGACCGTCTCTAGCTTTGGAATATCCCACATCGGCGACTTGCAGACCGCGGCCACAGACAAGGAGTGGATTTACAGATGGTGCAGAGACTGCGGCTTTGCTCGGAAGTACGCCGAGCGGGTCTGCGCTGTCGGCGCACCCGAGGTCGCGGACTGGTCATGCGATGAGTGCAAGGAGAGCGCCCAAAGGTTGAAGGTTCGCAACTGCCCCGGCTGCGGTACAGCTACGGAGAAGCTGGGCGGATGTGACCACATTACTTGCACCGTCCCGGGGTGCAATGCGCATTGGTGCTTCGCATGCGGTGAGAACGTTGGCGAAGCGGATATCTACGATCATATGAGCGATGCTCATGGAGGTATGTGGGGAGGTCATGATGACTATGACTGTGAGGGCTGTGATGCCTGTGATGCCTGTGACGAGGGTGAGGGCAACGACATTTGACATTTGTGACCGTCGGCTTGACGACTAGTTCGATTATGGGCACCAGGTCATATAGAATTTTACCGTCGCCCAGGGCGATCTGGGCAAGACTCGTCCTGCTGTCATCGGTATAGACCTCGCAGACTCTCGTTCAGCCTACGCCCGTCGGGGTTTGGGTCTCTTGTTGCTCGTTTGTTTTGATTCGGAGTATGGAGTACAAAGAATAGCAGGGGGTTTAAGATGGGCGGAGCTTGAGAAGTGTGTTTCTGTTTCTGCCTCTGTTACTAGTCTCGTAGGGTATCGGGTTCGTACTTATTAATGAATGTCTTCTTACCCAGCCTTGAAGACTTTGAGTGAGTGTAAATCCTCAGTGATTCCTCCGAACTGCACATATCAAGGTTGATGTAGGTCATTGACATCATTGTGAAATATTAATCGTCTCACTGAAATAATGGTTTTGGTAAGTCCATGGAATAATAGAGATTGTGTGACGTCGGTTCGGTGCATCATTCGCACGAGTTGAGGTTGTTTGGGAGATACCCCGCAGTCCGATGGATTTCATCCGCAACGTTGAGCCGACCCATGTGTCTTGAGGCTGGTCCATAATCCACAGGTAGAAGCCATTCGACCTTTATCAATACGTATAGCTGCGGGCTTTCACTTGACGCTGTCGAATCAAACTTATCCACTCTCTGAAAGACTCACAGGTCGCCATCAATACGAGAACATGCCTCCTCTTCCCGGGTTCTCGGACAACCCCTTCCGCACCCGGGCCGACCTCGTCCGCGCGGCGATAGCCCTGATACGGCCCCTGGAGCAGTACAAGTCTCCCTGCGAGGCGCGGATCAAACTTGCGACCAATACGGCAGCGGGCTTTGACGAGGTCGCGGCGCAGTTGGAAGGGTTCGCGAGGCCGCTGTGGGTTGTCGCGGATCTCTTGAATGACGTTGGAAGCGGCGGCAGGGGTGACGTCTTCGCGGACTTGAATCTGGAGTCTTGGGCTTGGGGGATCGTGGCGGGAACGTTTCCGAACTCTGAAGAGTATTGGGGCGATGTGGGTGATATCGATCAGCGGATGGTGGAGATGGAGTCTATTGCGTTTGCGATGCTCGTTGCGCCTGGGCCGTTTCTTTCGGCTTGTGATGATGAGGAGAAGAAGGAGAGGCTCGGGACGTGGCTGGGGCAGATTAATGGGAAGAGGATGCCGCAGAATAACTGGCTTTGGTTCAGGGTGTTTGTCAATCTGGCATTGGTGAGGGCGCTCGGGGTGCCATTTGAGGAGGCGAGACCGATGATGGACGCGGACTTGAAGGTTCTGGATACGTTCTATATGGGAGAGGGGTGGTCTAGTGACGGGGTCTGGGGAAAGGAAAGGAAGCAGGCTGACTATTACTCGGGGAGCTTCGCGATCCAGTTTGCGCAGTTGTTGTATGTGAGGTTCGCTGTTGGGGACGAGGAGAGGGTTGAGAGGTACAAGGTGCAGGCGAGGGAGTTTGCATCGAGTTTTTGGAGGTATTTTGACACAAATGGTGGGTATTTCAACCTGTTCTTGAAAAACACTTCTTCCCTTGAGCTTTGAAATGAGAACTGACGACGAGGAATAGGGGCTGCGATACCGTTTGGCCGGAGTCTAACGTACCGTTTCGCGTTCGCTGCATTCTGGTCAGCTGCAGCAACCGCTGGTGTGGAACTCGCACCGCCGCTCGACGATCCTGGAGTAGTCAAGGGATTGTTGCTACGACATCTCCGGTGGTGGGCCGGACATACGGACATGTTCAACACGGACGGGACGTTGAGCATCGGGTTCACGTATCCCAACATGTACATGAGCGAGGACTACAACTCGCCGCAGTCGGTATACTGGTGTCTCAAGAGCTTCGTCATCTTGGGCCTGCCCGAAGACCGCGCCTTTTGGAGGTGCGAGGAGAAGCCTCATCCACTCCAGGATGTCAAGCCTCTGGCCCTATCATCAGACAGTACGGCGGTGACGAGGAAGCAGTCGAGCCCGGAGCTGGTGAAGGTCGTCTGGCCAGCGCGGCATATCCTCTGCAACGGGCCAGAACATCATTTCTTGCTTTCTTCAGGCCAGATGACGAAGAAGAGCTTCAAGGGACGGGAGGCAAAGTACGGCAAGTTCGCCTACTCGTCGGCCTTTGGGTTCAGCGTCCCCACGGGAGCGCTGCTTTCGCAGCTGGCGCCTGATAATACGCTGGCTGCTAGTATCGACGAAGGTGGGAGTTGGTGCGTGAGGTGGGAGCCGACGGATGTGAGAATCGAGTTTGTGTCGGTGTCGTTGTCTAGCGCGTTCTACGAAGTGCCGTCTCTAGTCAGTGTCTGGAAACCGTGGAAGTGGCTTGATTTGGAGGTCGAAACGACACTGGTTCCTGTCATGGAGGTCTTTCCCGGGTGGCATGTGCGAGTTCACAGGGTTCGATGGAACGCCAGAGGGGAGATTCCGTCGTGGGTCGGGAGTGTACAGCTCGTCGATGGAGGGTTCGCTATCGATTCGCATACGGCAAAGGGGACTTTTCTTCCCAAGCGAGGTGCCCGAGAAGTGGATGGGCAGTGTTATACTGAGGACATTGATAGGGGTCTTGTCCTCTCCTCAGCCGGGGCTAGCGGTATCTCTGATATCATTGTTGATGGGGATGGGTTGCGGGGAGATGTCGATAGAGGGGCGTGGGTGTTGAGACCGGATCCCAACACCAATCAGATCGTCCAGAGATCGTTCATTCCTGTTGTCAATCATCAGTTCAGTCTTCGACAGGGTGAAGAGGCAGGGAATGAGGCAGTCGTAGACTCGCTCTGGATGACTTCTGGTGTGTTTGCTGTCAGTGCCACATCCGGGCTAGGCGTGAGCGAGATTAGAGCCATGTGGGAAATAAGACCCCAGGTGTTGATCAACCAGGGAGGAGACGGTAGATGGATTATCCGGATTTCTGGAAATTGAACACCTTTGATGGCCGCTAGATTTGTCATAGCTGAAAGATACGATCCAACGACAGGATTCCAAATTCACTGGCGATATCGTGGCGGCAGGATTGAGAGGAATTCGTTCCGCACTCGCACTGGGGAGGGAATCGCACTTAGTAAGAGTCATGCCGCTCATAGTGCCAAGTCAATGCCATGGCTCCGCCACTCAATGACTGCTGATGCTACATGTACTGACGAGAGAACGGCCTCAAAAGTTCTGCGGCGTTTGGCCAACAGATGTAGCATTACGAACTTTCAAATTGCAAAACAGCCTATAGGCGGCGGGCGTTCAACGCCAAGGTCTTAAGGACCTTGAATAGATCCCTGTGCACTACAGATACATACTGATCTTGTTTTTCTTTCTTCCATTTGAGGGTCAAACACCTGTCGTGGTGCGAAGCCTGTCGCGATGTACGATATGTAAGGTAGTTCAAACGGTACGAGCAAAGCCGAGTTTATCTCGAGGCAGCACTTACACGACTCGAGATATACGCGGAACGGCGGAGCGAAACCGACGCCGTCATCCGGGCCAGACGGCCCGCGCAGATGATCAAAAAAGTTTCTTCGTATTGAATTTGGTGTTCATCGCACCTAGGTAGATGACAAAAAAGTCGACAAGTCACAAACCTTGGGCCTCGCTTTACTCCGTACGAGGTTTCAACCAAGTTTCCCTCTTGGGCTCCGGTTCTCCAATCTCCAAAATCCCCGCCAAAGCCGTGAACTCCAAATAACCTTTTCGCTCTCCGCGCCTGCCCGCGCTTGTCCGCGCATCCGCCGATTCCGGCTGCCCTGGCCATGTCTTCCGGTCCAAATCCAAAAACGCCCCGGCCCTTGTTAGCGAGAGAGGACACCGACTCTCTGTTAAGTGACTGCTGTTCGTGAAGATGATCCTGTAGCAAAATGCTTGGGGATCTCGCTATCATCTGTAGAGTGTGAAGTAGAAGAAAAAGAAAAAAATGAGGAAAATGACAGACTAGAGAACGACGGGCATGGCATATGCCATACGGTCTAGTTGTACTTCGTAGCCACCAACTCCTATAATCTCCACGGGCCAGGCCACCACATCGGCCCATGGAGTTCCGGCCAAGTGCTGCGAGATGAGCGAGATCAAAGACCGAGCCCATCCGTTCAGGAACCAGCAAAACGGCTCTGCCATGTGTACAATGACGCAGTAGTGCGCCAATACCACTAAAGCCGCCGGATGACGACGACGCAACATGTCCAGGTAGTCGCTGGTCATGAGAATGGGCCAAAGGAACACGGCGCGGAACTCTACAGGCGCCGACATGGCGTTGAAGGTAGAGACCTTGGCGATGCACTCGCTCAAGGCGATCACCGCGTTCGTGATGGCATATTTCCCCTCGTGCTCGACGAGACCAATTTCCTCGAGCCTGGAGCTCAGACGAGGAAGCCTTTCGAAGAGCGGCTGTAGAGTAGCCTCCACGGTGGACGGTGTGGTATCGCCGGACCCGCGGATGAAGATTTCTCGTAGTGGGCCTTTGCGCAGATCCTCGTCGGAGGCGCGGAGGATCATGCTCATGCCGTCGGTGAGGGTAAAGATGTCGAGCATGCTATCAATCGGGGAGAAGGAAGGGTTGTATTTCTCGTAGCTCGGGTAGGTCGCGAAGGCGCTTAGGGTGAGGAAGATAGACGAGGCGAAGAGGGCGTGGCAGTTGGTCGAGGAGATGGTGCCTAGGAGAGTCCCTCTCATCCCGTTGATGGCGTCATTCTGGTGCTGGGCAGCCTGCATCAGGTAGGCATGGCGGCAGTCGGGTTGGAGGTAGGCCAGATGGTAGGCCGAGAAGGCGAGGATTTGATGAAGGAGGAATGGATAGGAGAGAGCCTCTCTCGGGACGTCGTACTGAAGAGTCTTCTGGGCCAAGGAGGAGTGCGAAAAGGTTCGATAGGAGACGGAAGTATAATGGTGCATAAGCTCGAGATCAGAGATCCAGCCGCTGGCCGTCTCGGTCTTGTTAAGATCGGTCAGGAACCTCGAGAAATAAGGAAACGGATCTGACTGCGACGAAGGCGAACTTTGGCCTCCTCCGCCGGGACTAGACGCGCTCTGCTGGCCCCCGAGTGACCCGGCGGCAGACTGTGGTGAGAGACAAGCTGGAGATTGCGCGCTTGACCGGCGTCTCAGTGCCGATACCGAGCCCTAAGAAACCCCAACGGCGCGTTAGTTTGCGAAGACAAGGCCCTCCCCAACACCAACAAGGCTGGTGAGGGGGGCGCAAAAGGGGGGTTAGGGGAGGAAGCCTACCCGCGAGCCCGACCTCTTGGTTCGTTGCCCTGGCGGCGGCAGTTGAGCCATGGACTGGGAGGACACGCCTGTTGGCGCTCCCGCGTTTTCGAGACTACATGGCAACCCGTGGCGTACACAAGCGCTGCAAGGCTTGTTCTCGTCACACTGCGTTGAGTTCATACTCGTTAGTCTCGGCCGAATGCACATGGCGCAGTGTTTAAATGTGATGAAAGGGAGAGGATAGATGAAGATCAAACCACTCCGTTACTGGAACTTGGACTTTGATCACATACTTTGACTCTTCTCTCCTTGCATCTCAAGCAACCATTGCGTGATTTCCTGTAGCCCAGACGCTTCATTGTGATATTGTGGCTTCTGCTGCAGAGGATTCAAGGCCAAAGAGACGCATCGAGGCCTGTTGGGACAACCACCCGAGAACGAAGACGGTAACGAGGTAGGGAGGAACAAGGTCCAGTAAATAAGGACGAGCCGGTGGGGTGTGGTATCTTTGCGGATCGGAGTGTGTTCCCTCTGTTTATACAAGCAGGCCGAACAAACCGCTACAGTCGGCGACCCGCGGCCAAGTTGTGGGAGGTTATTCTTATGTTGAGCCTTGTCGAACGTTGTTGCGCATCCCGGCCGAGCGAGCCTAGGGCCGATGTGGCAGTCGACGGGTGCGCCCAGGATATTCGTCCGATCTAAGGTGGCCGGGGGGGGGGGGGGGGGGGGGGAAGGATAAGGGAAGGGAGAAACGGATACAATCAGGCACGAATAACGCGGTACTGACGCATAATTGTCTTCTGAAGAGCAAAGTAGCGGTGCGTTCCTATGTATCTGTAGATATGGATAGAACATCTGCGGGAATGCCAAGACTAGATAGAGTCTGCCCTTTGCACACCTTTGAACATCAACAATCAAATTCAACCCCGCCAGGACTAGGGTCCAGCTGGTGTTTAACCCAGTTACAGGATGTGTAGTGCGAAGGGGAACAAGGTAGAGGGATGTTGAAGAGTCTTCGAGGGCAAAAAGGGAAGAGAGAAAAAATAAAAATGGAGAAGAGTGAAGCTTACTAGGTTCCTTGGTATCTTCGCCGTGTTTAGGGGGGGGGGGGGGGAGGAAAGTGACGGTGTCAGCGATGCGGAACTGAGTCGCGCCAAGGCCTCCGGCGTGCGGGCGGAGATACCGCACACTGGCCCCAGTTTGCCGTACGGAGACAGTAAACGTGTGAATATTTCCCCAAGTAGCAAAAAGCAGATGTGTACCTGTGTCCGCGGGAGGAGCGGCGGTTGCAGTCGGTATGGGCTAAGCCTTGTGTGCGTGCGTCAGTGTGGGGGATGCCCATCCATCACACACTTGACATCACTATCGAGTTAGTTGATCGGCCTTCACAATAGTTTACCGTCTCCAACGTGGCTCTCCCAGGCGTATTGACAGCCTTGCAAGGGCTGGATGAGAATGGAACCAGTGAAACGGCGTCTTTGGGGTGTGCGATCGGCGACGGAATGGGACGATGGGTTGGGGATTCAAAGGCAACAGAAAGAATAGACGCAAATCGCCAAGACTTTGGGTAAGAGGTTGTGTGTCTGGTAGAAAGCTTTTATGAATCCCCTCACTCAGTGAAAACACCATGGTTGAACAAGCCAAGGCCTGTTGTCGTCAGTTGACACTCTCATCCCTCCTCGCCAAGGCCCGGCTCAGCCTAATGAGTACATGGAGCATCTAAGCCTCAATCTTGCGTCGCCGGATCGCCGGCCTCTTCCAAGGTTCCATTTCCCTTACCGCGCCGCCCACAAGTTGCAACATTTAGAGTTCTCAGGTCCTTCAGGCTTCAGCAGACGCCGTAAAAAGTCTCATGTCGGCGGAGGCCAGCCAAGATGGGGGGAGAATGAGATTGTTGGTATTCCTCTCACAGGGAATTTGGTTCGAACCGTAGGGTCCTGGGGGTGACGAAGTATCAATATCTCTGTATTGATTGATTCTGCGTGAGGAGTAGAAGGGAGATTCCAACCGGAGGTTGGGTGGGTAGTCGAGGTCTAAGTGTACCCCCTCGAGGTGGCCCATGCTCTTCCCCTACTCGCGGCCGAATTGGACTTCCAATCCGACAGAGATGGAGAAAGTGACAGGGAAACATCGAGCTACGGCAGGGTCTTGGCAGATATTCTGGTGCGTGCTGTGCCTCCCGTGGAATCCGTGGGTATTGGGTAACGGGGGAGAAAAGCCACGACCGCGCCGCGGCCCATCTCCTGAAGATGAAGAAAACCCCCGGCCAGTCGCCGACCAATTGTCATAGAGTCCGAAAACGAGGCTTCTCCACGCCTTTAACTGGGATCATGTCTCGTACATCGTCGGGGAAAGTCTTCTACTACCTACCCCCTTTGCCCAATCATGCCTGGTGTTGATCTGATTATTTCAGTTAAGGGGGCTGATGCGAACTGAGTCTAGTTTTAACTCCGACTAGCACGCTATGCTAACTTTCTGGTAATGATGTCCCTGAACCGATGCCGCAACACCTGTCAATCTACGGATACTCGGCGCTAGTGGCATAAGCCTCTTACATGTAACCTGACTAGACTCTATGCAAATCCTTACAGAGGCCTCATAGCTGATGGAAGAATGGGGCCTTCGTAAGGAAAGCATGCTTACTGGGAGACTATGTCCTCCGGGCGACATAGAAAGTCCGGTGCTTACATTACTAGTAGTATGAAACCCGGTGGTGGACTGGTGATGAAACCCGGTGCTGGCGAAGTGCTGAGGCTGATAGCACAGCTTCCCTCGTTTTCTCTTCTCGTTCTCGTTTTCGGGGTTCGTATATCGTATTCTACGTACACCGTTCGAGGCGAAGCAGAGATAGCTTCATTTTTTGTCAGCTTCAAGATTTGCAAATGCAGCAATAGGAGAAGTGAAAATTGACTAGCAATGGATTTAGGACTTTCAGAATGGCAGATTTGGTGCTTAAAGACTTGCTCATCTCATCTGAAATTGGGGAATATCGAGAAACAAAACAATCACATCAATCACAGAAAAACAGTTTCTTCTCGAACCATCATAGCCTTCATTAATTTTCGCCTTTGGACGCATTCGAAACCTTCGTCTTCGAGTTGAAAGAAGATCTGGCCCCTGCACAGATCTCAAGATGGCCAACGACTACTACAAGTACAGCGCAGCATCCCATCCAAGCCGAATCAATCAATCAACCAATCAATCCAAGGCCATTTCCCCATTCAATCAGACAAGCCTACAGCGCCGAAAGCTTGGCTGACTTGATCAAGCTAACGTTGCCCGGAAAAAGGAAAATCCGGGCCCCTAGACTAATCATAGTTTTTGAAATAACTTTCAAAAAATAAAAAAAAGTCCATCCGCGTATGTTACGGACGTCGAGTTGGTGATGCCCTCACGTTAACAGGTGGCCAAGTGGGGCCGGTACTTCCTGGCAGTACTAACCTGACTGCTAGGTCCTGCCAGGAAGTGCCAGTAAAACGCGTCGACAGCCGACCTAGCCACGCGCAATACTATCGACGCCTTACCTTACGCCATATGGAAGGGCCGGCGGTTCTTCAACGTTGACGCCATCTCGAGGAAGGGTAACCGAGGCCGTACCTCTTGGATCACAAACGAGGGCATCTTCGTCTACGAGATCCTTGCCAACGGCGTGAGGGGTAATGCCTACTGGGTTTGCCGACGCTGCGACGAGGCAGGGTTTCTAGACCAGCCCTTCAACGCTAACGCCACATCTGCTGCTGCCAGGCATCTCGAGAACGAGCACTCCATCTTCCGAGGTGGCAAGAAGGCTGGCTATACGTCTTCTGATGAGGCTGACGACCCTGGGCCTCCATCCAAGCGCCACCAATCCTCTTCCTATCGCCATACCTAAGCGGACAACTACCCAGATCGAAGAGCTAGCTGTGGGATTCCTCGTTGATACCAGCAACCCTCTCACAACGTTCAGCAACCAGTACTTGCAGCACATACTCAGCCTATTTAATCACGACGTCAACGCCCAGATCCGGTGGTCGAGATCTAGCCAGAGGGAACAACTTCGACGACTCTACATATCCAAGAAGGAACAGATCGAGACCGAGATACAGAGGGCAATCTCGAAGATCTATATATCGTTTGACTTGTGGACCTCACCTAATCGATACGTTATCGTCGCTATCTATAGCCACTTCATTAACTAGTCGGGTAAATAGACGCAGTACCTCTTAGGTCTCCGCCGCTAACCTGGTGCTTACTCTGGTGAGAATGTTGCTACCACAATATATACTGTTATGAAGGACTGGGACCTACTTAATAGGATTGGTGTGACAGTCTCTGACAACGCCAGTGCTAACGACACTTATATCAAGGCTCTTTACCCATCTCTATCACATTTATATACAGAAACTGACGCTCAACAACGTCGAATTCGATGCTATGGCCACATCCTCAACCTCGTTGGCCGTGCCATCATTCATGGCGTTGATGAGGAGGCATTTGAGGAAGAGTCTGACCGTCTTATTAACGCTGGAAGAGTGAAAGAGGACCTAGCCTACTGGAGGACTAGGGGTCCAGTCGGCAAGCTCCGGAACATCGTCAAGTATATCAGATCATCGTCATAACGTTCTGAGAGCTTCTTAGCTATTAGTAACGAGGCTGCTGATGATGATGATGCCTTTACTCTGTGGGAGGAATCGTCACAAGAGCTGAATCTGATGTTGAGTAACACTATTCGATGGAACTCGATATATAACATGATCAACCGGGCCCTACTCAAACGTACCTAGATCAATGGTTACGTATGCTATACTCTGGGCCTCGAAAATGACGAAGATTATGTCCCAAGTGAGGATATCCTCACTAACGAGGATTGGCAAGTCCTCGTCGAGTTGAATGAGGTTCTCGAGCCCCTCTATAAGCAGACTAAGAGATGTGAGGGCTGGGGCAAGGGTGACGGGCATGGTCGACTCTGGGAGGTTCTGGCAGGCATCGAGTATCTCTTGGATCGACTTGAGGACTGGCGCAAGCTCTACGATACCCTTACTACCGAAGAGATTAACCTCACGGCTACCCAAGTATCCCAAAGTCTTTCATCACAGCTATCTCGACCAGCAAGGGCATCGCATCGATCTGCCAGAACGCCAGTCTCGCAGACCCCATCAATCAACAGTATCCCAACTCATACCCAGTCTGACTATATCGCTACTTCGCAGCAGAGTCAACCGCGCCGCCCCCAGGGTATTAACTTCGACTCTCACGGATACTTACGCCTATCGATTATTAATGGTTGGCAAGTACTTAACAAATATTACCTCAAGCTTGGAGAGTCTCCTCTCTACGCCGCAGCAGTGATCTTACACCCTGGCCGGGGCCTACGATGGCTCAAGAAGCGTTGGAACACCCCAGAGACGCGAGGATGGCTTCATGACGCCCAGGAAGGACTTCGAGACTATTGGGAACAATGGTATGCCGAGATGACTACCCGTCCTAAAGAATCAACCTATCCAGAGCCTCCTCCAAAGCCTCCGCGAGGCTCTTTTGTATCGATCGCAGTTCCTCCGAGGGTTGAAGACTCTGACTATCGTCAATGGTTAAAAAGCAGCCTCCATGACGCTACTATCGACGAGGTTGACGAGCTGGATCGATACTTCACCCTCTCAGTTGCCCAGCCCGTCGACGATCCTATTCAGTGGTGGATTTCACATCAACAGACCTTCCCAACGCTCAGTAAACTTGCCCTCGACGTCTTTGCTATCCCAGCGATGGCGACCGACTGCGAGAGGGCATTCAGCCTTGCCAAACTTACGCTGACGTCACAGAGGCTATCCATGAAACCATCACTGCTTGAGGAGACACAATGCCTCCAGAACTGGGTTCGAGGGGGCAGCGTTGCTGTTGGTGGGCATTACTTCAAGCGGAAGGGTTGACGGAGGGCAGGATGACATCAGAACATCAGATAATGTAAGTTTCTGACGCATAGAGACATCGTGAGAGCTTCACTGACTTCCTAAATAGGTAATATTAATCAATTCAATCCAAGCCAGTCAAATCAAGCAAGCTTCTTGTGAAAAATCAGTCAATCAGACAAGCCCGTCACCCAAGCTTGGCTTGATTGATTGGTATGCAGCGCTGTACAAGTACGACCCTTCGCTTCCCGCGGCAATCATCTTCACAGTCTGCTTCGGTCTGTCCGCAATTGGTCATGCCTTTCAGATCGTGAAGACTCGAACATGGTACTTCATCCCATTCTTGTTCGGTTGTCTTGGTAAGAAATTTCGAGTATACCCCTGTCTTCTTGACACCACTAACATGTACACCCCTTCAGTCGAGATCATCAGTTATGCTGCACGCGCGATCAATGCTACGGAGAGCCCCGATTGGTCTAGAGGTCCATACATCATCCAAGCTCTGCTGTTACTTCTTGGACCCCCCCTCCTATGCAGCATCGATCTATATGATCTTCGGACGATTGATTACGCTGCTTGATGCCGAAAAACACTCGCTCATTCGAGTCAAGTGGATCACCAAGTTGTTCCTGCTTGGAGACATCGTATCGATTGCTGGTCAAGCTATTGGTGAGAGATGAAGACTATCATGGTGTATGAAACCCGGATGGCTAACAGTTTCCTGAAGGTGGCGGCTCACTTGCGAGCGCTGGTACAATGTTTCTCACACCACCGAGACAAGCCACTACTTGCGCAAGTAAGGCTTCTAATCATCAAACGCAATCGACTTCCACTTCTGCGAACCATTGAGTTTCATCAGATTAACTTCACGAGAAATGTAATGGTATTAATGGCGGGTGGGAACACCTTTGGGGTCATGATGGGTTGGGGAGTTTCATAGACAGAGCCGAGGTTTGTGAGTAGGGAGTTGCCTGAATTCGTTTTGTTTCCGAGCCGTTGAAGTCATTCTGGTCACATGTCGTTTCGAGGGATATAGATAGAGATTGCATGTTTGCTAGTAAAGAATGATCTGCGTTTACCATACTAATCCGATACCCAACTCTTACCATGATACAATTGTCAAGTGATGTGACAAGAAATCCCCGATGCATCCATAGCAAGCTGTCTTACTCCACCTGTTTCTTGGGAGCTATCAACATGGGATGACGGTCTGGACCGCCTCGGGTCAGTGCCACTGGCAGCTGTTCAAACATGGAGTGGTGAACTTTGTCCTCTCGGCGCAATATGGAGGAAAGCTTGATTATCCCCGACTTGGCAAGTCAGCTCCCGACACTTACTTGGAGACAATGGACGTCGGACTACATACTGGGCCCTCACATCGTGTGACTTGGCATGCCAAGTACAATTAGGGCTACAAGAGACCACGGTGTTGCGGCTGTTGCTTCATCTCGATCAGCAGCTGATCACTCTGCGTCAGGAAGCTCCTCCCGTGCTCATAGCTTCCGGGACCATAGCTCCTCAAGGCTTGGCCTTCATACTGGCTCTGGGAGAAACTTGGGGATTAAAGTTGAGAAAGCCGCTTGCAACTTGCCGAATTACTAGTCCAGTCGATGCGTCTGAGCTCTCGTGGGATGCCTTGAGTCTCAAGGATGAACCTATCATGGAAGTAGACTCTGACATCTCTCGGTATCCTACGAAGCTGCCAATGAAACGTTGGGCCTGACAGCTTTCTAGTCACGTTCTTCCGCGTAAAACTACCAACTCAACATCGCTTATTTATTAATAGCAATAAGTACTGTGAGGGCATTCGGAACGGCCCGTTAAGCTTTCCAAGGTGAAACAGCCAACGGGGTGGACCCCAGAATGACGTTGCATGCCTGAAAGGCCAAGCCCCTGAATAACCTAATTCCTCTGCTGGCTTCCCACCAAGGCAAGGTGGCTAGTGTTGCCCGAGAAGTTGGGAATGGAGACGAACCATGCTGGTGGGATGAGGCTAGAGTAGAGACGCATTCGGGCATCAATAAGACACCGCCCGGACGTGATTTCCGCTCCGTCGGAACCGATTGCAACGGAGCTCCAACTCTACTCCCCGAGTCACCCTTCATCGGCACCACTAAGCCGGGATGATGGCACGGGGAACGTGGCGCAGGACTGACAGCTCTGGCCAAGGGCCCCTTGCTGCGCTGGATTCCGCCTTGAGGTGCACTCAAAAAGTCGCCGCCCCCAAATTTGCCAAGACTGCTAGCTATCTAATTTTACACCAAAATGTTTGATTTCCCCGCAACTGAGCGAGTAAGATTAATACCAGACTTGCCTCTTCATCACATGAAGCTAACCGCCGCCGCTTGTCACATCGCGATGTCTTGGCATTTTTGCTGCTTGGCCCTCGCGCCGATTTCCCGATCAACTGTGAAAGGCAAAGAGGCGCTTGGCTTGGCACTCGCCACATCGATGGATTTTGCCTTTCCATGGACTCAACTAAAGCTACAATCGCGGCTATTATCAGTCCTTCTAGGCGCTGTTTCAATTATCGTGGAAAGTTGCTGCCAAGACCATTTCGACTTGGCAGGCCTTCATTCACAACCTAGCAATTAACTAGACTCCTGAAGTCAGCGCATGCAGATCAGCATCGTCTATGTCATGAGGTTTCTTGGCGACAAAATAAGATTTGCTAGCCAAGGCAGATTTTCAACTGAGGCAGACAACACCACGAGCCTGCTGCCTCGGCGCCGCGTGTGCAACATCTCCAGTCGGTAACCAACATGTGAGACCATTGAACGATGGACCATCCTGCTATGCATGGTCAGTGAACATTGGGTATGATCCACGATGCTGGTGATCAAAACCTGCACGCTCGACTATGACGCTGAGAACGCTTGGGTCTCGTGCTGTTGGAACAGCAAAGGCTGATAAGGAGTAATAGGCAGGTACCATGGGCTGGCTGGCACCTGCCCTGGGCGAAGTGGGACAACTGGCTTAGTCATCACGGCCGGATAAAGGTGGGGCAACCACACAGGCCGTCACTACCTACTTCGACCGACTCCTGCCTACAATGTAAGATAGAACAACAACAAGACAAGAACAAGCAATAGGATCACCAACAGACGAGTGATAATTGCTACCACTATTTGTCGTATACGACCCCGTGAACCAACACGTGCCTACCCGAGAACAACTGACAAGCTCCATGGTGATGTAAAAGTCCTACTCTAGCAGACATTTGCATCAGTATGCGGATGTACTCATTCTGTTGGTATCACAGGCGTGATACATTTCCTCATGAGGGTGTATCTTCGGCAACAATCACGTCGATGTCCGTGATAATTGCTGTTGTTCTTCTTCCTATTTACATTGTGGGCAGAAATTATCGCCTACCCATCCAGTATATTGCACGAAGAACCGCCGTACCTCGGCGCTATGGCCGATTACCGGGACCGTGGACGATCCGGGACCACTACCGCCCCCGATAGGCCTGGCCGAAGCCTATTGGTACGCCCTGATCAGAGACCCGGGTGCCTTTGAGAAGTTCGAGCGTGTGACGCGCTACTATGAGGCTCACTCTCTGCAAAGATAGCGAGCCCGAGATCCCGCGCCTCACAACTCTCTCACACACCCACCGACGCCTTGAGGCCCCGGCCTTACCACACCCCTCTCTCTTCCTTCCTCCTTTATCTTCTATATAAGAAAATATAAGAAAACAGAAAAATGCTCGCGTAGGCAAATATGCCTCCGAGGGCCGGTTACTTGTTGCGGCAACGCCGTCTGTGGACGGCGTAGGGCTGCTAGAGACCCATTCGCTTCTGCCGAGTCAGGGACCCCCTGCTGGCGTGCTTTTTGGAACTGAACGGACCCTGGGGATTAGATATTAAACTCCACTGCTCTAGGCACGAGAAGAAAAGTGTACATTATAGACTGCCTGACTTGTCGTACGCTACAATGGCGGCACGGCACATCATATGCCCAAAGGGCGCTCTGGTTGATCGGAGCTTAGTTACATAGATAGCTGGGCACCTGTCCCTGATGATGTAAAACACCACTACTACTACTACTAATACATTGTGGGCAGGGGCCGATCGAAGTAGGTGGGGACGGCCTGGGTGGTTGCCCCTCCTTAACCGGCCGTGATGACTAAGCCGGTTGTCCCACTTCGCCCAGGGCAGGCGCCAGCCAGCCCACGATACCTGCCCATTGCTCCTTATCAGCCTTACCGTTCCGACACATTCAATTAGCAGTGCTGAAGTAATTGACGTTCTTCGGATCAAACAAGGATAATCTACTGTGACTTATTTGATGACTTGTCATGCTGCAAACGCCATGATACTGTCATAGATGGACTCCATAAGGTGCTTAGACTTGCATGCAATTTTTAGTTCAGTACTTTACTTGGGGAAAAATGACTACAAGCCAAAACACGACAACAAGTGACAGTCAAAGGCATCGCAAGTTAGGGATGAGCACCTCGCCCCGCAATCTTGTTGTTGCAAGGCAATGAGTCTTCGCGCACGTCTTGCTAAAGACCGCCGACGTGGGAGTCTGGAGACCAGAGTGTACAGTGTCTACAGCGCAAATTGAAACATGAACATTTGAGAGGCTCAACATTAGCTAGCTTCGCCCATACCCATGGCTTAGTTACACGTGATTCTAAGGGGACCTAAGTAGGTATCTTGCTGTAAGACTAAGATGGTCTTCATGTCAAGAACTCCACATTCAGAAAAAGCAATTCGTGGTACATCGGCTTGAGTGATGTGTGCTATCACTGTAAAAGACTCGAAATCGGTAGTAGGCTATAAATAATTGAAGCAGACTCATTGATTACTATATCATCCCTGATCCCTCAAGAAATAACCTTCGATGAGACACTTGCCAGGTAATACTAGTTCGCCGGTTCGGGTTTTCTGGCATTACAGTATGTGGCCATTACTCTACCTGCTGTCCGTGTCCACTCGAGTCTGCAATCAAGGTAGTCTAACCAGCCTGTGGATGGGCGGTTTTAAGTCTGTCTAAAGTCTGAGTAAAGAGCTCCTACCTAGGCATTGCATGTAGGACCACAGGTCAAGGAAAGCCGAGAGCCTTGACTGAGACTCAAAATCTATGACGCCACCTGGACAGTTTCGACAGCAATTCTTTAGGCTTGACAGGGCGGCAAATTAGCCGTACATATATTTACTACACTGCAGTGCATAGCCTTGCGACCACTCACGGAGAGAGTCGTCATTCTCGTCAGAGGTGTTGTTCTCGTTTTCGTTCTCGCAGTCTACTATACAGGCGATTGTGCACGCTTTAGCCATCAAAAGCACGAGGCAGCGCGCAGTCTTTCGTCGCATCGCTGTTTAGCAACACTAAGCCTGGGCGATTACTACTAAAAACTGAGTTTACGGTCTCCATCGCAAAACGACGATGGTAGGATTTCCGCATCAGACTTAGCCCGGCTTTTACTTTTCACGGACTCTTACCGACCATACTTTCCGAGCCAGCGGAGCTTTGGCAAGGTAAACACGGCTTACTCAAGTTGAGCTGAGGAACATTCAGTCATACCATGGAATTAGCTGCGTATCTCCAAACCTCAGCAGGACACTAATGAGCTATGTTGTGGCTCAGTCTCAGTTCCGGACCCATCGGCGAATCTAAGAATCGGACCTTGACACGATCAGCATGCGCATCCATCTGCGAAACTCCATCCGCTGCTCTTAGCCGCTCTCGAGATTCTGCGTCAAGTCCATGGGATAGCCCAGCCAGCGAACTTCCCCTCCAGGCTGGCAGTCCCAGCCGTCTTGTTTCAATGATCGAAAAGAGGCAGAACAAGCAGCCACCTAATAATGCCGCCATCGGAAGAGATAGAAACCCCCAACGCACGCGAATGTGGACTACCCACTGCTGCGTCTTACCTTCCAAAGGCTCATCTTCCAACGATAGATCACGTATGTACTTTGTTAAACCAGCAGCTGCTGCCTCGAAAATTGCTGTGAAATTCCGGCATGTCCCTAAGCTGGTGATTACGTTGCGCTATTGTTGTGGAACCTGAGGGGATCGACGTAACGGTGGATATACTAGCTGCTTCTTGCTCAAAGGGCTTGGCCGACGGGCAAACTGATTTGCAAACGCGCCAGTGATGCTTCCGGCTGTATTTTGTGAGATATTGAAACGTAAGCTATTATCTGTGTTCAGACCAGTGGCGCTGCGATACTCCTCCGGTGAAATCAATAGTTGGAGGTCGGTTCGGTTGAAGTCTGACTTGTCGTAGTTCAAGGTGTGATTTGTGTACTCGTTGTATGCCTTTGACAGCTGGGCCTCGTCAGGTTTCTGAGAGAGAAAAGAATCGAGGTTTCGACTAGCATAGGAACCTAGAATAGTCTCCTTCAAGGCACCTTGTTTGACCGTGGTTTGATACACATTGGTACAGAAGTATAGAGCACACTCTTGTGCTGTAATGGCTTTGTCTTCCCAGACCTGCTTGCCTTCTCGGAAGTCGTTGCTAGACTCCATCATTGCGAAGGATATTATGAGAGATTTCATGTCGCGGAAGCTGACTGTTTCTGATGGCTGGGTTGTTGCTTTTGCTGTCAATTCTGTATTCACAATCGTTTCATTGTCTTTCTTCAAGGCTGCTACGGCGGCCCCATCAATATTTGATATGTTCATGCCGAGCGCCGGGATCTCGTACTTGACGTAGCCAGCCGTGATGTTAGGTATCGGATATATTGAGCCTGAGGAGATGAAGTCCACCATTGTAAGGCTGTCATCTTCAGCTTTCAATAGATTAGTCCTTCCGGTTGACTTGACAATGTGCTTTGAGATATCGCTGCATGAGCTGCATGTTGCTAAAGATGTATAAGGCGGCCAGGTGCAGTTGCCTGAGGGGCAAGTGAATGCCGCCCTCTGGTTTTCGGCGGAAATGAGATTCGAGAAACCAGCCCACATTGCAGCGAGAGCACCGAAATCATGCTGTGAAAACATTGAGATGCCAGTAATTGCTTCTCCTGGAAAGTCGGGCACCGTTAGTGCGACTGCAGCCCCTGAGATACTGATATGAGAGCCGATGTCAAGCCTACCAGTCCTTCCAATTGTTGCTTTGGCGACAGGGTCTGAGAACGAGATTTCTTCGCCCTCGAAGTCGATTATGGCCTGTAGAAATGGCTCAAAGCCCACCAGAATGACGGTCGATAAGGCCCCGAGAGCAATCCAGTGTCTGAAAAGGATGATGTATTAGTCAAGTTCTTTGAGGGTTGCCAAGTAATCAGGTCAGAACTTATATGGAGACATACCTCAGCTTCGACCACCATAGAAGCCTGACACTTCCCCAGGGACCACGGCTGGCTTCTTCAAAGCGATCGAAGACCATGATAGTATCATCCCGTTTCCTGTACCAATTCCACTTCCCTTGACTGATACATGCGCTCACAGCGAACGCTAGTGTTGCTCTTGAAGTAGCTCCGAGAATTGACACCACGGTGTTAAAGGAGAAGAGGAATGACCAGGATGATAGAGGCTTGTCGTTGTAGAGAAGGAGAAGGATGGCAATAGCGACGAGAGCAGAAATACTAAGAGTGACTGCGAGAATTTCCAGTATCCAGTGATACTGGCTAGTTGGCAAAATAGTGGTTGCCTTTCTCAATAGGTTTCTGCTAGAGGTCTGGCTCGCATACTCCATCGTCGCATTTTCGTCAAGATCAGTGGACGACACAGACTTCAGATGCAGCAGCGGCTTTCTCTTGATGTGAAGCCGGCTGCGCGAGCCGTGAAGCTCATCATTCGCTTCGTCGGCGATGGAGAGCTGCTCCACGGGAGCGTGGTATCCGGTAGGGGCATCATCTAACTCAAACGAGCTTCTGTGTTGAGCTGGTAGAGGTCGTTGATATGTCGACATCTTGTGGCCGTGCAAGAACCAAAGACTTTTGCCCTCGCAATAGTCGAGGAAGGGTTAAGCTTAAAGCCTAGGGGAGATAAAGATAAATTGTAGGAAAATTGTAAAAGATCTGCACTTCTAAAATTAAGGCTTAGCTCAAGCCAATCTCTCAGCCACTATGCACGAGTGGTATGTAAGTGCTATGCGCTCTGACATCTTGTAGCATAAGCGCAGCATTTGTTTGGTTCAATTTTGACACCAGCCAGCGGAAAAAGGAAGGCCACACGCCAATGCCAGACTCTGCACAAGTAGACTTAGACATCAGAGACACCGGCCCGTTAGCGCGAGATCGACAATCCTGCAGCTAAATTGGCTGGCTCTCAACTTGCCCCTGAAGCTGACGTTACTCATACTTCTCAGTAGAATGGGCTGTGGTGGCACTTGGCAAGCATGCTGCCTAAACAAACTCGACACAATCAGCATCCCACTGTGACCGAGTCTGACATTGGACAAGGGTAATTACCAGAGCTGAACTTTTGTGACCTTCCTGACAACCAATTGAGTGGATGTTTTCCGGACAGGGGTCGTCAGAAAATGAATGGCAGCGTTGCATCGTAAGCGCTAATGATATGCAGCCAGACCATGGGTTTACGAATTTACTTTTTCGCACTTCATGTCACCCGATCCTATCTGGTGCTGGTTCCTTAAATTGATGCACAGCTATCCTCATCGCGGTTGAAGGCAACCTGGCGAGTTCTTTATTGTCTTCAGTATTACAGAGGTCACAATGACAGCTGTGACAGAGAAGTCCAAGATGGTCGTCGTTGCGACGACCGAGAAGAACCCCGCCGACGATGAAGTCAGTCAAATATGGCTCGAAGTACAGAACATGGTCATCCGCATGGCAGGAGGAGACCCATCCAAGATCGACAAGCAGCTTGATATTGATGGAGTTATGCGGTACTTGGAACAGACTCAGGCAGCAGATCAGAAAGCGGCCGACAAACACGGTACCGTCAAGAAAGCATTCAACAGGACTTTGAATTGCATCTCCAAAGTTGGAGGTATCATTGCTGATGGCGCTTCATATGTGAGGTCTTCTAGTATCATCAGACCGAGATGTTTGGTACTAATCCATGGCATTTCTTGTTTAGGCCTTCGCACCGGCAAACACCTGTTTCAATGCTCTCACGTTTGTGATTGGGGCATGGCAGTCATACTCGGCGGTTTTCGAGAGCCTCGCGGAACTGCTTGAGAAGTGTGCCCAGTTTCTTGAGCGTCTGCCATACTATGATCGCATGGATGCGTCTCTGAGAAAGGTGGCCTGCTGTCAACTCAAACTGTTCATCGACGTTTGCGATCGCACTCTTCAGCTTAAGCCGAAGAGACGCAAGATCGAGATGTTCTTCCGCCAACTTTTCTTAGACGACGACTTCATCAAGGACCTACTAGGCCAGATGGAAAACTTGACCGCCAGGGAGCATAGACTCGTTTCTGCTCAGTCACTCAAGGCTGGTCAAGACGCTGCCAAAGCCTCAAAAGAGAGTGTAACCAAACTTGACACTCTCATTGAGAGCAGTATGGCGCAGAAGCAAGACAAGTTGGATCAGCATTTCAATAGCAAGGTCCAAGAAGTTTTCTTCGGCAAAAACGCTAAAGACTTCGACACATGGGACGCCGCGTTGCGGAAGAACAAGAGCTTGCTAATCAACGGCACCGGGGAATGGCTGGACGAGGATGCCCTGTTCACCTCGTGGATGATGGGCAGCAGCGAAGCGAGTCCGATTCTCGGGATTGAGGGCGGTGAAGGCTCTGGTAAAACGCTCCTGGCAACTCATATCATAAGTCGACTGCAGAAACACAGGCTGTCGAACAACTCGAAGACCAGATCGGCGGTTGCATACTACTTTCTCGAGGAAGATTCTAAGGACAACTCCAAGGCCACATTCAAGAAAAAGCGTGTCGCCGAAGTGGTGTCCAAAAGTCTTCTGTGGCAGTTGGCTCAGATGGAGCTTCCGTACCTCAAGTCTATCGCTGGCATCTGCGACAAGGTTAACACCGAGGATCCATCGGATATCTGGAACCAACTATTGCTGGAGAACGAAGACCGCTCCGGCATTGAGAGCACGTTCTTCATCGTTATGGACGGACTCGGCGACAATATCAATGGGCTCGCTGGTCTTTTGCAGAGAATTTCAGCAGACACACCTCGTCTGCGCACACGTGTGATTATAACGGGGAACCAGCATACGTTTGACATGCTCGAGGAAGCGGGAGACATGAGGATCACCAGAATGAAACTCGGCATGCGGAACTCCATTGACATTGAGCTATACATCATAGCCAGAATGGACGCAATGGAAAATCTGAAAGACGTCAGCCGAGCTGGAGTTGCCGAGATTAGAACAATGATACTAGGAAGGCTCACATTTGCGACCTCCGGCGACTACTACATTACTAATTCTACTCTGAGCGCCATCGAGGGCGTCGACTCTTTGTCCGAGATTGAACAATGCTTAGACCAAGTCGGCAGCGCTAGGCCGAAGCAGATTCTTGCAGACATCAAGAAACTCAATCTGACACTCAAGCCGGCCGAAATTGATGAGGTCAACGAAGTCATTCTATGGACCAAGTGGGCAATAAGATGGATGTCGCCACTTCAATTAGAAGCTGCCATAAGGCTGAACACAAATTTGGAGTCATCCAGCCAGGCTTCTCTTCGATCTCTGGAATCCAAGATCCGGGAGAAGTACCCCCTGCTCTTCCGAATTGACGAAAGCCGGAACATCCACTTTAGTGCGGAAGAGATGAGAGAGATTATACCCATGAAGAGCTATCGACCGAACACCACAGACCATGGGAGCGATGAGCAGATTTCACCGGCGGAAATTAAAATCGTCAAACATTACCTCTCAACGGTCTGCCCAGCAGATGTCTACGACAAATTCGGCTTCGAAGACTTTTTCGCGCAAAAGTTGGAACGCAAGACCAAGTATATTTGCCAAGATGACGACAATGCTAACATCGTCCTATCCATAAGGTGCATGCGTAGTATCTTGGATGAGGAGATCAACAAGACACCTGGCGCGATCAAGTTTCTTTTTTACGCAGTAGAGTACCTTTTCTGGCACCTGGACAACACAGACCTCTCTCGAGCTGATCGCGATCTCAAAGCACAAGCGGGAGAGCTTTTGGCTCGTGTCTTCGCAGAGGAATCTGCAATCAAAGCCCTCATTTCAAGAGACTACGGCCCTGAAAATGACGCCGCGTACGTGATAGACATTGACTTCATGCCTTTCAACTGGAAGAGCTGGGTTTTCACAAACAATGGCGCGGATCTTATTAACAGATGGTCCAACGACTCAATGGTGACGTCGAAGCTTCCCGAACAACAAGACGGCCCGAAGTCACTTGCCAAATTTCATGGCATCAATGGGCCTAGCTGGTATGAGACGGCCGCTAGAATTACTGTCAAGGAGTTTCTCAACGACAAAAATTACGGAAATGCCATGGCAGATGCGTTTTCACTTCTTTTCGGGCTGATCAAGCGGGTGAGTACTCTTGACTCTTTGAAAAACTTCTTTGCAGACGGCACCTCTCGCCTGAACACGAATTCGCTGAACATGGCAGTTGGAGCAAAATGAGCTTCATCCCGCAGCTACCACAAGAGACGAAATTGATGACGAAGAATTTTGGAGACCAACTATGGCCACAGTCGAAGTGGTCGAGACATGGGCAAAGAAGCAGCTCGGCATCAAAGAAGACGACGCCCACTGGGAGGCTCAAATGGCGAGATTACTCTGGTATCTGGAGCGACCAGAGAATGGCATCACAAAGGAAGACTGCGAGAAGAGGGCACGCAGAGCGGTCGAACTCAGCCCTGACGATTGGTTTGCTTCTTACAATCTGACCCGATCATTAGAAGAAGATCGCGATGCCGAGGCAATTGCGATTCTTGAGCCCATTGTTGAGAAACTATCGAAAGGTGCGTATGGCACACTCGATGAGCAAGAGGACGAGTCGTTTGGATCAGTACTTGAATCACTGGGCCATCGCTACTGGCTCCTACCCGACAAATCCGGCACAAAAAAGGCATTCGATCTCTATATCCAGTCCCTGGACCATTCTCAGGCTGGGGGCTGGACCCACCACAACATCATTGCTGAAAAGCTTGGTCGACACAGAGAATGGAGCTTAATCATCAAGTATCTCGAAAAACTCCACTCGTTTGACGTGGCTGGCATGAACTTGGCCAGTAGAGTCCTCTACGAAGGAACAATCGACAAAACCCGGGAGTTTTGGTACGCGATATGGAATGCATGCTACCGCACTAACCGCTGGGACTTGCTCGCAGAGATTTGGAGGGGTATCAATAAAAAGTCTAGCGACCAGGAACGAGACCCATACTGGATCTACTGCACAAACATGTGGTATGCCATCGGCTTGATTCGTCGACCTGGACATGAGGATGAAGGCATGATGATGTTGGAAGGTATCTTCAGGGAGAACTCTATGAATGAACAAGTCTCATTCCTGCAATTCGACCTTGCTTCCAATCTTCTGGTCACCTACAATAACAGGGCTTTCGCCGAAAGTGCCTCTGCCGATACCAGAAACATCTACGTCACCAAGACAGAGAGCTTGCTGAAGGGCTTTGATGACAGCTGTGCGATACCTGATCACTGCCTGCTTCAATTAGCCCGATTCTTCACCCAAAATGAAGAGCGAGACCGCGCCAGGGACTTTGCTGCGAGCTTCACAGCTCAGAGGCTCGAAATGTTGTCCGACGAAGACGTCAGCAATGATTATGATTCGTTCCGCGATCTAGCTCTCTTGTTCATCGCATTCAATGATGAGGCCAGCATAGTGGCATGCTGGGAGATGATGGCTGTGTCAAGACTAGCTGAGCAAGAAGAGTATGAGCGCAAGATGGAAGAATGGCGCAAGCAAGAGGAGCGACAGTGTCGTCTTGAGGATGCAGCCGCTGCGGAGAGAGATGCCAGCAAGAAGACCGAAGCGCAGACGACCGACCAGACGATCGAAAGTCCGAAAGAAGAGAGCCCGAAAGAACAGAGCCCGAAAGAACAGAGCCCGAAACACAGCACGGAAGAGACGGCAGGGGAGGGAGAAGTGAAAGACATCAACGAAGGAACAGCAAAGGGGCCTTTGGAGGAATTGAAGGAGGCCGAAACTAAGCCATGGCTCGATTTGCCGGAGCTTCCCGAGAACTCGATCTTCATCTGCTCAGAGCAATGCGGGTTCAAGACCAATATTCCAACCGGGATCTGGTTCTGCACAACTTGCATCATTGGCCCTGGCCTTTGCGATTCATGTTACGCCGACATCGAGACCAACGGGGTCAAGGGCATTACATGCGGCAAAGACCACAAGTTTTTCCAGATGCCTCCGTGCAGTGAAGCCTCAATCGAAGAGATCCCGGTTGGTCACATCAGGGTCGACGGCGAGCTTGTCGCATTGGAAGCGTGGAAAGAAATAGTGAGTGCCAAGTACGGGCCCTCTGTGGAAGACGTAGTCGAGACAGGTGAGAAGAAGGAAGGGTTTTAGGAATGAGTAGTGCGTGGGGCGAAGAGTAGGATGAGTAAAAGAATGAGTAAGAGGAAGAGTAGGAAGAAGAAAGGGGGGCAGTTTTATTCCAAAGTGCTCCTGTTCACGTCGCGAATCGCCTTGCAGTTTCTTGAGTTTAGTCTCGTTACACATTACACTAGTCCTGGTATCTACGCTATCAAATTCGAACATGTTTCTCCCTCTAGCAAACGCCAGCGGGAACGGTGAAGCCGTCACGACGGGCAGAAGAGCTGTAGACAGCATCGGAACCCAGACCACGCTTGGCGAAGGCGGTCCAGAGCTCGCAAAGGTTGTCTCCGCCGGTGAGAGCAGTGTCGGCATCGAGGATGGCGTCACGAGCCTGGATGAAGTTGGGAGAGCAGGGTTGACTAGTCTTGTTAGTCTCGTTCTTAGGGGGAGTGGCAGTAATGGGGATACATACAGGGCCATGCCGTCAAGGACAAGCTTGAGGGTCAAGTACTTGCCATCGGTGGGGACACCGTTGGCATCGAACTCGGGCTTGGGGCCGTCGTTCTTGCCGTGCTTGTCGATGAGGTTCCAGAGGACCTCGTAGAGAGTGGTAGCCCAGGTCTCACCGATGCGGTGGACGCTGGTGAGGCCGTTGATGGTGGAGTAGGTGTTGGGGGTGGTGGTCATGGAGGTAGAGTAGAGAACGGTACGGATACCGGCGGGGTTGTTGTTGACCCAGGCAGCCATGGCGTAGTCGGTAGCACGGGTGTCGGTGGGCTTGAGACGGATGGCCGTGGCGAAGAAGTCACCCCAGCCCTCACCCATACCGCCGGACTCGACGGCGTTCAAGCAGTTGGAGTTGGCGGGACCACCGGTCAAGCGGGTGGACAGACCGTGAGTGTACTCGTGGATGACGACGCCGGCCTCGAAGCTGCAGTCGCGGCGGGGGGTCGACTGGGTCCAGAGGTACATGCGCATGCGGCCGTTGGTGCCATCGGGGGGAGTGAGGAAGTTGGCATTGTTGGTTCCGGAGCCGTCCTGGGCGAAGAGGACGACAAAGTCGTTACCGGCACCGCCCTTGCCCTGGTTATTGATCTGGAAGTTACCGGCGGCCTCGGTGAAGCCGAGAGTGTACAGCAGGTCGTGGTAGTGGTTGGCGGTGTAGTAAAGCTGAGCGATGGAGGCATTAATGTAGGCGGACGGGGTGGCCAGGCTGGTGGTGTACTCGTAGTCGAAGTTGTACGAGGTGCTGGTCGGGCGGTAGTTGGTAAGGTAAGCAGTGCCGCCGCTGGGGTTGGACTGAGCAACGCCGTTGTTGCCACGGGTGGTGGTGTAGTTGGCAGTGCCGTCGCTGTGCCAGGTCAAAGGCGAGGCAGAGATATCCCAGGGGTCGGTGACCAAGACGCGATCGCCCTCGGTGGGATCGTTAACACCCCACGGGTAGACGCGGTAGTTGGCAAGGTCGGAGACGTAGTCGACAACACCTTGGACGGTGGAACCGGTGGCGGCATCGACGTAGGTCAAGAGCCAGTTCTCGGAGATGTCGGTCTCGACACGCCATGAAAGGGAGAGGGTGCCATCAGCCTGGATGAAGTAGACAAGCTTGGCCTCGGGGTCGGAAACGGCACCGGAGGTTCCCTTGATGGCGTAAACCTCAGTACCCTCCTTGGCCTCGGCGGTGGCAGAAGCAGCCTCGACGGGAAGCTGGAGAACATCCTTGGCACCGTTGAGGGCGGCAACGGGGTCCTTGAAGTCACGCTTCGTCAAGGGGCTGGCCTCAGGGAGGTCACCGTTGAAGAAGTTGTTGCCGTAAGAGAAGACCTTTCCATCCTTGCCAATCTTTAGGGAATAAGCTGTTAGTCTAACAGTACTAGGATTTCCTGAGGGAATACTGGTGAGTCTATCTTACGTTGACGTTGAAGTCGGCGTTGTCAATATCAAGACCGTGAACAGTCTGCTTGAAGTTGACGTGGCCAATACCGTTGGTACCAACATAGTTGTCACCAACAACACGGAACTCAGCGTTGGGCGCAAGCTTCTTGACGAGCTCCGTGGCGGTGTCGACGTAGTTGGCACGCTTCAGGAGCGCAATAGGCGGGGTCGCCTCCGTCTGGGTAGCGTTGGTGTAAGAGCCGAGCTGGGGAAGACGGAAGGCCTCGATGTCGACGCCGCGGCGGCCGATGTTGTGGCTGGTGGCCGGGTGGGCAAAGACCTGCGAGGTCGGGCCCAGGAGGCCGATGAGGGCCAGGCTCTTCATGGAGCGGTACATGGCTGCGGACGAAGGACGGGAGAGAGGTAGAGATGGGAGAGGAGGGAACGAGGGGCTGGGGACTTGAGAGTGCCTAACGAGCTCCTTTCAAAACATCAAAAATCGAGGGAAACATGATCGATTTAAGTATCTCGTGATGCTTGAGGCCCTCGGGGGAACGACCGTTCAACTCGAAGAGACCGGTCTCCGACTTTTCCCTTGTGCCCCTCAACGCAGCCAAGGAGCTTCCTCTTCGGAGTTGCATGTTACCGGATGCCCTGCAGAGGCTGAGTTGCAATCAAGCAGTAAGACGGTGAGACCAGGACATGATCGCTAGCTCTTGGTCAAATGGACTACTCCGTAAGACAATTGGAGCTCTATCCGGGAGGTTGTTGGCGATACGGGGTCCACGATACATGGCGAGCGCGACTCGATATGCTTGCGTGATCCGACAGTGGCCCAGGGGCCGCAATCCCCAATGCCAAAGCTTGCGTTTATCGGATCTCTGTGTGAGAGAAGAGGGAAGGTCGTTTTCTTGCAATCCTTGAGACTGGGCAGCGGGAGGGTTACATTAATGCTTCGTTTGCGCCGTTGGCGTCTTGGCGACGGCTTAGCTTGCAGTGATTTCTTGGCGATATGGGGGATTCGGCACTGGGCAGCAGCTGTTCGGGTTGAATTCCTCCATGCTCTGCGTACCAGGAGCGCCATTGCTCTAAAAACGTGTGACGGCGCAGAGAAGACCGAACTTCAAGGGTCCAAGATATCGGATGAACTGCTCGTCATTAGATGTGGTTAGTAAGCTTCTTCTCCAACGTACAATCAATGCGGCTCACAGATGGAGGTCAAGACTAACTAAAAGATAAAAAGAAAGCTTAAGCATAAACCGACTCGTGGTCACGCACAGCGTTGCACCGCGGGGGCTTTCCTCATCGCGTGCCTCTCTCACAAGCGCGGTGAGCGCGAAAGCTCTATCACGTAACAAATAAACTCTGCAAATCATATCGGAGAAAGGCCCCGCAGAGCCCGCAGCGGGATCGATACCTTAAACTGCAGTTCAATCTGCGCCGCTAGCAGATATTCTGCAGGAAAGCTAACTTGGTGGTCCTTTTGTCTGGTCGAGTCAGGCCCCAATGCCGCCGTTTTTTCAGGAACCGCCTTTGATGCAACACTTAGCGCGGGTGAGATTGAGAATGAGGGGCTGAACGGTTCGCTCCATTCTCCGAGTTACTCGTAAGAACCAAAATAACCAATGCTGCTGGACTTTTTGTTAGTGGGGAGTAGGAGGAGGGGGCCTAATCCCGGGAGCTATCAGCAATCGAACAATCATGTTGTCATGACAAGACCTCAGCTGCCAACTCTGGTCAATTCTGCATCTCAACGCAGAAGGTCGGGACCGTCAGGCAGACAAAATGCCCATTTGACAGATTGACATACCTAAACAAAAGAACTTGTTCATGGCGAGGGGTAATTAAGCGCCCATTCGCCGAAATGTTACTACGAATGGAGGAGGTAGTAATCTCAAAGCTTGACTCTTTGGCACTTTGCCCGTGTCACTTTCTTGATAGGGGAGCACATGGCCAGAGCTCGCTGCATGCGGGCGGATACGGGAATGGGAAATCGGGCAGATGAATGATCATCCCGTCGGCTGAGGCATTTCGCCATTCTAGTTCAATCTTTGTATTCGCACAAGATATGACATATCGATTATGAACAGACTCGGCTCTTTGGCCGTCATTAATGATTGGACCTACCATCTGCCTCAAAGTCCAACCCCAAAATCAACGGGTGCTAAAGGGCCAACTCGTCCCTCAGTCCGCGTGATGGTCTCGGCAGATGATGCCTGTATTCCCAGTCAGCATTAGCCGCAGACCTGCTTGTTCGGGGATCGCTCCGCTAGTGCAATGGGACGACCTTATCGATCTGGTCTTCATATCCGGGCGTGCCTTGCATGGACCACCTCGAATTCCTCCGCCTCGAATGTTTGCTCTTTTGCCCCAGCTTAACCCCGAAATCCCCTATTCCCGCATCTGCGCGGTGAGGCAACTTTTGGCTAACTTGGGCAAGTGCTAACAGGGAACATGTCAGCGCATCATTCGGGGTTAAGAATGGCACTTTCGGCTTGGAGAAGCCCGTCTGCAGAGGGACCATCTCCCAAGCTGCCATCCGACTGACGCCGCACCCGAAGACCAAGCCATTAGCCAACATTCGCCAAGAGGCTTGGACACTTGCTGTTGGTGTGAACCCCGTCTCCTTCGAGAAGGCGGTTCGACGTGTCTTTGGCAGGCTCGGCCACTCAGATGAGCGGTTCGGTCCATGCCGAAGTGATCCATGATGCGTTGATTAAATGACAGCTTCGGTGCAACGCATCGGGGTGGTATGTGAAGTATTGCGATCACAACGACATGGCTTGGCATTGGAGATGAGGCCATCGAGTTCTGATAAGGCACGTTTGTAGATGGCGAAGGGAAACATTAAGTTTCCACCAATGGCACAAAACAACATGAAAATGGTAAATTCTCAAATTGGAAAAGATATACAAAGCCCAAGAACTCCTGCAGCAGATAACAGTCTCATAAAGAGAAAATCAAAACTACAAATGGCACAATGAACGAGATACAATGCCCCCGTCTACCCCTACAAACCCTTCAGTATACTACCGAGGAGACCGATCAAATCATCGGCAGTGCTTTCAGACACCATCGTTGAGGCTCCAAAAACTCCGATATCCATTCCACCTGCATTGATCGAGGCCTCAACATCGAGTGCGTCCTGTGATATGTTAGACATCTTGTGCTGCCAGTTTCTAGTCAAAGGGAGCACATACCGGGAACGCGTCTCGCACCACGTTATTTTGTAGCCAGCGTGCCGAGCAGTCTCCCTCACTGCCATCGCTGCTATCTGTGAAAATGTCGCTGGGACTGGAGTCACTGGATATCGACTCCAGCGAGATAGAGCTGGCCTCTGACATCTCACTGTTTTCTTCGCCGAGATGGAGGAAGTTGACGAAGCAATCGATCTCGAGTCCAGTCCATTCCTTGATCTCCCAAAGTCCGACAGTTGCATGAGAGGAAATGTGATGTAAGTCATCTTGGACCTGCTTGGCAGTCTGGAGGAGGTCAAGATCATCTATGAGAGACACCTTGAGTGGCACCAAGTTGAGTGTGGGGAACGTGTTCGCCAATGCCTCGGTCGACGATCTGTTGGCAAAGTAGATACCAAAGACAATCTCTCTTGTTCCCTGACTTCTGAACTTCTGGAGTGCTCTAGCTGTTGCGGCGAAGAACAGCGCCGGTAGTCCTACGCCGGCTTGGGCAGAACATGCCTGGAGGCGGCCAATCTCCGGGACGACTGAGTGTTTGAGGAGAGAAACTCGGCTCAATGGCCCTGAGCTATCTTCGTGACTCTCGCTCAGCGTCCGGTTAACACCATCCAGATACTTGCACCAAAATATCTTGTCGTTGTCTTTGACTTCTTTGGTATGGTTTGAAGCAAGAAAAGCCCTCCATGGACCTAGATCAACTGCCTTATCAGAGGCTTTCGACTGAAACAATGCCTGCAACTTCTGCATGAGAGCCGGCAAGCTGAAGCCGTCGTATAGCGAATGATGAATGCGTAACTTCAGTGTCCATGATTCGGCGTCCTCTTGCTTCGCATTGAGTTGTACTTGCGGGTAGCACTGTTCTGTTGTCGGCGTTGGACCTTGTCCATCAATGAAAACCCGTTTGTGAGGTCCATCAAGATCAGTCTGTAGTATGATCTGGACAAAGGGCAGTGATCTTTCGCCTGTAGCGACCAGGCATGTTCGGAGAATTGGTTCAGAGTCCACTAGTGCAACCCAAGCCGACTGAAGTTGGTCGATGTTGACAGGCCCCTTGAGGCGATAAAAGAAGTCAGGATAGAAGACACGGCCTCTTGCGTTCTGCCACGCTGAGACCATGTGGACTTGCATCGGTAGTGGAGGCAAAATCTCCTCAATACAAGACTCGGACAAGCCAGAATTGGAAAGCAGCACTTGCGTGTTGATAGAAGTGGGTAGCTTGTATCTGGGGGCGATATCCTGCGTTTCTGGTGAAACATCAAGATTGGTAGGAGTAGCTTGGGCCTGGCCTGCCATCTCCTTAATCGAGCTGGAAGTCAGTAGCGCGCGAATCCCGAGGTTTATGCCCTCCTTGCGCAGAAGCGCCGTGACTTTGATGGCACTGATAGAGTCTAGGCCCAGGTTGTAAAGGGTATGGCTCTTGCCGATTGACTCGACTTCTACATCTGCTGCTCGCGAGAGTACCCTTCGTATAGTGCTCTCATTTGTCGTCCACTCGACATCATTTACACCTGGCCTCTTTATTGGGGCTGTTCCTGAAGGCAAGGTCGCTGTTGCTTTAGCGTGGAATTTCGGCAGTTGACAGATGGAAACTTGGTCACCCTCAAAGCAGAGAAGGTTGTCGTCAGGCGTATTGATGATGAACCTCAGAGCTCTATCAAGCTGACGAAGCAGTTGGTCCGTCATTCTCTCAGACACATAGGCATCCTGTCCAGCAATGCGCCAAACAAGTGTGTCGGGGGTGGTCTCCAACTCAGCGCACACAGCAAAGTCGGTTGCGGAAGACCCCTGAACAGACTTCATGATCTGGACATTGTCTGGCCCCGAGCTGGGACTCTTCTGAAGGATGAACAGAGTATTGAAGAGTCGCCCACCCACAGCGCTCTGGGCTTTTCGCAGAGGGTAGTTCTGGAACTCTGTGATATCGCCCATCGTCTCTTGAAGGTAGCGTAAGAAGCTCGTGGTTGAACCGTGAAGGAAGCAACGCACTGCTACGGTATTCATTGTTGGAAACATCAGAGCTTGTGATTGCTCGGAGTCACGCCCAGCAAGAACCACGCCGAAAGTAACTTCAAGAGATTGTAGCAGAGTCGCAACTACCGATGCCCAACAGGCTTGGCCCAAAACCTGTAAGCTGACAGCATGACGTTTGCAGAATGCAATAACTTGCTCCTGATTGATGCTCGAAACGGCCTCCGTTCGGTGAGTGACGTTCCTAGATAATTCGTCCGCGGATTGTCTCTCGGATATCAGGGACGGCTGGGTATCTGCGAGATACTGAGACCAAAACTTCCGCGACTGGTCGGTTGGCGTTTTCACAAGGTCTCGTAGGAAAGGCTCAGTCGGTGGGCGCTCAACTAATTGGCTTTGATAGGCAACAGCAACGTCTTGGTGTAGCAGAGCTAATGACCAACCGTCGTACAGAGCATGTGAAATTGACAGAATAAGCAGCGACTTCGAGCTCGTATATAGGAGGGATAATTGAAGTAAGTTGCCGTGCCCGTTCGCAGCTTGAGCATTCTCCTTGTGGCTTTGGATGATGTCTTGCGGCTCGGTCTGATCATTTCCGAACTTGCCCAAAGTTGGCAAGTTTGACTTCAGCACAATCTGGGCGAAAGTCTGTTCCACCTTCGGATCCTCAATCTGAACGAATACTGTGCGCAGTATTGGTGAGTGCTCCACAGTCCGCTTCCAGGCCCTCTCGAATTTTTCAAGGTCTAGTCCGTCGGCTAGCTCCAAGATGTCGTGGTTGAAGTACTGGTCAAAGTCTGACTGGAGCATTTCTGCCATCATGGACTCTTGGAGAGGGGTGGGAGGCAAAACAGCCTCTGCGTCGTCGAGGTTGAATTGAGTTGACTCAACAGCTTTCCATAATTGATTTTTGAGTTCATCAAAGCCTAGTTGGTGGTCGACTTCAGCCGAAGTTGCCTTCTTGTTGCTCAAGATCTGGGACATTGCAGCGATAGTTTGCGCGCGCATAAGTTGAGACAAGGTGAGCTCGTAGCCGCTGTGTTTCAGTCTCGCAGAGAGCTTGACGAGATCAATGCTGTCAAGACCTAGTTGAAGCAGCGCCATGTTTTCTGTGATGCTGTCCTCGGAAGCACCAGCTAGGGCAGCAATCTCCTTCCTCAAAGCCAAAGCGGATGGAGTCCACTCAAAGTCTGACAGACTCAATTCTAGATGGTAATCTTTCGAGATCTCCCCGTCGATGGACTCTGGTCTTGAAGTCAATGGTGTGCGGGGAGACGCCGCTGTTGAAGCCTCCCTGGAAGGATTTGCGGTAACAGGCAAGGAAAACGTGGCCCTTGATGTCACGTCGACCATGGCATCGTCAATCTCTTCAAACAAAGAGTTCATCGTTGCTTCGTCGGCTACATCTCTGTGCGCAACGACCTGGACGCGCAGCTGGCCATCTGAGGTCGCGGATGCTTCGAAGGCTAAGGGGTAGTCAGAAACACTGTAATCGTCCATGATGGACCACATGCCAGATGGCTCTGTGGAACGAGGTGCCTCGATTTGGAACACAAATAGGTTCTCGAAGATGGGACGGCCTCTGGACTTGGAGCACCACTTTTGAATGTTACGCAGCGGCACGTGCTGGAATTGCAGCACAGAGGTATTGAACTCGTGGCATTTCTGGATCAGGGACAACCAAGTGTCACCCTCTTTGAGGCCGGCGTAGAAGAGAAGTGTGTTAAACAACGGTCCGATGGTATTTTCGACCTGTTCCATGTCGATAGATCGGCCAGAAACAATGACTCCAGTAGCGGCGTTGCCTGGGGAGTGCTTCTTAAAGACAGAGGTCCACAGGGCAAGCACAACCGACTGCAAAGTGACGTTAAGAGATCTACGCAAAGTCTCCAAATTGCGTGCCGAGTAAGTCTTGGTCTTCGTGATGATAGCAGCAGGGTCTCCTGAGCGCAATCTGGGAAGGGTATCGAAGGAGCAGTCACTCAGATGGTCAACCCAGAACTGGCGGCTAGAATCGTAATTTGCCAAAGGACCATGAGCGAGGGTGTCCAGGAATGTTGGCGGTGCCTCGTGCTCTTTGTTCAAATACTCAGCAGACACCCATCGGAGCATTGATTCGAAGCTTGAGCCGTCGTACAATGCATGGAAGATGTGAACAACAAGGACGGTCTCCCCGCCAATTTGAGCTACAATCAGCTCAAGAGGATTTGAGACACTCCTGCTGTTCTGATGTATCAAGTCTGGAAGAGCGCTGGAGAGTAGTGGCTCGATCTCGGCAGGGCTGCGATCACGGAAATCTTTCCATGAGAGCTGAGCGGACTTGGCTGCGACTTGAGCAAAACCAGCGGGTGTCTGGATAAAGCTAGTTCGTAAGATCGCATGAGCTTTCACCATGTTGTCACAGGCGTTCTTGAGCTTGGCAATGGACACTGCTGGCGCGAGCTTGAGTCGGAACGCAGTGAAGTAGGCACCTTCGTCCTGATCTGACATGAATCGCGAAAGCATTCCTTCTTGAAGTGGCGTGCATGGTGCGACGTACTCGATGTCTCGGTCATTGGTCAATCCAAGCTCCTGGACGGCTAAGGAACGGTACCTGTGTCCAAATGCATGGATGAGCTGGCGTGCCTCTTGAACACTGCTGCTCTCATTCGAGGACTGGCTCTCTTGCAAAGTTTCAGCCAGATCTCCTAGACCCGGGTTTCGTAGAATGATATGAGGCGATGCTCCAGCGAGACCACCCTTGCGCATTAAGCGCGACAATCGCAGCGCCGAAATGGAGTCAACTCCGAGGTCAAAAATGTTGCTTGACAAAGACACGTTCGTGTTCTCGCCCAGGAACTCTCTCATCGTCGACAGGACCAGCCGTTGAGTGTCATTGATTGGCTCAGAAGCTGCGCTCGAAGATGGTGACAGCTGCACCAGCTTCTCAGGTGTGAGTGTGCGGAAAAGTTGATTGAGCTGCTTGATGTCTGCTTTATTGTTGGGAGAAAGAGGAATTCGTGGAACATGGAAGATGTATGAAGGCACCATGTATCCCGGTAGAGTATCCCTGCAGGCTTTCTGAACAGAACGGACGAGGGGGGCAGTATTTTCTTCGCTCAAGACCTGAAGTTCATCCTTAGAAGCACCTTTTGACGTGCAGCTGAAAAAGGTGACCAAAAGATCCTTGTCGAGGCTGCCGTGCTTGGTAACCAAAGTAGCGACGTCGCTGACTTCACGAACCCGAGTACGAATGGAGTGGTTGATCTCTCCTATTTCCAAACGCTGACCTCTCAGCTTGACTTGATCGTCAGCACGACCAAGAAAGTCAAAGCAGCCATCATGTAGCACTCTGACCAGGTCTCCGGTGCGGTAGACGCGTTCACCATGTCTTTCAAGGAAGGGGAAGCGCTCCTGAGTCAACTCAGGTCGCTTCAAGTAGCCCTTACCAACAAGTTTGCCGGAAACACAGAGCTCTCCAACACCGCCTTTCATGACCGGAATGTCAGTGCTAGGATGCAGCACGTATGATCCAACATTGTCAAACTGTTTGCCAATATTCGATGCCCGGCCATTCTGTGGTACACGCTGATACATGGTGACCCCAATTGTTGCTTCAGTCGGACCATACGCGTTGTAGATGACTCCAGTGGGGCCCCAAACATCGAGGATCTCCTGCTTGAGAGCTTCTCCACCGGTAATAAACACTCCATTCCCTCTTGAGAGGCTAGGAACTTCGGCTGGATCAAGAAGACGTGCCAGACTGGGCGTCAAATCGATGTGCGTGATGTTGAGGCGGCGGATCGTACCAGCGAGGTCATCCAGGATGAGATCTCTAGGCGCCCCGACCAGAGTCATTCCCACAGACCAGCTCCAGTACTGCTCTAGAACGGACACGTCAAAGTGGAACGATGCAAACTGCATCCATTTGGACTTCTCGTCCCAATGTCCATCGAACAGCCTCTGGAATGCCTTCATGGCCTGAACTGCATTCTCGTGGGTTATCTCGCATCCTTTGGGAGTGCCAGTGGTGCCAGATGTGTACAAACAATAAGAATTGTCTTGCACGCTGAGACCTTCGGGGGCAATGAATTGTTGGGGCTGGTGACTCAGTGAAGTGTCGTCTATATGAATGATGGGTTGCTCAACGGTGAAGTCGATGTCAACGTTCGTCAACAGTGCCAGAGCGCCAGAGTCTTTGAGAATGAACTCTTTTCTCGCTTTCGGGGCCGACGGGTCCAAGGCTAGAAAAGCGCAGCCTGATTTGAGGATTCCAAGAATCACGAAGCACGCCTCTGGGCACTTATCAAAGTGAATTGCAATGGTCTCGCCAACTTTTGCGTGAGGTGACAAGACATGCGCGACCTGGTTTCCCTTCTCGTTGAGCTCCCGGAACGACCATTGTCGAGAGATCGGAGTCTCGCCGTCGAATCCAGTAACAAATTCAAGGGCGATCTTGTCGGGATGAGTCTCAGCCTTGGTCTCGACAAAGCTGTGAAGGAAAGGCTCTTCAGAGTGAATTGTAGGCTCCAGGGGAGGGGTGATGGAGAAAATTGACGGGTCACTGGCCCACAGGTCGTCTGTGGTCTGCTCCGGGCACTGGACGAGATGTCTTAGCACTGCGTCGAACTGGTCCAGTAAATGGATTGCTTGAGCCTTAGGCAAGATATCAGTTTTGAAGGACAGGCGTAACTGGACCTTTCCGTCGGGAAGCGGCTCAACTTCAAAGGAAACTGGGTAATCCAAGTTGCCCTCATCACTGACAACCTCCCACGGGAAGTTGGGAGTGTCATCGGTTGGCATCCGCTGATACACAAGAAGAGTGTCAAACACTCTAGCATTTGGATATCCAAGCCATCTCTGAACTTGTGCTAAGGGAGCATTCTGATGCTTCAGAAGCTGATTGTTGTAGTCAAGCATCTGTTGAACAAGCTCAGAGTTTGATGATCTGTTGTGTGCGACGACAGGCAGAGTAGTGATGCAGGGGAGAATGACGTTCCTCGTCTCATCGCTCATGCGACCAGACAAGACGATGCCGAACACTACATCTTCTTCGCCTAGATACGCAGACAGAATTCGGGTCCAAGTCGCTTGTAGGACACCCTGGATCGATACACCGACTCTCCTCGCGTTTTCGGATAGCTGGGTGAAGTCCATGCTGGAAACACGCTTTTCAACAATCGATGCGGGAGACTTTTCCGTCAGCGGAGTCAGAGTTGGGAAACGGTTAACCACAACTTCAGGAGCCTTCTGCTTCCAGAAAGCTTCTGCTTGACTAGTATCAAGGGAGGCTTGGAGAATTTGCGAGAGACCGTTTTCGATGGGCGCATGTTGAAACATAGGCGTTCCAGACAAAAATGAGGATAGATCCTGGAGAATCAACTGGAAAGAGTATGCATCGTAGAGCGCATGGTGCATAATCACATGCATTGTAATGCCTGAAGTGGTTGATTCGAGAGCCAAGGCCCAAGGGGATTGCTGCAACGAGCTCAAAATCGTGTGCGCAGTATCTAGTTTCCACTTTGTAACACCGAAGGAGTCGGACGCGTGATTGTGAATCGTGAGACGAAGTTGAGAGCGCGTTGCTGGTTTTTGCACCATTGCAAAAGATGCATCTCTAAGTTGTGTGGAGATAAATCCAGTTCTCAGGATCTCGTGGTGATCGAGCAAAGCAGCCCACGCATCCTCAACCCGATCCATAGAAATGTCTTCGTTGAGTGCGAAAGACATGTAATTGAGGTAGGCTTTCCCCTCTGATTGGATGAAGTCGTTCAGCATAGCGGACTGCAAAGGCGAACATGGTAGGATCTTGTCAAAGTCACCAGCCGAAGAAGAGTCTCTGACTGCTTGCTCAAATTTGGCAAAGTCATACTGACTGGTGTCCTGCGTGGCGGCACTCCGTAGGCAAATGGCCAGTTTCGCACAAGTGGGAGATTCAATGACATCCAAGGCAGATAACCCCAGGCCTTGCTTGCGCATCATAGCTGCAAGTTGCACTGCATTGATGCTGTCAAGGCCTAGCTGGAAGATGGTCGTGGTCTTGCGGATACTCGAGACTGGGACCTTTGAGAGCTCGGAGATGATCGATCGGAGCTGGTCCTCAGCTTGGCTCCATTCTTCAGTGACGGAAGCTGCTTCCGCGTCCGACTGCTCAATTGTCTCTGAGATCTTCTCGATCTTGAGACGTCCAAGAGCCTGCCTTGTTTCCGGTGCCAAATGATCTCGCGTAGGAACACTGGAAGCAGGGTGGGTTGCTATGTGTTGGGCGACATGCAAGAACGTGTCGAGCAGTCCGACGATAGCTTCTTGCGCCATGAAAGGACTGCACTTGAGGTTAATCCACCAGTATTCATTGCAGCTAGACAGTCTGCGACTTACCTATTGGAGTGAAGTCTGACAGTCATCAGGTCGCGAGCCGGAGACGGAACCAACTCGCAAACCAGAGGTACCTGGGCATTTTCATCAGCTCTTTCCTTTCCTCAAAAGTTCGGGGCGGCGGGAAGCATCCAGCTCACAACTCACATCCATGGTTCCGTTGTCCTCAACTAGTTCCCAGATGCCAGAATCACGATCTGGCCGACGTTGCTGAAGGAGGAGAAGCGAATCAAATAGCTGTATACCGCTCTTGGAAACCTGATTCTGGATTGAGCGCAAGGGGGTGAACTGGTGTTCCAAGAGGAGAGGATTAATGTTCTGGAACTTCTTGAGGAGAGCCATGCTTTCCGTTGATGGCGGGACTTCGACTCTGACAGGCAAAGTATTGAAACAAGGCGCGACTAAACGGTCAATGCCGTCCACTGACAAAGCCCTACCACTCATAACGTTTCCGAAGCAGACTTCTGACTCTCCATATACCAGAGTCAGGAACACAGACCAGGCTGTTTGGAAGTATGATAGCATCGAAACACCAGAAGCCTTGCACATAGCTTGAATTTGGCTGAGGGACATGAGAAGCGGCCTTGTCGTGACAATAGGTGCGGGTGACCCGAAAAGTTGGGAGCCCCCAGCAGAGAGAATGTGCTGAGCGGGCTTGAAGCCGTCGAAGTGATTCTTCCAGAAACTACTTGTTCCATCAGGGGATTGAAGAATCTCTGCAAGAATTGGCTCGTACTCCAGGGGAGCTGGGAGAGTCTTCCCGGCTGCGAGCTGTTCAACCTCAACCAGGAGTGCATCCATTGCCACGCCATCGTAAAGCGCGTGATGGCAGGCAAAAGAGAGGTAAACATCTCCCACTACCTTGAGGATAGCGAGTGAAAGTGGTGGGATTTTCGAGTCCACTGGGTCGGGCAATCCTTCCACGTGTCGGCTGGCTGCTTCTTCTAGACTGCCTGCCTCGATCAGGTCCCATGCCATGGACACAGAGTCAAGTACAACTTGCGCAACGGCACGTTTTGGGTCTCTAGTCGACACAAAACATGTCCGAAGGATGCCATGTCGGCAGTGCATTTGCTCCCAGTAGCTCTTCATGTCTGTATCAGAAATGTGTAGTCTGAAGACCATCTGGTTTGAGTAGGATGATCCTGTTGTGGACAAAAGCATGGCCTCTTGGAGGGGGGTGCACGGCAAAACTGAAGATACCGATTTGTCATCTTCTGCGAACCCTCGCTTGACTTCTTCGACAAATTCCCGAGGAAACAACGCGGAGGCACAAAAAGCTGTGCTCGTGGAGGTGGTAGATGTGTCGGCAAGTATTTCTTGAGCCAAGCGAGCTATGCAACCTGTCCGAAGAATCGTTGAGACCGGCACTCTGCGATTGAAAGAAGCTTGTAGAGCCCTCGCGAGAGAAATTGCTGATATAGAGTCCAGTCCAAGAGCAGCAAAAGGCTGCCATCGAGCAATGTCTTCCGCCGCTACATTGGTCGTCCGAGACACGGCCGTTCTGACTGTTCGTTCATCTTCTGACCAGAAGCTTTCATCTTCCTTCTGCTGGAGAGAGCCTGCAGCGCGGTCGATGTAGTCTCGACTCAAGTCGCGGAAAGATGCTTGCAGCCGGGCTCTATCAACCTTGCCACTAGATGTCAACGGCACGGAATTGATTGGGACCAGGTAGCTCGGAATCATGTAAATCGGTAAACGGGATCGAAGAAGGCCGAGAAGGGTATTGTTTGCTTCAAAGAGGCCTTCGTCGATGGGCAAGATCCCAAAGTCATCATAGGATTGCTGAGCAGGCACATAAAATACTGCCAACTGAGACGTGGATGTAGTTGCGTTGCTGACGATGACCACCGCACTTGAAGTAGCGATGCTCGAGGTCGTGAGAATACTGCTGATTTCCCCAGTGTCAATCCGTTGTCCACGTAGTTTCAACTGGTCATCCATGCGTCCAAGAACCATCAAAGATCCATCTGGAAGCATCCGCCCCATGTCGCCTGATCGATAGATTCTACCAAACTGCGGGTGGTCGAGGAACTTAAGCTCAGTAAGATTCTTCATCCCTAGATAGCCGGCTGCAACCTGATCTCCTCCGAAGCAGAGCTCACCAACACAGCCAATAGGGACTGGGTCGGTCATTGTAGAGCCAAGAACAAAAGTCGAGGTGTTGTCGAATGAAAACCCAAGATGGTCGATGAAGTCTCCAGGCTTCATCTTTTTGACAGTGCAAATATTCGTTGTCTCAGCTGGGCCATATCCTACAAATGTGATTAGCTCAAAATCAAAACCTGAGAAGCAGTGTGAAGCTTACCTTGATATAGGAATCCGGTCCATCTTTCTGCCACAAGTGCAGTCATGGGCTCACCGGCAGTAACAAGAAAATCAACTGCGGGTACGTTGCGAGGGTTGACCAAAGAAGCAACCGTCGGGGTCATGCTGAGATGAGTGCATCCCAAAAATTGGATGGCACGCTCCAAGTCCTCAAAAAGGGTATCATTGGTACCAGAGCACAAACATGCTCCAACCTTCCAAGTAAAGAAAATCTCAAAGACTGAGACATCAAACGCCTGTGAACATGCTTGCAGGAAACGAGAAGTGTTGCTATGCGGGTATATCCTAGACAAAACGTCGAGGTTGCTCACGATGTTCTTCTGTGTGACTACCACGCCCTTGGGTGTGCCTGTGGTTCCAGACGTATAGATAACATATGCTGGGCGCGAAGGGTCCACAGACAGATCCAAGTTATTCTTCATAGTGCTGGGCGTGTCAATTGACAGGGCGTCCACGAATTGACAACTGGAGAGGTCGCCTAGACTTGATGAAACGGCCGCATCGGCAACACAGATACTGACCTCGGCTTGTGTCAAAATGAGCCGGATTCTATCATTCGGGGTGGTGGGTAAGAGAGGCAAGTATGCGCAGCCAGCTTTGAGAATGCCCAGTATCGCGGCATACAAGGAGATTGACTTCTCCATAATTATGCCTACAATGCCGCCCTCCCTCGCGCCCAGCTTACGAAGATGCCTTGCGATTTTGTTAGCCGATGAATTCAGGCTGCTGTACGTCATCGTGTCGACGTCTCCATCATCAAGAGATCTTGCAAATCGTATGGCTGTGGCACCAGGTGTGGCACTCGCCGACAGCTCAAACATTGCCGCCAGATCCGGGATCGTCGAGAGAGTTACAGGGTGAGCGTTGAAGATGGAAGTGAGTCCTTGGGATAGGGATTTTCCGATAGTTTCCACTGGACTTTGAGGCTCGAGTATAAGGTGTGAAACCACCGATTCCAACTGTTTCATCAGAATCTCGGCGTGTTCTGCCGTAAATGCGTTGGTGTGGTAGGTCAGGCGACAAACTGGGCTCTCAGCGGAAGGCTCAATTTCGATAAGAAGGTTAGTCTCTAGGAAGTCCTGATGAGACATTTCCCGAACATGCCCCTGTTTTGCTTGCTGACTGTAGAGAGACTCTTGGTAGACAAACAACACATCAAAGAGAGCATCTCCGGGGCTCACGCCTGCGATTCTCTTGATGTCTGCCAACGGCAAGATGCCGTGTTGTAGCGCGCCACGGTTCGTGGCCTGGATGTGGCGAACGAGGTCAGCAATGGTCGCAGTCCCGGCTAGATTGACTCTCAAAGGCGTTGTCATGATGCAAGGACCCATTATGCACTCAATGCTCGTCACCGGAACGGTTCTACCTGACGAGACTGAGCCAATTATAAGGTCCGTTTGTCCTTGCAACCCGGCCCAAAGCCACAGCGTAGCAGCTTGGAAGAAAACTTGAGGGTGGCACTGGAGCCGTGACGCGGTCTCCATCAGGACGCTCTGTGAGATGTTCATTGTCTTAACTGCAGTTCGAGTTTCAACGGCATCAGCAGGGCGTCCCATGAGACGTGGTAGGTTATGTCGTTGCCAACCAAGCAAATGATCCGCCCAGAATCCACGCGCCTCATCCATCCGACATTTGGTGGCAGGCTCCGCGTAGAATCTGGAAACGTCTCGGAACTGGGGTCTGGTCTCGGGCACTCCACCATCGGCTATTGTGGAAAAGTCTTTGATCAACATGTCGGCCGACCATCCGTCGTAGAGGGCGTGATGCATCTGGAAGAGCACGATTGGTCCAAGACCTTGTTGACGTCCCAGAATTTGGACTCTGAGAGGACGCAAGTAACTCTCATCAGAAGCCAGACTATGATTTTCGTCCAGATGGTGGACAATTTGAATAGAAGACTGAGGAAGCTTGTTGTAGATGATTTGTGCGAACCTATGATCAAACGATACGAACCCTGACCGGAGGATCTCGTTGTTCTGTGCAACCTGGTACGTCCATTGCAAAACTTCCTGCGTCGTAGTCTCGGCCGGAAATTCAAGCTTGATCCAGTTGCAATAGGCCTGTGGATTGACAGATGTCTCTGCTAGCATTGAGTTTTGCAGAGGTGTGCACATTTGAAGTCGTGCGATATCGTCTTTCAAAGACGTCAGGTCCGCACGTTGCCCGAGCAGCTGGTCGGTGTGTATCTCGCAGGGATCTTTGAAGTCAAGCATGTGGCCTTCTTGGTCTATTGCTGAGGTTGATGCCGCCACTTGTAGAGAGGTGAACAAGGCCGAAAGAGTCTTGGAGCTGAGGATGTCCGTTGCTGATGCCTGAAAACCGCCTTCCCGTAAAGCCGAGGCAAGTCTTATTGCCTTGAGAGAATCAAGGCCCACGGATGCAAGCGAAGCCGATGGAGAAATTTGAGAACCGAGAAAGTTTGACACAATTGATAACGCCTTCCGTTCTAGTGGGCTAGCCGCTTCAAAATGGTCTTCGGGTTGAGATGTTGTCAATGACGTTGAATATTCGTTCTTGAGTTGTTTCCGGTCCACCTTTCCCGAGGGCAACCTTGGGAAGCCTGTCTTGATGACGATGTCACCAGGAACCATGAAAGACGGGAGCCATGTGCGGCAAGTGTTGAGAATGTCTTCCACATAATCTCCCGGAGCAAGTTCGTCGTCAATGGCGCAAAATGCAACCAGAATCCCGCCCAGAACCATGGCAATCGCACTATGACACCCGGTGGTTCGCATTGCTGCTTGCTCAACTTCGCCGAGTTCAATTCTTTGGCCGCGTAGCTTGACCTGCCCGTCAGATATCCTCCCAAGGCACTCCATGGTACCGTCTGAGTTCATGATGGCCTTGTCACCGGTGCGGTAAACACGGCCGTGCGGAGTATCGAAGAATGCCGCATCAGTCTGTTCTGGCCTATTAAGATAGCCATTGGCGAGTTGATATCCTCCGACGACAAGCTCACCGAGTTCGCCTATTGGAAGTATGTTGAAGTTGAAGGGGGAGTCGTCTTCGGGGATGGCGACGACAAAACACGAGACGGAATCTAGGGGAAATCCGATATTCGAAGAGGGACAATCCGTGGGGTATCTAGGTCTAAGTGTGCTGCGTATCGTTAGTCTTCATGATGCCAATGCAGACATGCAATGACTTACCAGTGGATTGCAGCCTCGGTTGGGCCATACATGCCCCATAACATGCTGTCCGACACGTCGCTGCCGCCAAACTCGCGGACAACGGACTCTGTCAACATTTCACCAATTGTAAGGAGGAGCTTCAGACAAGGAGCGTTTTGCCGCGAGCGAAGAAGACTACCAGCGACAGTAGGCGTCAACTCGCATGCATCGACCTGCAAAGTCCTGATGACATCAGGAAGATCGTTGAGCATGCGACCACGATCGCACGTAACTAGTGTTGATCCACGAAGAAGAGGGAAGAAAATTTCGAATACTGATACATCGAACGTCGGCGAGGCAAATTGAAGGAAGCGCCTGAAACTTGGAATATGCCGGTCATGGGCGAGAAGACTTTGGGTTGCAGCATCGTGCGAGACTCCAACGCCTTTTGGCGTGCCGGTTGAACCAGAAGTGTACATGACATAGGAACGATGTTGAGGCTCAATGTGCCGAGTTGTGAGACTTGGTGATGAAGCCAAATCATCAGTGACCTCTTCGTCCACCACTAAGACAACCCTCTCTGCGTCATCCTGAGGAATCTTTGACACCAAGTCCCGAGTGACAAGAACGACTTTCGCCGATACGTCTTGGAAAATGAATCGAACCCTCTCAGGAGGTGCATCTAGATGCAAAGGGCAGAAAGCTCCGCCAGCTTTGAGAACCGCCAGCATCGCAATATAAAGATGCGAGCATTGAGGGATGAGTATCGGTATAATGAAATCATCCGATGAGGAGGATATCGCAGCCAAGCGAGAGATTCGTGCTGCTAGGGCATCCGCGGCATTGTGGAACTGGGCGTAAGACAAAGTTGATTCTTCTCCATGGCTGTTCAGTGAGTGAATCGCAGGCAGCGATTCATTTGATGTAAGCTGCACAAGTTGGTGAAGGAGGCGAGGTCCTGGGACCCGAGTGGGATGAGGATTTAGGATGGAGAGCTGGGGCTCCAGCTCAGCGTCCGTCATGTCGGCCTCGTCGTCGTCGTCGAACAAGAAACGATGCTATTCCCAAACTGATGAGAAAATCTTAGTAGCTCTCCTAGAAAGCTGTAGGAAGTGGTCCGATGCACAAAGCTCTTGGTTAACCATAGCATTACAAAGGGTATCCAGGTATTAGTCGGGGCCCTCTTTTCAACGGGAAGAGCTCGACGGTCAATGCGCCCGAGTCCAGATCAAGATGGACCTGCAGCTAGAGGTCTAAGAGACCACGCGCCGGGACAGGTCTTCGTCCAATAAGACAAGTGATGATTCACAGATCCGGTCATGTAACGGCGTGGTTCCTTAGTTGGGTGCTGGGCAACATGCCATGGGGGTAATGCGAGGGGTTGACACGGGGTCGGCTGCAGGTCTGCTGGCCTGTAAGATTGCAGCAATTACTCAGCTGGTGGGAAACGTCGAGCGATTTTACAGCACAATCCAGAAAGGTCGCCAGAGCTTCGTGTGTCGATGATGAAATATGGGATCGTTCATTCGTGGATGATGACGGCGCGTTGGCGCGAGCTGGCTAGCTCAAGACGGCTCGTCCCTGTGCGTAGGGCTGTCTATGACCTGTGCGTATGTCGGGCGTGTGACAACTTCCAGTGCGACGGTAGACTGACAAGGAGATACAGGGGGAGACGAGGAGCGCTGCAGAATAAAGATATGGATTGTTGGTGATCTACCACTGGTTGTCTTTGTGTGTACGGGCGCGTATGCGTATGCGTGTGTGTGCGTGTATGTGTGTGTCCGCTGGCTGAAGAGGTTTATCAGAAGCGCAGACTACCTAGACAAGCTACCGCGCTTGCAGCACACAAAGGAAACGACCAAGAGACTCCCCCCGCCCACCTCGAGCGGATCCTGATGTGGCTGACGGGGGACGGCGTCAGGTGTGTTAGTCGTTTTGGGCGACTTACACACAAGTTTCCGGTCAGTATCCGTAAGCTTGAAAGGTTATGACTTGTGAGATCTGCCATCCCACGCCTGTTTCCAGGCTCGTGGCAGCGTGGGCAGGTTCTGAGGCCAGGCATCGGCCCTCCATTTCACTGAAAGGGATGACCCAGATGCCGGGGGGCATTTCCGGCGCTTATAGCGTCATGGCATAATAGAGCTCGCCGCGTTGCCCGAGGGCGAAACGCCGCTCTTCGCTGTGAAATAAGCTTCGACGGCCCGTTCAGTGCTCTCTAGCTACCTCAGCCTGGGCGACGTTTACTCGGATGTGTAACGTAAGACCGGAAGTCTGCAGACACGACTACCGCTGCAGTGGCGAGCCTGCACGGCATCCGATCTTGTGGTTAGGCAAAGCTCTTGACAGCTGCTGTGCACCATGAAGCCCGTTGTTCGACATGCATCCCCGTCCGTATTTGAATCAAGCGGGAGCGATGTCGCCGTGTCCGAGGCGCTGGCTCTGGCGGGGAAAACGGGTTTCGAGCTTGGCCGGCCGCCGGCCGTCTCCGGTAAAAGACGTCGAATCCTCAAAGCTTGTGTCTGCTCATGTCTCACGCTCCGCAGCCAACAACCTGCTATGGAACTCCCAACGTCGGATGAAGGCACGGCAGGCTCGGATTAAACATGTACTGGGGTTTTGCAGAGATGCACAAGCATGGCGCGAGATCTGACGGCGCATCCAGAACAGGCCATTTTTCCCCAGATGCCACGCCATGATCCGCGTGGATGCTCGGCCATGTTCGCGGCGGCTGGCCGATCTCGTCTGACTGCCGGATAACGGTTTCTATAAGCGGCAAACTCTCCGGGCACTTGCCTCTGGAGGTCATGAAGAGGGCGGTACGGAGGACGACGGCGCGGGGCTCTTTTGGGGAACCACTCAACCGCCATGTCAGTGCTGACTGGCCAAGATGACAAGGTGGTGGTGGGAAGAAGGCATCTGGCTGGTCAGATTTCACCCGCGCATGGCGGTTTTATCTGGATCGCTTCGTCTGTCGCTTCGTCCACAGGTAGGCACGAGCCGGCGGGATGGTATGTACTGTGATCAGCAAGCGTATGTTAATTAGGTTCTATGTGCGCGCGCAGGCGAGACGGAGCAGCAAGCTGCAATAGTCGCCTAGCATGTTTGCGTATCGATATTTGGATGCGACGGATGGATTCTGGAGAAAGATCCTTGCCAAACATAGGCGCCAGGAAGAGAGGCCAATGGAGAAAGAGTCGCCGTTTGGCCGTGGGGTTACTGTCAGTCTGTCACAGGTCTGCGCCGCTGCGGTCGTGTCACCTCTCCGGCCCGTCTACATACGTGCAGGGGCGATGTATCGTTGTAAGAGCCAAAGACGCGAAGTGTGGCCCAGATGTGGGGTTGACTGAGTCGAAGGCAGTACGTAATTCAGCATCGGAAGAGAACGGCCAATGCCTCTGAATACCGGACTAGATGGAAGGAGATATTGCATCGAAGGCCTACGAGGGGGTCGAAAGAGGCTACCGCTGAAGTGAGTACGCGTCCATCGATGCTGGGTACAGGGTGAGGCAGTCTAGAGAGTGCGGTCAGTGACTGGCGGTGGTCAGCATGCCGAGCTTAGGAATGTCCTTGGAGGCAGTGGTTGGGATTCAGGTTCCAGGAGCAGGACTCAGGAAGACCCGGCCAGACGTCAGAGAAGGCTGTCTGCATTCTGCATTCCACGGATACAGCGTGGTGGGCGTCCAGCCTTCAGGTCCCGGCGGCGATGCCTCAATACCCGTCGTATCCCCTCCTTCGGAAACATGGCGACTCGGCGAGCTATGGGATGGTGGATGACTAGGGATGGGATAGGATGGGACGGACGCTTAGATGATGTCGGTGGATTTCGCCAGCGCGTCGTGGTGGATGGATCGAACGGGTCCATCGAAGAGAAAATGTGGGTGGATGGGTGGATGGATGCCGTAGGACACGGCGAAACGAAATCCAGGTTGACTACCTACTCGGGTATAGACTGGATGGTATTCTCGGTCTTGGTATATGACTGCGAGAGGGACGGCGGGATTGAGCCGTGTTCGGTGGTTCTTGGTCGGCAGTCGGTGGTGATGGTGGTGTTGTAGACTTGAGGTTGGAGCTTTGGTATAGGGTAAGGTTGGTATTCCGCGGAAGATGAAAGGAGGGCGGGCATGTATTCGTACAGCAAGGGCAAGACGAGAGTCGGGTCTGAGTGAACCGTAGATACGGAGTACTAGCGACGGGTGAAATCGAGGAATACTTGAGGCAATGAGTAAGTGCAAAGCCGGTTATGCAGTGTGCGTGCGAGATGTTCCGCCAGGCTGGAGGTATCCGTACGAACACTCCGCAACACACAGAAAGGCGTGCAGGATTCCAGGCATGCTGAAGCGTGAATGCTGTGTGCGAGCGTCGGCAAGCGGGCGGGTGGGAATCCATGTGAAGAGATTTTTCCACCTTCCCTGTCTTGACACTTCGGTGCTTGCCTGGTTCAGACGAGTTCGGAGTGACAGTGTGACTTGAGGGGGTGCCTTCCATCTTCTCTGGGGTTCGGCGAGTGCTCCTGCCCTGCTCCTGCTCTTGCTCCAGAGGTGCTCCTGCTTGTTGTCGGGTCCTCGTTTTGCCCGAAGGCACTTTCCCATTTGCAGCCAACTGCAGTCCCGTCGGGGTGCAAGTCCAGGGCAGTGTGCACCTGCTTCTTGGTACGAATACCTCACATACCTCAATGGAAGTGAGGTAAGGTAACGTACCCAAGTTACCTTAAGGTACATGTGCATAGGTAGGTCCAGCGTGCCAACGCGCCAACGTCCACCTCATGCCCATGCCGCATGTCGAATTTTTCTTCAGGTGCCTTTCCCCTGCCTGCTTGACTGCCTGCCCGCTTCCATCGGCCATCCCCTCCCTCCCTGCGTCGTTTCTCGCCGTTGTCACCACCTACCTTACGGATACATACCAGGTAGTGGACGGATACCGTGCTTATTTTACCACTCACAGGTGCAGAAAAAGGCTGTGGATGATCGCCAGTGGATGCGTGGTGGGTTTGACGTTAAGAGATGCCATGGATTTCACGGATTCATCATTCATGGGTGGCTATTGAATCCCCGTCTTGACAGGGAAAAAAGCCTCGTCAGACCAGGGCTTCATCGAGGGTTGGACGGGGGCTATCGTGGCATCGTCACTGGGCCCAATACAGCAGGTACGTACGCCTTACCTCATTAGACCCGGATCTTATCAGATTTAGATAATCAGATCATCAGATAACTCGGGCAAAACGATGCCAACGGCGCCCAAAATTCCCGCAAAACCACCAAAACCACACAACCACACTTAGCACACCCACCCACTGGCCCCAGGCTTGCCAGGCTAAAAACCCCACTGCCGCAAACTCCGACGAGCGACATATCCTCGGTTGACTGCTCTCAGCCATTCGCTTTTTTTTTCTTTCTCCTTCCTCTCGAATCTTTCAATTCTCAGTGCGTCTCGTTCGCACATCGAGCCACAAATTTAATACACTTCCAATCCGCTGCGAAACCATGAATCACCTCAACGCTCGCCAATGGATCCGGGGGGCTCTTGCGAGAAACCTCCAGTGTTTCCCCATATACCCATTGCCCACGTTTGTCGCCTGCAAATCTGGCTACTCTGGGCTGCCTATTCTCCGCCTCAACTCCGGTGTCCGGCCCGCATTCTTCGTGATACACCGGAACAGACTCTCGCTTTTCCTCTTCGCCTACCCGTGCAAAAGTAAAGTAGTGCACTGCATTACACCCGAATGAGGCAGATCGATAGTCCTCTAGCATAATAGCTACTACCATGCTGTGGGTGGCTGTCTCCCTCAAAATCAAGTCTTCAATTTAAGGTAGTGATGGTAAGTTACCTTACTGTGTAGGTACCCAAGGTAGGTAGCAGCTCCAGGAGAGACGTACGTACTGCAACGGATTCTTTCCACATCGTCAGATTAGATCCATCACCAAGTGCGTCTTGGAAGGGAGGCAAAGTACCTCATTCTGCATGATGCCAGGGCTCACACTACTGCGCGTGTGAGTATTCATTCATTCACTCTCTGCGCTAAGGCAAGGTCCTCTCCCAATACTACGCAATGGGCTTATGGATGCATTCTAAATCGCCTCGTACTCTGTACAAGTACGTATCTCCAGTGCTCGGGGTTGATGCCGACACACCCCCTTGGGGCCTCGCAATGGCACACCTTGGAACCTCAATCCCGAGGTCTTCTCGTGAACCCCTGGTCTCACTGCCCGCTCTCGGAACAAAGCTTTGCACCATCTCAATCGCCCGACTCATGATTCTTGGTGATCCTGCCGCCTCCACAGCGCGCATTGGATCGTAAATGCCCCGGTCTTTCCACATTCTACAACCCGTCAAGTCTCTTGGTGACCATCTGCGACGCAACCTGCATCTTGGCTCCGTTCTTTTTGAGCTTCGAGACTTGTTCGACAGACGCGCCGCAGCCCTGTGCCACAATCAAGTTGACGAGCAAGACATTGGATCGCCAAAGAAGAGGTAGGTAGGTACTTTTGTCAACAGTACCTACCGTTCTTGCCATGGATGGTTGAAACTAACAGATTCGCCCGTGACCTTCGGCCACCTAGAGCTGCTTGCCCTTTCCTTTTTCATTCCCAAAAGAAGAAGCCTCTACCGGCGCATGAGTTTCCATTGTTTTGCCTCAATTCGAGGAGGGGAAGGACAGGCAGGTAAGGTAGGAGGTAGGCAAAGTACCTATACGTGAATACTCTCAAAAAAAAATTCCAGGTTTGGTTTGTACGAATACGTACTCAAGCTGTACCTGAGGCACGCAGCTAAAAAATACAAGTAGGTACTACCTCTGGAGGTAGGGAAGGCAGGGAAGGCAGGGAAGGTAGGTTCGCGACGTCAGGTAGGCGGCGTAGGCCCGTTCTTAGCCTCCTTCCTCCTACTTGGGACGGCCTTGGGCCGAAGGAAGGAAGGAGGGACCTGAGAGATTTGATCTTATCAGATCCGAAGATAACCCCGAAATCGCATCATGACCCCTCCCCCGACTCCACTTGGTTGTGCAAACTGTTCATCATCGATTTTTTTCATTCTCTCTTGACCTGTCATCGTCTCACCCCTCCCTCCCTGTTCACTAATGTGTTATTTATTTTTTCTCGTCGTCCCCTTCGCTTCCCACATCTTCGTCTCTCCTGCATCTAGGTCCCCCGCCCGATTTCTGCATCGCGACCATTTTGGAGTGGGTCCTACTGGCGCCATCGATCTGCATCATCTGGGAAAGCGTCGCCGACAAGTTTCTCGTAAACCGACGGCTTTGGCCTGGTCTACTGCACGTAGCACGGCTACCACGCCCGTGAAGTTTCTTCAAACCACGCCTCGATGTCATCGCCCTTCTCCGGCGGCTTCTAGTCTCAACGGCCAGTGCCCGAGCAACCCAAATACTTTTACCGGTGTGAAGCACCTCGGTGCTAGACCTATCATGATTCGAGATAGCATCATGACAAGAGAGATATTATGAGACGAACAGACAGGTTCATGACAAGGCGATTATTCGCAAAAGTCCCAGGCACCGAGAATTATGGTTGAAATCGGACTGAAGAATAGCATCGATCGATACCTTGATTGCCTCGGACAAGCATCAGCTGAGCCTTTCCAGGGTCCAGTCAACGTCGTTGTCCTCCCCGCGTTGGGAAAACTGTTCGTCCGTCTGTCGTCTACGGTCCATCGTCTCTAGGCGCTCGCTTTAACGCTCAATACGTCGTCAGGCCCTTCAATCGCTTCGGTATTTTCATTCTAGCTTCTGTGCCTCCGGTCCATCCCTCCCGTCCGCTCCACTCCTGTGGCCCGGCACATGCAAACGAGCCAGCTACGCCAAGGCCTGCGACCGTCGCTCGCCGCCGCTGATGCTGGACACCATCTCGAACGGATTGGTTCGACGTTCGGTGGTTATGTGGTCCTGTTCTTCATTTCTTTTTTCCGTCCTCGTGCAATCGCCAATGCAGCGCTGCTCTCTAACTTACCTTAATCTTCTCCGTCAACCGAAGCGCATTTCCCACTCTTGTCTGTGTGTACATACATACAACCCTTCATCGCGCCCATCATCCACTCACCCACTCAAGAAGTTCCTCCATTCACCAAAGGACCACTTACACCATGTACCATGAACATGAACTTGGCATGGGCTCCAGTCTGCGAGACCCAGACCAAGACCCAGGGCATCCCTTACTAGCGAGCCCATCTCTGGAGTCAGCCCGTTGCGACTCTGTCCCTGGCCCCAACCCCTGGATGTGGAAAGGCGTCCGTTGTGGATGGCTTCTTGCTTTGAGCCGAGCTGGCGCTTCACTCTTTGCGCCCACCAAGTACGCCAATACCTACGGTAACCTATACTACCGTCACTACCCACGGCATTCTGCGCAGCTCTTCTCCCAAGAGAGATGAGCCAGGGTCCTGTCCTATACAGGCCTTCTCCGGCAGAATGACAGGATCGCGGCATCGACTTTGCCCCATTCGCGCGAAGAACCGAATGTTGCAATTTGAGTAGGCTCCTCCAAATACGTCTAGTCCCCAGCCTCTGGGGCGTGTAACCAAACGGCATGTACAGAGTACGGATACCCCTACCCAGTCCCAATCTCCATCTGCTCGTTCGTGAGCTCCGAGGCGAGGGACCAGCGGTCCAGCTTCGAACTTGTCGGTCGATCACGCCGCCTCAATGGGACGCGGGCATCCATCAACGTCTGCTCGTTTTACATATTAGCCCCTCGGTGCCCCTCCTCTCTTGCCAGTGCGTCTCTTGGTCCTTCTTCACCAGCTCCCACTTCTCTCCTCAAGCCTTTCCTCAACCGCCCATTCAACCGGTGGCCCATCTTCATTATACCCAAAGGCTTCAACCAGATACGCCACTCTTTGAGAGTCGATGACGAACAGTGTGGCTTGAGACTACCTTGGATCAATCACAAGGAAAAAACGGCATTAGACCAGAAAAAAAAGTTCTAACCACACCCAAAAAATACCCCGCGCAGTTTCGCACCCGCATCCCACTTTTACACCGGGCTTTTGTTCAAACCGTCTCAAAATCGAAAAGTAACGCCCTCAAGGTCAGTTGATGTGCTCCCACTCTTCCGAGAGAGTGAGATTTCAAAGGTCATGAAGCTGATGGTTTTAAAGCCCCTGCTCTTCCCGTCCAGTTGCATTGTCACTGGCACATTGATCGATCCATTCGCTCGTCAAATAATACCCCTAGCCGCTCTTTGCGACTTGTCTATATACTCAGCTCACGCACACTTACACCAAACCACGTAATTTCAATCCCCCCCACCACCACCACCACCACCACCACCACCACCCATCACCATGTCTCCTCACTGCGACTCGCCGACCAACGGCTCCGATGCCGGCAGCGGCTTCTCCTCCTACAACGGTAATGGCAATGACTACACCAATGGCAACGGAGCCGCCTACCAGAATGGCAACGGCGTGAACGGCCACCAGAACGGTGCCTCCCGCATCCAAAAGTCTCAATACCTCCAGCCCACCGACCACAGCGAAATCCACGACCTTATCTGCGTTGGCTTCGGCCCCGCTAGTTTGTCTGTTGCCGTCTCCATGCACGACTTCCAGGAGGCCGGCCGCCAGCTCGCCCCCGGCTCAGCCGCCGCCAAGGTGCTCTTCCTCGAGAAGCAGCCGGCCTTCGCCTGGCACCCGGGCATGCTCCTTTCCGGCGCCCGCATGCAGATCTCCTTCATCAAGGATATGGCCTCCCTGCGCAACCCTCGCTCCCAGTTCACCTTCCTCAACTATCTCCACAGCAACGACCGCCTGGTTGAGTTCACCAACTTGGACACTTTCCTGCCCGCTCGCGCCGAGTACGAGGATTACCTGCGCTGGTGTGCTCGCCACTTTGACGACGTCGTTGAGTATGGCCGTGAGGTCGTCTCCGTCTCCCCCGACCCTCAGACTGCCGGCAGCATCAAGACCTGGACCGTCAAGTCTCGCAACATCAAGACCGGCCAGGTCAGCTCCTACCAGACCCGCAACGTGCTGATCGCCAACGGCGGCCAGCCGCGCATCCCCAAGGTCATGCCCGCCAACCACCCCAAGATCATCCACTCCTCCCAGTACGCCCAGCTCGTGCCCCAGCTCCTCAAGGACAACTCGAGACCCTACAGAGTCGCCGTCATCGGTGCCGGCCAGTCTGCTGCCGAGATCTTCCGCGACGTCCAGCGCGCGTACCCCAACGCCAAGACGTGGATGGTGATGCGCTCCGAGTTCCTCAAGCCCGCTGACGACTCGCCGTTTGTCAACTCCATCTTCAACCCCTCGTACGTCGACGAGCTGTACCCCAAGTCCCAGAGCTACCGCCGCTCCCTCATCAAGGAGGCCAAGGCGACCAACTACGGTGTCGTGAGACTTCAGCTCATCGACGCCTTGTACGAGATGCTGTACCACCAGAAGCGCACCCTCGGCTACGACGAGCGCAAGTGGCCCCACCGCATGCTCTTCGGCCGCGACATCACCCAGGTTACCGAGAGCAAGGAGACCGACCGCCTGCAGATCCACGTCCGCCGCCTCGAGGACGCCGCCGGCGACAGCCTCGAGGACGGCTTCGTCAACCAGTTGCCCGGTGACGAGGTCCTTGACGTCGACCTGATTGTCGCGGCGACTGGCTACCAGCGCAACGCCCATATCGACATGCTCCGCGACAGCTGGAACCTCCTTCCCGAGGTCGCTCCTGCCGCTAACGCCAGTGAGCGTGAGATCGTCGATGGATGGGAAATCGCGGGCCCTGACGCTACCTCTGGGTCAAGGAAGCTCGAGGTTGGACGCGACTACCGTGTGCGTTATGCCCCTGGCGCTGTGGCGCCCGAGGCTGGTGTTTTCTTGCAGGGATGCTGCGAAGCGACCCACGGAGTAAGTTGAACCCCGCCAATTCATTTTTCCCTCACTACCCCACTACACCACACCATCCACGTAAGACACTGTGACTGACGAGCCTTCTTCAACAGCTGAGTGATACCCTTTTGTCAATTCTTGCCGTCAGATCGGCCGAGGTTGTTAACTCCATCTTCCCCTCTACCCCGAGGGCCAAGACCGTTTCCAACTAGACAGTTTTACGACTTTATTCTTATTAGAGAGAGAGAGAAAGGGATGGGAAAGACATTTCATGAGTCTCTTTTGGATTAGTCATTGGCACGGGGTATGTGTAACTGACGACATCTCTTTATGTATGTGCCCTTGGGCGGGGTTTTTCAACACTTCTTCGGAACTTGGGTTGAAAAACTAAAAAAAGACATGGCGCGGAGTTTTTATCTGTTTTTTCAATGATTTTCATTATTCCTGGTTCAATAAAGCTTCACCTTTTTTCTCTTGAGATGCCACTGAGGCCCATGATCGAACCGATTTTGAGATTTCCGAAATATTTGGTTCTTGCTTTACATGATGGCTTATATAGAATAGTTATTACTGTACAATTGTGCGTCGTTGTGTTCAACCCACGCCATGAGTTCTTCATATATCGCGCCACTCTCCGTCGTCATGGGATACAACACCTGACTTGGCCCGGGCGGGAAGGTTTGATGCTGAGGTTGTTGAGAATATGTGGTGGACGGCGTGTTGATGCTGCTGCTAGCGTTCGTCACGTCGTCCGGCGTTAAGCCAGGGGTTGAAGGGCCTCCGCTGACACCACCAGTGCGGGCGGTATAGACAGCTTGACTGTCCAGTCGCAGACGCTGAACTATAGACTTGAGGTCTCTTAGAACGGTGGCGCAATCGCGAGCGTAATTGCTTTCCGTTTTGGCCTCTTCTTCGAAAATGCTGACGGCAAAGTTAACGTTGACGTCGTCGGGCTCCGCGGCCGGCGAGAAGACGAGAAGTTCTTCCAGCATAAGAATGATAGCGGCGTTGAATACGTAGTGCAACCCCGCTTGCAAGAACTTGCGAGTGCCACCGTTGAGACTCATCATCCAACGGGCGAGGTACAAGTTTCCATGCGCCGCCTTGGAGCAGGAGCTTATGCGGTCTGCGTGGTGCGAGAATTCCCAACGGCGCTCTGAGGTGATGTAGCGCTCGGCAAACGTCTTTTTGACAGCAGCGAAGAAGATGGGGCGGACGACAAGGATCAGAAGCTGCAGGTTCCGGGAAGGCTTGGAGTTAGTACGGGGTTACGATTGTCTTCTCGGTTTCCAGATTGGGAGAGGGGTATCGTGAAGTGGAAAGAGGGGGGGAACGTATAATTCCATCCTTATTCGGAGGAGCAAGGCAGGGAGGGGGAGGAAGGCGGCAGGGCCAAACAAGCTTACCTGGTTGTATGCCATATGCAGGAGACAGCACGAGGGATCGTTACTTGGATGGGATATAGACATTTGCAGGGTAGGCGGTAGTGATGACTGCCAGCTCCCGAGCAACTGCAGCGCTCGGTTGATATGCCGCGCCGCACCTCCGGGACCGTGATCCCAGGGGGCGACTCTATACGTGTTGCAGACAATGTGGCCCGAAATGCGGGCCAGCTCAACGTGGGCTCGGAGGCCGGCTGCAGGGGGCAAAGACCCTGAACTGCACGGGGGGTTGGCAATTGTGTTAGATGAGTTGTGTTGTTACTCTGACAGGAATCCGTCATCGGAGGTCACCGTCGGGAGGATGCCAGGGGTTGGGAGGGGGCGAAGAACTTACAGATCATCGCAAGGCAGTGGTAGCCGGATAGCATCGTCCATGATAATGGGTGGACGGCCCATGAGACAACTCAACCAACGATCGAGGATATAAAGAGTCCAGAAAACACGTTTGCCTTGCTCGTTGACCCAGCCACGGTGAGCGCCGTGCATAATGGATATATGCATAGCATTGCTGACGTAGACGTAGGCTGCATCGCGGCGGTTCATCTCGATGAGGTAGAAGCCCATCAGTGCTAGGACGGCAACGTCACTGATGGTATACCGTGTAATATCAAGAGGGTTGCCTAGAAGCAGGCGAGCGCGGGCGAAGTAACTTTGGCTCAAATCTTTTGGGACTGGCATCGAATTCGCCGTGGTATTCGCCTGACATGCGACGGCAAAGGCGATATGGTAAAATGCAAGGTGACGATTAGTGTCGGAGACGACCTGTTGAGCTTGTTGAGAGGTCCCGGGCGGAAACACCTCGGGATTCGCGGTGGGCGTTTTGCTCATGCTGAGATCGCCCCACCAATAGATGCCGCCGCATGGGAAGCTGCCGTTGCCGTCTTGGATGAAGTAGCCAAGGTTGCGGAGCATAGTTCTCATTTCGTCCGGGGAAGGTAGTGAGAGAGGGTCCACGCTCGACTCGATTTCTATGGGACGAGAGTCATATGTCTGATAACTTCCAAGGGAAGAAAGAAATGTTAAACCGCTGGTTGGCGTAGGTGACAACCACTGCGGGTTGAATGCAAGTGGCAGCACGGTGGACATGAACTCCTTGAGATAATCAAGGAATGTTGCACCAGAGGTCTCGCCAAGAAAACGGAGTCTTCCATCCTGATCGAGCAGTGTGCGTCCGTTGGCTGTCTCGGCAACAATCTCATTACTCGCTTCCCCGTAAGAATCATGCGGCTCTGGGGGTGTGATAGACGGAGCTGACCCGGCACGAGACCCTTTTAGGTCGACATCGTGTTGTAGCAGTAATTGTCTTGCGACGTCGTCGGGTACGGCAATCTGCAGAGCCCGTTCTGCAATCTCAAGCTTCCTCCTCAGATCATCTAGCTCGTTCCGAGCGACGGAAACTTTCTCGATGATAGTGGGATACTGGCATTCTCTTGATGAGCTGCGGCATTGGCGGCAAGGTCTCTCACCGGAACATTTGATGCGCCGGACATTGCAGCTGTTGCACCTATAGAAGTAATTCAGTATGTTGAGCGTAAAACATAAAACAGCGAGGAGATTATTGTCATCATCCATGCCAGGTGGGAGATGCTAGAAAAGGGGAAGGCAGGCAAACAGGACAGGCACCCGCGAGTACCAAGGTAGACAGCAATCAAAATGGATGAAGGATAGATTGTGAAGAGATTAGAGATCCCAAAATCAACTTACGCTGTTGCTACACGCTTCCGCTGCTCTGGCGCTACCTTGTGCCGTCGCGGGTTGACAGGCAAGCGAGATGCACGGCTGGAGTTTTCGGTGTGTTCTGGCTGCTGCTGCTGCATCCTGGTTCTGCGGGATAGTGAGGCCGCATGTCACCGCTCCGCCGGAACTCACGCACGGAGTTGAAGATGAGAGATGGAATGTGCGAAGTAAGTTGTCGCGGTTCGGTGTGATTCTGGTGAGGTGTGGCCGTCGGGCAAGGATGAAGGGCAAGCTTGTCGTCGGTGACGGTGACGGTGACGGAGGCGGCGATGGAACTGGACCGGTTGGTGGCTCAGTGTACCCCGGAAATCGGTAGCCAGGCAGCGGCGGATGTGTCCCGTCCGTATTCGAGATTTCCGGTGGGATTGGGCAATGGACACCAGGGCCTCGTACTCCGTAGGGGAAGGGAGTGACGCTTGGAGGGGTGAGACTTATTGGTCTATGGTATGCGTACTAGATCGTTGATAGTGGGCGGCTGTATCCGAAGTGCGTTTGCGGGTGAAGGTCAAGGCGCTATGTCGACAGCTTTCGGTCCTTGGGGATCTCTTTCAGACACAGGCTGGCGATCAGAGGCTGTTGATTCCGATTGATGTGTGGAACGTCAGATTTGCTCGCTGGGAAGATGTCCCGGAAGGATGTTGACATGGACATGGCGTGGAGAATGGAGATTTTTGAACAACCATTCTGGTCGGGAGACGAGGGAAAGGGTCCAGTGGTAGTCCGGGAAGGGAGAAGGAGCCTGAGGAGGTGGAGGGGAGGGGGGTGTGGTATTTTGGGGGCCGGAAGTGGCTCCGTGTTAGTGATTTACATGTGACGATGCCCACTTCCTTAACAGCATCTTTCCCTGCGCCCTTGGAGCTTCAAGGTCCTAAGCACACCAAGGTGCAAGGTGCGCGGGTGCGTGCCTACCCGACCAGGTCATGGAAGGTCAAGCCAACACCGACTAAACCAACCTGGCGGGTAATCAATTATTGAGGAACGGAGTACGGAGTAGGTACCTTTAGCTGCCTTTCTTCCTGGGCACACTTATCCGTACTCACTCACTCACTTGCACACTTACTCACCCTCACTTTCACTCTCACTCTCATGCTCATGCTCACTTGCGCTCACACGCAATCCGGGGATCCGTCGGAATGAAGCAGAAAAATGCTGCAAAGAAAGGCATACTCTGCCGGCCCCTCGAGCGTTGCTGTGAGGTGCGCTACTACAGACCTGCAAGCCTCCCTGCTTGAATCACAACTCTAGTCACAAGTGATTGCAATGCTGCACACGCGCGCGTTGACGGGGCATCTCTTCCCCTCCTCTTTTCTCCTCCTCCTCCTCCTCCCCCTCCCCGGTCATGTTTCGACCCCCAAGGATTCGGGTACCGTTGATCATTGATTCGACCCCCTGACGACCTGCCCAGGCTGTGTGCCTAACGTACCCGGGGCCCTAGCTTGCCCTGCCTCGACAGAAGAGGGCATTTCATGTCCAAGCCTTACCTTGCCTTGCTAACGCACCACGCACCACGCAGGTTGCCAATCACTCCCTTATAGCTAAGCCTACAAAGGTAGATTCTACGCAGTAATAGCCCCAACCATTCACTGTTCAGTAGGGTACCCCCGAGTCCAACCGCCAGTGACATGGATCGGAAGCCCAAAAACGGCTTAGGAGGGCGCCACTAACGGCCCGTCTTACGTTGCCATCGACTCGTTTCACGGCCCACGCGGGACACGGGAGGCGGGAGGCGGGATGAGCTTGGGGCACATCTTCGCCGATGGCCAAATCAACTCCCGTCAGTTCCTCATCTCCATTTTCATCCAGGTTTATTCACTACGCATCCAAGATATTCATTTTAATCATCTCACACCTCATCTACATACCCGTCGTATCCACGTCCCATACCCTGCCTCACAAAAACATGCACCTGCAGATGCTCAGCGGCTACCATACCCCGACAAACTTACCAGGAATGCTCGCTTAGGCACTGATAGACCACTTAATTGACCTGTCAGAGACGTTCAACCTGCACAATCGTGGCCTCGGCCGATTGCTTTCGGATCGGTGGAGAAATATGCCCACTAAGCCCCCGGCACACCGCGATGATTGTCGCTGCAACTATTTCATACCGGCCAGTCTCACTTATTTGGTCTCACACGGCTCGCAATGAATGGAAAGAAATATGCACAAATTGGCGTACAGCTTCACTAATTACAAGTTAGGCGCACAACTGTCCCCAAGTTGGTTCACGCGCCGGGGCATTCACTCACTGCGGAACGGCTCGTCTTGGCGCTTCATCCCTGTGGTCTTCTTGTGGCACTCGTCCGGAGAAGTTTGCGCCTCTCATACCTCACTAAGCACCTAAGGTATTTCCTCCGCTAGCCTAGAGTCTCGTGATTTAAACTTCATTAGACTTATCCCACATAACCCACAGATCGACGAAGACGACTTCCAGCCAGCAGGAAGGTCGTTGAGAATGCCCCAACGAGCTCGTATAGCAGATCCTCCCTTTTTTTCGAGCGCCCTCGTAGATAACTTAAGTCCCAAGGGAACAGCCTGTTGGTTTGCGATGTCTCCCTGCGGCACAGTTGCCGTCGGCTATCCTGCAGCGCCTATGACTACCATCGCGACTAACGGGCGCCCACGGCCTTCTTCGCGCGATGTCTCCAGGTGCTTGTCCCTGTACTCAGGCAAGCGCAAGTCAGACGCCACTCCATGTTGCTCTTTTGTTCCCTTGGCCTTGTTCAGCACTAGCTCATGTTCGGTGAGTGTCGTGAGAGCTTATCTTTTGTACCGCCAGCCAGAGAATCCTTTCCCGTGGTTGCTGATGATCCTGGTTCGGTCTCGCCCGACACCGACAGGCTCATAAAGCCTTGCTAAAATATGTAACCACGTTCTCCGGGGTCCTGATAACACCCTGATTGACAGAAATTTTGAAAATTTGATCATGTGCGGAGCAAGCTCCGGTCTTCGAACTCTTCTGGCCTTCGGGATAAACCCGACCTTTCGGAAGACGGGTGTCACTGACACTGACATGAAGACTTTCTCTCGCATATTACGTACAAATAACTCGGTCTGGTCCATGACCTTTTGCCAGCGGTATTTGCCTTCGACGGCTGCCTCACTCACTGATCCTCTCCCATAGTCGCTGATCTGCCCCCTTCGCCAGCTTCGAGACGAGCAACTCACCCAGCATCACAAGACTGTCTGCGATTCTGAGTGCGGCCTCACAAAGTTCAGAAGAACATCGGCAAAGATACTGTACGTATCCCCTCGATGGGAATCCTAGGCATATCAAGGCAGGCCCTGTGTTCGCTAGCCGATGACGAAGCACGCTGCTACGTCGCTGAGTGATGAATGCCTTGAACGCTTTGCCAATGCATCGAGGCTGGCGCCTGTTGCAAAAAGATTCTTAGGCATCGGCTGTCGTGTACATGACATGCGGCTCTTGAGGCTGAATGTCATATGCAGTCATGCCGCAACTGATGCTCACATGAGCAACGCCTGAAGTGGCGGTCACGGCCCGGCCGGATGAGAGGCCCCCCCACGGTGTCCCTAACTTGTCAGCCTTTTTCACCTAATTTCACATCGAGTGCCGCCACAAGTAGACCCCAGATGGTCTGGTGTTTGGTGGCCAGTGAGACTCCTACGGGTCTCAGAGCCTGCTTTTCTCTGCGGCTGGTGAAGCCGGCCACCTCTTGTCTAAGCCGAAATGTCCCAACATTGCTCGGTATTATATCGGGACTCGAATCCGTTGAGTGCTAAAGCGTTACCAACCTTTCCGAACAGTACCAATCCTGCAATAAAGGGGGCTGTCGATAAGAGGTGCTCTCCGCAGAGCTCACCCTCAAGCGCCAGTGAGTCTGTGCCCTTCAGCAATGGGCATTCAAGACGGCCGCCTCCTTTTGATTCTGAGATAGTTTTCAAGAATGAGAGGTGGATTGGCCTAGGTAGTTCCTTGCTTCTCGGGCGACGATCGCTGGGGCCTCGTGCTGCCTGCCACGACAACGTCCTGTCCGCCTTGCTTTCCTCTCACCGCTGAGCCCGGTCTCACGATCGGGCCACCATCTTTGTTCTGGCCGCATGGTTCTATGAAAGTGAGTTGAGTCTACCAATGGAGTTCACGTCGCAAGTATCAAACCAACGTCTTCAAACTCGAGTAATGCATGGTCGTCATTGAGATCTTTATGAAGTGAGGTGTCGCGTGAGTGTATTGGCGCCATGAGTTTGTACTGAGTAACATGAGAGACGACCGACCCATTCAGATGCTCAACCCATAATATCTTGCTCACTGCCTTTTACATGTCTATGGTTGTAAACAAGACCACTCACGGTCGATGCAGGAAGACCAAGGGGCAACTCTCGAAGTCAAGCTGGCGTGATAGCCAGAGGTGTCAAGTCACGCTGCCAGCTGGCACCAGCTGCTCATATGTCCTGTTTTACTGCTCATGATGACCTCATTCCCTTAATCGCGTCCATCCAGTGTGAGCTTCATATGAGGTCCGCAACAGTCGCAAAAGGCCATCTGTGAAGCAAATTTCCTCCAAAGACCTAGGATTTATCTGATGGAATCGACAGAGAAGACAATGGTCCGCCGCGCAGTCGTCTCATCTTTCATCTTCAAGTTCCCCCCCAATCGGGGGCCGCAGGTCGCGCTGTTCCGGAGAAGCGATAGCGTGCGGACATATCCGTGAGCCCAGACCCTCGTCTTCGCACATTCGAATTGTGCTTATGCTTTTTCCCTATGTGACTGACTGAGATCCCGAAGCAATCACCTTGCGCCAGTATCGGGCAGCATAGAGCAGGACGACCCCTCGCCCCTGGATGCCGCCTGGAGAGAGATACGCGAAGAGACCACGCTTACGCCTGCAACGTTGACATTGCTCCGCCAGGGAAAGGACTACGTTTTCGCCGACGAGAAGATTGGCCGCGAATGGACGATACATCCTTTTGCCTTCCGCCTCAAGTCACACGAGGATGAGTCTCGCATCCAAATCGACTGGGAGCATAAGGGGTTCCAGTGGTTCGACCCCCACGAGGTCCGCGACGTCGATGAGTTCGGTGGCGTGCCGCGACTTGCTGAGAGTCTAAGACGCATCTGGTTCGAGATTGAACTCGGCGAGAGCAGAGGAAAGATTCTGAGCGAGGGGCTGCTCGCGTTACAGAAGGATCACCAAAGCGGAGCGCGGCAGCTGGCGGGCAAGGCCCTTCAAGTTCTTCTTTCCGTGATCGGAGAGAAGGCCAGCGCAGTGAAGGATGGCTCCGTGGAAAAGTGGTGGCGCAATGCCCGGCTTGCAGCGTGGCATCTCTGGAAGAATGGTAGGGAGAGCATGGGAGCCGCAATCCTGAACAACATCGTGCGGTCGCTGGCCGTTATAGAAAAGGAGGTACAGCAGACCAAGGATTTCAAAGTGTTGGTTTGCGTGTACCACAGGTTAGTCACACAGGTATTCCTGGTATCGCGATCGGTAGCAATATCGTTGGGTTAATCTGGTGTTCTTGTTGTTGTTATTGTTGTCAAGGAGAGTATCTAAACGCGAAGGCTCGTGATATGGAAGGAGGGAGCTGAGGTGTGTCACGTGCCGAAGACACGTGACATAGCTCGGCTCCGTGTATACCTAGCGATTGCCGTTTGTTCCCACACAAAGTCTCCCAGGCGTTCCTCGACTCCGTTACAAGGAAGGTGGGCGATTTTGCAATATCGAGGGACTCTTCCATCGACGGCATCTGGAACTCCTTTGAGGCCTTCTTGCGAAACTATCACGGCTCCGGCCGGCCCATTCGGATTCTCACATTATCATCGAGTTCTACCATCCTCGAGTGTCTGAAGAGAGCTATCGCAGGCCTGGACTCAGAAGTCGACATCCGCGTACTCGAGTCTTGTCCCTTGTTTGAGGGGGTTTCAATGGCGTCCAGCTTGGTCAACCACCTCCGAGAATCAGCGCCGAGAGAGCACAAGGTTGACGTCTCAATCTTCACCGACGCCGCCGCCGCAATCGCGAGTAAGGATGTGGACATGGTCCTCATCGGCGCAGATATCATTGCTGTGGATGGTGCAACAAGCAACAAGACGGGTTCACTGCCGGCAATCCTCTCTGCTAAGCACAGCTCACCTCAAGCCAAGGTATTTGTTCTGGCTGAGAGTGAGAAGATTATGCCGTATGATGATCCACCTAGGTTCGAAGAGAATGATGTTGAAGAGGTCGTTGCGTCATGGAAGCACAGCATCTTAGCACAACAGGCCGCTTCAAACGCCTTCGACAGCTCGCACGGGGCAGGCTCGGGAGAGAAAATAGCGAAGGCGAACGTCAGGAACGTCTACTTTGAATGGATTCCCCCAAATCTCATCGACAGATACATGTTCGAGAACGGGGAGAAGAGCCCGACTGATATTTCGGGCATCGTTGAGCGGGTACGCCGCGAAGCAGATGCTTATTTCTCTGATGTTTAGGTAAAAAGGAGATCCCGCAGACTTCAAAGTCCATAGATAAATGTCCACTTCTTATCAGCGTATCGCGTGTTGTCCAGTCGCTCTCTTTCGATCTCCTCTGCAGTCTTCTGTCTCATGATTTCCAACTTTCTTCGGTTGACCGCGGCGAGGGTCAATCTGTATGAAAGGTATCCAAGTAACGAGAGTGCAACAAACCCAAGGGTCACGTAAAACGGGATCTTGTAGCCTGGTTTGTATCGATCGCGGTATAACTGCGCACCGATGACGCCTGATAGATTTCCGAAACCGTTGAGACCAAGGATAAGAGATCGTTTACCGGGTTCTAGATGAAGGGGTTCAGCGATGTTCACTAACATCCCGCTCGTCTCAAATCGCCTGATCGCTTCTAGCTGCTTACCTGGGGTGTTTCCACTTAACCACGCGACAGTCAATGGTGCTGCAACATAGCTACCGAGGAGAAGGACGCATAGCGCAGCGTACTTTCCACCGCTGGATTCGACGGTAACGGTTGCAATCAGTCCTACGAGAGCAATTATGATACCCCCCAGGATGTGGTAACCGCGTTCCTTGCTTCAAAGATGTCAATTTTCAACGTGGCTTCGTCAAGGCTTCTAGAGACCTACCAGTAGTCTGAGCTGAGGGTGAAGAAGTATAACCCAATTGCACCGCACGCATATGGAGGAACAGACATCTGCAAAGCCTTTGTCAGTCATTCTGTTCACGCTTGCTTTTAAGGTCTACTCCCCTTCAAGTTCTTACCAAATTTGCCTGGATCGAGGAATATCCCAGCCCCTGCACAACTAGCGGTAGAAAGACGGAGAACGCCTGCCCGGGGACGCTGGCGCAGATGTTGAACACCAAGACATACCAGAACTTCCAGTCTCTAGCAGTTTCAACAAAGTCGCGCTTGGTCAGGCGATCCGTCTCTACACCGTGAGCGTCATACGCATGCTCGGTAAACGATACACTGTCGGCTTTGATCCTGTCCGCAGCAAAGCGTCGTTCTTCCAGAGTTAAGAACCATGCCGAACCGGGACCTGCCGGGAGGAACACCCAGGCAATTAGGCCGAAAAGAATCGTTAGTGTTCCCTCGATGATGAAGAGGTATTGCCAATTTTTAAGAGGGCCATCTCTCAGGTGGAATACGCCGTAGGCTGATCCCATGTCAGTACGAAGGGATGTCATGATGTCCGTGGGCTTACCAATTGCCCCTGAGAAGGCTCCGGCAACCGCATATTGTCCATAAAATAGACCGACCCTCACGGCAAGGTCATATCGGCAGTAGAAAAAGGAGAGATAAGCGACTGCAGTCGGGTAGAAGCCGGCTTCGAAGGCGCCTATTAGGAGGCGGGTGGCGATGAGAGAACCTGGGGAACAAATTAAGCTCAGAAAACGTGCAAGCCTTTTCCGAAGAGAGCAAACCTTTGCCCTTGATAAATGCCTGACATATAGTTACAAATCCCCAGCCAAGCTTTGTGGGGGTTAGCATGGATTTAATTATCTTGCAGGCGTGGCGCTTGGACGAAGCCCCTTACCATCATGATCGGGATCCAGTGTTTGGCCCCAAGCCATCGGCCAACAGCCGCAGAGGGAGGCTGAAACAAAACGAAAGTGATGAAAAACAGAGACACGGCGAGATTCAGATCATCCGGCACGGCGCCAATGTCGTCGGTAAATCCTATTTAAGCTGTTAGTAACGCACAACCTAGATCAACTTAGGCACACGGCGAGCCGAGAGTATTGGTTACCTTGGGTTTGAGCATTTCCCACGTTGCCCCTATCTAGACCGTTGAATAGGTACAGCAGAGACAAAAGCGGGAGAAGAGCAAAGTCCAATTTTCTGTTTACTCGTCGATCCATCGCAGCCTCGTCAACGCTGTGGACGTCATCATTTCCGTCGTGATCTCGTAACGGCTTAGCCACTGAGATGGAAGATCTAGAGGTTACCCCCTCAGTTTCGGCGCTCTGCGATTGGCGGCCGATTTTCATTTTTTTCCCTTTCTTTTCGGTTTTTTCCCCAGCGTGTTGGTCCTTGTCTTCCGGTGAAATTAGTCTAGCAACTTGTCTTGGAAACTCCCCCAGCTTCTGGCATTGCGCTTCGGGTTTCTTATACGGATAGCCCTCATCGACAGTCCACCCAATAAAAGTGCCGATTTGGCACGGTGAAGCTATGTTGGTAGATTCTGAGCCTCATTAGTCTGTTCTGTTATTATCGAGCGATGATTTGTTGTCATGGTAGTAGGTACAGGCGGCAGCTGCAGTCATTCACTTCCGCTCCGGCCGTAAATTAATGGCCAATAAGCTGGACCAACATGTAAATACACGAATAACAAACGGTGGGTGGTGACATTGACGAGAGAAAGCGTAAGCTAGGACAGCGTATGCCGTTGGCGTTGACGTTATCTTATTTTTCCCTTCCCCTTGAGTGGAGGGAATGTTGTGAGCGAATCTGTGAGTGGAATGGGGGCCTCCTCGTCCGCCACTTTTGTCAACTCCGGGGTCCGGTCTCCCGCATCGCGTCAGTCGTCGCCCACTTCCTGAGCTGATGGCCGGCCCTCTTTATTCTTTGCACAACACTTGCCGTCCCACCCACTCACCCATCCCCATGACCCTGTCATCTTTGATCTACTAACGATCTTGGCTCTTGCACGAGGTAGTCAAGAGTGTTTTTGGCCCCCAGCGGGACTTAGCGAGTACTGTAACAAGGACCCCAGCTCTGAAAGGGGGCATTAGCTTCACAGGTCGTTTTCACTTCGGTCTCTCAACGGGCTGGGCCCAGGCCGTTCTAGGGATAGTAGGACAGGGAGCGAGGGGAACCCAGGAAAAGGCAACGATGGATACTTTGGGAAGTGGAGGAGCAGATCGGTTCGAGATTTGACATCCATGGATCAGGGGAATGCTGGGACATAGCGGGAGTCTCTTGGTTTATCAACTCAAAGTTCGAGTGGTTGAGATGAAGAATAGGGGAGGGGTAGCGGGGTTGTTCGATCAATAAATTGATTCAGAGGGAAGGATGATCCGCACCTAGCCGTCACACACTGGGGCTTGTTGGTTCCAGTGGGCAGTGGACTTGCCCGAGATGTGGAAAGTTTTCCAGGGTCATAATTCGATGCATGGGCACAATAAGTCAGGTGGTATCATCTGTATGCATGCTGAGCGGCATGCCGGCATACCTGGGCAAGCTGGCCCAACCCACACCACGAGCTGACAGTGCTAGGTAATATGCAGCACAAGATCGATGGCGGTGCCGAGGGCCTGGGTCTAGAGGGAGTCGGCGTAATGTCTCACAGAGACTAAGCATCAGCCCTGTTTTCTGTCCCAGATTCTAGCTTGTCGATTGGCGCTCCTTTGGCGTGTCTCACTCATCTTTCCTAGGCTTGGTAGCATCGTCTAGCTGACGGTCTAAGATAGTTGCCAAGGGAGGCATTGTCTCTTCCAGGCTAAAGGCGTTTTCATTTTCGTTCCTCCCGGGTGAGGTACCCAGGCCATCTCATTTCGCGATGGACTCAAAGTATGGAAAATTGCATGTTTGGGAACTTCAAGGTCTCAGAGCCAACACAATGTGTCGCTTGATAAACTCCCTTGGGCCCCTCTCTGCAGCGTCTAACCCGATATGCACCCGCGTTGCGGAGCAGTATGATGGGACTATCGAGAAATCTTTCAACTCAGCTATGAGAGGTAGCCGCGGTGGCCGACCTCGGAATTTTGACGAATCTCGTCCGAACGCCCTGCGTTCATTTGTCCGGACCGAGTCAAAAGTGCGGTCAAAGAGTCAAGTTCTTTCATTCAGGTGGACAAAGAACGCGATTAGCAGTCTTTGTCTTAAACAATAGGAATCCCCATGTTCTTTAAGATACAAATCCTATCCCCCCCCCTTTCTGTTTCGCAGAGAATTATTGCTGTCTTTTCAAACGATGTCGTATGATCCGTCTTTTGTGTCGCGTTGGTTGAGAAACACACGTGTCATGAAGTCCCCCCCAGTCGACGATCCACGCAACATGTGTACAGAATATGGATCCCTCCTCGAATATCATTTAGCAGAAGCATGTCGCCTTTTTCCTTAGAGAAATTCTCCCCTTGTCCTCAGAAGCGAGAGGGTCCCATATTCGGAAGGCCGGGTCTTGTTGGTTGGGGCTGTTGGAACTGCGTAACCTCGGCCTCCTGAATGCAATGCACCGGGATGTCGGGGTTGTTCCGATACCCTGACAAGACGGAAACACCATCCCGTTTTGGCAGAATGGCAGACACGAGAGTGGTTCTAGTTGGTTTTTCATGTACATTGACCCAATGTATTGCTTGGTTCTTTCAGCAAAGAACAACTGTCGGCAGTCCCCCAACGTGTGTTACAATCCTTGAATTTGTAGGTCCAGTTCTTTTCTATTGTGACTTCCGCGGGTTGCGCGGCGTGATGCGAACAGGCTTCAAGATAGTGTCTTGATCATACAGCCATGACGTACACATATGAAGTCTTATTCTATTCGTCCCTTAAACAACGAGCCATCCCCTTACATCATGTTTCCAGGCTTTCGCAGATCATAGCGATGTAAAAAAGCCTCTGCTCCCATTATTGCCCTCTCTTAAATGTATCCCTTTTCGTGGCTTGGTCCACCTAGCCTACTCTGTCCATATTAACAGCGGATCGACGAAAGCTCACTGCTTTGATGATTTTAAGCTCAGTATTTTTCTGTTCCAGAGAACCACCTTTACATCGAGCACAATTAGGCCCCGGAAATGCGCGAGTCCTCTGAGCTAGTTGCCCAATACTTTGTATTTGAAAGACATCCAGGGTTGTTGAAAAGTTCTTCCGGATCGAATCCGGGCACTAAACCCGTGGATTCTCCAAATTTCGGTGCGGTGTCTTAAGCACCTCTGTCGGCCATCCGAAAACGTTATTGTTTCTTTGATTGTCTCCTTCCTCCTGTCTCCATTCCCGAGTTAAAAAATCTCTCTCTGAATATCATAAAAGGAACTCAAATATTAAGCCATCTTCATGAAATCAGATTGATTCAGCAAAATGTGGCTTTGGACGCAGTAAAGTTCTATCAACTCTACGCACTAGTCCACTTCCAACTTGCCTCTGTGGTGCATCTTCCCCTCCTTCTGCTGTCTTCAATGTTGTAATAGTTCCACATCAAAGTCTGCACGAGATATTGTCTGGCAGAGGTACTTAACGTGTTACCCATTATTCCACCATCATCGGTGATGCCTACCTATTTCATGGACAAATGCGCCAATTTATGGCACCAAATTTCTTCTCTTCTTGTCCCATGATCCAAGTCTTTTTTTCTTCCCATGCCGTTGCAGCGTCACATCCAAGGAGCTGTCTTGATGTTCTGTTCTGAACAGATGACTATTGGGATAAATGCTCTCTCTCTCTTTTGCCGTGGGAACAATTCAAAGAAGACCTCTCTTTTCTTTAAGGCTAGGCCCTTTTCTACGATCTTCAAGTTGTAGAGGTTACCGAAGAGGCGAGGGCAACAGAGTTTTTGGACTTCGGCTTCCCACTGTAACCTTCGGGCTTCGGCATGTCGGCCACTGAGGGCTCCAAGCAGGAGGGATCCAAGCGATAACATGTGTTGCCCACAACGTTTATTTGAGAAGATGAGCTGTTTGTGCAACTTTCTAAATTTGGCTGGAAGTCCTACCTGCCATAGAAGAAGGACTCTTCAATGTGTACAAATGATAAGAAGATTCTGCGTCTTACTTTAGATAATTGAGATTTAGAACAGTCATTTTTTTCCGAGTTCTTTATGAACGGGAAGTTGAAGCTGTTCGCGTTCAACTGAAAACTGGTGTATGCTTTCAATCAGTGACCATAGATGAGGGCGACAAAACACCGAAAGTCACCAGCTTGTTGGATCCCCAGGAATAAGTGTCGACAAGTTGATGAAACAATTCCCTGTCTTCTTTATGTGTTGGACGATTGTTTTACGGGATCCTTATCTATACATCACGCTGAAGACATCGTCATAACACTCGGCTGGCAGGAGAGGGACTCTTAACCTCGACTTGGATTCTTCCACAGCCACCCTTGATTCGATTGTCAGCAAGTGTTTTCAGCGATGTAAAGAATCTTGGACCCTGTTGTGAAAATTCCCCCAGTCCGTAGTCAGCGGAGCTGTATACATGATGGAATGAAGGAAGACGGTAGCAGGCTGCCGATCAGGCTATCAATCCAAATCCCAGCCATCCAAGTACGTTTCGCCGCTGATACTTGAACGTGTACTGTTCAAGACCATTTCAACTTCCCCGGCTATGGTGTCATCATCTGGCAAGCTTTGTTCCTTAAGTCAGCCAATAATATTGCAAACTCAGGTAAGAAACTAAACAAAAAAAAGCCGTTTGGGAGTGTTTGAAGTTATCAGCCTCGCCCAATATGGACTTGCCACAGAAGCGAGCGTCTAATGCTGCGCAAATTTAAGCCATTGCGCACTACTGGAGAATCTACCAGCTGTGTGATGTTACAGAATATATATAGTGTAGTGCCCGAAATCCATTGAAAGATCCTACCCAAGCAAATCTAAGATGCGAAATCATCTCGAGCCTCTGTTAAAGGCTCTTGTTGCGGTTGAAGTCAACGATCTATCTCGAAAGGACTCAAGCGAGAACAGCTGACATGTTCCCATTCAACTTCTTTTTGCGGAGCGTCATCTCTTTAAGTGAATGGGAAAGAAACAAATGCTACCTCTTCCATCCTTTTACATACAGATATAGGTACTCGTCAGTCGTTTCTGACGCGATGATGTTGCAACACAATCAAAGCCGTAGCAACAGTGGCCGTTCAAATGAACTAGTGGTATGTTTACTCGCAACGTGCTCATAGAGAGAGGTGATGTCGCGACGTGGATGATTCGTGACACCACAGCCAAGATCTTACTTGAATTCTATGTAGTCTCAGGAAGCGATAGGATGTTGAAGGTGGGCGATTACAGTACTGCAGTAGGCACTGAAGTCACAAGGCACTCAATCGTTCTCAAAGGCAACTGCTTGCATGTGGTATTTTAAACTCTCTGTCAAGATAAAAACAATCAACGCAATATCAGTCATAGTTCCATGCTTTATCGCCTACTACCTACTTCAAAAGGTCCGCTTCGGTAGCTTGTTCGTTTCCACACTGATTCTACGTGCCATAACCAAGTTCCCTTGCCAGGAAGATGACGTGATCGTCACAGCCGGCTTCTCGTGACTCGTAACCCATCACTCCCGGCTCCTTAAATCTTCGGATCCGAGTCCGACGAGCCCCGGCTTCCGCTGTTGCGACCACGGGACCGTTTCCTAAGCTTGTGCTCCTCGACAACGACCACAGCCGGTTGGCGGCTGCGACGGCTCTCGCTGATAACTGAAACGAAGATCCACGCAATGCCAAAGACGGCAGCGAGGATGGCGTAGGCAATCTTGAACTCTTTGGGAGAGTTGGAGATGTATAAGCCGAGACCACCGTTGATGATGCCGAGTGGGATGAGGAGGCGGCCGATGATCAGGTGGATGTGTGACCAAATCTGGCGAACGCCGTACTTCTTGAACTGAACGTGGTGGATGTAGCCGAAGATGGGTTGAAAGAAGAAGATGGCAAGAAGGACGAGGCCGATGATTGGGTGGAAGTTAATGGTGCTGATCTCATACTATTGAAACGCGTTAGTGGGAAGGCATTCAAGGCATGGGAGGGAAGGTGGAATGGAACTCACCAGACTTGTTCCACCAAATGTGACTTCTTGTGTCAACTTGATACCGAGGGCGGCAGCAGCGATATAGAGAACGAAGCCGGCCATCTGAATGAGGGCGTGAATAAGCCAGCTAAAGCGTCCGGGAATGATTCTCATCGCGATCGACCCGATAGGGAACACGATGACGAAAGCGATTGTCCCTAATATGCCGTGGATTCTTCGTGTGTGCATCGCTTCCTGGATGTTGAAGCCGACAAAGTTGTTGAAGTTTCCTCCGAATCCATTGCCGCCGTTGCCATTCCCAAACCCATTGCCATTACCGTTGCCATTGCCTGGGAAGTTTCCTGGAAATTGTTGTGCTACTACTACCGAAGCTGTATCCCACGTTAGTCATATTCAGTTAGATGAATGAACATTGGCTGCTTACCCAAGGCGACGAGGCCAAATGCCGTGAATGTTAGTGCGCCCATAATGTGTGTAAGTGCGCTTTAATTCTGGTTCGAAAAGCAAAGACTCGAAACAGGACTATCTGCGAACGAAAAGAGGAATGGCTTATACTAAAAGACACGAGGCCGGACCCTCGAGTAAAACCCCAAGGGCGGCCTGTCATTCAAGACACTAATTGACATGGCAGTATTCTCCATCACTGGGTACATCGTCTGACAACGGAGTGCGCTTGGGGATGTGCGAGCACGGTCAGCGTGCTGTGACCGAGATGACCGACGTGGCCGACGAGTCAATGGGCGGGCCGCCGATTTTCAGTCGATCCTGCGCACGAACACACCAGATGGTGTCATTAGTGCCGTGGCAGGAACAGCAAGACGTATCAATCCGAACTGATTCCCCACGAGTATCAAAGTATGTTTCTTCTCGTGGTCAAAAGGATTGGCACAGCAGGGAATGACGCTGAAGTGTGGCTGGGGGTGAAGCAACTAGTCTATTGTTTCGACCGCAGGCGGCACGTTCCTACGATGACTGCGCTGACTGTATTTGAAAGCATCAGGGCCTGGAAGGAGCAAAGAGTTTCGACTCAACACATGGATGAGCGTTCCGTCCAAGATTGTTGGCGGCCTGCATCCGTTGGGAGTCTGGCCTGCATGACGCGTCTGCGAGGCTCGAGTCAAGTTGGATGTGATGAGAGGCTTGGATGGTGAGGAAGACATCATCATGGTCGTGCATGAAACCCGGTTCCTGCAGCAGTCGGCGGAGCGAAACATCAACGGGTTGGCTGCGTTGTTAGTGCCAAGACCGGACTATTGCGGGACGACCCTATCACAGGAGACACGAAATATTGACGTTGATTTTGAAAAGCACGCCGTCTGGTTTGCTGGAATTGCAAGTCTGTCTATTATCAGTCAACCCAGCCACATTGATTTTATGCATCAGGCTGGTCGTTCTTCTGGGCACTCGCCAGCTGGCTCTGCAGACCTCGCTTGCCAACCTGCATCGCCCGTTCGATTTCGCGCTCCTCCTCTCGAAGTCGGGCCTTGCCCACTTCGAGGCTCCGTTGCTGTCTCCTCTTCTGCTCTGCAACCTTCTCTTCGTGCTCATGCAGTGCCTTTTCTCTCCGATCTCTAGCTTCCCGAGCCTTGCGCGTCGCTTCATCCTCTTGCTCGGTTGCATCACCCTCTAGAGGTGGTCCCAGAGTCTGTATGTACGCCTCGATCATAGGATCCCGCACTTGTGGCTGCAGAGAGATGTATCTGATGTCGACGAGTAGCTGCGGTGGTAGGTGCGACATGTTCGTCTTGTTGTTCAGTGCAGAAAGTGGCAGTGACTTCAGCAGCGTGGCGAGATCTGCCTTGAGTGTGGCTTGGGGCATCTTGAGACGGTTGATGTGCTCGCGATACCACTTCTCACGGTCCTTATCTTTGACGTAGGGGTCCGTCATGGACGGTTCTTTCCGATGTTTCCTCTTGAACTCTTGCCAAAAGAGCTTGGGCGACGCTTTCTCCTGCAGTAGCGTCATGTACGGTATCCGCGGATCCTTTTTCTCTTCTTTGGCCCGACGTTCCTTGATTTCCTTGATCTTGTCCTTGGTCCACTCTGACCAAGTCTCCTTGCGTGCTTTCATCGTGTTGAGAATTGTGTATCTCGGGTCCTCGATAATGTGTCCATCCTCAATCAGCTTCTCCCACGTGCTGTAGGGACTGATGTTGAAGTCTTCCAGTAAATCCCTGAAAAGAGCAGCGGCGTCTTCTTGTGAGAATTCGACCCCCTCCGCGCCTTCGGGCCACTCGTCCATATTGCCGTCGTCATATTCTCCGGGATCTAGTCCGTAGGCATCGCCCATTGCTTGCAGCTGAAATGCGATATCCGCTTCGCTGAACTCCACAGGCGCGTCATCGGCCGGGTCTTCTGTGCGTTGACGCTTGGAAGCAGGCCCGTCCTCCCCATCTTCGTCCTCGCCTTCGTCATCTGTGACCTCGACTTCCTCGTACTCTGAGCTGTCGCCGTTGTCGTCGCAGGTCGGAGGTTCGGCAGCAGAAGGGGTTGGCCGAGGTTGGGCTGTTGGTGGTCCCTCCGTAGCTGTCTCTGCAGCACTTTTGATCCCAGCTTTCACGCGAATTCTGGCCTTGTCCACCTCCAAGATACCAGCGGTAAGCTTCTCCGGAATGCGCCAGTAGCTGGTATTTTTCTCGGGATTGTAGACGAAGCGGCGCCCGTACTTTGTGTCAACTAGAAGCCAGGGTTCGCAGCCGGGGATCGGGACTTTGGATTTCGGTTTGTCCACTGGTTCGGGACGCGGGCGTCCATCCCTCCCTCCTCTGCCTCCGTGACCGAAACCTCCCCGCTGTGGCGGTGGTTGGTTTTGCGCATTGTATTGTGCAAGATATGCGTTTGCGACATTGGGGTCGGAGAGCTGGGGAATGGTCTGATATTGAAAGAAGCTCGTCGAAGCCGTTGAAGGTGAAGCAGTAGCGTCCGGGGCACTGGGTCTCGTGTATGTCGATTCTTGTGTTTGGCTGTTGTGGTAGTACTTATGTCCACTCGGCGCACTATGCTCTGTCCATCCAGGAAGCAGAGGGGGAGGCGCCGCAGCATTTTCGGATGGCTTGTACGTCGATCTAAGCATACTGAGCAAGGTGGAAGTGGTGCGCTCGCGGTGCTTGTGATGCTAATCGTCAGATCATCATCGCAGGAGAGTTGTTGATTTTCGGAGGTCCAGATGCGAAGAACGAGTTGCGGCGGAGAATCTTCGGGCATGCGATAAGATAAAGCAGCTTCCACAGGTTCGTACCCCTGTAGCCAGCTTGGGGGAAGCGTCACAGCTCACGAGCTCGAATCCCCCAATCAAAACGCCACATACACCGGAAGACACCCCCTTCGAGCTCATACAAGCTGGAAGGCTCGCTCTAGGGACAATTGGCCGGGGGATCTGCACATTGATCAAGTGACTGCTGCTAGTCGTTGGCGCTTGTTCAACTTTCATTGTCTGCCGTCACTCCTTTTGTTCTTATAGACTCGGCTCACGTTAGCTGCTGAAGCTCTCTCATCCCGTCTCCACTGCAGCGCTCACAGTCAACGTCCGTTGCCGCAGCAAGACGAGTTGTCAATGTTCCAGGCAGCCTTTCGTGCAACTCGAAGACGGTGACTGCTCAAGATGGCGCCAGGTCGTCGGGATAGTGGCTCAAGCGGAAGTGCTGTTGCATCTGCATTCGCCAGGTTCTGGAAGGTAGCGCACTCGCTCCTGTTCTTCTCATACGCAAGGCTGCGAGATCGTCTGACAAAGTATAGAGAACTCATGCGCCAGACTATCTTGGATTTGCGATTCTCCTTTCTGCATGGATCGTGGTAGGTCTTTCACGGCACAAGCTCATGATATAACTCCAAGTGCTGATGACTTCTCCAGATGCTGTTGTTTATCGAGCCATTCCACCGCATGTTCTTCATCAACGATCTGCACATCTCATACCCTCATGCCGAGGTTGAGCGCGTGCCTGTTTGTCAGTGCACAGATGGGCCCTCAAAGTTGACTTGAGAGTATGGCTGACACGCTTCTTAGACATGAACTTCGTTTACGCCCTTTTTATACCATTGGGCGTATTGGTTACATATAATGTTGTCACCAAGGCATCACCGCACAAGCACGAGGTCACCTACCTGTCTTTTGCCATCGCCATCATCATGGGTTCTTTTCTCACGGACCTCGTCAAGAACACTGTTGGCCGACCGCGTCCCGATTTACTGGCCAGATGCAAGCCGGCGGCTGGCACGAAGCCTGATGTGCTTGTTACCATCGATGTTTGTACCGAGACTGCACATCACCTCCTTCATGATGGTTGGCGGTCGTTCCCCTCGGGCCATTCGTCATTCTCCTTCTCTGGACTTGGCTTCTTGAGCTTGTTCTTGGCTGGCCAGCTGCACATCTTCCGACACAACAGTGGAGGTCGAGACCTCAGTCGCGCCCTCATTTGCCTTCTGCCATTGCTGGGGGCTGCACTAATCGCCATTAGCCGCTGTGAGGATTACAGACACGATGTCTATGATGTTTCCGTGGGCTCTCTGCTGGGTTACGTGGTTGCATACTGGAGCTACCGACGACACTGGCCAAAGTTGACCGCCAAGGAATGCCATGAGCCCCATCCCTACCCTGGATCAGACCCCAAGACTGGTTGGAATCGTCTGCGAGATGAAGAGGAAGCTGGGGACTCGCGACCCGACGTAGGCTATGAGATGACCCAGCTAAATAGTCAGAGACACTAATCACTGTCAGTAGGGTCCTTCGTAGAGTGCCAATGCAACAAATCAGCCATCGACATAGCCATCTACACAAGTAAGACTAATAACTGCATTGTTTCTCGTGTTTGTTGCATTTTTGCCTTGCTTTATTATGCTTGAGCTTTCCGCTTGGTTTGCCACTTCTGTAACACATACATGTCATGTTACCGTCTACCTTGGGATACCACAGCATCGCATTTGCATCTTGGCAGCAGCCTGTTAGGGGTTCGGGGGTCTAGGGCTCCAGAAACTTGGGGGCATCAATTCTATTGGTACATCAGGATTAAGGGCAATCATCACGCCCCATCTATGTTTTTGAATTCATCCATGCCATTATTTGTCCTCCGTGGACTCGTCCTTTGCCAGATCATGCTCCTTCAACAGTTCCTTGATCTCCTCTGCGGTCCAGAGTCTGTGGTAGATCTTGCCGTCGCTCGTCTGGCCAACCGTGGCGAACTCGACTGTTTGAATCCAATTAGTATGATCATTTGCATAGTTTGGTGGTCATGGGATAACGTACGCTTCTCCGCGCTCAGCTTCGTTGAGTCCATGGTCTTGCTAAGAACCTTGACCGCCATGCCGCAAGCCTCCTTGAGGGTGCAATCTTCCTTGTAGTCCTGCTTCAACAAGCTCTCTGCGCTAGCTCTGTTGGCACCTACAGCCGTCGCCTTCCATCCACCGTAGTTGCCTGAGGGGTTGCTCTGGTACAGCTGGAACTGTCTGCGAGGGTCCCAGCCGGCGTAGATGAAGGAGACACCAAACGGTCTCAGACCACCGTGTTGTGTGTATCCTTGCTTCAGATCGCATAGTCTTCGGACGAGCTGCTCGCATGGGATGTCTTCGTTGTAGGTGAGGAGGTATCTTTGGGCGGCCTGACGGGCGTAGTTGATGAGGATGTTGGCGTCGGCCGTCATACCTGCAACGGCAGCAAGCATGTTGCTAGAAGGAAAAAGTGTCAGAATCTAGAGACATCATGTTGAGCACAGAAATACCTACTCGTTGACGATGTACAGCTTCTCCGCCGAAGTGTCTTGTTCCAACAGCTTCGAAGTCACCTTGCGCTCGGCGGCCAAGACAATACCATCCTTGGCGAGGATGCCAATGGCAGTTCCGGCGTGAGAGATAGCCTCAAGAGCATACTCGACCTGGTAGAGACGGCCCTCAGGCGAGAAGATTGTTGTCTAACACAAGATGTGAGCTTGCTGCCCTACGACGATGGAGGGGACGTAGAGCAAGGGAAGAGCGGGGAGGGGCCTTACGCGGGAATCGTATCTGCGAGACATGATGGGCGAGCAATCGAGTTGCACTTGGCTGGGGCTTAGGGTACGATTGCGGGATTGACGTCGTTTGTGAAGCCGACGATCGGAGGAATGTGAAGTTGCGGCAGGATGGTTTGTTGGTCGTCTGCAGGGAAGGCTACGACTTTGGGTCCAGCTCGATGAAGCTCCAGGCAATCGACGCACGCGTTAGCTCCTTGCGCTACCAGCCAGCCTGGGGGGAGCAGAGCAGCCGGGGAGGGCTGAGGTAAGGATGGTCCGAGCTTTTCCTGGGCCGCTCTTACCTCATCGTTCTGCCTTCCATTCTCAGCCATTTCTCAAAGGGTGGGCGGGTCAGAGGTGGCTCTCACCTTCCTCACCGAAGGTCACAAGGCACCAAGGCCACAACAATGCATCCCCCGCCTCGCCGGCATCCGTGCACTTCTCACCGAGCGATGGGCCCAAGATCGTGGTTAAACGACGCTTACATAATGACAGGATGTGGAGGCGGTTCGGCATTTTCCCTCCAACCTCGCGCCGTTTTATCGCAGCGCACCGCAACCCACTCGCATCACCTCCACCTTTGCGCAAGCTCCCTTCTGCTCCTCTCCCACACAACCCAAAAAGCGGCACGCGAACAACGTTTCCACCCCACGAACGACCTTGATTTCGTTGTCGCAAACTGTGTCGCGCGGCGGTATTTCTCTTATCTGTGCTGGAATTCTTTCGCGAGGGACAATTGGAAGGGTTCCCGCGCGGTCTACGCTCTTCGCATCGAGCCTTGCTGTGTCGCGCGCGTATCTTTGGATGGGTCACATATCATAGTCTTTTTTTTTTTTTTGCTCTGCCATAAAAACCAATGCATGCCTGAGAAAGACAGAGGACACCGGACCTTCCTGAATCGACAACTGGAGTAGATTATATACCTTCCCCCAAAGGTACACCCTCGCGCTCCTTCCCAACAAAGGGAGACGTTTGAACGCTTCCACCTCCCCCGTCGTTCCTGCCACCGCGGGCGGGCAACAAAGCCATTATGTCTGGTAAGTGTCGCAACCACCTTCACGCTGCCCCGCAGCCAGCCACCGCTCTCGTCTTTCCCTCAAAACACACACAAGCACACACACCCACTACAGTATTGTTTAGCCGCAAGATCTAACCAGCATGGTTCGTAAAGGAGAACCGGAACCTCGCCGCTCTGTGCGCGCGACCAAAGGTCAGCATACCAAGGCCTTCGACGACCAACCTATCGAACCGCCCAAGAAACGAGGAAGGAAGAAGAAGCAGGAGGAGGAACCAGAGGAAGAGATCATACGCTGTGTCTGCGGCGCAACCGAGCAAGACGGCGACTCGGAGGAGCCTTGGATCGCTTGCGACAAATGCACCGCATGGCAGCACAACGTTTGTATGGGTATGAGTGTCTTTACGGAAGACCTCCCTAAAAACTACTACTGCGAACAATGTGCTCCACAAGATCACAAGGAACTCCTGGCTCTCATGGAGCAGGGCGAGCGCCCGTGGGAGTCACGCCGAAAGGCCTACGAGGACGAACAGAACGAGAAGAAGAAGAAAAAGAAGAAGGGCGGCAGAGCCGGAAAGCGCGCCAGCGACCCCAAGGAAGAGCTGTCGCAAGACACGAGGAGTAACAAAGCCGAGGACTCGCCCGCTCCCTCGGAGCCACCCGCCAAGGAGAAGAAGGAGAAGAAGGACGGCGCATCCAAGGCCACTACTGGCAAGCGCAAGGCGCGAGAGGAGACTGGTGAAAAGGAAGCAAAGGTGAGCCTCCCCTTTCCAGATACTCGCACAGAGCCCTGCTAATAGTACCCTTCCTAGACGCCTGCGCCAAAGCAACGCAAAGTCTCGGAACCAGAGGCATCCCCTACCGTCAAGTACACTGCACCAGCCGATCTAGACGCGAAGATCAGCGATCTCCACGAGGATCGTCAGGGTCCCGCCCAACTCCTGCAAAGGGCTATAGCCGGCATTCTCACTGCTGGTGTCAAGGACAAGACCATCAGTCTTCCGAAAGATACCACAGTTGCAGCTAAGGCGGAGCGCATGGCCCTCGAGATCGAACGCGCGGTTCACGATGCATACCCAGACCGGAGCCAGTATGTGATGCAGGCACGAAGCTTGTATGCGAATATGAAGCTGAACGGCGACTTGACCAAACGCCTGTTAAAGCGCACTCTGTCGCCAACCATGCTAGCCACAATGTCTGCGGATGAACTGGCTACCAAGGAAAGGCAGGAGGCCAACGCTCAGCTAAAGGCCATCTCTGAGAAGCAGTCCATCCTGATTACCGAAGATGGCCCCCGAGTGAGGAGAACGCACAAGGGCGAAGAGATTGTTGAGAACGATTCCTTCCACCAAAATGACGAGGGCAGGTCTTTCATCAGACGCCCAAGCGGCCGAGAGGCGCAGGCTGGCATCAAGTCTGATGGAGAACCGCAATACGAGAACTCAGTGGAGCTTCCTGCTCACGCTGGCCTACACATCGATACCCGTGGAGCCCGACACTCTCCCAAGCACCCCGACTTTGACATCAACAAGGTCTACGCAACTGTCAAATCTCCCACGGGTACACACAACCGCCGGCCATCGGCGCCAAACCATGGTCCTGGTGTCGACGCAGATGTGGATAGACTTCTGCAGGAAGAGACGGAATCTCCACCCTATTCGCCAACAGACGAGACAGATCCTGATGTAATTTGGCGTGGTCACTTGGTGATGAGCTCGATTGCCGACTTCCCGGCTGCGGCCAGGTTTGTCGGTGGCGCCAACCTCTCTACCACGATTGCGTTGCCTTGGACTAGCCTCATCCCAAAGAAACTCACGGTGGCCGGACGCATAGACGAACAGAAGGCGATAGAGTATCTCTGCGGTTTGCGCTACGCTGACCAGACCGACATTGTCGTCGTGGCAATCACGCCGTCGTCTGAGGTCTATAGACGGGAGTTCCAAGCCCTCATTGACTACTTCGTATCCAAAAAGCGCTATGCTGTTGTCGGCGACAAGGGTGTGGGCAACGTGAGGGACACTTACTTGGTGCCCGTCCTTCCTGGGGATAGCAACATGCCGGAGTTTATGCTTAACTTTTCGGACAACCTGGTGCCTCAGAAGAGGACGGAGCCTATGCTACTGGCCGTCTTCGTATATCGCAATACCCCCAGGCAGCCTCAACTGGGCGGTGCCGCGTCTCAGTCACCCGTCACCAATGCTCCAACTCCCACACAAAGCGGCTTTCCTCCACGACACCCCTCGATATCCGGTCCGGCTTTCTCACCAACGGTTGCTCAGGGCCCCTTCCAGCAGCCGGGCCACCCTGTCGGCAACAACGGTCACGCTTTACAGGAGCACCCCACACAAGGGGCGCATCAAATCGTACCGCCTAACCAGCCTCCAACGGGCTATACAGCCGCTCGCGGTTCTGAACTCGAGAACCAACAACGCCAACAACAAGGCCAGGCATTGGCACAAGAGGTTCTGGGCCCTTTGATTAACAGTCCTACGATGAAGTTCCTGCTGCCTCAAGCTTACCAGATGTCGCGGACAGAATGGGAGGTCGTCCGGGGCATTCTGGAGAGAGATTTACGGGCACGGGATGACCTGACCCATCTAAGTCAACTCTTGGAGAAACAGCCGCCAGCTGCTAAGGGCAGTGATGTTGCTCCTCCGGCTCCGCAAGGCGCGCAGGGGGTAGCGCCATCGGCGTGATCTTGGGTTGTTATTGGATGGGTAAACCAGAGAAGTTTGCTTGCAAAAGCGTATATCCTCTCATTCGCGGTACATAGGTAGCTGTTTATTGGGATTTACGTGAGGTCTTGGGACTGAGAGACGGAGATACCGCTCCCTCATGAGGGGGTTTTGGGCCTTTGCTAAATAAGGGTTTACTATGGAGTTTTCTTTCTTAGTGTGTTGAATTAGGGGCAATCAAAGCTATTTTCTCGAGTCTCGCGTGTGGCTGTATTGTGATGTATTCTGATTTGTCTAGTTAAGGATGACATGTCTAAGTGTACAGTTAAGAGAACGATATTAAATCTGGCTTGCTACACTCTGTATCATCCGGACAGATAGGACTCTGTAGTTGGACTCTGTACGGCTAGGCTTCTCATAGACTCATACTCAGATTTTCCGGAACACGGCATTTCATTGATTATTGGCCTCGTGGTGGACTCCGGCCAAGCCGATGCCGTCAGCTAGTCTGCCTCTCAACCAAACTCGCCAAGGTCTCTCATCTCGGTCATTTCCAGCACTGGGTCTGTCGCGAGTCAACAGCCCGGGCTGTCATCCTCTACGACCCATCAAAGTACTGAAACAGCTGTCAACGGACAGTATCCGTAAGTCAAAGACAGCAACTTGCTTTTTCGCCAGGAACCAAGTGCCCCCCACCTCCCGTCCGGTGTATCTCCCACCGCGTCGGGTGCACTCAGCGACCAGAGGAGCGGACGAATAACGAAAGGTATGGTATCGGGAGCATACCCCCCGGGCCCCGGAGCCGGTTCGCACGCACTGCCACTGGTTGGCTGAGCAGAGGCGACGAATCGAAGACGACTTCAGCCACAGCAGCTTGCCGGGTTTATGCCTTGCTGCCCCCCACCACGCCATGACGACAACCTTGCTGGATTGAGAAACACGGGACCTTGGAGATTCAAGCATTGGGTTGAGGGGGGGAGACGCCGTACGGGGGGTGGCATTTTATTTAAGGCTGGCTGAGACTGGGTCTGGACCGCTTTTTCCCTTTGTGAGAGTACCTAGACATCCATTGTTCAATTAAGACTAGTTAGTTCAACGGTTTGATCTTCTTTTCGACATCTTTAAATCTCACCTGTTCCTCAATCAACGGTCGCTTCAATTGCTAGTCATCTGTAAGTAAGAGAGCTCCAGCCGTGACGTCACCCACCTACCTACTCCAATCAAGATCAACAGCTGACAGTATCGTAGACTCCAATCTACAAAACTCTATCAATACCAACACCACCACCTTCACAATGGCTTGCGGCTCATCTTCCTCCGGTCTCTTCAACCGCAACGGCCCCGGCAGCGCCGCCACCTCCATCATCGACAGCATCGTCAAGCCCGCCGAGGCCACGGGCGGCAAGACCAAGTGCATCGAGTGCGACGGATACGAGTGCTGCTGCATCCCCATTCCCTGCACCGTCATGTAAAGGGGCAGTTTTCGCTGCTGCGGCAGAACGGAAGTACGATTTGGCTTGGATTTGGGGGCTATATTTCTTGAGGGCGCAATGTAGCGATGCTGTGGAGGATTGATACCGGATTGCTGCCTTTGATTTAGTCGACTCCGGCACGAAGCCGGTCGAGCATGAATTCATGATTTGCCCTTGTGGCTGTGCTATCGTCTACGTCGTTGAATGCTATTTTCCCCCTGTCAGCCCGGCCAAGGGCGCCTATATCGTCGTCTGCTCAGATCTGATGTTGCAGCATCATTTCCTTTCGCGTTGCCATGTTCCGCTGGCACCGATTCTCGTGGTTCATCCCTCCTAGTCAGGTATGGGTATCAATGCTTGCCAAATACACCACGAACCTTTGTTCGCCACCGTACCGTCACCGTCACCGCTCTGCCAACCTGTCTGTGCATTCAGATTATGGAATGCTCAAAGACCCCTGGATACAGGGTCATGCCGCTATCTTCCCATGTAACAACTTGCACCTCGTCTCCATGCTAGAGAAACAAAGCATCCGCTTCTCTCCATACTTCTTGCTCTCTTGTCTTAACAAACATTTCCGCTTCCTTGCTGGTCAGCTCGCCATCAATGACTGAGCTGACGATCTCCGGTATCTTGGGTGTATCCAGGCTTCCTAGGCCCTCGAGAACTCGCTTGGCCTTGTCCACTTGTGCTCGAATAGCAGCCGTTTCCGCCCTTGTACGATCGAGATTCGATTGCATCAGCGCGATGGCCGATTCGCGTGCTTGATGGGGTCGGTATTCGTTGAGGACGTGGTGGAAATTGATGAATAGGGTGCGCAAGTCTTCGATTTTCGTAGCGGCCTAGAAATAGTCAGTTCATGAGGCGGTAGGGGGAGGTAGCTATTGACTTACGTCGTCTGGCACCGTAGCCATGACGGCAACGAGCTCGAGAAAGTTGAGCAGAAGAGACTTGGCCATCTTCTTGAGCTCGAATGCTCGATCGAGGTGCTTTCCATCCTTCTCCTCTGAATGTGCCGGCACCAGTCGTTTGATCTCACCTTCCTCGAGAGAGGGAAGCTTGTCGTCGAGCTAAGCAGAGTATCAGCGCCCCCGTAACCTATCCAATCGCAACGAGTTGGATAAACATACGGTATAGTTTCCGCCCAAGACTTTCCATGTTCCCGCTGGCGGCTCGGCCGGTGGTTGAAGATTCATGAGGCCTTCGGGGATATTTGGTATGCGAGCCGGCAAGTCCTTGACAGCAATGCCATCCTTCTCTGCTTGAGCCTTCCGGAGCTCTTCTATTCGGGCTACGTTCTCGGGTGTAAAGTCTCTCCAGAAAGGCGGCGGGTTGGGGAATGTCGAGGCCAGCGCATTTTGCGATGGCTCATCTGGGTTGTCGGCCATCTTTATGGCGTAGGTATCGTCGCAGAGAGGCGCTGGGTAGTCGTAGGTCGTCTAACGGTGATAATCATTCCCTAGTTATTCATGTGTAGCGATTCTTGAGCTGTGTTTGTCTCGGTAGCGTCGAAATCGAGGAATGTGGGTGAGAGTTTAATGCGACTGCGAATCGCGCGACGGGAACCTTGGAGGCACGGGCAACTGAAGATCGGGCTGCTCCCGCCAGCGCGTTTTGTCGAGGCAGGAGTCAGTACCTAGAGGACACCTGCAGGACTCAGCACCGATTGGAAAGCTAGGGGCACCCGGGGTAGCGTCGGCAGGTCTTTCGCGCTCTGAGGTAAGTAGCAACCCCGCTGTGCTTGAGTCGGACTGGCGCCAATTTTGCGCACCTGGCACCTGCACCTTGTCACCTCCACTTCCCAGACCAGAGCAAAGGTACGGAAACGCTACCGCTACCACGCTACGTCGTTGGCGTTGCCTCCATTCAATTCCTAAGCTCGAATACAAGTTCGCCTGGCTTTCTGACCTTCAACATCTACGAGCCATTGAGCAGAGTCCTTGTCATATCCGAGTCTGCAGAGCATCTGCGCACATCCAGCTGTCGTCAAGACGCGTTCATACCCACCATGGCCGACGTACGATCCCTCCTCCGTCAGCAACGTGCTGCAAGACGAATCGAGCATCCTCATGCCGCCTACTCCGATGCGGGCAAGCTCCTCTGCACCCTCTGTCACGAGGCGATCAAGTCCGAGTCTCTTTGGGACAGCCATATTCGCGGATCCGGGCACACGGCGAAGGTTAAGGTGGCGCAACAAGCGTCCACGAGCGCGAGCGGATCAGCGGCCGCGGACGGAGTCTCTTCGAACAAGCGGAAACACGACTCGGATGAAGACATGGAAGATGACGACACGGCCGATGCGGTGCGGAAGAAGCGAAGCAAGGGGAATATGAGCACGCCTGCTCGCTTGTCCGCTGGCGAGTCAGACCGTGATCTCAAGGACGTGACGCTCACACCACCTTCGCTGAACCGCCGAACGTCCACCACCCCAGTTCAGGGGGTTGAGATTCAGATTCCGTCGCGCCCGCACACGCCTGCGCACAGAGATGCGACATCTTCAAATTCAACCCCCATTGTGCAGCCCGTTGGTCCATCGCCATTGATCCCGCAAGAGGAGTTACCGACGAAGCCGAACGCTACTGGCCCGGCTACGCAGCAAAACGGCATAGCTACAAAGCCTGTTGGAGGGGCCGTCGACGAGGACGAGTGGGCAGCATTTGAGGCGGATATTGCTGCGACAACAGCGCCGTACTCGGAGGACGCTGTTATCGCGGCACCAGCCATGACGGCCGAGGAGACTGCGGCAGCAGCAAAGACAGAGGAGGAAGAACAAGCAAAACGGCGACTCCTTGCGGAGAAAGATCTTCTCGATGAGAAAGAGGAGGCTACGCGAGCATTAGAGACGGAATTTGAGGATATGGAGGAGCTCGAGGCTAGGGTTCGGAGGTTGAAGGAAAAGCGGGAGGCTTTGAGGAAGCAGAGCTTTACAGGCACCACTGCGCCTGTTGACAAGCCGACTGAAGACAGTGGTAAAGAGAATGTGGGAGTCAATGGCGACGAGGAAGAAGATGACGAAGACGACGAGGACGAGGACGATTTCATGGGCTTCCGATACCGCTCATGACAAGCGGCCTTGTCCAGTCGAGGGGTGTCTTTCGTCGTCAATCATAGGCCCCTGAACTCTTTTCGATGGGAAGCTGAGACGTTTTATGTGTTGTATAAATACTGTAACTTACACTTTCACTTCTGGTTAGTAAATTCAACGTCCCCAGGCGATCCCTCCGAGTTACTTGTGCATCTTGAAGCTTGATATAAACACCTTTGATATCATTGAGAACCCTTCCTAACTACAGTAGACATTACTTTTTCACCATTACCACCCTTACTAAAGGGAGAAATATGTCGTCCCCAGATACTTGCATCGATATATCACAGCCAGAAACCATGCGGGCGGCAACCGAACTACCAGGCGGCCACTGCGGTCGGCGCGCGAGGCTTGTGTACAGGAGCTGTGCCGGTCCGGTAGACAGTCGCTGTAACCGTGTTGTAGACAGTGACGAGAGCCACCGAGACAGAGCAGACAGAGTAGGTTGGGAGAGCGTTCCCGGTTGTTGTGCCCGTGGCAATTGCGGTTTCCGTGGCCGTGGCCGTGACAGTGACGGCGGAGTCGCTGGGGACATCGGTCGGCTTGACGCACTTGGTGCCGTTCCAGTGGTTGCAGTGGTGGGTAGAGGTCGGCTTGGAGGAGCCATTGCCGTTGTCATCATCATCGCCGCCGTCGCCGCCGTCACCCCCGTGAGGAGGCTTGTCGGTCGGCTTGCCGCCGTTTGAGCCGGTGCCCGTTGCCGTTGCTGTTGCTGTTGCGGAACCGGACGCGGCATCTGTCTGGGTGGCTTGGTTGTCATCATCATGGCCCGGCGCACTTGTCTCGGAGCCGCCATGGCCGGTGCGCGTCTTCGTCTTGGTGTGTCCGTGGCCTCCGGGAGGCTTGGTCTTTGTGGTTGCTGAGCCATCAGGACCTTCGCTGATGACTTCGGTGCAGGTGACGGTGACTTGTTCCTGCTCCTCGGCCGTCTTGGTGACGTGAACGGTACGGGTCTCGGTCTGGGTCTCTGCCCGGCGCGTGACTGTGAGGGTAGCCGTGACGGTCTCCTGGACGAAAGAGGCGGATGCGGTCTGGTAGACTGTGGAATGGGCGGTCTCGGTCTTGGTGATGACGCTCGGGGTGCCCTCCGGCAGACAGGGGCAGGTGTTGGGGTTTGGAGGTGTTCGCCCTCTCAGGTTATCGGGGCGGGCAGCGACGATTGAGGCCAAGGAGAGGACTGACAGAGTCAGGAAGCTATGTTGGTAGACCATCGTGAAGGTGGCTAGCTGGGGCTTGAACAGACGGATCGAGAGAATGGGAAGTAGGGAAGCTCGCAAGACGATTGCTGTTGCTGGCGGGAGCGGGAAGCTGGGTAGTGTGAGTGAGTTGGTTGAGGCTGATGATCAAGAAAGGTAGCATCTTGTCTGGAAAGAAGATGGAGTTATATGCTCGTTATCTACACTGCGCTACGATCTGTTAAAGAAATCAGTTGGAAAGGCTTTGTGTGAAGTTCGCAATGCGCCGCTGTCGAAGGAATGTCGTTTCCCTGTATTGCGACCTATTGCTCCGCGAAGAACAATAGAGCTGGCCGAGGGTACGGAAAACCGGAGACAAGTAGCTCTGCAAATCTTTGGAGGGGGTTCCATATTGTATAGCATTTTCCATCGCGATGAAGCCGTCTTCCGCTTGGATGGTCTTCAACCCAAAATGGACTGTGGTCAGGCCGTATTTGGCGATGAAGGGGGTTTCTCCAAGTCAATAGTTTGCAGTTGAGGCCGTTCTCAGGGACCAGGGAGATGCGAGGAGGGAAAGAAGTGACACAGAGCTCAATATTGACGTCTGTGTCCCCAAGGGAGAGCTCTCAGCTTCAACCCTTGCACTGATAAGATAATCCGTCCAGCCACCCAGCGTATGCCTTGCGCGAGTCAAAAAGACAAAGCCAATGGATGCCATGCATAATGAGGTGGATACGCCGCAAAGATGTCGAGCAGGACGCATCGCAACTGCGACGGAATTCATTCCCCCCATTGGTGTTCGGCGATTGTCCGTCGCTGGAATTTAAGTGAGGAAAACCGCCAGGTCGGGTCGGTGCAAGGTCCAGGTTTCGAACACACTGCCGGGTCCTCCAGCATTTTTTTCGTCCCAAAACACCAGGAAAAAACGATGCGTGGAGCTCGGGCCTGGCCGTCCCGTCCCGCTGTGGGGAAATGGCGCGGAGGTTGCGATATTCCGAAGCCGAAGTTCGACCGCCTTCCGAAATGAGAACGTCATTCCATCGTCGCAATCTTGCGCTTTCTGCCACCAGCATCATAATCCAAACACGCGCCCATCAACCAGTCCCTCACGCCATCGCTTTGCCGAACACTGCTTGGTAGCAAAGCTCCGTCCACTCTTTTATGAACTTTTATTTCTGAAACTTACCGCCTTTTACCGACGCGCGCCACAGTATCTGGCGACGACAGCGCATCGACCGACCAGGGACCGACCGCCGATTTCTCGATTCGCGATGGGCATTTGTGCGTCATGCCTCGGGCGGGGAAACAAGGACGTCTATGACGAGGTGGGTGGCGTTGCGGGCTGGCGCACTGGCAGCGTAGTATGCAGCGGCTGACGGGTTTTCCAGGACGAAGAATCGCGACTCCTCTACGACGATCCCAACAATGTGCACTACGGCAGCTTCGGAGAGCAGAGCGTCAATGGACAGGAGGACCCGATGGAGGTGCAGCGAGAGACTGAGGCTCTGCAGCGAGTCGTAGCGAAAACGTCCGAGTACGTACTGACTGTCGACCCAAGCTCCGGGACGGCGGGCTTGCTTCTCATGTCAGAACCGGGAGTGCTAACATCGGTCTTCCTAGCAACATGGTCGACATCTTCGAGATTGCCCCGCAGGATCACGCACATCGCCCTGCGCCGACTACATTTGCGTATGCAGGGCAAGAAGCCCGCATCGTGCGGTACCAGCACCTTCTTTCAAAGTTGGCTTCCAAGGACGACGCCCCAACCGGTGTCCAAGTGGATTGGCTTCCCCAGGAAGATGACACGATCGAAATGCGACACGGCGTACCAGCAGTCAAGACTGAGTTGGACAAGCCCCTTGTCGGCACATTCGCCGATGCAGCAGCGGCAATGGCTTGAAACTCTTGGTCATGAATCATTCTCTTGGTTTCTGCCCACCCGAGCTCACAGCCAAGGCGGCTAAGCTATGCCCCTTATTCTTGCGCTGTATTTTCTATCAAAGATTCGTATTGGTCGACGCATGGCCAGGGTCCCGTCGGATTACGGCAACATGGGACGGAATGGCATGGAGTGACGACATCTTTTTCTCTTTTCCCTCGATACCCCTCCAAACACAGTATGCAGACACGCTTCCCAAAAATCCACCCACACAAAAATCAGAGTACTCGGTAGGCTCCAATGCCACAAACACCACACCCCAGAGAAGCATCCACATTCACTCACATATCGCTTTTTCTGTTTGTTCGTTTTTTTCTCCCCCTTCTTTCATTTTCTATGTCAGAACCCTGTACTTGGTTCGGAAACCCTTGTATAAAACGTCTGGGCAACGAGGTTATGAGAAAGGTGGACACGATGGGCCCAAAAGACCACGAATTAATCAATGAAAAATTCCCTCTATCCCACTTTGGAGCCCCCCTGGTTCGTACCATGGCGGGCCAATGATTGCGTCTTGAAATATTCTTCAGCGGTAGGCCATGGGTTGCCTAGCCCATTGAAAGATGGCCACGTGCACCTCCGGCTGATGTTTACCTTTTCTAGTGTGGACCCTTTGGCAAGGAATGTTGCATCCTAGTCCGGGCCATGTCTGGAAGCGACACCTTTAGCTTGGATTTCGGCCGACCTTTCGGGGCGGACGAGCACCGTCAACTCTGGACAGGAGGGAAGCATTTAGAGGCTCATATTAAGACTCTGATGCCCGCCATTCAGGGTTGTGCGGGAGTCTGTGCGGTTCCCGTGGCTCATTGGCGGAGACAAGTCCAAGAAATGGTACCTTGGAAGTGAAGTGGGATGGACGGCATGAGGAGGGGTGGTGTGCTGCGGCCAGATGGGGCGGCCTCCCAGTCCCATCCCATGAAGCCTGACACAACCCACCACCCTTCTTCGTCCCTCTTCTGTCCCCAGTCTCTCCTACGCTAGGCTCTTCTTTCTGCTCCTCCCGCTCCTCCCTCCACTTTGGCCTTGGGTCAGATGACAGGTACGGCTTGTCAGTGTGCTGTGCTAACAAGGACTCCGGGGAGGGGCACACGCGGGAGACGTTGAGGGGGCTCATCCAAAGCCGCGGGGTCTCGCATCACTTGCTTGACGGCGACACGTGAGAACGAATGACGTGCCTTTGGGGGACATAAACTTTTCAAGCTCGCTATAGAAAACATGAAATACCAAAAGCAGCAGGAGCGAAGAGGGCCTGGATGTTTGCATGAAGGGCCGCTACTCGTCGTACTTGTGCTGTACCTAGACCAGATCGACGCAACACCGCCTGCTGTCCCTTTCGCTGTCGACCATCGCGTGCCACTCTCATTCGCCGGCAGAGTCCGCTTTCTGCAACTTACGTACCTGATAAGCACGCCAAAAAAACCTGCTGGACGGGCAGCCGTGCAGGAAGAAAAAAGTGGGAGAGCTTTTTCTTCATCAGTCTCTCCTCCGTTGTGTGTGCCCTGGAGAAAGAAGCATGACTGTCAACGCTTTGCTTTGGCATCATTCGATTCCCAGAGCCCATGAAATGTCTGGGTCCGAGCCGTTCGGGCTGAGCTTGCGAAATAGGTTTCTATGTGGCCAAGGCCTTTTAGGCAGGGGGACACGAGAGTCAATTCGAAATGACGGAGGGAATTCCGAGGACAGCTTGAGATGGGCTTAGAGACTAAGCAAGGTGCTGCTGAGGGGCCCGTCATTCAAGTCCCTGTCGCCGCTTAGACGGCGGACCGGGTTCGCGACGAAGCATCCTACACGAAGCGGTCTCTTTGCGGGCACCAGCACGCACACAACACTTTGACTGCCAACATGGGCTAAAATTAACTATGCCGAGATGCTCTCCTGGTGAGGAATAAAAACCGTACAGGATTCTGTAGCCTCCCAATAATTCCGTCTCTGGGAAATTTAAACGTCCGCCTGCCCCAACCTGAGTAGAGGGGACAATAAACTAAAAAGAAGAAACGAAAAAAAAAAAAAAAAGAGACCAAAAATGATGCAGAATCAACGAATGAACGGCCGTTACGTGGTTCAACTTGGAAATTCCCCCCCCAAAGCCAGGGTTCGACAGGAAACCTCTCCAGTCCCGCAGTGTGTCAAAGACTTGCTTGCCCCTTTTCCCTCAATCATTCTTCATCAATCGATTTTCCGCACCATTGTTTCCGCGCGCGCTTTCCCATTCCGTTTCGTCATATCGTCGTCCCCCTCTATATGTGAGGGGAGGTTCGAGAACCACTGATAGTAGAAGCCAAGTCAGCAAACGGCGGTCCTGTGGCTGGCACACACACACACACACACACACACACACACACACATACACACACCAGACCCCCCGACTCGGCTTACCCCTGAGCAGCAAACCCGCCACTCCCACCATACCGCACAAGACAGGTCCAGCAAACGAGGGGCATCCGTATATGGAGAAAAATTCGGAGAGGGTGGTGAGGGGAAAAAGGGAAGAACCGAACAAAAAAAAAGTTGCAACATACCCATATAGGAACCCCTCCATGGAACCATGATCAAACCGCCCAGCAGCAAGCAGCAGCCAGACAGTAGACGATCCCATCAGTTCAATAGGTTCACCCGGGTCCAATGCTGATTGTTCATGTCTTGAATCTGGCCTTGGACTTGCTGTATCTCGAGGTTCGTCCGCTCGATAGTCGCTTTGCGGTTCCCTTCTTGGCGCCACCGAGCGACGTCTCCTTGCATCTTGGTTAACCGACGATACTTCTTGTCCATATCGTAGCACAGCTTGCATCGGTCTTCGTTTGTGATGGTTTCGAACACCAGCTTCAGTCCGCATGTTTCGCCCGTCCGGTATTCTTTGTTGCATTGCTGTTTGAACTGACCCCATCTCCAATATCCGCAGACCCAACGTGTTTGATAAAAGTAACACATTGTTCTTCTGCTTCTTGTACCACCCCCTATGATCTTCTTCTTCTCTCTTTTGTCTTTCTTCCCTTCTCTCTCTTTCCTCTCTTTCGGTATTTTCTTTTTCGATGTTGTTGTTCCCTTTTCCCCTGGCGGGCCGGTCCGTCTGGCTAGCTAGAGAAGGTAACTAGCTCGTCGATGCGCAATGAGGTGGAGAATGGAATGGAGGAGACAAGGAGGAAGAGGAGGAGCGGTAGCAGCAGAACCGAGAGAGGAGTAGAAGTGGTTCGTTTCGTTTCGGGGGTCTCGGGTATGATAGGAAGTCACGAATGCTAGGTTTGGTACTGGGCTGTTCAGACTCTGTTCAGCCAGACAAAAGGTTTGTTAGCCATCTTTTATTTATGTTTTTTTTTTTGGTCCTGTTCTCCCATTCCCATCTTTCCAAGTTGGCCGCCCCCCTTCTCCTCTTGCCCCCCTCCCCCTACAACATGCAATACCATGCTGTACACAATGATGCTTCTTTGGTCACATTTGTCCAATGATGGTCCCTCTTCTTCAGGGGTAGCCTTTTTGGCTTGGGGGGTTTCCGCCATGGGGGTGAAGATGCGTGGGATGAACAGAAAATGTATGCCATGGACCATGGTAAAGGAGGGGCGTGTGAAAAAGAAAATCGAAAAGGAAATGGTTCAAAACGGAACTGACCAGGCAGACTGTAGTATTGTTGAGAAATGGCCGCAGCAGTCGCAGTAGACAGCAGCAAAAAGCCAGCGAGCTACGAGTGGCAGAGGTGCGCCTAGCAGCCAGTTTCGGCAGAGACAAAGAATTTCGTTCGCAACCGCGATCGAGAAGTCTCTTTTTTTTTTTTTTTTGGCTGTTCGGCGCAATGGCCGTTGGGCAGCAGTGGTCTCTTTGTGCTGGCCCGGCTCGGGGGTGTGGGTAACGGGGGTACGATTTCTCGATGTTGTTTGACCGGAAAGACACCAAGGTGAGGTCGTTCGTTTCTTTTTTTGCCGTTTCGAGGTTTGACAGGTTTTTGATACTCGTTTTCTAATTTTTCCCGGCCGCGATGTTTTTCGTATTTGGCGTCTACAAAGCGGATTTTGACGTCGATGTACCTGTCAAATCCGTTTTTTTCTTGCAGCTTCTTGTCTCATAGTAGCATCTCTTTAGCCTGAGGGGCAACTGGGCTAACTTATACTTTGTCAAATAGTTCGAGGTCGTTGATTGGGACCCGCACGATGTGTTGTCACGACTGGCGCACATAATGCCTCCATACACATACACTTCACTACACCGCGCTACACTATACACGTACATTCACACATGTATACCTACATGATGCATATCAAACAGGCCGCTGCCATGGCCATGTTCGACTTTATTTCCTATTCGAGATGAGGGAGCAATAAGCGGTTGACCACTATCCATCGCCTCCACTTACACAACATCCACGTCCAAATGAACGACGAACGCCGACCCATATCTTCGTAATCGACTTTGATACTTCACAGAAAAGCGGGAATGACGTACATTCCATATGTCAACCTTCATGGTGGGTATCATGGCCTTCCGTCTCGGATCCGCCCCGTTTGGTCCATCGAGTCTCGTCGCCGAGATCTTCGTCGTTATTCCCCTGTAGACGATAGAAACCTTGAAACGCATATACTGACCTGCCGCCCGCCAGCTTGCATCTAGAGGCTGAGGCTGGCGGTCATCGGAGGATATCTGCTTGCCACGTTTATCGTAGCTTCGAAAATGTCCTCGCAGGGGGCCCTGCTCGATGCTTCACACTCCACTCTCGAGCGTTGGAGATATTCAAATATGATACGACTCGCAAGGGGGCACAAAATTGAGAATATCAATCTAATCTGGCTTGGGATACAAACGAATGCAGGGAAAGAAGAATGCTGTGAAATTGGTGTGGGTGGACATAACGAGGCGCTGGCAGGAAAAAACAAAGAGAATGCCTGTTATGTGCCTGTGCTGTCAAATTTCAGGTACGAATTTGGATGAAATAACCCTTCCCTTGTTTCTTGTATCATTGGGCGTCCATTTCAATGTCCAGGCTGTCAGCCCCTCAACTTCGTACGGTGTGGTACATCCATTCATCAGGCACGATTTCTATATCCTGCCGCAGAACTATTCCTTTTTTCTGGGGTTCAGTTCCCATCTGCTGTTCTCCCCTGGACAGTTGACCGTAACAGTCACGAACGCAAGGCGGAACTTCTCCACTCTCAACGAGCTTTTCTTGTGTGTATGTGTATAATGCTGCAGAAGACTTGCAGATTTCATCTCCCAGGTACAACCTTGAACACTACCCTTGGGGGTTCTTTGAAGTGGGTGTTTCCGCTACGGGCTGCGACCTGCAAGTATTGGAGTGACGGGGCAGTATTTAGCCTCCCGCTCAAGGTAAGGCTGTCTTCTGCCCGCTCTGCTTGCGGCCGCTGTGGGGTTCTCTATCTCATACGTGCCTTAACCCCGTGTTGCTGTTTTGTTTCCTGTTTCCTTGCCCACGGGCCATGGTTCGTCCCGTCCGCAAAAGATAACTGTCAGCTTGAAGTGGAGGGTAGGGAGATTTGGACGTTTCCCCTGGAGGGGTCTTGGCACCGGAGGGGAGGGTGGATGGTAGCCGGCATGAACCATCGAGCCATTGTCTATTTTCTGCGGCATTGCGTTTGAAACTATTGGTTCCCCCACACTACTGACATATGGATAGAGCATTATGGTGAAGGCCATGACTAAGGTCAGGAGACAAGGGCTTCTCCACGGCACCAGGGCTGACCGAGGGCCGCTCCGTGAGACCACCTGGGCTTTGCCTGCCGCTCAGAATGAAACGTCATCGAAGTGGCATGAATGCAAGGTTGACATTTCCATCGCCACCTTCCTATCCTCCACTTCCCTCGCTGCCGGTCTACTTGAGCCTAAACACGCCCGGGGACGCTAACAAGTACTCTTGAATACTTCAGACGAGACACAATGATCAAGGGAGGTGAACTGGAATTGCAACCTCAGGGACCCTTGCAGCCACTCGGGCAGGGACAGGCAAAGAAACCCCGGACAAGGCCAGCTCAACCTGCAGGCGACATCGATCTCAACATGTCAGGAAGAAAGCTTTGTCACTCAGGGCCAGACCTCTCTGAGCCGGATGCCCGTTTCCTGAGTCCATCGACCTGGTCATTGACGAATAATCGGTCGTCTCAACCACCCCTGTCTCATAAGGTCTGCTTCTATGGAGGGGGGGAGGGGGGGGCGTTGATTTTGTCTCGCCTTATGATGTAGGTCTCATGCTACCACCCACTGGTGGGCTAAACCATCTCACCGGCCATGCGGGCTAATAACCGTCTAGGTATACCGTCGAGGAGACTGGGAAAGTCCGCAGACCCATCCCCTCACATGAACTACCTGGCTTGTCCAAATACGGACGGTCCGTTTGCTTTGTCGCCTAGATGACATTGGGTTACGGCGAACCCTCGCGACGAGCAAGTTGACAACGGTCCTGGTGAAGGCCTTTGGGCGTTGGTTAGGGCCCTGGGCAGGACAACGTGGCGGCCGGCTGCTGGCCATGGCCTACGTTCCACACTGCATTGCGTTCGATCTGCATCAGAGCCCCAACGAAGGTGCATGTACCTAGGCCCAAGCCAGGTTGAAGGTATCTGCTGATGGCAGACATTGTACTTACTCCCTCTGCTGGCTCTGGCCTGGCAATATGCGTCGGTTGCCGATCAAAAATGCGGGATCACGGCTCCTGTCCGCACCTTCACCCATTTCACCTTAGTGGGTGACGTGTGGCTTGCCGAGTCCACCGGACGAAGTTCCCCGGCGGCACCTCATGCACCAGATGTAGCTCTCGCTACAATCCGCAGGTGACGGATTATCAGTGTTGACTCTCATTGGGATATAACGGCACCACCTCTTCTTTCATCAGAGCCTGTAACTTGTTTAACTCGATGACATGTCCACGAGCGTTGTCAGCAACTGATATGGCCTACTCATGATTGGGCATGGGTTTGCGAAGAGCCCGCGTGTACAGTGGTTTGCCCACTCTACTCGAGCTGCAATATTCAAAACAAGGCTCCGATGTCCTGAGAAGGTTGGGAGCAAATCATCGAGTTTGATCGAGCTCCCTCGCGCCTAGCTTGGCACACATGACAGGCGAAAGGTGAGTGGTCGAGCGGGGCCGCGAACACCTCTTCCGACATTGACACACCTCCTGCAACTGTTCAGGGTTTCCAAGTAGGGAGTCCCTTGTGAGGGACACCGATGCGCTGTCAACCAGAAGACCGCTTATGGAAAGGCTTGCGTTCGTGTACGTCCAAAAGGCTCGAAAGACTGCACTGGGAAATGCCACCATCCCTTAGACGCGGGCGTCATTTGACTGGGAACAATAGCTGAAAGACCAGCCGCGCCATTCGAGACTGGCCTGGTCACGACTGCTGCCGGCGAGGACATCAAACTCTGTCAGGGGGAGGAGGGTGGCTGTAAAGAGGGGAGGCCAGAGATGCGGCCAGTCCGTTTACGAGGCCGGGTGATCCGCGGTCGGCGCCGAGATGACTGTCAGTGAAGTTGTCGCTCTCGCACGGGCACGTCGTGAACCGTGGCCTTGACTGGAAGCTGATGGGTAAACGGGACGGCCCGTTTGCCGTGGGAAGGATGTCGAGCACGTCCTCACCACGGCGAGTCTAACGGTGGAAAGGCTCTTTGAACGTAGCGAGGTAGCACTGGAAACTCCACTAAGAGTGCTTTAAATCATCTGCCTATCATGGGCTGTCTTGGTGTTGCCACTAAGGAACACATTTGGACCTTCAATTTTGACAGGATGAAGCTAAAGAAATGTGCAGGATTAAGGCCAATGAATATCCTGGGCTTCCAGAAGACGCCTGCAGGCCACCCGAACTCTTGGGTTACTGCGAATCATGCGCTGAAGAAACGATGCACCATTATTTGGTACATGATTGGGTGCATTGGGTGAAAAGAGAAGACAAATAAAGGCCAATGACGGGCAGAAGAAACGCACGTCAGCACGCTACTCGTGGTTGCCACGAGACGGTAGGGTACGCAGGTGTAGACAAGCTGAAAGCCTACTTTGGTGGAGAAGCTGCGATCAGCTGCATCACGTTCCAGGACAAGCAATGACTCCGATATGGACTTCCACAGGAAACCTTGTCTGCAATGTCTACTCCGTTCATGCTCAATTGGCAGAGAACGGGAAAGGGGCAATCTGCCAATGAATGAAGCACCAAGAAGGAACAGACGACGTTGAGACAAAGGAATTCTAACGATGTGACAAGGATGCGCTTGACGTTGGCCGCCCAGAACAGACGCGTTTCCGTTGCAGCCGCAAGGAAGGCCACCCAAGAACGTGATTGGCCAGGGCCAAATTCAAATTGGTTGGGTCGGGGAAATCGGCCGCACGACCACAACAGGAGCCAAAATACTTTTGACAACACGCGATGTGCCCCAATGCCAGACTTTTCGATAGGCAGCGGGGATCAAGCACGAAGCCAAGACTAGGACCAACGATGTAGACGGATGGTGGCAGAATCTGGTATCCGCGTCGTGGGAAAAAAGCCGCTTGACCGTTGATTTCTGCCCGATGTCAATGCTAGTGCCCATCTTGCTCGTTCATGCCGTGTGACGAGGTGTGATTGATATCGTTCGATGCATTCTGAGCTCCGGCCGGTTGATGACAACGGAGGCGTGGAGGCGTCGATGAGGCTTGGTCAAGATTGCAGCCTCGTTCATCCAGGGGCTGCGTCCTGTATGCCGTTTGCTGCATGCTTTGACCGGTTCGTGAGAAGCCTGCCCTTGCAGATTTGATGGCGGTTCCCTGCGGCATGCAGCAGGTGCTCCAATTATGCCTAGAATAGGTGCTCTAGGGTCTGCGTTGTCCATTGGCGTTGCACCTGGGAGGATGGCGGGAACGGGGGGTAGCTGCGGGCGTCCGTTGCGGGAGGCCATGGTTCAAGGGCATAGAATGGAGGGTCTTGACAGCAGTTCGTGGAGATTCCAGCTGTACAAGGACAAGGTGAATGGCAGGGCGAAGGTCGCCAGGGCCAGGGTTCTTCCTCAGGCTGTAGCAGATATCAGTTGGTTGAAGCCCAAAGCTCGATGTGTGGGAATGAGGTGTACCTACCTTTGAGAACATGGGTGGAAGTGAGCACTCCTGTTTGGATCAATCTGTGTCTTGGGACTGGTCATGGACAGGCGCGAGTAGTTGCCGGCCCGTTGAGAGGCCAGGTTTAGGTTGTCCGTAAACCAGGACTAACCATTACTCGGCGGTTCTTGGATAGAAAACAGCATCGCGGACGGCCGTTTTGCTTCCGACATGAAGGCGAGCAGTAGAACTCTCAAGCTGAGACGCTTTCGTTGGAATTGGCCAATGAATCGAGGCAATTGTGAGGTGGACGGCAAGGCGTTGGATTGTGGCTTGACGGGTGTGGATGTCGGACGTTGGAAGGCGAGGTGGAAAGCGCCGGTGGAAAGCGCAGACTCCCGGTCGGAGCTGGATGAAAAATGGGTCTTTCGGAGCAAGCAAGGTGCGCACCCGACTGCATTCGAGGCAGTCACGCAGTTGGGTCGTGGTCCATTGGTGGTGTTGGGCGACTGCCCCATTTCGGCTAGATCTGTACTGTGTACCTTAAGGTAAGGTGAGAGGCGCCCTCCGTGGCGACCGGGACGAGGAAAGAGGTGGCCGGAATCTGCACGAGGCAAGAGGGACGGGGAAGTTGAAAGCCCCTCCCGTGAGCTTACTTTTTCCGTAGATCTCTAGGATCCCGTCCCAACATCGACTTTGTGCATGCGTACCTTACTCCGTACGAGTAAGGTACTTCCTTTCCCATTAGTTCACTTTACTGCCCTGGATTAGTTAACCACGACAACTCTTAGGGTAAGGTAGGTAGAGACTCAGGTATGCCTGCTTCAATTATGTTCTTAGGTACCTCATGCAGAAGTGACTGAGGGGTTGAAATAAGGCAAGGAAGGAAACTTGATGGGTGTTTCCCCTAGATAGACTAGCTCAAGTCCAGAAGGATACGTGGTGGCGGCGTTGGCGTCCGTTCCAAGTCAGCGCCAATTGCCATTTTCAACTTCTTCTTTGTGGAAAATAAGGTGCCTGATGCAACGTGGAATGGACACAATGAATCAATGATTGAGGTGAGCGTATCGGAGATGTTGTGCTGGGGGGATAGTCGATGGTGGCTTGGGAAAGTGCGTGCTCTTTCCGGCGCTACCTTACCTAGGCACAGTGTCAGCTCCTGCCGTTGGACGAAGAAACGCCGCGAGCTCCTGCCAATCGTGGCACTGAGAGCAATTGACGCGCACTGTGGGTCGCACCTGCCGCAAATACCCCTGTTCCTGGTTCTGCCTGGACCGTGTGACGCAGCCTGGAACGTTGGAGGCGCAAGCTGCAGATGGACCAATCTCACCATCCTTCCCAAGGTGAAGGTGCATCAAGCCCCGTTCCTTCCCCTCCACTTTGTCATGCTTCTTCCCAGTTCAACAACCGTCGTCAACGCGCCTGCAGCCTCAGTCTCAATGTTTCCTGCCGGATGAAAGGTGCGCCTGTCGCCTCATCGTCAACTTTGGTCATCACTCTCAACTCTGGCCTCAACTCTGGCCTCAACTTTGACCACGAAACTCATCCCCTCGGCCCGTCAGGTCGCTTTCATTGTCCACTTTCCGCCGTATCCTACCCGAGACTACCATATCCTCCGTGCCCCTCATCCGTCCCGATCATCGCTTGCTCGCGCCCTCGCTTAGTATTGCAGCCTTATCCGATGATTCCCTCGATGTTTGCCAGCATCGAATAGGATTGTCACTCTTTAGTGGGCTCATTCATCATTCCGTTGCATCACACTTGAGCTGGAGTGTTTATGCTGCTCTCATCACACCGACGAACCTAGTTCCGCGCCCCGGATTTCCTCCAAGCGTTTAGCCTGCCGGTCGCCGGCCGGGCCTCTAGCGACCAGCCTCTTCACGGCACGCGCGCGCAAAACCCAGAAGGCAGAGCGCAAAGCGCAAAGACATCTATCTGCCTACGCGACCTTTTCTGTTTCATTTGGAGGCGCGCGGTACTCAACTCGACTCCCATCGTCTAATCCTCTCGATTTCAGCGCATCCCGTCTCTCTGTTCCCTACCACTCCTGCCTACAGGCTTGCCGTGCCTTGGTACGCAGCCTATCTGCTCGTACGCTCATCTGAAGCACTCGGCTCTATCTTGCGCTCCCCGCGTCTCTACTCCCTTCTTGCGCCACTTGTTTACGCAATTCCGTGCTTGGCGCCCACCCGGCCTCCGGACCACGCTCCGAACCGAAGAATCCCACTTCTCCGAAGTAACGGACAGCTGTTGACCACGACTAGACCTGAACAACCACGCCAGTTGGAACAACTGTCTCGCAGCTCCACATCTTTGTCTCATCTGTGCTTTGAGCTCTTTGGAGCCCAGAACAAGTCCATTGGTGCCATCACCATCTCGTCGCTTGCAGGCGACCGAGTCAGCCATGGACATAATGCACGACGAGATGGCCCCAGACCAGCTCCTCTCTTCGACCCGCCAGCTTGCTATATCACATTCGTCTCCCGCATTGTCTGTACCCGCTGTCGATCATGGTCCGGCCCATGCCTTTTCCTCCTCCCAGCTCGACTCCACGTATCCGGCGGTCACTGATGCCCGACCATGCCCTCAACCAGCCGATGGGGCTCGTGGCGATGATTACTATTACCATCATCATCAACAGTACTTTCTAGAAGCCTCGTCGTCGTCATGTCTGGCGTTCTTTGGGCCTCCGTATCAGCCCACAGGCGCCATTTCGGAACTCCCAAACGAAATCATGCTCCACATCCTCGGCTATCTAGATGTGAATGACTTATTGTCAACTTCGAGGGTAGGCGTTCCCACGCACAAGTGACTGTCCTACTTTCTTTTGCCTTGACCCAGCTCACCTCATCCTCCTCCCTCGCGCGATATCCCCACCTGTGCTCGCTGTTCCCTCCGTTGACCGACTCCGTCTTTGCTGAACTCTGCTGATGACATAGGCCAATCATCACCTGCGTCACCTGTCCCTCTCGCCCATTCTCCATCACTATCGGCTCCGTCACACGCGCGCCATCCTGCCGCCGCTACTATCCTCCCCTTCTCGCCCTTCTCTAGCGGAGCTCATCGCCCGCTCCATCTTTCTGACTCACACCTCGGTCGTCTCGCGCCGCCTTGCCCGCTCTCTGGTCTCCATCAGACTGTCCCGCCGTCTGGCCTCGCGGCCCTCGGCCGAAGCCCTCGTTGAGCGGGCTGTGCTCCCGCCGGAATGCGTCCCCGGCATGAGCATGGTGCAAGTCGCGCCTGCTCTTGTTGCGAAGCGCCGCGCCATTGAAAAGGAAAAGGTCAAGGACGGCTTGAGGAAGTGGGTAGAGGGCGTGTGGAAAGGCGAGGTACGTCAGCGAGAGGAAGGCATCAAGAAGTGGGAGGAAACCAAAGGCGTGGGGAGGGTCTGGCGGCTTCGACGATTCTGGGAACGCGTGTCGAGGGGCGACGGTGCCGGGCTCCGGTAGGCCAGCGAGATACTGTGTACGACCTTGGAGTAAACTAAGCATCGAACTGGGCATTGTTTTGCGGCATTGTTTGGCGGCTCTGGGAGCCGTCAACGGCGTAACGGGGGCAGGATTTGTAATGTATTCATGATAACGTCGGTCATAATGAGTCAAATGTGCACAAGCAAGTAACTGTGAAGTTCGTAAACATCGGTCTGTCTTTGCCCCAGATGATGTCACTCTCGAACACACACAGGACAGCATCCTGTCGTAGGTTGTGAAAAGTTGGAGATGTAGTCTTCGTAAGGTGTTTTAATGCTACAAGTAATCATGCTCCACCGTGCTCAACCCTCCTACAAACCAGCCTAGCCAGCAAGCACCGGCCTTGACAAGTTCCCCCCTCAGAACCCTTTCGTCTCAAACTGACCGTGCCTTGCTTGCCCCAATGATAATGGCAATGATTGCAAGCACACCTACGACGACAGAGGTCCAGAAAGAACAGAGCGAGATGTAGTATATTGTACGGATTCGGTTGTCGATTCTCTTTTGGAAGACAGGGCTGAAAAGGCCATCTTCGGAGGGGGTTGTAGTCTTGGTGGGTTTCTGTAAAATTGTATCGTTAGCAAATGGCAGATATATCAAGCATGCGGTGGAAGAGTTGCACTTACTTCTGGAGAGGGCTTGGGAGGCACAAGCTGGCGATCGCACTCGGGGCACTTGTGGTGAGGGCCAGCGCACTGTAGATTGCGAGTGTCAGCGAGTGTGTTCTGGAAGCCGTTGAAGGATCGAGAGCCCCGCCGGTGTGCATACCTCATCACAATAGACATGGCCGCAACCGAGAGGCTGGCAGAAGGAAGCACGGCATTGTCTGCATTGGTGGACGGGTGCTACGCCAGGGGACACTGGGCCTGATGCCGGAGTCGACGTCGGTGTTCTTGGTTCTGCCACAGCAGCCAGAGCGTTGTTGTCATTTGCAGCAGCCATTGTGAGCTTAGTCTCGGCTTTCGAGGTATTTGACTGTTCGTGGTGTCCAGATAAGGCGGCAAGTTTATAAGCCAGAAGACGACGAGGTATGTGTTTGCCTTGTTGCAAGAGAGAAATCGCTCTCAAGATCGATCTGTCTCTGTGGCGGCCGGCGCGGAAGACAGAGGATTTGGAGAGCGATGTCTTAAAATGGCTGCTATGGGAAAAGAACAAGTACGAAGCTGTGTTGACGAAGTTGAGGCCATGTAGTTCAGAGATTGGGACATCATCTTGGCACCCAAATACCGCGGAGACGGAAAGATCGAAGGAAAGGATGGCGGAAGGACATGACGATACTTGGCAGCTTCCAATGTCGATGTATACCCACCGTTTCTGCTTCACCGGCAAGTGCACACCTGCCGTGAGAATGATGTACCGTGCTGCTGACTTGTCGCGGAAAGCACCAGTTGCAGAAGGATGCCCCTGAACCGGCACCCCTCTGCCTGCTAAGCACCAAGCGGTCACGGCCACTTCTTAACGATGACACCTTCCCACGGAAAACCTACCTAAACCTTGGGTATCATGGAAGGCACTCGTGGTCACGATGTAAGGTAGGTCCCATAACTCTCGAGGTGCTTCCTCCTAGATAGTAGGTACCATAGACTCTCCAGATCTTGCCCGGTCGTCAAGAACCGATGGGAGAATATAAATGGACGTCACTTCCAGTCTACTCCTAGAGAAGGGTTGGAAAAGATTCAGCATCGCAGCCGAACATTCACCTTACATCCTCATCATCAAGCGGTGGATGGCATTGACCAAAAAGTCGCCATCATTCGTAGACCGGACTCAAACCACGGGAGTCGATCCCGTCTCAACTTCTCATGGTGGTCGAGCACAGAGCGTCGGCATGCTCGTCAAGACCCTACAGGAGATCACCGCCTGCGATTCACGCCCAACTCTGCGCGTCACTAGGGATGTTCATACTCCGGCACACTTTTCGATCTTCCTGGCCAAGCCAACCCAATGCTTTATGACGTGCTTCTGTGGTCAAAAAGCTGAACCCTCCCCAGTCTGTAACTATTTTTTAAAGGTGCTCGATTCGAACAATTGTCACGCTACGATACCTATCATGGAGAGTAAGATGGCCAAAGCCTAAGTGTCGAGACCTCTGTGGCTACATGGAGCCACCTAATTAAAGAACTCAGGGCCACTGATCAAGTGCCTCTACTGCCTCTCCTAATACACAAGCACAAGCCCCCGAGTCTATAACCTTCATCCCCACGCTCAAAAGGCGCCGAGACACTATTCCGTACACACCTTTTGCGGCATGAGTCTTTCAATACCAAGCAACAACAAACTCTGACATTAGTGCCTCTCCCGTCTCAAAACGATCAATGGCACCATCTCACTTTGTGTGGGGGTATCAGAGCTTCAACAACTCAGGTGCTTTTTGCACCAATGGCTGAGAGCTGTAGGGGGGAAGCCGTCTGCCCAGTGCAGATATCGCCGAAATTATGCCTGTCGTTCTGCGTTCTTTTTCCTATTCTTCAACCGCTGCAGATATGCGAGATTACCGAGAACGGCGTGCCGCGAGACGAGTCAGATGTGCAATGTCATTACCTATTCGATCACTCCTACATACGGATAGGCATCGCCTCGAACAGAGCGGCAGTGTCCTTCGTGCCTTATCTGAGTCTTCAGCATATCCACACGGGTCCCCGTTTCCGAATGCAACGCGCACATCAGTACTGCAGGAAGCCAAGTCGGGGAACCGGTCAAGATGTTCTTTGATGCCCTGGAACCTGAATGAATCATGTTCAACTCGAATGTGTTCACCCTCTTGTCCCGCAATCGCCTCTTAGATAGGAGCTATCTCTTTGAGTCTCATTCGGCAAAAGTATACTTTCGGGCCAAAAACACGGGGTTATGCTTGCATCGGGCGAAGTAGAGCTACATTACGCGACCCCCACGGTAAGATGTATTTGCGGCGAAGGGGCTAATACTTCCGACAAGCCGTTCATACTGACATGAAATGTAGAATGCTTTATTTATTTTCTAAAGACGCTTTGCGTCAACTTGGTGGCTGGTAAGTCGGCTTACACTCTTTGATAGTGATCTTTAAATTAGTAGTGTGAAACATGCGTATATGCTCGGTTTTAAGAAGTCCTCTTTCGGTCATGAATAGGGGGAGATGCGGAACACAATTTAGAGCGCACTCAGAATGAGCTCTACACTTCAGTAGCTTGCTAAGTCCACTGAGAAAGTCTAAAAAGCAAAGTAGACTCACCTTTACGCTTAAGGCATACTAGGAACAATTTATAAAGATCCTTCGTATTACATGCAACTCAATATCGTCTCTACTAATGCATCAAGATTCAAACAACCGCAACATGTTCTCAAATTATCGTCAATTGACTTCAATACTTCTTAATCTACTCGCCATATTCATTGTCGTTGTACGGCATGATGCGGTTCCCTCGGCACTTAATCCATATCGCTTCCCAGCCAGGTCCGTGGTCTCGGGCAGTCGTTTGATGTCTCATTTGGCACGCTTGATTCACATGAATGTAAATGTCTCAATATTCTTCAGCAACTCTAGCCGCCATGGCGTTAAATAGAACAACAACAAATTCAGCAACTCTATATGATTTGCCAAGAATTATCATATACTTAGAGGTAACAATGATGTAGAACCTTTGGATGAGATTTGTATAGACTCGAAGCAACCCTGCCAAGGTGAGTAGTATGTGATGCCGGGAAGCCCCTCAGACTCTTATCACAATACGGCTAACCCAACTGGACTCCGTGGTTAAAGTCGAGATTTGCAGCACACTGCCTTGACGAGTAAAGTCGACAAGTGCCAGCCTTATGTTTGGAGAAAGATTTATCGATTCCCAGTAACAGAAAACCAAGGGAAGCGCAGCATTTGGCGTGATGCCCTGGGCCCCCCTATGCAATGCTATGTGACAGATGCTAAACGCCAGAAAAACGCCATCACCAAATCCTCTTCGCGACCATTTCGTACCGTTGAACTCCGTTATAGTCGCCTTCTTGTGGTCTTTCCGGTTTCTGAGCCCTTCCCTTGCCTCCCTTTAACCCTTCCTTGTCATCAGCGTGAATCCACCTCCGCCGGTCGTCCGTGACCTCGATCTGACCATAACCGCCAACTCTCTTCCCAGTAGCATCGTAGACCTCGCGCTCCTCCTGACCAGTTGCCACCATGTGCTCCCTACGCTTCATCTTGGCATACCTGGTCCGGGAATATCGCAGCAGAACCATGCCTAGCAGCAGCTTGATGATCAGAAGGACCAAGAAAGCGATGAAGAAGACGACAATCATGGTCACTGCCGCAATCACGTCGTCGCTGGTCCAGGTCCACCATGCCCTGCTCTGGACGCTTGGCTCCCCGTAAGGGTAGCCATAAACGGCTCGACCTAAAGCGTCCCGAAGTAAGGTATCGAGACGGTCAAGTGCCGCCACCATGGCAGGCGACGATGGTGTCGCAGACTCGACAGAGAGTGAAGTCTGGGTGGACTCTGCGATGGGCGTAGCTATTCGCGTTGAGAGGAACATGTGGTATGTTTGGACAGAGGCCCGGATGAACAAGCATGAGAGTGGAATGACGGCCAGACCCAGTCGTCTCGTTAGTGAAGGCGAAACAAATGCCTACAGAGATTGTTAGCTTTCAACAATAAGGAAAGTGTGCTTGGAGGTTGCCCACATTAGTGTAATAGTCCTTGCACAGGATGTCGAGGATGCGGCTGTAAAATGTCGGCTTGATGTTGTTGAACTTGTTCACGTAGGCGTGTTTGATTGTGTCGACTAGCATCTCACTGCCAATGACAATGAGAAAGGGGGACAGCACCTCGCCTGACCAAACCCAGGATGGAAGAATCGTGAAACTGAACGGTAGGATCGAAGGGCTGTGAAGAGGCATAGGACCGGATCCTCCAAGATCGCTGTTCTCAGACCCTGCTCCAGGTACAGAGAGCCCACCGACCTCCACAATGTTGCGCATGCCGATGATGAACAGCATAATCCAGAGTTGGAAACGCTCCACAATGTCTGCACAAGTCAGCTGGAATAAGTTGTCCTTTTCAAATCTCTTGAAAACCGTGCTCTTGATCTCAACGAATTGGTTGGAGATCATGAGAGTCAGCAGAGCATTCGAATAAGAATTGACAGCCACGTTGAGCGTAATGACTTGGTAGTATAGCGCCACAGAATGGATGACGTTGTAAACCAGCGCAAGTCCAAACATGCCCAACGGCAAGAGCACCTTGGAACGACCGGAGCTATTTCTCGATAATGTTTCGGAGCTGAAAAGGCACTCAAAGATGTCTTGACCAAGGGCTGAGAGAAGGCGATCCCCGACCTAGCTGGATTAGCGAAAACTCTTGTAAGACGAGGGAGTGACTCACCTCAAGGACGTTGTAGATGACATAGAGCTTAATGCCGTCCTGAGCTCGAATGAAGTGATACATTCGACTGGCGTCCAACTTCATGAGGAAGAGCGAGCTGAAAAGTATGACAGCACCTTGCAGGAGATCGGCTTTATGGAAGGAAGACAGGTTGGAGGGGATCGATTTCGTCCTACGATGTCGATGCACTCTAGAGGCCGAAGGGTGTGGAGGGTGATGACTGGATGGTCCATTCATCTTATGAGTGATGTGGCCATTCCCATTCAACCTGACCTCATGTTCAGCTACCCCATTGCCGTTCGCCTTCGCATCCAAGTCGACGTGGACGGCTGGGATGTTGTCAGGGAACCTCATGTCCGTGGCTGGAGCAGATGATCTCCGCCCCGGCGGCCGACTCTGACTCCTGTCGCGGCTGATAAGTTGATCGTTGTCACCCTTTTGAGCGGACAGCGCACTTCTTGCCCTGGGTCTTCTCGCTCTGGCCCATACCCTACCCAATCCGTACCAAACGAAGCCAACCATAAACCGTGCCTCCTTGATGGCCATGTAACCCCACCACCTGAACAATACTCCGAGGGCGATGGTAAACCTCATGGGTAGAATCGTAAAGTTGTAGAGCCAGGCGTCGAGACAAGCCAGAGCTCCGAAATAGAGCGTTCTCTCCAGAAATGTTGGCAGTAGTAGAACATTTTTGAGTCTTTCCCACTTGACGACGTAGGACTCGTAAGGTATATCGTTCGTGTGCGAGTGGTGTATGTATAGAGGGCTCGGTCGTTGGGCTGCTAATTCCAACTGAAGGTGGGTGGGTATAGACATAGGCGGGAGGGGTATCGAGGGAGGGAGGGGCGACGGCGGGAAAGGATCATTTCGCTGTGACTTTGTTGGCGGCGGTACTTGAATCTGTGGTGGTGGTTGTTTGTTCTGACTTGTTGGCTGAGGGTTTATTGCGTTGAAGTGGCTGGTGGCATCAAGATTGAGAGGCGGTGGCCTGGCAACAGCGTAGAAGGAATTTCGGCGGGGCGAAGTGGTTTGTGACTGTGATTGTCGTCGATTAGTCGGGGGAGTCGAGAGCGTTCTGCCCGAGACAGGTCGCCTTGGCTCGTCTTGGTATCGAGACCTGTTACCGCCGTCCGTCACAGGTCCGTTTGGTCGCAGAGAGTCGGGTTGACTGAGTATCGACTGTCGAATTGCTTCGAGCTCGTCGGCGAGAGGAGAGCGCGCGGGCAGCTCTTGTCCTTGACCGCCGGGGGCTTGGTCGGGAACGACTGCGACAGGGAGAGCTTCGGGGGCGGTGAGTTGTTGTATCCCTGCGACAGATAATCTCCTAACATTATCGTGGCTTTGATTCTTCTTCATGGATGCGGAGCTCGATCCGGCCCTGGCCCTCGACTTTGGTGCCACGTCGTCCTTTTTCTCAGCCTCCTTCTTCTCAGCAGCGGTCGCAGGCTCGGAGGTTGACGAGGAGTTGGACGAGTCCTGCTTCTCGGGCTTGCTATGCATGGATGAGGTATCGGAAGACTGTTCTTCGTCGGAGTGGCCACCGGGAATGGTAGGGAGAGTCGACGTAGGGGGTGCGCTTGCAGACACATTTGGGAATGGAGGGAGAGGTATGTGCGACACTTTAATATCGTTCTTGGCACTCAGAATGCCATCGTCGTGTGTCGTGTTCTCGGGAACGAATGGGGGCATAGGCGGGAATGCCTCGACCGGCTCCGCCGGTGAGAAGACGGGGCGTGCAGAAGTCTCGTCATGGTTATCATCGTCGGCCCCTCGATCATCGTGGTGTTCGCTCGCCGCCATTCCCAAGCCCTTCACTGTCTTTGATGGATGGGTAGTATCGCCGCCATTCGCACACCGAGGCTGCAATTATCGTGGAACGGAAAGGACTCTTCAGATTGGAGAATGGAACGAAATGCGCCAGGATTTGCTGGGCAAGTTTTGCGATAGGATTCGGCACAATGAGTGGTTCAAGCAATTAGGCTTGCAGTCTGCAGTTCTTCAGGTCGCGTTGGGGGGGGGGGATGTTGCCGAGCGGGCGATCTCCAGGAACGGCTGGATTAGTGGCCGGACAGGGAAACCTGGCGGCACAGCAGCGGCAGAAGACAATGAGACCGCTGTGGGGACGCTAACAATTTGGATCTCTGGACGCAGTGGACCATTGCCACTGGACTCGGGACGGGGGAGGCAGCGTGGCAGTGACGTACTGAGCCGGGACGTGCGCTCACTGCCGATTTGCGGTGAGCCGTCGAGGTGAGAGGTGTGACTAAGCCGTGAGTGGTGAGCGTGTTCACCGACGTATCAGTAAGGTACCGTAATATTCTCTTGGTTCCTCAAAATACCCCATGTTTACCATATGGACGTTCGGTGAAGTTACCTGAACATAAACAGAAACCATTTAACTATCTGTACGATGTTGAACCAACCCAGAATTGACCAGTGAATAGATCATTGGTATTATGTCCCTCCACTAGAACATGAAAACGACCTTCATCTCGGGTTATCTCTTGAATGAACTCTTCCCATGGCATGAATGTGACGGAGTGTGCTTGCTAGTTTCTACACCTAGTTGATAAAGAGTCAAGGTACCTGTTAAAGCAGGTAGGTTGCGATATTCAGGTTTAACCCCGGACGTTGCAGATATCGAGGAAGTGCAAGGTAAGAGAAAAAGACTGAGTCTATGCAGGACGTTCCAGTTCCACCACCTTATTTCCGCTACTGCCGCTGGTCAAATTGCCGCTTCGGAACCGCACCGCCCAACTCCTCAGACCTGAGACTCTTCAGACTACGAATAACACACAGTAGAAGCACGATGGAGAACACTCGGCTTATGTCCAGGTAAAAACCGAGGCACCGCAGCTCGGCGAAGTGGGGGCTGGAGCACCGGCACCGGTGCCCGAAAGAGTTTGTGTTTTCATCAGGGTGCCCATTTTGTCTCATCGAGAGGGGGGGGCACAGCGTCCGAGTTACCAGTCGAATCTCCCCTTTGATGGATCGCAACGGATCTCGGCCTACCCGGAACTACGAATAGAGGTACGAATAGAGGGCCGGCCTTGGCGAGTAGTCTCCGTCGAGAGATCCAGTTGCTTGGGTTGCTTGGTAATTCCTCACGTCAACGGCCCCAACTTATCTAAACCCCCCGGCGCTGAACATCCGTGGGCCCCTCCAAAGGTCAATGACGCCCCTCCCACGTCCTGCTTGAGCTTCAGACTCTTTAAGGTCGCTGGGGCCCTGCTCTTCGTCCGACCCTGCTATTTTGGTTCTCCTGTTCTCTGTGTTATCGTCTTCTTACAACCTTCAACTCTTTACAGTAAAAAACCAACAGTCAAAATGGCATCTAACCCTCCTGGACAATGCTGCACCGTCGGTGTCAAGCACGAGTAAGACATACCCAATACCTTTAGCAGCAACATAAAAGAATATGACAAGCTGCCCCGCCACACTTTCCCCCTCCCCCCACTATCTCAAAGCTTGATTGAGTGAATCCTGCATCCGTCACCGAGAACCCGTTCCAAAGTTCCTTACATCAGTCTTATGGCAAGTCTGTCGGCCGATGTGATACGCCAAATCTCTCGATTACTCAACACAAGTGTTCTCGCTAACCACGTTCCAATCAACATAGAGGCACCCCTCAGGGCAAGAAGATCACCGTCGCCGGCAAGTATGAGGGCTACCTCGCCGAGGCTCCCGCCGATAAGGCGCACAAGAACACCGGCCTCCTCTACGTTGCCGACGTCTTTGGCATCTGGAACAACTCCCAGCTGCTCGCCGACCAGTTCGCCGCCAATGGCTACACCACCTTGATTGTCGACCTCTTCAACAAGGACCAGTTGTCTGTCCCCATGCCTGAGGGCTTGGATGTCATGAAGTGGCTCAGCGAGGGCAGCGATGGCAAGAACCCCCATACCAAGGAGGCCGTCGACCCCATTATTGTCGATACCCTCAAGTACATGCAGACCGAGCTCGGTCTCACCAACATTGGTGGTCTCGGCTACTGCTTCGGCGCCAAGGTATGTTCTCTCTCTCTCTCTCTCTCTCCCCCCCCTCTAGGTTATATAGAGCCCCCGCGAGCGCCAGTCCCTAACATGATCCTTTCACAGTACGTTGTCCGCCACTACAAGGACGGCATCAAGGTCGGCTTCTCCGCCCACCCCAGCTTCGTCGAAGAGGAGGAGCTCGCCGCCATCACCGGCCCCTTCTCCATCGCCGCCGCCGAAACCGACAGCATTTTCCCCGCTGAGAAGCGTCACAAGTCCGAGGAGATTCTGCAAAAGACCGGCCTGGCCTACCAGATCAACCTCTACTCTGGCGTCGAGCACGGCTTTGCTGTCCGTTGCGACTTGAGCAAGAAGGTTCAAAAATACGCCAAGGAGCAGGCCTTTTACCAAGCTGTTGCCTGGTTCGACGAGCACCTTGTTTGACTAGATGACGGATGCGGGGGAGAAGCCAAGTTATGAACGATGGGTGCTGCAGCTGATATCAGAACTGCGCGCGGGTTTAGGAATACCAATTGATTATTGCGCGACACAACTCTTTCCACGGTCTACGCTCGATAGTTGCAGTGAACTGGATGTGTCTTTTCTTCTGAATGTGCTTGATAAACGCTGCGCCAAACTCACTTGATCAAGTCACGCTTGATAAAGTCGGCACATCGCTCTGCCACCATGTAAGTCGGCGCCACGGTGTGGGCACTCCGTCACCTTTGGGAAAACGCTCGCATCCGCAATCCGCAGGTTTCTGAACCCGTGGACCTTCAAATCTTGCCCGACTACACCATTATTCTCTACGGTCCCCATGCGGCACGTTGAAGTCGCGTGGTAGATGTTGAACAAACGCTCCCTGATGTAGGCGTCAATCTGCTCGTCCGTCACATCCCGCCATCCACCTTCGACCGTGCCGGCCTTGACTCCGGGGGCGAGATGCCAGGTAGCGTTGAAAGGATACTCCGTCTTGCGGAAGCGCTCTACAAAGTTCATCGAAAACCGGGCGGCCTTGCGCGCCGCGGCCCAGTCGCGGGGGTCTGTGATGTAGTGATGGAACACTTTCGGGTGCGCCAGAGGATCTGAGGAGGCGAGCTCGATTCTGCCCCTGGAAAATGGTTGTACTAGCGTTGTCTGAAATGCGCAGTATCCCTTGCCCTTCTCATAGTCGTACGAAGCATTGGTGAACAGGAGCTCAATATCAGGCACGTTCTCAGGTTTCAGGGCATCCGTGTTGTCGTGCTTCTCATCAATGTCGTTGCCGTGATGGCTCACAGTCATCGTGGTCTCATCAATAGTGCTTGTGTGGGACCAAGCGCACAATCTGGTACCAGAAGTCACCAACAAGCCAGTTTTGAAAAGAAGGAAGAGGATGAAATGCCAAATGCCAATGAGGGGACTGAATAGCCGGAGATATGAATCGACGAGGCGGGTGCGGAATGCGATGCCGAAGGTTATGTGGTCTTGAAGATCAGCCCCGACTCCTGGCATATCTCGTACAAGTGAGATATTGTGTTTTGCAAGATGCTCCTTTGGCCCTATACCGCTGTGTAAAGTTAGCGAGGATTGAATGTTTTGGGGGATGATGTGACGAAATCGTACCTCAGCATAAGAAGCTGCGGTGTGAAGTGGGTGCCACAACAGATGATGACCTCTCTTTTAGCCTTTACGAAGCATTGCCTGGCAGGACTCTTGTCAAGATGATCCAAGATGTAAACGCCCGTCGCCTCTGTCCCATCTTCATTCGTCTGAACCTTCGTGGCTACAACACCAGTACAGAGTGTGAGTCTGCCTTCACGCTCATGAACCGTCGACTTTGGGAGGTAAGCTGCCAATGAGGAATGACGGTAGCCAAACTTGTCTATCATGACGTCGGTCGTGAAGAGGCCTATTGCCGGGGCATTTGGGTTGTTGCCGTCATCTTCTACCGGGAGGTTCATGTCGCCTGCTGCTTTTTGAATGCTGTCAAGACACAGGTCAGCAGCAAAGACTTGGGCAAAATGGTCATCGCCACGTACGTACTATTTATTGGTCTATCGGGAAGTTCATGGGATTCTGTCGCAGGTAGAGAGGACCTATTCAAGTTGAGCGTCTCCGGATGGGTATAAAGGGAAAATGACTATCATTACCTTCATGGCCGCGATAGGGAGCGTCGGGATGGCAAGCAGCGTTCTCAATCTTCTTAAAGTATGGCTCGCACTTGTCCCAGCTCCATTCATCATTACCAAGCGCAGCCCACTGGTTGTAGTTACCCGGCGCGCCGCGTGTGAGCATCAGGCCGTTGACTCTGGTGGCACCACCAAGTGCCTGAGTATTGAAAGTTCGGGTCTTGCATCCGGTCCACTGCTCGTGAGGCTCAGACTAAAATGTGTCAATCTGAGGGCCTTTGCCGTCGCTCGCATTCCCAATAATGGGAATACGGTCAAGCCAGTTGTCCTTGACCTTGCCTTTACAAATGACAAGGACACTGGTGCTCGGGTCTTCGCTGAGTCGGGAGGCGATGGCACATGCTGCAGTGCCACATGCGTGATGTCAGCATTGGGGTATTCATCATCTGTGGTCGGCGATACTTACCGCCTACAATAACGAAGTCGAAAGTTTTGTCGTCGACATCAACTGCTTTCCGCTCCGGATAAGGGCGAGAAAATGGCCAGGCCATGGTTGCCGGGTAGAGTGAAGCTCGATGTGATGATTCGTAACACGACCTGAATTGCCCTCACAAGCAAGACAACTCACTCAAATTATCTGCTGAATTTATCTAGTCCAAGCAGTGCCTAGGAGGTGATGTTGGATGAGGGGTTCTCATGTCGTCAAGAGTAAGTAAGCATCATGCTGGGCGGGAAGGATCATCATTCGACTTGTAGCCGTACACTGGTCTTACACAAAAGATCAATTACAATCTACAGAAACGCCAGTGAGTGCGACCCCTCCAACGGGGAAGAGGGAAAACAAGCACTGCAACCGGGGCATGGCTCGTCATTTTCATGCCTTCCATTTCTCGTCCTTTGCAGGTTTGCACCGACCTGTGTGGTTCGAACGACGGCCCGCTCCTAGCCCCCCGGTGAAGGAAGGCGCAAGACGGGCGGGAGCTCATGAACTTAGCCACGCTGTTCGCCTCTTTCTGAACGTCCAGTCTGCATTGGAGTACACTGCACTGCCCCTAAAATGGACGACATTCGACCTTCATCAGGCGATGATTTCCCCCTCCCGCACCGTCGGCCATCTTCCACGTCAACATACATCGCATCGCCTTGCCTTACATCTGCATCGCCATCAACAATGGCGGAACCACTCGGCCACCACTGTCCACGGAATCCCGTTGCCGCTGCCTGTTGCAAAGCAAAGTACCGCAATATAAGCCACGAGCTAGCGACTGATAGGGCTATTGGGCAAGACATGGGGGCCATGCTGACACAGGGGGGGTTGGCTGGCAATGGGGCCCGTACGGAGAACGGAGTGTAAGCAGGCAGGCAACAAACGATTCCATGACTGGAGATGGCTGGTGAGACGAGCTGAAGCTGGCAAGCTGCCACTGGAGCGAACACTCGCTTGTTGACTGGATGAGACCTAGACACTGGCCTGGTCGCACATCCCATGGGCATCCCACCTGCACTCTCCGCCTGTTTCCTGGTCGCGACTGTGCCGCCATCGCGCGCTAGCTCAACGTGCAGCCTCGTCTGTCGTCTGTCTCGTCAAGATTCTTTTTCGACTTCGATTCGACACACGTCACGGCTCTCTTCTGCCGCGTCTCTTCTCCTCAGCCGAACCCGCTTCTCTGCTACAAACTCGGGTTGCCTCATGCCACCCATGGCTTCTTTCATTTTGATCAAATCCGCCCCCATTGCCGACACAGACCTCTCTTGAGTACGCTTCGATACCACCCATAATCGAAAGAACCAAACCCCGACAACGCTCAGCTGTGCTACTCCGAATAGCCAACCCGCAAGGCTCGGCAAACGACGGCAAATAGAAGCCCAAAACGAACCCATTGGACCGAGACAATGGCCATGGAGGGCATGAGCGAAGCAAAGTTCGACGAGACTCTTGACCAGATCAACCAAAACATCAACGACGACGACAAAGAATTGTTTGTCGCCATTGTTGCTCTTGTCATCTCCATTGTCGCCTTGCTTGCATCCCTCCTGCAAGTCGCACAACAATACTTCGCCTCTGCCGCTGGCTATTCAAGTTGTGGCAGCAAAGTGATAGGGAAATGGTCCGAATCCAAGCAGCGCAAAATCAAGTTCACCGAGTTCCGATTCGAGGTTCTCTTCGAAGCTCCCGTTATTTTCCTATGCCCTCCAACGAATAAGAAGGGCCCGGTCAAAGGCGAGTCCATCATATTCATCGACGGCTCGGAAAAAAGCTTGCTGGACAGCCGGTCAGAACTTCAAGACGAAAAGGGTGTTTCCGACAACAAGGAGATCGCGAAACAGTCGGTCCACACGGCTGACAATGAGCGGGCTTCGTGGGTGGCGCTCCTCTCCGCCCTGCAGGAAATGGAACATAAATCTAGGGAATGGCAAGAAAGACAGTACACCGATGTAGTCTACGGGAAGCCACCAAAAGGATCTGACCAGCTCGAGAATCCGGAAAACGTCGCCAATGTCCTCAAAGAAGTCAGCGAAAAGTATACTCTGACGGTCGCCATTCAGAAGAAACGTAGGAGCTGGGATACAATGCCGTCCAACGTCAAGAAGCCTTACGCCACAACGACGTGGTGCCATATGGTCGAAATGCTAGCTATGCTCGGCGTTTATTGGGTCGAGTTCAACAGGACCAACGATAGATACCGCGCAGAGGGTAATGGCTATACTATCACGGGGGAGAAAGTCAGTGATCTTGGCATCATGTTCACGTTCCAGGTTTATGGACGCAGTCGATTCGAGAACAACCGTGTCATACCCGTGGACGAGACCAAAGAGCTTTGCTTTGGCTTTCTCCCAACTATCTACCGGGCAACATCGGACAATCGACGTCTAAAGTTCCCCAACGATGAGCCTCGCGACTTGTCGACCTTGAACTTTGCTAGTAACCACGAAATCGCCGAAACTCTAGTCTTGATCGGCTGCAACACCAACACCGTCAATTATTTTTCCTCCACGTCCACGGCCAGGGTTGGGCATTTGTTTCCTGGTAAGCTCAAACCGTACCGCACCAACTACTGTCCAGTGCTAAACCTTTTTGGTAGTCGCTTTCGAGATAGTAGGCATGTTGGGACGTACACTTCACATCGAGAAAAGCGCGTTTCGTCTACTGCCCAATCCTACCCACTATCGCTGGGACACGAAGAACTTCTCCCTGACCAGGCTGCTGGAGGCGTACACCATGCAAATGAACAAGCTCAAGTCGGATCAGCCGAATCCTAGCCTAGTGGGCCGAGCAATTAGGAGGAACATCCGTAAGATCAATGGGCTGATCAAGAAGCACGCGGCCACCTCTGGCAATTGGCCAAGCCTGCCCCTCATGGATGCTCTACACGAGGCTCTCAACGATACCGATGAGATTCTGACGGCAAGGGCGAAAGTATCTCGACCAACAGCGCCTCCACGGGTTGACTCGATGATGACTGGAAAGCCCTCGGTTTTTGAGCCAAATTCTGAAGGGGCAATTGAGAGCGCACGACGTGAGATGGTTCAAGATGTGTTACGCAGTCATATCCAGGAGGTCTTGGGAGGTTTCAACGAGAAGCCGGAAACGACAGCTCAAAAACCTCCCGGTGACGCCGCATCGATAGAAAACAGAGTAAGAAGTCAGCTTCGATTCGAGGATATCGACGCTGCACCGCCAGAACTCAAGCAGGAGAAACTCATGGAGGTCTATTTCCGCTTGGTGCGGAGAAAGGTCATCGAAGTGTCTCGAGAGTCGTCAGACAGGCGCGAACAGCCTATTGTGGGTTTCGGCGGTCTCAAGAAACGGAACCAAACCAACTTCAGTACACGGACCGTTGAGACGATAGACGACGAAGAACCAATATCGCTACACGAGTTGGGCGAGGAAGACGTTACCCACGAGGACATCTGGTGCACGCTTATTTTCCGGATGATTTGTTGGCTCATGCTACACGATTTTCACAAGAAAGACATCCAGGTATCAAAGAGCGAACTGTTGGGCAGCCGACTACCAGTCTACATCTCCTAGTCGGAGACTACGACGACGGAACCCCACCGTCATCTCAAGCATTTACAGGCATTTTGGGAAGCAAAATTGCATTAATAGGATATGGGGTTGGATGAATTATGAGTATGAAAGCGAGTAGCGTGGACGTGTCCCCAAGAGGCCCTGATGGGTGCTGGACATGAAACAATTTCGGTATTCAAGGTAGCTTACGAATGATGGCAATGACGTTCAAACAGTTTTATTCAAAGGATTAAAAATCTACAATATGAGAGGGGAAGTTCTAGGCCCGTACTTCTAGACGAGAAGTGCTGGCAGTGGCCACGCTTATTCCTGCCACCGTCTCACCACCTGCGATGCGATTGATCTCATGTCCAAGGTCTGGGACAGCGGTCTGGAAGGGTTGGTCTGGACAGAGCCAGCCAATGGGCCTAGGGGATTCCTGGAGAGGCAACCCGAGGTCCGGGAACGAAGATGGAGCCAGATTGAGGGATGCGGAGCCCGTCACTGGTTCGTCACCGAGGCTCCGACCGACCTTTTTGCGACTCCGGAACTCTGTAATAGCACGGTACGGAATACTCCATAATGCCCAGCGGCCCAGAAGGTTCCCAAGCTGCAAAGTGGTTGCAGTCTTCACATTCCTCGGACCTCTGGGCAGTGCTCCTGGGACCGGGACGCGAGAGCGCGCTAGGCCGGATCGGGGCGGACGGCGGCAAACAAGGGGAGAGGGCATGGGTTCGGCGTGAGCGGACTCGCGGAGAGGCCTGCGAGAGGGAGAGCCTGTATCCGTGAAGGAGCAGAGTACACCGAGGTCTTGGGGAGACGATAGCCGGTCTTGCTGACGAATCGTGAACTCGTCTGAGGACTCTCTGGTGTCCTTTGGGTCGACTTACTAGCCGAGAGAGGCGTGTGATGAGTGTATGCGATGGGTATCGGGGCCGAATACTGATACGAATGCTGACAATACAGTAGAGCGCCTTGACACTGTAGGGGCTCTTGATGTCACGTAGTGGAACTCGCAGTCCGCCAGAACGACTTCATCGACGTGTTCCGTAATTAGCTACTTCATATTGGAAAGCAGTGCTACTTGCGATGCTTCGGCTTTCCTGGGCGCACGCGTAAGGTGAGGAGGCTCTGCACTTAGGTATTCGAGAGGGTGCGCGGGGAAGGGCATTTGACTTTATCGGTGCATATTCAAGACAGAAGCAGACGGATGAGGCCAGTAGTTTGATGCAGGCCGCAACTCACCACGGCTGTTGGTCTCTTTAGACGCCGGTTAGTGTGATGTCGTCCAATGCCTCGCAGCGCAGAAAATGCACCTGTGCGGCGGCTCTCAGGGCTGGTTACGAGCCAACGAGCCTTGTGCACCAGTGTGATGTTTGCTGAATATTTCATCCATGGATGGTAGACATGGCTCAGACAATGGCTGTTGGTCCGTATGTGGCTTGTTGCTGGCGTCTCTCTTCTCTCCGTTCCCGAGGCGTGCATGTTGGCTACTTTTGCAACGGAATGTCTTGGGCGTTGGTCCCTTGAATGAGAAGAAAATGTGCCTGTAGTGAGAGCACTACCTGCTTGAAGCACTTTTCGGGGTTGGGGGTCCAACAATTGCATTCTCGAAACTGGATCGCGGTGTGGAGGGCGGTATGAGACGAGACACTGCTTCACGGGTGACGGGTAACGCGTTCGCGGGGATCTGTATTCGTACTGTGAGTCTGTGATAACTGTGCAGTGAGAGTGCGTGAGTGCTAATTAGGTAGACGCGATCAGCCCTTCCCATGATCCCCGTGTCCCCTTGGCGTGAGATCAGCGGGGGATGGGCAGGCGAAGCAGTTTAGGACTTTGGGTAGGCAACCAGCCCTGCGCCGCGGTTGCAGCGTGCCAAAGTTGACGCGACAGTTGGACGAGTCTATCCGTACGGATGATGGCGTGAATGTCACTGGGGGACCTGGACCCGTGACCGTGACTGGCGACTGTCAGAATGTGACTGGGGGGAAATGGGTTGCAGGGAAGGGAGGGGAACCAGGGCCAGCCGCCAGCGGACCGAGGGGCTGGGTTTGGCATGGTCTTGAGTTCGGCCGGCGACGGTCATGACAAGGGGAACAATTCATGGTGACTACTGACGGGGGAAAGAGTCTTGTTGTTGTTGGAATGAAGATTGATCATTGTACATCCGTCTTTTGCCGCCGCTGCGTCGAGGACAGCCGGCAAAAGGAGTTGAGAGTCAAGACAACGGAATTCCAGCCATTTTGCCGATGGCGTACAAACAAGGAACCTGAGAGAGGAGACAAAGGCGGTAGCTGCATGGGTAAGCGTGAGGTAAGAAAGCAGACAAGCCATGGGCGCAGCAGCAGTCAAAAGCCAAGAACAACAAGACCAACAAGGCTGCTGGGGATGCCGTGGATATCAATTGTCAAGAGCGGCAATATCTCTAGCAGTGACTTCCAACAATGTGCTGCTCAACGACAGAAGGAACCATTCGTACGGAGTAGATGTGTGGATGGATGACAAACGATCTGTTGCGGCGCCGAGTACCTTGCACGCTTGAAACACCGGGTCGGATACCTCCACAGCTATCAGGGGCAAGGGGGCCCCGCCGAATGGAATCAGAAGGGGATCCACCAATGACTGCAGTCACTCGATCGTCACTGCAGACTCAGCACACCTCAGACTCTCAGAGGAAGGCGCAGAGCCTAGAGGCACGCGAGGAAAGCGCAAGGAAGTCCGCCTGCCTGAGTTGCTGAGGTCGAACGAATCTGGAAAGAAAGCACGGGCCCCAGGATCCCACTTTCCCTACCTAACATCGACCTGGAGTGCACGTGTTGCTTCTCCACTTTGCCATCGTGGCAGGCAGGAGACGTGGACGTCCAAGGTGTAAGAGTTTACCTTACCTTAGTGTTGGTAATCCAAATATTCGTGTCAATAGAATCCAGAAGAAACAAGCAAGCCAGAGACTATGAAGCAGTATCAAAGACACACCGCAACCCCTTTTCAGTGTTGGCTGGTGATTATACATGGACAAGGTCAGGCAAGTATGAAACCCTGGGTTGCTCGCTGTAGCCGCTCCCGAACCAACACACCGACCAAGTGGCCCAGTGACGCTCGTCGTCCTGAGAGAGTGGAGGCCACTAAAGGAGCCTGGAAGCAAGGAGCGACTGAAGCATGTATCTTTCCGGCCAAGTCTGTACTGCGATATACTTCTGGCTGGATGCGAGCAGCGAGCGGACCACAAACCACCTCTGCAAAAAAATAAAAAATAATAATAATTTGTTTTTATTTCTTTTCCTTGCTGCCACTCCGAGATCTCATCTCATCTTGTCGCTTGAGCGTTGTCCACCAGCCTGATCCACTTTCCATGCTTGAGAGTCAAGACTCGAGATCCATACGACTCAATCGAGTCTGCACTCGTCAAGTCGAGATTCTCAACAACATTTAACCCTTGTTCTATTCTCTCGTCTACACAGTCCATCACCAAAGCTTGCGCTCAAGTCTCAAAGAAGAGGAGGGGGGCGCTTCGATATTATCTACCTTGGTTATGACAAAGACGCAAACAAGCCCGGACCCAAGCCCGATCCAAACGAGAAAGTAAGAAAGGAGAGTACGTCTTTTCTCTCTCTTGTTAGGTAGGTATCCCATGCCGCTTTCACTACCTCGCTATTGGAAGCCAACCTTATTCCCCGCAGCTTGGAAACCTTCCATACCTATTCTCTCTCTTTGACACTCGACATTCTTCCATGCCCGGCAATTTAATCGTACAATAGAAAAAAAGACCCTCCGTCATTCCTTCCTATCACCATTTACCGCTCCCGAGGTACTTTGCGTTTCTAGATTCTCAGGTTCAGGGTAGGTAGCGACGGGAGTAATTATTCCTCGATATTACATATTGCCTAGCTACTTACCTTACGTATCGGCCGCCGACAGTCGTCTCACCGCGTTATTAACCGACGCCTGCTTTTCGGCTTGCCTTGCATTGCCCCCGTCTTCCCTTCCACTGCGGCATTGCTTCTGCGCTTCAGATCCGTTGCGGTGTGAGCCGCGGGCTTCTCCTGTGCCGTGCACTCACTCCTGCCTTACCTTACTCAAGGCCTCCTAAGGTACTTTAAGTAGGTACCTTGCAATAGGTGCTTTGTCGGCGGTTCTGCAAGTACCTGACGGGAGGTACCTTTCCTTCAGGGGTGCCCATCCACCCAGGCAGTAAAAACCTGGAACGAACCTCCCCGTACTGTTTCTCCTTCGCTGTATGAATACCTACTCGGTACTGAGGTACCTTCCAAATCCATCGCCTCTCAACTGAGGAGGACCGCACCGCCCCTACGAGTCGCTCTTTCCGCCGTCGCCCGCTACCGTACGTACCTACGTGCCTACCTGAGGTACCGCCCACGTCTCCTTCGCGGCTCACCCTCCCCTCCCGCCTTGGGTGCTGCCACCAAAAAACTCCACCTCCACATCCACAGTATCCGCACCCGTAAGCCGTGCCTGCAAGCTGCGACCTGCGACCGTAATCCCGCCCGCCACCTTCGAAATCCCAACCCTCACTCACACCCGATTCCGATCCCAAATCTTACATTTCCTCTCCCCCTCGACACCTCCCCCTTCTCCTCCGATACAATCACGACAAAAACCCCCGTTCCTCATCGCGTCTCACTGTTGAGCCTTCGAACCAGACCATACACCACGCGAGAGGCATAATGACGCCCTCGCCCGGTCCCCAGATCAACACCACAGAGGTGAGGCGGCCTCGCTCCAGTCAGACCGTCTCCTTCTCTGTCGACGAAGGCAACAATTCCATTCATGGATCCGACTCTACAAGCCTCCAGTTGGCCGTTTCCGAGTGCATAGAAACTACAACTACAACCACCACCACGACTACCAAACGCACCTTTCCTCCCGTCTACCTGCGCGAAGTTCGTCCTCTCCACGAACTCGACTCCAAGGAGTATCCTCTCGCCTCGAAGCCTCTACCCCCCGAACTCGCAAACTTCTCTTTCAGCGTTTCGGGCTCCTCTTCCGATGGCACAATCGACAATCCTTTCGTTGCCAAAACGGTATGACCCTCACTCCTTCTTATCCAGTGTCTTTTTTTTCCCCCTCTGTTTTTTTTTTCTTTTTTCTTCTCTCGCCATCGCATTTACTGACATTGTCTTCCCCAGCAGCGCAAAGCACCGCTTGCAGCCGAAAGGCAGCCCGCAGGCCTACTCAAAGAAGACGAGTCGAGTCAAGAGTCTAGACGCACATCCAAGTCGCCTTCGGACGCCAACCAAAGAAGATCTCGTCGCTCGAACCCCCGCGAAGCCTCGCCGTCCTACAACGCGTCGCCAGTCCTGCCTTCGAGACCCTCTAGGAATCCCAGACCGACTGGCCTCTCCATACCCGAGGATGCCTCGCAACGCCTCCGACGTCAACTCACGAGAGGCAGACCATCCGGCTATTTGGCTACTCCAGACACATCCGAAGTCGCTGGTTCAAGCTCAGACCGTGTGACGCGACCCCGATCCCTTTACCTTCACCGCTCGAGTAATACTCCTCCAGACTCAGGGCCGAGTCAAACAAATCTGCAGGAAGCGGCCAGCCCCATCGGAAGCGATGCACTCAGCGTCTTCAGCAGCAATGTCGCCACCCCTCCTATTACCGACGCCGACCCCGAGCCATTTGTTGATACCGACGAGTCTCTCCAACAGTCTCTTCGGGCCGTCGGCCACAGACCCTCTATCGACGCCGTGGCTGCACAGGATGCGAGCCTACCTAGTCCGAGACTTTCGCCTACCTTAGCAGCCGCTCAACTGAACTCGAGAGAATCTGATGACGAAGACGAAGAGTCACCCCAGAGCAGCGTTGTCGCCAGACGGAATGTCAGCTTCCGTGAGCAGGCTTGGTTGAATGAATCACAGACCACCGAGGAGGGTGGCTACGTCTCAGACATGTCCATTGTCGTGGATGATAGCTCCTTCCAAGCTGATGACCTCGACGCCCACACCGCCATGCTTGACACCCGCAACATGATGGAGAGATTCGACGCCATGCCCAATGAGATGAAGAGCTTTTTGATGTACAATCTCCTTCGCCGATGCCCGAGAAAAACCCTTCGTCTCGTCGCCGATGTCGTCACCCCCGCATTGAAGTGCGACTTCTTCAAACAGCTTCCTCTCGAACTGAGCTTCCACGTGTTGTCGTTTCTCGATCACCGCGACTTGTGCCGAGCTGCGCAGGTCTCCAAACATTGGCGGAACATTGTGGACACGAACGAAACTGGATGGAAGGAGTTGTTCGATCGCGATGGCTTCACACTGCCTCCCGGTGAACTCGACAAGGCCATTATCCAGGGCTGGGGCTGGCAAGATCCTGTTGGAGTCACTGGGGCCGAGGTTGACTTGCGACCTCTGAGCCGACTGGACTCGGCTGACAACGAGCTCACCAAATCCGTTGTCAAGGCTGATTCGACGAGCAGGCTTCGCAGTTCCAAGCGTAAGAGGGCTCTCAACTTATCCAGTGCCGATAGATCGAAGCGGAGGGCTAGCGGCCAGGATGTGGCCCGGCTGGATGCGATACAGTCTGAGGTGAAGCAACACAAGTCCGAGGGACCGCTTTCGGCGGCTAATGCGGCCGCCGCTGCTGTACCCAACCCCAAGACCAGCATCCCAGGACTCCAGAAGTTGCACCTCTTCAAATCTCTTTACCGCCGTCACTACATGATTCGGCAGAGCTGGACGAGCGGCAAGGTCAAGCCCGGGCACGTCGCCTTTGCTGCCCACCCCCGCCATGTCATTACATGCTTGCAGTTCGACGAAGACAAAATCATCACCGGTAGCGACGATACCCTGATCCATGTCTACGATACGAACACTGGAAAGCTGCGGAAGAAGCTCGAAGGCCACGAAGGCGGTGTCTGGGCCTTGCAATATGAAGGCAACATGCTCGTCTCTGGGTCTACCGATCGATCTGTCCGTGTCTGGGATATAGAGAAGGGTCTTTGCACGCAGGTTTTCTATGGACACACTAGTACCGTTCGATGCCTGCAGATCCTGATGCCCACAGAGAACGGTAGGGGACACGACGGAAAGCCCATCATGATGCCGCCCAAGCCGCTCATTATCACGGGATCCCGTGACAGTCAGCTCCGCGTCTGGCGCCTGCCTGAGGTCGGCTCTCGCAGATACATCCAGACGGGCCCTCCAGCCAACGATGCTGACTGTCCCTACTTCATCCGAACGCTCTCCGGGCACACACATTCTGTTCGTGCCATTTCTGCACACGGCGACACGCTCGTCAGTGGGAGCTACGATAGCACCGTCCGCGTCTGGCGGATCAGCACTGGCGAGTCTCTGCACGTTCTGCATGGCCACTCTCAGAAGGTCTACAGTGTTGTTCTTGACCACGAACGCAACCGTTGTATCTCTGGATCCATGGACTCACTGGTTAAAATTTGGGATCTGAACACTGGGGCATGCCTGCACACCTTGGAAGGCCACAGCTTGCTCGTCGGATTGCTCGATTTGCGCGACGAAAGGCTTGTATCGGCAGCTGCCGACAGCACCCTTCGCATCTGGGACCCAGAGAATGGCAAATGCAAGAATGTACTCACAGCCCATACAGGCGCGATCACATGTTTCCAACATGATGGCCGGAAGGTCATCTCTGGAAGCGAGAAGACGGTCAAGATGTGGGATATTCGCACTGGCGAGTGTGTCCAAGATCTTTTGACCGACTTGAGCGGTGTTTGGCAGGTCAAGTTCGACCAGAGGCGTTGCGTGGCCGCTGTTCAGCGAGACAGCTTGACCTATGTCGAGGTGAGTTTGCCCCACCAAAGTTTCAACAAAGACTTAGCTAACCAACCTGTGCCAGATTCTCGATTTCGGTGCAGTCCGTGATGGCAAACCTCTCTCCGAGCTTGGCGAACGCAAGCTCCTCAACGAGCCAGAAGTCCGCGCTCTTCTGGCCGAAGACTTATAATGACGAAGGAATATCAAGACAGGACAATGGAGTTTTCACGAACAAGCATATTACGATGGGCAAAACAGCATCCATCAAGGGGAAACCACATGATGGCCTAATGACATTGGTAGGGCCGGGTTGGATGGGCTTCTTCTATCCTCATGTTCTAGGCGTTTTTGACGGCCACAGGCCGGGCTTGAAAAGAAAAAGGTGGGCGTTTGCATGATTATCGGGCCGCGCAGAGCGCAAATACCAATTCACTGTATGGGATAATGTAGATATCAGGCGGCAGCCGCACGAAACGAAACGGTTTATGGTATATCAATTATCACGGTGGTTTGTGTCTTTCTCACGCTTTAGACAGTTTGCATTGTGACTATGGGCTTAATCAGAAATTGTATTTGACTCACAAAGCCATATGGCAAGGACTCTTTGGCTCATGCCATGGCCCCCTGTTTGCTGTGCAGAAGAAATATCCCCTTTTCCTTCCGCCCTTCGCCCATTACAAAGACTAGAGACGTTCGTTGCTGTCATTTTATGTGAATTAAATAAGGGTGAAAAGGCATCAAGTGATTGATAACAAACGCCAAAGTAAAGACTACGCTCACAATAAATCCTGGATATCTAAATACTGAGAGAGGTATCGAATCCGATCTATGGTTGACCACTCAACCTAGACCATCTCCGATTGAATGGCCCCCTTTGAAAGGGACTCCCCAACCTCGATGGTGTCCTTCCCGAGTCGTCACGCTGCTCCCGCTCCCTCTGTGGTTGCTTGACGTCGCCTTCCAGCCCGAACCCATAGGTCTCGGCGCCTCCCGCGTGCGGATCCTTGGGCACGAGGCCGTAGCCGACCTTGGCGCCGGCAACGGGGCGGTGATCGCTGTTGGGCGTCGTCGCCCAGGGGAGTTTCTCGAGGCCCGGGCCGCGAGTCGCCGCGACGATGCTGCTGAAGCGTGTGTTGCGGACGAGGCCCTCTTCGCGGACGGCGGCGAGGCCAAACGCCACGCCGACGATGGCGAGGAGGATGGCGACGGAGTAGACGGCCCAGAGGTCGCGGGCGTGGTACTTGTAGCGGAGGTCGGTCCGCTCGCGGGTGCAGGGGTAGGTGTGGTTGTCGCCGAGGCGGGTGCCCGTCTTCTCGCTCGTGTCGTTGGCCCAGACGACGGCCAGGAGGCGGGGCTGGGAAAACATGGAGATGAGGATGTCTTCGTAGAGGCTCTGGACCTGGAACATGAAGTCTTTGACGACGAGATAGTTGTGCTGGTCGAGGATGCGGGTTTGCAAGACTTTGGTGTTGGCATCCGTGTTGGGTTGGAAGATTGTTCCGTTGATGAATTGGCGGAACTGGTATCCGATGGAGTGGTACGCCATTGTTCTGCGGTAACGAGCCACGTCCTGTGGAAAGACATAGTTTGATTCCGGGGTGCCTGTGGTGTTATCCGCTGTTCCGTCTTGGGCGTCGACACCGGGGAGGTAACGCGTGTCGACGATGCGGTCGAAGAAGGTTCGCTTCCGAACAGTCGTCTTTTGGGCGAGGCCGGTATAGTTGAAGTCGACCTCGTACTCCGTCTCACGGTGTTCGCAGCCAAACACCTTTGGAGTGTAGGCCGTTTGCCATGCGGGCAAGGTGGGGTCCATCGGCTGGGGGTCGGACGGTTCGTCGACCTCGGCGATGCCGAACCAAAGCACCGGTTCCACTCGGAGCGCGCCGAGGTTTTGTGGATAGGGAGGCGGCGTATTGGGAACGCCTGCAGGGCCAGTATCATTCATCTGAGGGTTCTGGTATTCGCCTGCGGTGGCATGGGCAATGTACGTATGATTGCCCACCGGGGCAAGCATGCTCATGTTGAAGGGGACCTCGGCGCCGTTGAGCTTCTTCGGTGTCGACCCGACGCCGCTGGCAAGCTCTTCGCACTTGTATCCGGGACCTTTGAACTGGATGGTGAATGAGCAGTTCCAGCCCATGCCACAAACATCAAGGCTGGCATTCGTCCGCGCGAGTGGTTTCTTGCCCAGAATCGCCGAGGTGGATATCTCCTCGAATTGCCAACTCGTTCCGATCCAATAGTCAAAGAAGTGCTCGTCGGACTGGTTGAAGCTGGTCGTGTTCCATAGAGAGGCGGAAAGCTCAAAGAGATTGTTAATCTTAGTCCCTGTGCGAAAGTCGTTGGTTTCTTCCTGTCCAAAGTTGAGAGTGCGGACGGACGGGCACGTCGTGGTCTCACGCGTCGTGGCAGGTTGAGCAGTTAGAGTGTCTGAGGTGAGAACTACGACGAGAGGGGTGCACCACACATAGATGGCCAAGATCATGGCGATCCTAGCTTGGCGAAAGACCTCAATGTTGAAGATGGCAGTCATGTCCTCGGCGGCGGCAAAGAGCGAATCCACAGCAGCGAGGGTAAGCATCTTTCGACGGACTGTCATCCATACCCTCTGTCGAAAGGCCAGAATCACAGCCGATCCCAGACTAGCTTTGCTGAGAAAGGACAAGGCGGCGCCGTAACGAAGCATGCGAATCTGTCCGTTGGCCTCTGTTCCGTCAAGCCCGGCGTAGAAGAAATGGTGACCGAGAGCAAATGCAATCCCAGCGAAGAGGAAGAAGTACATATTCCATGACGGGTGCCAGTACTTGTTGAAAAGCTGGATTTGTTCGGGGGGATAGTACATCGACTGTGGCCGATTAGGCGGAGGACCATGCCATGGCGGTGAGAGTAGACCAGTTGCCGAGGACTGAGAATCGACACGAGTGCCCATGTGTCGTTTGGGTGGAAGCCCTCCAGTCGAAAGGCCCCCTGTGTACGGTGTGCTCAGGCTGGAGTAAGAGGCAGAATAATTTGAGTACTCGTGTGAGTCCATTTGCAACGGCGCCGGCCTCGGCCGCTGCGAAGACGCATTGTTTCCGATAGCCGGTGCCGGGAAATATGCCGCGGCGCCGGCAGCTCGTTCGGAAAATGATGGTTGTGGTGATTTGGCGGAGGGCGTCGGCGGGCTTCTTCCGAAAGGCCCGTACGGGCTGCCGATGGGTGCCGGCGTTGTCGGTGTCTGTGGTCCGTTGATCGGCTTTCGAGCAAACTGGCGATTGGGATGCCACTCAGCCGACGGCGTCATCTGGATATCGCCTTCATCTTGAAGAGCACCTTGCCGCAGGCCGAGACCTTCGCCGTCGGGTTTGCCGTCCATCATGGCTGGTCAAACAGGCGGAGGAGGCTTACGGGTAGAAGAGAATGGGGACGGTGGCTTGAGGGGATTTGGCGACCAGAAAGGGGCGTCAATCGGCGTTGGACAGGGCCGTGGCTATCGAGTGGTCGTTTCAAGCACATTTGGCGGTTCAATATCGCCAGCGAGGTCAATTTACGAGATCGTGGGAGTTGAACAATCCGAATCTTAACAACTTTGTTATGTTGGTCGACTGAATTGTGTGGGTTGTCATTCGAAGGGCTTTGGGCGATCAACATCCAACGAGGGAGGGCACAGCTGCTGAAGAACAAAACCTCCAGGAAACAATAAAGCGGAGAGGGGAGTAAGAATTGAGGGAAAGCAATATAGGAAAGACAACTGATAAGACAGCTCGCATGTTGTCTCGTAAGGCTTGGGGAAACACAGCTACCAACACTTGCCGGAGGTGATGGGTGCATGTGGCTTCTCCCGCCATCCATCTCCGGACGTACGAATAACGAACAAGGGAAGGGTGATGCGACCTGCGTCGAGCTACGCTTGAGTTTACGAATACCTTGCCCGGTCGCTACTTCGGGGCTGGCCACTGCAGCCAAGTTGGCTCAGCTCGAGGTGATGGCGCAGAACTGGCGTCCCCGACCAACATTGGGGGTTACGGCTGTGCGTGATTGGCGATGGCTGCATGTGGCGGCCGGGATATGCCTCGAGAGAAACCCGGGAGCCTTGTCGGTCCATTCTGACAGGAGGGCCCGGCCATATGCTGCTGCCTTTGATCGCACTCGCAGTCAAGAAGGGCTCTGTTTGATGAGGTGGGATGAGGTGCTCCGTCATCATCCAGACGCAGCTGGGGTTGCATTCCCCTTCTCTTCGGGAGGATTCAAAGACTTTTTCAGGGTGACACCGCCTCGTGGGGCCGAAGAGGATGAGAGTGAGATGAGAGATGGGACGTCAGTTGTGGTAGCTCCAACGCACACTGGAGGGTTGATGATGAGGTGAGATGGCGGAAATTGAGATGTGGGTGGAGGAGAACGAGCAGGCAGTTGGGAGTTTAGGGGCTGTGACTGAGTCTGCGTCGTTTCCCACACCAACCGACACCGACCTCTTGAAGGATGCCTCCCAATGAAGAGTCAGGGCATCAAGCGATGAGAGAGATTTTTGTTGTCTAGGGCTGAGAACTCTAGGCGTTGCGAGAAAACCTCTTAGTGCCCAAGGGCTGATCATGAAGCAAAGTAACTTCCAACTTCCTTGCACCTGGACAGTCCCAAGAATACGGTTCTTGGGATGCTTGGGATAGGCTATAGCCGGGTGCTGCATGAGAAGAAGCCAAGGCCCGTCCGCTACCGGGGTTGGACGAAGAACGACTCGGGGAACCGGAGCAAGAGCGGGCAACGGCTGTACGATTTCAGAAGCCCGAGAATTGTGCGCTGTGACAGTGATGGCCAAGTGAAGGCACTTGGCCTGGGATTGACAACATAAAGCTGACATGCATCTCCAATGTGCCATCTCGTACCCGGAATAGGCCGTTGTCTTTTTGCCTTTTCTAGTATTCCCGCAAGTCGATTGCCGCTACTCGCTGGTGAGCCTCGCGCCGTTCAGCTGACGATTAAACTTGCTTTGGACCGTCTGACATGGCTTCTCGATCTCGTCCATCTCCGGTTCAGCCCTACGCCTCTTCGCTGCTCCCGGCCACACCTGCAACATCCTCGAAAAGATACGATGCTTCTCCCACTAGATCGGCTGGAAACCAAATCGACTGGAACAGAACTCCCTTCTTCAGTTTACTGCATGTGACCAACAAGTCTCTTGTGTTACCGGCATCGTTCCTTGTCCTGGCCGCCAATTACGATGGAAATCCCAAAGGTAAGTCTCTTGTGTGTGTACGTACTGCGATACTATCTACTGTTCTGAAATAGGAAAGCTTTGATCGCTCAAAGATGATGTGTCAATATTTGTAAGTATGTTTTCCCCATGGAATGAAAACCGTATTCCCGACAACAATTCAAAACGAGGGCCGATTCCAAGTCGTCTCCTCCCTCATGCGTACCCATTACAATCCCAACTCCATCCAGGCTGGGAAACCGCCCTAGCCATATGCATCATTTCCGTTCTTCATTGTCCTCATCTGCAGCGTCTCCTTCATAATCACGTCCTAAAACACCAAAGCAGATACCCTCTCATCTCTATCTCTGTGCTCCTTCTCCTTCCTCTTGAATAGAGACTTGAGCATGTTGTTCTTCTTAGGCCGGAGCACCGCTTCAATAGCCTCATCTTCTTTCTGGCGGCTGCCGTCCTCGATCGCCAGGGTCGGCGCGCGTGTACTACGCTTGGAGGCAGAGCTGCGGTGACTCCGGTGGCTGCTGGCGACACTCTCGGCGTCCCTTTCAGACCTCGCAACCTCAGACCTTGCGATGCTGCTCTTGCGTTCGGGCACCTCAGACGCGCGGCTGCTGTGGTGCGACCGGGATGAGTGGTGGGACTTCTCCGACCTCTCGGTTCTCTCCGTCCTCGAGCTGCGGTGCGTCTTGGAACTGCGTTGTGTGCGGAAACTCCGCTCGGTACGGGTGTCGTCTCCAAGCATCGAACGCGCGGCCTCAGGGCTGATAAGTTCCATGTCGACACTCTCATTCTCACCAGCAGGTGCGATTCCGCGGCGCCAACTCTCGATGGAGCTGAGTTCCTCATCAAGTCGAGGGTCAAGAACATACGCCTCATCGTAAGCAACGCTACCCTCACGGACGCTCCCTTCCCGGACGCTTCCCTCCCGTGGCTGCTGGTAGGGGTCATACTGGTCGTATTGGTCATACTGTTCGTGTTGTGCGTACTCGATGGCCTGCGGCGCGGGCTGTGCCTCAAAGGCCATGGCGTTGGCGATAGCTGCCTGTTTTTGGGCCTGGGCATCCTTGATCTGCTTCACAATCTTCCATCCGCCAAACATGACTACCGTGAGACCAATACTCGCACCGGCAGCGATGAGAAATTGAGGTGATGCCAGAAGTGCAAAAACCGCTGGCGAGCCTCCCTTGATCACGGACAAGAAGGCAGGCGACATCTGCTTCAAGAGCGTGGACAATTCCGCTAGCGTCAAAGCGACGGCGGCGGCGGCATCGGGATTTCCTTGCAGATGGGCGATGGTGGCGGTCGCAGAGTGATGCGCGCACTTGGCTTCGTCAAGAAGTCCCTCGACTCTGGAGACAAGCGTCTTGGCCTCCTTCTCCTTGGTAAAGGGGTCCAAGTCGGTGCGATCCTTCAGATCGGGGGGAATATTGCCGTATGCGAGGTCCATATCGATTTCCTTCTCCTTTCGGCCCTTGGGTATTACCGGCGCGGACATGGTACGAGGAACCATGGAGCCACGGATTGTCGCCGAGTCGGCAAGACTATCGCTGCACGACGGGGCGGTGGTGTAATGTGGCATGGTCGGGCGGCTCAAGGCCATATCGCGGGGAGCCGTCTCGGCATAAGGAGTACGATAGGCGGAGGGAGGCGCTCTTGATGGCGTGACGCTGGAGACTTCGGAATGTGTTTTGAGGTTGTTCTCGGTCAGGGCAGGTCTCGAACGTGGATAGTACTCGACATCGCGGTGGCTCGACTGGGAGCGTCTGGATCGGTGGCTCCTCCTGGAGCTGGCGACAGAGCGACCGTCATCGTGTGAGTAGCGGCGATCGAAGGCCTCAGGAGGGAGATCGCGGGAAGTATCAAAGGTTTGAGCGCGCTTAAGAACCTCCCGGTCGGCCTTGATGGCCGCCTTTTTCTCTTGGTAGGAAGCCTTGGCTTCTTTGAAGATACCGGCCAGGTGTTTTCCCTGCAGAAGCGAAGATGATACGTCAGCTATTGGGCTTCATCGCTCGGCTGAGAGTTGTAGTGCGTCTGCATTGTTTGCATGTCGAATGTTGTTGCGCGCAGTTCTGACGGCCGAATTCAAGGGCTGGATCGAGTGGGCATGGAGTCTGATGAGGGGCGGTGGGGGGAAATGCAACGGGTGTGAGCCAGAGAAAGAGACTTACGGTACTTATAATCTTGCCCGAGTTGTTGATGATGGTGACCGTCTGCGTGAGGGCCATGATGATATATTTCAAGCACCTGCTCGGCGTCTTCACCGAGCAAGTGATGTGTATGTGCGAGAGTGTGTGTGAGTGCGTCAAGGTAAAGGAAGAGTGTGTGAGAGACACACACACAGGCGGTGACCTAGTATGGTGGTGTTGGTGCGGGCGGTACTAGTCGATTTTTGAAGCTTTCCCTTCTTTTAAGTGACGACAGGCCCCAGGGTACTACGAGACGGGCTTGGCTTGGCCAAGAACGTTCCGTCAGGACTCTGAGAGGAAGGGGGAGGCTGGTCTCAGAGGGAGCCCAGTCCACCGCCAAAATGATCCCGTCGTGTTTGCTGTCGCGGGGAGCCACTTGAAGGGCACTCGGGGCACTTCTGGGCGCTTTTCGGGGCAGGGTCCCTCGCTGTTGACGATGCGGTGAAGGAAAGGAGGCCCCTAACACAACTCCACCGTCACAGTTCCAAACGGAAGCGAGTACCGACTTGGGTGACAAGGGGTGGAGGAGACCGAGGACGGGTTTGCAAATCGGCCCCCACAAAGTCACAGGAACGGGTCAAGACTCAAGCCCCCCCCCCGGAGATGCTGTGGCACTCGTGGCAGTGGCACTGAGAAGATCGCGGCCCGTGGGAGGTTTAGCCGTTGCTGTTAAAGTGGACGACGAACAACGGCCGGCAGCCGGATGATGGCGATGTGGAGATACAGAGGCTGGGAAATGTGCAGGTTTCTTTTTCACCCGGTATCCGTGGTGTACTGCGTATTCGTAGACGGAACGTGGATGGACGTGTTCTGTCGTTTTCAGACAACGGTATGGGAGATTCCGATATGACGGTGTGAGATGCAGGTGAGCGTTTGGTATGTGTATGTGCGGATGACCCGGCCTCTCTCTCTATCCCTTGCGATGCCCAGTGAGAAGATTTGCGAGGCCACGATATGCTGGCTGATATGAGAGGAAAAGAGCGGGGAGGGAGGTTGAAAGAGAAATCGAGAGACGGGGGAGGATGCGGGATGAGAGGGGCTTTTCGACATGAAATACAACAGCGGACAACATCGGCTCTCAATTACACCTTATCACTGGCTTCCATTCTTTGGGAAATCATGGAAATGAGCCAGTGAGGAGCATGCCAAACGCCCAAGCCGAATCGACGGGCCAAATGAGTGAAAGCCCAGCAATCAGAGCGAAACTCTGCCCTTCGCGCGCCTGTGTCTAGAATGGCCAGCTTCTCATCACAGTCGCATTCGCAGTCGCAGTCAGTCACGGTGACAAGTCCACGTCTTCTTTCTCATCTCACTCCCTGAAAACCGGAAAATCACCCCCTCCCCTGTTTTTCGTAGGGGCGACAAGACAAGCCCAGGCCGCTCAGGGTGAGGCGACATCCCGGCGATTGGTCCCGGAAGAAGCTCTGAGCGCCTTTTTTGCGCATTTGGGTCTCGTTGCAGGTCGTAACTTGCAGCTGGCCACTCTAAAAGGGACAAGGCGAATGGAATGGGGATGGAACTGGCCAAACGGAACGGATGATTCGTGACCTTGACAGCTGAGAGCCTGAGACTAGACGGGGCCGGTCGGATGAGGAGTCACCTTAGTCACTTAACGCTCCCAGGCTTTCGAGAGTCCCATTCTCATCCTCCCGCCGTCTACGAATAGGTACTCGTAGTGTCCAGTTTTAACCTCTCACACCAAGAACGCGTGGGAGGGGAAGGGGGGAGAAAAAAACTGCCAGCTGGGCCTGGCCCACCTCTCCTCTCTCACTCACCAGTCATCATTGAGCTGAGCTCACCTCTCACTCAGACTCACCTCAATCACTGGCCATGTCCCTGCAAATCTTGTCTCCGGCTTCTTTCCGCCTTTCCGATCCTTCGTCCCCTTGGGACGGATAGCGTGCCTGAATGTGGTCCCCTTTCTCTCCGCCCTTCCCTCCGCCCTTCCAGCTCCCCTTCTTCTTTCCAGCCCTCCTCACCGCATCGCAGCAGCCAACAACCGGTCAAGGAATGATCGTTCAAGTGAACTGTGACTCGTGAGGGGCCGCACTCGAAATCGCATGGCTCATTATTAATCCACGATGAATCCTAGTCTACTCTTTGATGCTGCTTCTTAAGGGCCTGATCGGCTAGTACTGAGCAAGGAATCTCGAGCTTAGAATCCCTAAAAAGGCAAGTCTAGGGCCAAATATTACGGAAATCTTTAGGGGGTTAATTTTTTTCTTTCTATTTAGGTTCGGAGTTTATTTATATAATTTTAAAATAGATTAACTAACTAGTTATTTATATTAACCCAATTAATAAAAAGTTTACTAAATACAGCCAAAAAGGCCCGTTAACTAATATAAAAATTCAAGTTCAATATTTTTAATATTATAACATTAATAATCATATTTAACTAACTACTTAGTTACGTTATACAAATTTGATTAATTATAATATTAAAAAATATAGTTAACGTGGTTTACCAGTCAGCCGCGCATATCAGTTAGCCGCGCATTTCCTTATCGCATACTAAATTGCATATTTACCTAATTTCTTTGAATAATAACTAATTAAAAAGATTTCAGTATCTTTATAATATATTTAAAATATAAGTAGTTAAATTTAATAGAAAAAGATACTTTAATCTTTTTATATTGAAATAAGTAGTGGAATAGAAATATGGGTCTTTGATAAGGATATAATATATTTACTCTATCTCTAAATAGAAATTAATTTTTAAAACTTTTTATTTAGTTTAGTGACTCTTATCAAAGACTAATGAAAAAATTTGAACGTTATATAACCAACAATGAAAAAGATATTAATTATATAATGTAGGCGACTTAGTATACGATAAGGAAATGCACGGCTGACTGATATGCGCGGCTGACTGGTAAACCACGTTAACTATATTTAAAGCTCTATTTATATAATAAACCTAATAAATAAATCTTAATATAATAAGCCCTTTTTTAATCAAATATAAAACATAATGTATTATTATTATTAACTACCTTAGCTCTAGCTTATATTTAAATATATTAGATTTCAAGCTTAGATTCCAAGCTCAGTACCAGCCGATCAGGCCCTAAGCCCGCTGGCCACTTAGCCACTCCCGCGTTTACAATGTTTTAATGTTCCTCTCTCTATTCCGAAGCCCCCCTTTGTCCTGCTTTTTAATGTCTCTCCTTACCGCGATCCTGCTGCTTCAAGTGCTGCGGCTGCTATTGCTGCTGCATGACGCACGCACGATGAGGTTGTACAGCTTCACTTTCAAATGGCCCCAGTCTCCCCATCCGGTGTTCCTGTATTGCTACCCAGCACCCGACACAGCGTTCCTGACGTCGTGTGTCCAACACTGACAGCTTGGCCGAGAACCGTTAGCCGCTGTTCGTCGTCATGGTGGATTGACTTGATCATGAAATGTGAGTTCCTAACTGAGTGCCTACCTCTTGATGAGAGCTGGCCGGGCGGGTGATTGCAGGGCTCCAGATCGGTCAAGTCTCCTCATTATGAGTGAGCTCACTTTAACAGTGACTCTGTACGTTTTACCCCAAACAGCAAAAGAACGTCGTCTTTTCGGGCTGCCACTTCCGATCCTCATATTACTCGCACTCAGACACCGCAATCTTTCAGAAATTGTGCGACTCAACATTTTCATCTATCTAACCATCACCTATCACCGTCCAAGGCCAATCTGCCCTCATCTGCGGCTCTTCCCATTGGGTTCGACTTGCCCCTGCCAATCCGCACTCTCGTCAATACCATCGACTGCAGCCGCCGATCCTGCCACACCACCCTCGGGCTCTTTTATCACCGCCATTGGGCTGCCATGCACCTCCAACACCCTCTTGACCCTCGTGCCCTCCAAGCTTCAGAGCAGCACTTCCGCCCGTGGTCTCGGTCATGGCAGATCACCTTCCCGCCGCCCGGTGCTCCTGTCAATCTGGCTGCTCAGAGAGCGACACGACAGCAGGTGGCAAGTGTCACCTCCGGGCTCTAGCGCACTGTTGAACTTAAACCGCTCCTTGGCCAAGGCCCGTGGTCCCGCCTTTGAAGTAATTCGTATGATGTTGCAGTGGCACAGCTCTCGAATGAGAACATGTGGTAATATGGCACCGTTTTTGGGAATCTCGTCGGCTGTCTCGGTTGTCGCTTTACTTAGGCCCCATACTCCGTACACAGCCCATCCATCTAAGCGATGGATTGTCACTTGTGTCCTTTTACCCGCGCTTATTTGTCGCGCGTCTGGAAAATAATGCTAAACCCTGTCATTGCGAACCGCCTACCTAGGTAACTCATGCTGTTGGTCCAGGTGTCTGGGCTTGTGTCAAACTCCAGCCATGACCTTTTCGCTTTGCGGCGTCGGTACAGCGGAGACGGAAACTTCTAGCGCCGGTGTGAAAGAGTCAACACCCAAATTCCTCAATGGAACATTCGAATCTACGCATGTCTGTTCTCGCCAACACATTTCTGTTCAACTCTGCAACGACACCGATTCCCAAATTGGGTGTTACGGATTGTAAATTTGACATGACATTTGCTTGAGCTTCTAGACCCGGAATTTGAGCTTATCTCCGTAGGATCTTTGTCGGGTCAGTCTCCAAGCTAATTGCTGACAAAAGAACTGGGCGGTGTAATTAGGGTCATTCTCTCAAAGAACAACGATTTCTGTTTCCCATGAAGAACTGGCCAAACCCCTGCCAGTAAACTTCCAAGCGAAGACATTGCTCTGCGGGTGTATTGAGGTAGCCAAAAGAATGAGCGAATCTGAACTCCCTGACTCGACCTTTCCGACAAACAGCCTACCAGGTGGCGTATTATTCTGTGATATATGCAGCAAGCCCTTCAGCCAAGGTCTGTCCAAGCTACTGCATCTGCCTTTCATGTTCAGCGCAAAATCTAACTTGAAAACACCGGCACAGAGACTTCTTTGCAACGCCATGTGTCGTACTGTCAGCGAGCAAGGGAACGGCCCCGGAGCCGACCGAAGCCTTGCCAAGAATGCATTGCAGCCAAACAGAAGTGTAGCTTGCAAGGTCGCTGTACACGTTGCACGAAGAAAGGATTAGACTGCGTCTACTCGGAGAGAAGAAATCACGGGTCCACGAACAACGCAGAGGCCCTCAACCCACGAGTTTGGGCGCCGAATCTCCTAGCCTTGGATTTGGCTGATCCTGACTCTACTTTCGCATTGCAGACTTCGACTTTTGGTGAACAACTACAATGGGATTTAAGCTTGCAAACATTTGAACTGCCGGATGAAGTCACTTTTGAAGATTTCCCTCTGACGGGACCAGGACTTGCTCACACGGCCGAGAACCAAATGATTGGCGACACTGGTGTATTCGTCACATCAGAACACTACCGACAGACACTGCCAAGTTCTATCAATCATGATAGGCGTGTGATAGCAAATACATCTTGGATTGTCTTCCCACTTCAGTTCATCGGCAATGTAAACCCGGCAGCGGAGAGCAGCGCAAACGTGATCAAACAGACGCTGCGGTCATACCCCCAGATGATGCTACGAAGATCAACATTCCCACCTTTCATACACCAATACCAGGACAAGAGCCATCTTCCCGAGCCATTGGCAAACTGTATGGGTATTGCGATTCTGTTCGCATCTCGAAACGCAGACACGAGTCCGTTCTTATGGCAATCAATTCAAAGGGAGCAGGAGAGAAACCTAAGCGAGGTCAAAAAGATGCTTTGAACCCTGCCTAATGAATTTGAAATGCTGACTTCACTCAATAGATGACAAGATTCAGTAGAAAAGAGATTTTCGCCTCATTACAGGCAGAGTTGATTTATATCATCATGCGTGTTGTTGGCGGCGGAGGCAGCACCCCAGGAGACTGCGATTACAACACCCACATGCTGTTAGCCTACGAGGTATCTTATACCAATGTGTATTCTAAATGCTTGATGGAACGTATTGCGGCTGACACTCCGTGACTAGGCGCTTTGGAAACATTTCATGACCGTAACCGAGACACCTTGCAGTGTAGAGTCCAAGAGCTCACAACCATGGGAAGACTGGGTCTTGGACGAGTCCCGAATCAGGTGAATAGATCTCGGTCTCATCTTGAATTAAAGTAGAAATGGTTAATAAGATAATGCCTCAGAATCGCCTGCGTATGGTTTCTAGTAGCCCAAGTAGCCACTGTCAAAGTAGGCATATCTTGCAGCATTCTGGACACATGGAGAGAATTACCACTTCCATGTCACAAAATACAATGGGGTGCCACAACGCCAGAATCATGGGAGGAAGAAACAAAAGCTTTGGGAAGTCTCCCCAACCGAGGCAAGGAAATGGCTTGTTTTGGGGAGCTTTTGGAAAGTCACCAACGTGCTAGCGATCAAGTTCATGCCGAAACGCTTGACAGATGGAACTCAGGAGCCGATAACATTGGAGTGCTTCTAAATTTAGCCACGGTATTGATGTAGACCCGGCGCTTACTTGGTGGAACAAAACTTCACAAAACTGTACTACATGATATGTCTTGAAATTTGGACCGCGTTTAGCTTGATTTATCGACCTAGTGAAGCTGAGAAGACCACCCCGTGAAAGCAGGAATAGATTTGCCATGCACCCTCCCTACTTCCACAGGGGAGGCTGAAGCAAGTACACAGTCATGTCCAGATGTCTAATCTACCAAGCAAGGGGTCCCTCCCTGTTTGAGAACGTGCCGGTCGGTCCACCCGGAGCTGCAGTAGCCAACTCCACAATTTTCTCCGCCCCGACAGCAGTCGGCGCACCGGCATCCATCCATCCAGTCAGCTTCGTTTTGACCAAGCCGGGGCAAACAGCGTTCGAGGCCCCGCCGATGTCCTTTAGTATACGAGCGTAGTTGGTAGCCAAGATGTTGACAGCTGCCTTGCTGCCGTCATATGCCTTGTAGTCGATGTTGTAGAAAGGCATCCTCTCGTCCACAGACGACTCCAGCGAGCCCATCTGGGACGACACGAAGATGATGCGCGGATATTCGGACTTGCGTAAGAGGGGAAGAGCTGCCTCACTTAGAACGGCTGTCCCGAAAACGTTGGTATCGTAGGTCTTTCTGAAAAGATCTCGAGTGGAGCTGAACGCATCAGGAGACGTATCGATCAGAATGCCTGCATTGTTGATGAGAACGTCGAGTTTTCCGTGACTCTTTTGGATGGACTCGACGGCCTTCAAGATTGAGTCATCGGAGGAAAGGTCGAGCTGAACAGAAGATACTGAGCGGTTCTCGTTGTTGAGAGCTTCGGCGAGCTTAGATCCAGACTCGGGATTGCGGGATCCTATGATGACATGAAAGCCCGAAATTCTGGCGAGTTGTTGAACAACAGCCTCGCCGATGCCGGCGTTACCTCCAGTGACAAGAGCAACAACCATATTGGAGAATGAGGCTTCAAGGAGAAGTATAATAGACCTTTTCAATGTCTTGAAACAATGAGAAGAAACTGCCTGTGTAAAATGTGAGTTATTCATGCAGGTTTCGAGATGCAATCTGGCAGCGAAATATCCCACTTTATATATTCGTCCGCAGTGCATCGTACCAGAATACTTCTCATCAACAACGAAAAGACTGAAGAGAATTGCGTTCTCATTGTGTGCAAAGAAAGTGTGATTTCGGCCAATTTCGCCGCCCCCCAAACACGGTAATACATGGTGGACCGGCCAAAGTGGACGGCGAAGAGTGGGCCCCGGCCATTCTCGCCGGCGTGTGGAGTCCAGGTCGTCGTAGCTAGGTCCAGACGGACCATATGCCAACGTCCTGCCAGAGATGAACAGAACCGAGAGAGGGAATAATCCAGAGAAATATGAGCGGATACCCATAGCTATAAAATGAAATGCCAACATAATGACGTGATTCGGTTGCGAGCAGACATATGGCATGAGAGCAGGATCGTGAAGTGTAGGCCTTATTGTTGCCTAAAGTACTTACCATTTGGTACGTAACATGTACTTTATATTTTCGATGAATTATCACGATCCATACATCCGATCATTAGATGTGGCCTTAAAGCGTGTTACTTAGTCAGGTAGTTAGTGGAGTTCATGAGTCTTATGAGTCCAATGAATGCATATCGTTGTGCTCGCTGGCCTCAAGCCCAGCGTAGTCAGAACGCGATGGTATTAAGCCCCGTAGCAGCGTCAATGATTATCCTAGAGTAGTCACTCAATAACATAAATCAAAAAGAAACAATGAGAATGCTTGGTTCCAGAAGCAGACAACGATAAAAATACGTGTGTTTCAGCGTTAGCGTTATCTCAGCTCCGAGCCGGAGCAACATACAAAATACCAACAGCGCGATTAATTACATGCAGTGATGGACTAGGAAAGAAACATGCTGTTACCCTGTTTCAAAAACCTGGCGTAATCGGCGAGATACTGTAGACAACAAAATACTTTACCTTATGTCGTGGCGCGGAGTTCTATTATGGGGCAGTAAACCAACTACTATGTGTGAACTTGGATGACCAGAGCTACTATGGCGCCTACTCAACGGCACAACAGACATCGATTCGCAATCAATTTGAAATCGGGAAATCAATTATTTAATAATTTCCCTGAAAGCGACAGGCGCGTACTTTCCGAATTCTGAAGACTTCTGTTGTAGTACGCATTTGTGTAAAACTACTCACACAGTACACTGAGAGTCAGTTTCACCCACTGGGCTTATCAAATTAATACCTAAATCGCCAGACCTATTATTAGTGCAGACTTGACCTCCAGAAAACCGGACAGCAAGAAACTCTCCGCAATATCGTAGTCTTACACAAGTTGCCTTGTGGCCTACACGGTAAGTCGGGCATCCGAGCACAATTCAAATCACAAGCAGCCCTAAGATTCGCTAATTGGCCATTGGCGCTCCTCGCGACTTGGCAGAGTATGGCGAGTTGGGGGTTCTGGAGTATTGGATGGCATGCAAGAGAAACATGAGGTCTAGCACTGGGCACAGGTCGAGATTGACAAATGTTGACATTGCCACAAATGGTGTGACAGGCACTGACATTTCGTTGATGGGATGAGACGTCCATGCAGGGGCGTATTTTCAAGTTCGACGAAGAAAGTCAAAGAGATGCATTTGATCATAGCTCGAGCCCCAATTGATGAATGAATTTGTAAAATACTTGAGATGAACGCCTATACAGCTAATAGAGTTGGCCGGCATACCTTGACTGCTGTCTGGAGTCAGGGACGGACACTAGGGTGCTCATTATCTGAGGTGATCAGCCACCGCTCACATAAGTACTGTCGTCGGAATTTTGATACCCTGCACGGCCACTGATTTGATGAGGATGCGGGACGTTCTCCGGTCAAACAATTCTTGAGACGTTTGGAAGGCACGCCTCGAGTATTTGAGAGTGAGGACAACACATGTAGACGCCGAAGACTGCCTCGGCTTTGAAGCAAGCAAGATTTTGAGTTCTGCTCATCAGCTGGTGTATGAGCTGATCTGCAGGAATTGGTCTGAAGCCTTTGTTTATTGTCTATAAAACTCGAGGAGTACCCTAATATGACCCTTTCGTGTTCGCAAACCATCGCCCAAAGCTATTCGCCTTTCTCAGAACTGGACAGGGATCATACTTACATCTTGTATACACTTTCCTATCGAAAATCATACCATCACCATGCGTGCGCTTGCTGTTGTCACGTCTGCTTTGCTGGCCAGCTATGTCTCTGCACAGCAGGGAGCAGTCTGCTTCGACGACTTGGATTGCTTGCTCTCAGTAAGAGAATTCTCGAGAACCGATCAGTATCAACACAATGACTGACCTTATGAAAGGGAGGACAAAATGCCAAATGTGTGAGGGCACAGGCTGGAGGTATCACAGGGTGAGTAAAATCATCACCTTGTCATGTACCACTGCACTGTAGGGCATCATGACAAGGTCGAATGTTCGCAATGAGGCGTAAGGCTTACTCGGCTATAGAAACTGCGCTGGAGGCAAGGCCGCTGGCGCCGCCGGCGCCGCAGCGGGAGCGGGGGCTGGAGCTGCCCAGCCTGCTGGACAGCAAAACGCTGCCGCCGACCCTATCGGCTCTTTATTGGGAGGACTTACGGGCAAAAAGGCTACAGGAAAGGCTACTGGTGGGGCTGCAGCACCAGCAAAGGCGAAAACTGCTGGGAAGGCAAAGGCTCCCGCAGTAGGGGCTCGTCAAGCTGCTGCTGCACCCGCAGCCTCTGCGGCTCCCGCCGCCGACCCCATTGGAGCTGTGCTCGGAACGGCAGCGGGCCTGCTGAAAGGCAAGGGCGGTCAACCGGCTGGTGCCGCTGCTCCAGCCGGATCTCAAGCTGCTGATCCAATCGGGCAAGTCTTGGGAACTGCCGCCGGAGTCCTCAAGGGCAAAGGAGCTCCAGCAGCCGGAGCTGCCGCTCCCGCAGGACAGCAGGCAAACCCCCTTAACGCCGTACTTGGAGCTGCAGCAGGAGTGTTGAAAGGAAAAGGAGGCGCGCAGCCAGCTGCTGCAGCTCCCGCAGCCGGCGCCGCAGCTCCTCCACCAGCTGCAGCCCCAGCTGCACCCGCTCCATCCAAGCCGGCAGCCGGAAAGCCCGCCCCTCCTCCTGCCGCGGCCCTTGCCAAGCCTCCGGCTGCGGGCAAACCGGCTCCGCCTCCTGCTGCTGCTCCCCCTGCAGCTCCTGCCGGCGGAAAGCCAATTCCAGCTGCCCCGGCCGCGCCTGCTGCGCCTGCGGGCAAACTTGTCCGCCGCGTTAATTTTTAGATTAGCGGGAAATTCCATTCTGATTTCCGGAGCGCGCCTTTCTTTCTTTTGCCCCGTTGTTTGACTTATACACACTGGTGTGAGAAAGCAAACAGGATTGGATTCTATAGCAAGATTACCTTACTCTAGGTACTTTACCTATTAGGCTACAATCCATGGCCTAAAATGGGCATTGCACTTTCAAAGACAATGAGTCCATGCAACTTAATTACTTGATGTAGAAATTGTGACTGAATTCTGGGTCATTCAATGTTGATATCATGCAATCCCATAATCTTGACTAAGGTCACCGACAACATGCGGTATCCAATGTCAACCCTCTCGAAGCGTAATATGAGACTGAGTGGCCTGTTAAGCAGACAGATCATATACACTCTCTCAATCTAAGGCCAATCGAGTTATCTCTAGTCAAATTCCACCAGAATGCGTTCCAATTCCCTCTTTGCCAGGTCTGCAACTTCTTCAGCGGCATCAAAAGGAGTCCTTTCTTAGCTTGGATAGAGATCTCAAAATTCGTCTGTTCAAATTATCACTTCCAAGATAAGAGGCGAACAGGATTTGCAACGAAAACATCGCAACGAAGTCAAGACATTCAAAACTCGTATGTCAAAGAGACACCCGAAGAAAAGAAGTCGAGTCGCCGAGGTATTGCCAAACATAAAACGTGTGCAGTGAAAGAAAAGGTTCCTCACTTCTTAAAGAAGGATCACAGAACGAGAAGATGTCCAGTAAGTGACTGAGGACTAAAGTCGTCCCCTTCTCCTACATTCACCAGTCTGGCCCTTTCCGTCACTTGGACCCACATATCCGAAATTACGAATAGGCCCATGCAATTCTTTGCCCGCCATGGACGCACAGGATCGTTTGACGCCAGCTCGAAATTCCGCAGCATCTTAAGAAGTAAGTACCTTTACGTGGCCGAGTAGATAGAAGGGTTTTTCTAAATCTGGAACTCACCTCAAAAATAGTCTTCGAAAGTTCCATCTGAGCCACGGGTCTCCCAAGACACATGAACTTGCCGTGGCCAAAAATCAGGTCGTTGGTTTGAATCATCGAGGCAAGCTTATCTGGTTCTGCTTCAAACCACCTCTCTGGTCGGAATGCCGTAGAATCAACGCCGTATATTGCTTGGCTGCGATGCATTGCGTAACCCGAATAACCGACACAGACACCACCGGGTAAAAAGTAAGTTTCACCTTTCACCTCAATAGTATCACCTCCAAGAGGGATGTCTCGGGAGAAGATATTGAGGACTGGCGGCCGGACTCTCAGAGACTCTCGGATGACTGCTTGTAGGTACGGGAGTTTCTTCGCTTGCGCCAGAGTGATAATTCCCTCGCCGAGTTTTGGAGCATTTCCATTATGTACTGCGTCGTCGATCTCATGCTGCAGCTTCGCATACACCCTGGGATTTGTCATTATTTGCAAGAGCGTTCCTCGTATGGCAGCAGCCGTTGTATCTGATCCTGCGATGATTTGCTCCAGTGCCTCAGACTTCAGCTCATCACCACTTAGTCCATGGCGTATAAATGATGCAAGCATGTCCGACCTTTCATCCGTCGACTTCGCAGTGCGTTCGTCAACGTATCGAAAGCATGCTGCAATCATTTTGCCAAAACCGTTGTTGTCAGTGGGCGATGGAGCTATGAATCTGCCAATGACGGGTGATTGAGCCATCCAGCTGATGCCGATGGCACAAGCCATGCTAGTAGCAGATAATCCCTCCTCGGTGGACTTCAGGTAGTCATCCACGTCGCTGTCAGTCCGAAGCATGCCGAACGCTTTCCCAAGCCCGACAGAGCTGATGACATCCAGAGTAAAGTACTGTACCTTTTTGGCCAAATCCATTGGTGTAACTATACCATCGGTCGAGAGATATTTGGATCTTATAAGACCAAGAAGCTCCTCAAGGCGTTGATCAATTGTAGGTTCAAGGTCTAGATTCTCTCTACCGGAGTACTGATCAAGGCTTGGGATTAGTAAAGTAGCTTGTTCAGACCCCTGCGACTGCTGATGGAATGAATACCCCCGGCGCCATTTGCTTCCTTCGCATTTCATGTTTCTCGTTATCCGTTTGGGAGAAGACGTTATCGCGCTGGTACTCGATTCGACAAGCATGATAATACCAGTCAGAGCGCTTGTAACCAGGATGTCTATTAACGTGGGCCCAGACTTCAGGTGAAGATGTGATTAAGATCCCAGGAGCGATGCGGGTAATGAGACCTCTAAGAATGTCAATTGATATCTTGAGATAATGTACGTTACCAACGCAAATACGATCGCCAGTCAATGAGTGGGCTCTGGGGTTGAATTGCATACCATATCTTTCGTTCATCTCGGCGTACCACTCATGGCAGTTAGAACTGAGGATTGCCCTGCTGTGAGGCCAATGGGTGAGGCCACTCCACCAAGGACCTCCGAAGCTACGAAGTTTGGCATAGAGTGCGGCCCTCCGGACGATGCACCAGCAGAGGAAGAGGACGAGAGCCGGCACAGCGGCATTGCCAAGAAGAAGGCCAAAGACACCCATTACGTCTTTCAGAAGGAAGATGGGTGAAGACTGTTTGTCTGGGCTAAGCGAATAATGGTCATCAATGTTATAGTTATGGCACAAGCCAAAGACGTTGTGCCCCCGCACTCTAGAAGACAGGGGCAAGATGTTGGATTGCCAAAGGTGCTTTCCAACGCCCCAATCATATCCTTGACATATCCAAGCAACCCACATCCAACGCTGTGCTCTCTCGTCATTCGATCGCATGTCAGCATATGATGCATTAGTTGAATCAAAAATAGACCCATTTCCAGTTGGTAGTTGTTGGGTAATTATTCAGTCGCATTCAAGCGATGAAACGTGGGGAGATTAGATTGCATAATACTTATCCAACCTGGCATTGAATGAGTAGCCAGGAGAAAGGAAATCTTTGTTCTCAAGATCTACTTATACTATCCGCGAATCAGCCGGAGAGGGCTTTTGGTCGGGTGTCGAAGTGATAATTTATGTTAACTCCCGAATGGGAAAGTTGCGCCTCAACATAAACTAAAATATAGGGTATGAAGGCTCAACTCCTAGTACTGCAGGCGGTGCTGAGAGTATATCAGGGGCCTCGGGCGAGGATCAAAGCTTCGAAAGAGGATCAAGGCTTCGATTAAATACATTTGTCTTATATTGCCTTGTACACCAGTACAGTATAGGGTGGTGCTGTTGCTCTTCCTCTCCTCGTCCACGTGTATAAGTACGGTCGTCAATTGCGCGTCAATCCAATAGTCAGACTAGGTATAATTCGCCAACATACATAGCAAGGGAAATAATCTTTCAGCAAGAGGTGGGAGTGAGTAAGCAGGGGCTAACCGGGAATGGATCTACTTTGATGACAAAAGTTGTCGTGATATGCTCTACTGATCGGGAAGTTTCAATGTTTTCACCTGAATATGTACCTTAGGTAAGGTATTATGCTGAAAGAGCGAACAGTTTTGGGTAAAGTAAGTATTCGTATTGCTGCAAAGTTCTTTAATCACGACACTTTGGACGAGATCATTAGATAGTGAGCGACCTAAGTGTTAGTATGGTTTCTGATGATATTGTGATGCCCCCAGGGCCTTGACGACTTTGAAGCATGGGTATGTGTTGCGCGCGTAAGTTATAACTGCTTTTGCCCTTGAGGCTTGAGCTCCCTGACTTCCCCTTCAAGTTCTGAAAATCGATAGGTTGATGCCTTGAATAACAATGCAAGGGTAACTACAATCATTCATTCGAAAGTTGGCAGATGACATACTCTATCTACAAGAGTCAGTAATATCATGAAGAACTACCCGCAGCCCTCCGCATCACTCCTAACTGCGAGTTGTGGGGTCTAATTTGAACAGCTCTTGGGTGACAGCTTGGGCCGATTTTGATATATCCTATGGCTTTTCGCAGTGGCCAACTTGTCGGCATTCTCCGCAGTCTTACGTAGCTGTGTCGGGTATCCGTACAAAAGCACATGATGCCAGATGGAGAGAACCTTAGGTATTACGAGTAGGATACGCCGTGGACAGAAAGTTGACATAACGAGAGCAAATCTACCTTGTCCTGATCAATGATAGGAGTCAAGCCCTAACTTGATCATCCCGCAATGTGGGTGTGATCGGGGCATGAGAGACAGGAGATAAGGCGGCGGTCGGACAACCATTGCAGCCGGCGGGATCCAGCGGGAACTGGCGGGAGGAACAATCGGCAGATCGAGATACCCCCGGAGATGTGGGGACGTGGGCGGTGCTCAACTCCCGGGATGTGGGCGGAGCAGTGCGGGGTTTTTCGAAGGATTTCTTCGCATCCGGGGTGGAACAGACGTCAAATTAAGGAAGGTAACATCCTCGTTGGTCGGCAACGCCCGATACTCATAAATATAAGCTTGAATCGGCCAATCCCCATCGTAATCAGGGACAATGGTAGTCAGCCGCCAAGGCTGCCAAGAGAGCCAAGAGCTGGCAGTGGGAACTGCAATGACCGCAATTGAGCCCAGCTTTACGCGTTGTCCGCCAATGATTTGTTCACGATTGGCGTAAGAGGCAACTCGATCAACGGCGTCTGCTAGGTTCAATCACACCGTTGCACAAGATACGAACGGGACTCAGAACTTGGTGCCTTTCTTGGCTACAGTCACCGTCTTGGCATTGCCTGTTAGATGGCAAAAGCCGCATTTCATCTTGGCAACTCGAGATATGCCGCCCAGCCGGCTTATCACGCAAGGCCGTTTGCTCCTGTCGTCAATTTCAACGGCCTGCAACAAGACAAACTCAGCAGGTGGCCACCTTCTGAGCATGAATCAACTCCCCAGTCATGGAGCCACATTCAAGACCACCAGCCAAAAGAGCGTTGAACAGTCCCCAGTTCACGTACGACGAGCCTGTTAGCCGTGATGTTGCTAGACTTCCGGTCTCTTCCGTTTGAGGAAGGTTGAAGTCGAGATGTTTAGGTGCTCATGATATGGATCTTGGGATGGCATCTGAGCTCAACAGCAGACAGTAGACGGCGACGAACTTATATAAACTGTCGAAACATCAGCCATCAAGGTGTTCTTCCATCCTCATCCCACCCCAGGCAAGCCAATTCCAATCAGGTGTCCGGTCTCTTCTTCATCATGCAGTTCAAGACTCTGTTCGTCTCCGCTCTTGCGGCCGCCTCTACCGCTCTTGCCCAGCGTTCCTGCGGTACTCCATCCCCCACTGAGGAGCAGATCGAGGTTGCCCAGCGCCTCCAGCTCAAGGAGGACAACGCTCGTGTCGAGGGTAACGCTACTCGCCTTGCTCCCATCACGGTCAACGTCTACTGGCACGTCATTGCCACCTCCAACTCTGTTAGCGGTGGTTACCTTACCCAGGCCACCCTGAACGCTCAGTTGGACGTCCTCAACGAGGCTTACGCTCCCCACGATGTGTCTTTCGCCCAGGCCGGTGTCGACTGGACCATTAACAGCCAATGGGCCTCCGACCGCGCCGAGCTTGCCATGAAGAGATCGCTCCGCAAGGGCACCTACGCCGATCTGAACGTCTACTTCCTCCCCGGCACTCCTTACCTCGGATACGCCTACTTCCCCACAACTGTCACTACCGGTTCCTCTGCATTCTACTACGACGGTGTTGTCATCCGCTCCACTTCGGTCCCCGGTGGCAGCCTGCCCCAGTACAACCTTGGCCACACTGCTACCCACGAGATCGGCCACTGGCTTGGACGTAAGTTTTCTAGCGCGGGCAGACATTGACTGAAGCTGACTTTCCAATTAGTCTACCACACCTTTGAGGGATACCAATGCGGCGGTAACGGTGACTACGTCTCTGACACCCCCTTCGAGGCTGAGGAGGCCTACAACTGCGAGATTGGCCGTGATACCTGCCCCACCCTGGCTGGCACCGATCCTGTCACTAACTACATGGACTACTCTGACGAGTAAGCTTTTCTCCATCCAATGACTGGAGTACATACTGACTTTGACATAGTGACTGCTTCACTCACTTCACTGATGGCCAGGACACTCGCATGCACAGCTACTGGGACACCTACCGCGCTTCTTACCAGTAAATGGCTGAAGTCGACTTGTCAAGTCACTGACGCAGCTGGAATTAGTGTTGCGTCTCGAGTCTAGAACATCAGCTTGTTGTGGCCAGGTGATGTCATGGGAAGACTCCGCAAATGTGATTTTGGAATTGACTCTACGGGGTATAAACCTGAGGATGAGTGGTGGAATTTCCAGTCTATATTTTCTCTTGAAACATGTCTATATCCACATCCAAACCCACCAGGAGAATATTGTGCATGCTGCTGAGTGACATGCCTCGACAAGATCTCGCTGGCTCCGTCATTATAACGAGCGTGTGGCCCAGAACATCTAAGGGCATCACACCCTGTAGGTGTGTTGTCTGTTAACGATTTCAAAAGGGCAAATGTGATTACTTGAGAACGGCCTCGTCGGATTACTGTCTCATCGCTCTGACAAGAGTTATTTGATTGACTCAGAAGTCGTTTCGGGATGATTCTCATGCTTATATATACGTCTGTGTCTCGTTCTTAGTCTACCGTTACAAGTGGGCCGTGCCATCATGAACCGAATCAACAAGTGGGCCCTCAATAGTGGGCAATTCCGATTGTGCCGTTTTGAGCTTCTCGGTGAGAGAATTCCGACGAATTGACTAAATAGTGATCAATCTTGACCTCTTCAATCCCGATGAGTGACTGTAGTTCATAGTCGAACACGGATGACTTGTTTCCTTAATTGGGAAACTTGACGATTATTCAGCTCGCCGATAAGGGCTTGAAGCCAGCTTATAAGCCCAGGAAAGATAATGGCCATGGGAGACGGCACAGTGAGATCGCCGAGCCAGAGAAGTGATGCTAATTAATCCCAACATCATTCGGAATAGCTCAGACTTGAAACGAGGACAACAACTTTCTCATTCAGAGACTTGCGCTGCCGCTATTCGGCCGTCACGACCTAGTGAGCTTCAGAGTGAGAACTGATGTCAAATGAAGGATGTTAAGATCGGGCTGTGATTCCCGCGACGCGTCTTTCGGGCGACCTTCTAGTCGTACTCGTATTGGCTGATATATCTGTCTTCCTTGTCACTTTTTCTTTGAGGGGACTACTAAGAAAAGGAGAGATCTCTATTGACTATTCACCCGACTTCCCTACGCTAACTCGAAGACCGTTGGTGAGGCTTGGTCATCAACTTCATAACTACCTCCATTAACAATTCGGGACCCAAAATATTGAGTTGCAAACTCCCTGAAATGACTCTGAACCACGTTTGCTTTGCCCTCATTGATGACATAACCTTCTGTCGTAATCAGCGCAAAAGCATCAGGGGTTTCGATGTCCAAAGCCAATTCCTAAGTATGTGTATACCCGATGGTTCTCAATTAGCCTCCATACCTACTTCTGAAATTCACAAAGTAAAAGTTACGAAGATCCAAGAGGACTAGACTAACCTTGATACCGTACTGGCTTGTCTCAAGTTCCAGCAATTTGTTCCCCAGATTGCCGTAGTTTCTGCGCAACTCCCAGACGAGTTTGCCGTCTTTTTTCTCCAGGATGTAAGACCCGTCGAAACCCCACCATAGCCGTCGAATATCTTCGGTGGAGTCACTCATCGGTAGATTGGCGTTGGGATGGCAATGTATGGACTTTCTTCCGGCCACGTTAATAAAATAGCTTCCCTTCGGCCCCAATGAGATTCCAGTTGGGCAACTGGTGTTGCCACTCTTACCAATGAAGCTGTTAAGCTCAGGACACGTGAAACGTAGAGATCCATGGTCTATCATAGAAGATACGTTAGGCTGATGGCTTGAGACCTAGAATTATCTGAAAATAGACTCCTAAGGAAAGATACAGTAAAGATGACGACTGGACAATACTTACAGAAGCATTTTCTGAATACCCAGCCTTGGTGGTAGTGGGCGTAGTATGACGACCGCTCTCCAAGGATAATATTCATCATTTGAATGTTGTTGGATTCTTGCAGCCTTACTACACTGTTCCTTGTCGACGGCGGAAGATATCTTTCTGTTTCGTTAGCCTGATAACTCACACGTCATGTTCATCAAGATAAATAGACGCAAATGAGAACGAAGATAACAAAGGAAAAGATTAAGAGAAGTAAGAGAAAGGTAAATGTGAGGAACTTACGACTTGCGGTACGCGGGACCAATGAGGGAGCAATATTTGCCCCGCATGCTTACGCTGATGGCGATGTTCTTCTGGTCTCGGTTTGACCACCACTGACCCATGGCCTGCGAAACGCCCGAGGTAACCATCCAGGGAATGCCAAAGGAGCTGGGTCGACTGCCGCTTTGGCTACTGCGTTTCTCTGTGCTTGTGGAATCTGGACCTTCTTCGAACTCCTCTATGACATATTCTTTGGCCAGCCTCTTCTTCTTCTCCTCCTCCGGCTCCACGTGATCGCTATCAAAGTTATCCCGGATCAGGGTCTCCATAGAATTCTTCATCTCGGCCTGCCTGTAACGACATATCTTTTCGCTCCTGCTTCTCGCAATCCTGATGAGCTCTTCATGGTCTTCAAGCTCTTGATACATGCTTTCATCTCTTTCCTTTCGTATTCGTTGCATCTCCTCATAGTACTCAGCAATGCATGTCTTGATCTCTGCCTCCTCTTGGTTCAAAGTATTGCACACTTCTTGTCCGGCTGAGGTGCTTTCAAGTACCTTGTGCTGATCCACCATCTCGCGTTGGATCGCCAGCTCCATCTGCGGTGGGGGTTCAAGACGCTGTTCGCAGTCTTGTGAAAGGAAGATGTCGACGAGGTTTCGGGCAGAATAGCTCCGTCTCCCGTGACACTCCGACCTCCTTGTCGTCTAGTGCGTTCCACATGATGGTTACCAAAGCGACATGCTTTAGGTTATCATTGCCGCATAGCTGTCGGAACAGGCTCACACTACCCTTGGTAGAGCCTTGCATTCGCACGTCGGTAATGCGATGCAGATATAGAACCCCATGAAGACAAATGTTGTTCTTGTATGTTAAAGAGAGCCAAGCAACTAGAGACCGCAGGACGTTCTTGTCAGTTTTGTACGTGTAGTCAAAGCCAGGAGTGTCGATGAGATAGACATTGCGCGTGGCAGAATGAACGTATTAGTAGACTTTTACGTTTTGCGTACCTAGAGCCGTAGTAAGAACATATTAAACAAACTGCAATTTTAAGCAGAATGACGATCAGTCCCAAGATTTGCTTAAACTTACAGGAATCTAGGATATGTCCGACTTCCGGCTTGCTCTTATCAGCGGTAAGATGGGAAATGAGGGAGCTTTTTCCAACTCCAGTCACACCAAACACAGCCAGAAATATATCTGTTTTTCTCGCTTCGTGGCCATTCTGAACGCATAATAGATCAGTTTCGGTAAGCGGGCTCGATTGCGACAGGTTATCGTCCTCCGTTTTTGGACTTGCCACTTCCATAATGGCCTTTGCTACCATATACCTTACCCTAACATACAGACAACGATGGATTGTAGTAGAATCCGTTGAAAACACCATAGAAAGTGAAGTAGAGACGGCAAAGACATGGAGTAGAATCCGATAAGGTTTTCTTAAGTAAAATAGATATTATAGATATGCATCGAAAACTTGGAATCAGGCGAGCTTAGAAATTATCTTACTTTTATTATATACCCAATACCTATCTGTTGGTATACACGTCAGCAGGGCAACCGTACGGTTGGAACGAAGTGTCAATAATGGTCTATTATTGCTGCGTCTAGAGGTGGAAGGAGGAGATTGTGGGCAGAGCCCACGATCTCCCAGAAGTGGTATATAAGTGAAAGGGCCGTTTGTAAGTGCCCATACCGCCTTCCGGATCCATCTTTTCTGCCGACTGCTCAGAGATCCAACACTATCTCTATATCTATAGATTCGTGATTGACGGTTTGATAGGGTTAAGATGGCTCGTATATGGCTGTACTAATCATCGGCAGGGTGTGTTACGACCCAACATGAGACCAGGGCGTGCCCCGCTGACGCCTAGCGGCTACGGCGCATCATATATGCAGGACGGGATGATGATGATGATGATGATGATGATGTATTTAACGTCTGGTAACAAAAGGACGTGCCGGGCGCTATGCCGACATGGTCTATACTAATCTAAACTATATTACAGGCTACCGTCTTCACCTAACGTTCCTGTTCAATGACTCGGGCAAATTTCGGAAAAGAAATTGGTCTCCTCTATCCATTCGCATAGAAGAGAGGCTCCCTTAGCAGAACCTAACAAGAAATCAATGCTTGCTTTGGCCATACGTTGGCGGAGGTAGCGCGGTGTAGCCTTGCGTCCACGCTTGCAGAAGTAGAAATGGACTGGTGTCTTGGGTTTCCCACAGCTGCAGTTGAGCAACGCATCTTGATGAGCGAATCTCTGGTGGTATGCTGCAAAGTCTCCATGATGGGATCTTGCTGCGTATAGCCTTCCTAGTAAGTGCCGAGGGAGGCGGAGTTCGGGCGGCTTGGGGTGAAGAATTATCTCGAGGTCGGCATATTGCCGAGGGCATTGAGACAGCCATTTTCTGGCAAAGGCTTGGAAGGCAGCTGCTTTAGCTTGCCTTTCTAGGTGCGCTAATGAGGGCTGTGGTTGTGATTTTGGGATTAGTTTGCAGGCTTCCTTGGCTAGAGCATCCGCTTCTTCATTTCCTGGTACTCCCGTGTGCCCAGGGCACCACCAAACATAAACCCTGCCGGGGGTTGTCCAGCTCTCTCTTTGTCTCCGAGTCCAGGAGGAAGAGAGCCTATTGAAGGCCCTAAATCTAGCCTGGCTGCTTCCTGTGCTCTGGGAGTATAGTCTAGCCGCGACTGCGAGGTTGTCGAGGCAGATGTGGACGTTATCTGCCATACGAGCCGTAGGAGCCCGGGTGGCTTCCATCAGGCCGTGTGTGTTCTAGTAGAAAGGCTTTGTGACATTTCCTATCAGCACACTTAGTGCTACGGTCACGTGATAAGCGTGGCCTCTGTACTTAAGACGGTCTGACCGTGACCCTCCACATAAGGGGGTCCCTACGTCGGGACGCCGAGAGGGAACAGTTTTTGAAAGACTGTTTGACGAAGATCGAATCCTTGGAGAGAGAGCTTCAGGAGGAGAAACAGCGTTCAAACCGGCATTAAAGTGGTCTAGTAAGGTCTATGTACGCTGTTGGCACAGGGCCTAGCGAGACTGACCTGAGTTCCCAGGGGCATCCCTCGTACATAACCTAGAAATAGCCGCCCCTAGTCCGTTTATACGTAGCGGCGGCGAGCCAGCCACTGTCCAGAAGATAGGATGAACTAACGCTAGCTAAATAAGCCGCAAAACAAGTTACAAACTGGGCGGCCTTAAAGGATCTAGGCGTCTTTGCGTGTCTATCGCCTGAAAGCCCGCTTCGGAACGAGAAAGCCTACGATATATATATCTTCGTTCGGGAAAGGCTAAGTCCCCAAGCCCGAGAAGCCCTCAAGGGGATCGACTATATCAAGACAGGATTAGCACTCCTACCTTCGTTAATAGATAGCGTAAAAGTCCTGCTAGAGAATAGAGAATAGATCGCTGCCCTTCTCTAGGCGTAAGCGATCGAGCAATACGATACCTGGATCCGAGCCTATATCGTAAACGTCCCTTATACCAGGTATTGTCTGGTAACTAACACTGAGCTGGAAATCACGACCGAGGAGCTCCTTGAAGAGATCCAGGTCTCGACGAAACTCAAGCCTAGAAAGGCATACTTCTTTAGGAAGGACGAAGTCGAAAGGCTAGGTAAGGTGATAGCCTGGTTTAAGGCGGAAGCCGTAAGGTAACTATTAAGACGCCTCCGTTTGATGGGGGCTAGCGTTTTTGTAAACCTGTAGTTCCCGAAGGAGAAGAGGTCTCCTTAATACCTCCGCTGCGGCGGTTTTCACAGTGAACGAACGTGCACCAGAAGGAAGAGATGCCTCAAGTACAGCTCTCCTTCCCACACAACTAATCAACACCGGGCACCCTGCGGCGGCACTAAGGGTCACGATGGCTACGACTGCCCCTTTAAATACCCGTCGTATAACGGGCCTCACGCCGCCTTCGATGCGAATTACCCTATCCAACCCAAAGTGGTGAAGGGGGTAGTCCAGAGGAGGGATAAGGCTCAGCTACGGGCTATCCGAGCTGAGGGAGAAAGATTATGGAGAAATACGACCTAGTAGTCGCATCGATATTCCCGTAAAGAAGAATAAGCGATGGACTGTAGCCCGGCGAATAAGATATAAAAAAAGAATATAGCCCTCTAAAACCCTGTAAATTATGTAGGCGAATGTAGGTAGGCGGGCATCCGCCCACGAAACAGCACTGAACCTGGCTTACGTAGCCTAGATCGATATACTCCTAATATAAGAGCCGTTTATCCGTTCGGAGGAGAGGAGGCTCACAAGACACCACCCAGGTTTTGAGACTTTTACCCTAGTGGATAACTGGACCGAAGACCGTCCCATGGTGCTTACCTACCTCCGTAGAGGAACTGGGGTACGAGGCGTATAAATACGGCTTCTACCCGATCTATCTATAGACCTGCTCTTCTTACGACTCCTCTCAGGAACGAAGGAGGTCCTTATAGTCATTAACGTGTATAACGCCCCTCGTGGCTCTCTGCGATCTGGCCAGGCTCTCAGGAACATCCTAGCGGCCTGGTAACCCAAACCTAAGGATCGAGTACTGATTATAGGGGATTTTAACTTACACCATTGGACGTGGCAGCCCGAGGCCACGAGTTCCCCGGATGCTGAAAACCTAGTAGAATGGGCAGAAGCCGCCAGCCTTGTCCTAATGTCACCTATAGGTCAGACGCCGTCTCACGCTCAAGACTGTTATCCCAATAAGCGGCCTCGTTGGGGCACGACTGCCGAACCTAGTCAGACAAATTTAGAGAGCTTCCAGAAAGTGGGTGGTGTCCAAGCACAGCCGGAATTACTGCATGACAATCCGGGCTCCGGCAGCTCTCAAACCCGGGAGCAAGACCGAATAGACCCATTCACGTTCAATACGGATTTCTCGCTTGCCATATGCAAAAGATGTCGGTATGTCGTTGTCGGCGATGAGGTCTATACACATCTAAGAACCCAACATCAAGGCATCAAAGTAGCAGAGAGAAAGCGGATTACACGCTGCATACAGTCACTGGATGGGATAGTCCGGAGCCAAACCGACCTAGCGAAGGTCCGTTGTCCACCGCCAACGAGTAATCCAATACCCCACCTTGCGCCGGCCGTCACAGATGGCATACAATGCCACAATTGTGGATATTTATATCGTAGGGTAAGTGTGATGCAGCGACACTGTCGTGAAGAGCATAACTGGGTAAATGATTACGAAAAAGGCGGCGATATAAGAAGGAAGCTAAGCGAGGCCCGGGAAACTCCGTGGACAGTCAGAATTCAGTGCCAACGGTTCGCCACCTCGCGTTGTGGCCAACGCTGGTTCGAGGTAGGCCGTAACAGAGGAATAGTGCAGATAGACTCATAATAGAAGAGCAAACGTGGGATATGTCGTTACCTAGTAAAGTAGTTGTTGGAATCACAGGGGATTCGATAAACCATATACGGTAACGTGGGTGACGGAGGGGATAATACTGTTGTTGTTATTATCCTTATTCTACGTGAAGAGGGGAGAAAGCTATCTAGGGGCTGGTGGCCGAGGTGGGGTTGATATCAGGGTTGAGGTCCTCCCTTTCGGCCGTAGCTATCCCGGGTCCGAATCGGTACGACCGGCCGAACCGCGCTAGCGATATTCCATTCCGACAGTAGTCTAGAACTGAAATTATTGGAATTGTTGTATGTATGTTATACTTGTTATTTTGATCGTTAAAGACAAAATAGCCTGTTACACTTTTGTGGCGGAGTCTTTGCTCTAGAGCATGCACAGGCTCGTCGCGACGACGGACGAGCTCCACTCGCCGCCGTCGCCAAGGTGAAAGCTAAGGTTGACGCCTTACGTGGCGATCGATACCACGTCGTCTATAATTAGATCGTCCTTACGATGAAAACGTTCCCGAGTCCTCCATCTTATCTAACACTGACCATAGGCACTTTATCTCCGCAGGGCTATTTGCGTATAGCCTTGGGTCGGGAGATGTCGTCGAGGGTGAACGGAGCCAAAGGCCGTCCACCATGCAGTTCTCTAAGACGACTGCCTCTAAACGTAGACTATCCTGGAGACTCCTCAGAAGCGAAGACCACGTCTTCGGCCCCCCTTCGGTGATATCAACCGTGTCGAGGATCAGCTCCCGAAGCGTATCGCGATGCCTCCCCAGCAACATTATAAGCTCGTCCTTGGTGCAGTCGACGAATTGGAGACACAGGCTCTGCAGGCCGGGGATACGAAGGTCCTCGGAAAGCCTCGGAAATTGCTGCCTTTCGTCGCGGGGGTTGAAGTGCAATGTGAAGTTGGTCAAGGTGGGGAAGATACGTAGGAAGCGGCAGAACTCTAGACACCAATCTGAATCCCCAGCCCAGATTGGGTCGGTGCGAGGAACCAGCTTCTTCGCATCCTCGCCAAACGTGTTCTCGTGGTCGTTCGGGTTGACCACAAGATGCAGGGTCTTGATGGTAGTCAGCCGATTTGTCAAAGTCTCCTCGACCGCCGGCGTCATCGACAGCATACGTGGGGTGACCGAGGTACAACCCGTTTTCAGATGCCCAAAGCAAATATAGAGTCGTTCTATGGTATGGCGGCCGTAGAGAAGTCCTGCGAACAGAGTTCGGATCAACGTTGTGGCGAAGACCATGCTCTGAGCCTGGAAGGGCGTGACGAAACGGGTTGGAAGGGTGCCGATGCGACGACCGAGCCGGAAGGCTCCCCAGGGACGGACGCCGTCGTCAATCCCGACAGCGCTGCAGCAAGGGAGGTTCGATAGCGCGCGAACCACGTGCCTGATTCCAAGCTTTGCTTGGAGAAAGTCCTCGTAGCCGCCCCATTCGGCTTTATACGTCTCGATGACAGCGTCATACTCATCGTCACCGAACGATATAGTCTCACCGTCACTGCGCCTGACGCAGTCATACTCGTCGTTAATTCCGCATATACTGTAATCTGCTCGGCTCATGTAGTCCAGAGGCGTAACCAGGTGATCTGTAGTAAGCTCGACGACCTGTACGGCGCGGCGGAGGACCGGATGGCGCGAAATGTCGACGAGGTTCTGGAGGCTCTGGCGTTCGAGCATGACATGCCGCGTGCGGAAGAAGCGGTCCTGGAAAGGCCCCGACGTCTTGTCAGCCAGGGCACGGCAGGCAGAGCGCAGGCCCAGCACATCAGGCGACTCGAGGTATTGCGAGATGTACCCGACAATCTCGGCAGGCAGAGTCGGGAGCCGGGCTTGCGCCATTTTCAAACAGACTGTTCATTCGGACGGGAACGGAGGCAACGAGATACGGACCGGTTGGTCAGACATGTTAAGCGCCGTCGTAAAATTCCCCGCACCGGAGGATGACTAATGCACACTCCCAGGCCTCCTGTCAGACCTGGACATTGCATATCTGAGTCATGCATTCAACCCATGCTCGATTCCCTATTACAATAAGGGGTATAGGCATTATGGCCTTGAAACCTTGTTCTGTTTCTTGTTTGAAGTTAGACATGTGTTAACAACAACAACAACACCTCACTCGCTTAAGTAGGAATAGACCAATATGCACTGGCTACCAAACTGTCGCCTGACACCTGCGCACTTCGTAGTAACGGTGGGCCGAAACGATTCTTAACAGCCGTCCGTAGGTAACGAACTTCGTAGTAACGGCGGACCGAAACGATTCTCGACGCTCGTCTATAAGCAATGAGCCATAAGAGTGCAGCTAGAAAGGGAGCCCAGGTAGTTCTACAAGCTTAGGCTCTAAGCGTTAGCATAAGCAGATAATGAAAAACCGCATCTTTCCGGCTTCTTTTTCTATCAACGGAGCAGGAGCCCTAACATACTGGCAACTACAAACACCTACTAGGTGATGGTTGAAATCCTCACCAAATGGAAAAGTGGGGGGTGACATGCATGGGGTAGGTGTTGGTTGAATGTTAGGGGGGTAGGTGTTGATTGAAAGAACTCAGCCGATTCTAGAGTAAAACGTTAGCTTTAAGTTGTAAAATATAACATAAGTATAGGATATGAAGTATGCTAATTTTAGAAAGAAAACTACATTAGATTAATTTATAAGTAATTTTATTGCTGAAGCTGTAGTTTTGATGTGGTGTTCGCCGCTCCACCCCCCCGCATCTATATGATTGGACCACATCTCTACTTCCCCCCATGGACGGCTGGCCCGTGCGCTGAAGAGGATTCCACATTTGGGAAGTTGATGGGTCGCACCCACACGTTACTATGGTTACCCCATGTCGTAGAAAACATTCATAGAACAAGAAGTATAAGTTAGTATAACTATCGACGATAGGAATAGATATTTCAATCTAAAGATAATCGTTACGACGCCATCAATAATGGAACCATTTATGGTTGCTGAGTCGTTTTGTCTGCTTATTTGCACATCTTGTCAGTTTGCAGTAGTTGCTAACGAGTCGGCCGCACATTTGAGAACGCGTCATTCGTCTATTCAACCTAAAGAGAGATGTGCTATTGTCTGCAAGATCGAGCAAGAGACGACAGTGTATAAAACACAGTCTGATGTTGCAGGGCTAGAGCATCCCAGCCCACATATAGCGGCAATCCCATACATCATAGCGCCACGTAACGACGGCATACGATGCGATACGTGCTCGTATGTATGCATCCGGCTGCAGACTATGCAGCAGCACTGTCGAGAGAAACATGAGTGGGTGAATGAGTGGAAGAAGGGGGGCGACGTGAGCAAGAAAAGCCAGCAGCCCCGACGGCTGCCATGGACAACAGGCGTCCAATGCTAACGCTTCTTCCCAAGCCGAGCCGGCAGCCAGTGGTTTGAGGTGGCCCGGGGACAGACGGCCGATGAGTCTCTGCAAGCCGCTCCGAACAGACGCCCGGCGCAGCAGGCAATGGACCGCGTTCGAGATCTCCGGGAAGTCCAAGTAGAACGTGTGAAGACCAGCCATGACGAGCTGATCCGCGTCGCCAACGAAAAGCTGGAGCCTAGCCCATGGCTAGCCCGCGTAGGGTGGGCGGTGCACTTACAAGGGCTCAGTGCCAGCGCACTATTCAACACCACAGGACCCATCAATGAAGATGAGGTCGTGCTCCAGGCGATGTGGGCGACGGTCGACAGCGTGCTAGACCAGGCTCGAGCGACGTCTGCGCCCAACGCCGTCGGGCTGGCCGTGCTGTTCGAGGCGCAGCGTACAGAAGCGCACGTCAAACCAAGGAGGCCGTTTGATAACCGTATGGAGGATGATACGTGGGCGAGATATAAGGGCGTGTGGCGATGTCTCTTGGGTGTCTGGTTCCGTACACAGGAAATGGACGACGATAAGCGGCTACCGTATAAACTGACGTCGTCATAGGGAGAAGCGTGGGACTCGTTCGAGCAGATGGCGGAAGCAGCCAGTACGGGGACGGGGCACCAAACGCCGGAGAAGCTGGAACGCGCAGCGCTTGACATGCTCATCAGCATGCTGGACCACCAGCTGAAGGGCGGAGACTACAGCAGTGCTCTTCTTAGCGCACTCGCGGTGATGGGCATTGCCGAGGATGGCGGCTGGGTTCAGATCATAGACTACATAACGAAGTACTCAGCCGTTATCAAAGTAGCGCGTATACTAGTAATCCATCAGGTATATACCGAGCGGCATGACGAGGTTACCGAGCTAGAAAGATCTCTAGGGAAGGATAAAGTAGAGAACGCGGCGCAGAGCTTATTCCAGCATATGCGGGCGAAGATACGGCGGTTCATAATGCGCACGACGGGCGAGAAGGACGCAGAGCCGACGCCGATGGACTAGATTCTCGAGACGCGGACGTACGGTATGTATATCCAATACAACACAGCAGCGGCGGGTGTCATGGACTGGGTGGGCGATCGCGTGTCATACAGACGGGTACGGTTCACGATAGGGCAGCTATTAGACGCACTGCACGAGCTGGTCCGAGAGACGCGGGAGCTACTCGTAGAGCTAATGGCGACGGAGGATTCAGGTTTGCCAGATGGTCCCGAAAGTGACGTGCGGTCCTAGCTGCTAGCTATCCCATGGTCATCGATCGAAGACGACCATAACGAGACGAAGCCGGGCTACTTATTTCTCACCGACGACCGTAATGGTTAGGTTTCTAGCGGGGACGGCTGGCTGTTCATACGGCTAGCGTAGTCACCCGCCGCAGTAGAGCGCTGGGGACTGAGCAGCATAAGCAACGGTTATAGGTCAATAGACCGACCGTTCTAGCCGTCAGCTGTGCAGGAGTTCGAGAGGACATTTAAACGACTCCGCGAGCGACTATGGATACTTCTGTATATGCTTGGCGGGCAGCCGGCGCGGGCGAGCGAGCTTATAAGTCTACGGACGGTCAATACGGTCAACGGGAGCGTCCGCAACATACTAGTACATAACAAGATGTT